GCAGTTTGAATTATGACAATCCATACAGTAATAGTTGAGAAACACCACCTCAAAAACATGCTGGAATTGTAGGTTTACGAGGTTCTGTGGGTCACGTGGGGCACACTTCTAGACTTCAGACGGTCCGGCCGACCACGGAATGCGCGACTTGCGCCTCGATTTGGCATCAAGAAGTGGATATGTACAAGACGCTGCACTGCTCTGCTGGCTCAGAGCTACACCCACGCTCCAGCATCGATCGAAATGCGCTTTCTCACTCTCGCCGCTGGCCTTGTGGCCTCTGTGCTGCCGTTCTTGGCACAAGCACAATGTATCAATGAGCTGGCACAGTTCAATGCAAATGTCCGGACAATGAGCTCTAATACTACGTGGTTCATACTTCCAATTCCCAAGGCAGCTGCCCAGGCCGCAATCGATGCTTCCTTCCCTGGCGCAGGTCTTCGAATGCTCGATGTGCCGAACGACCCTTCACTATTCCCTCAAGGCTTTCCTGCAGGCTTCCAACCGGTATTGGTCAACTCTGGACTCACCGACGACATCAGGATGTCCGCTCTACAGATTGATGAAGGACTCATGCAAGGCAACATTTACGTGACCTATGTGGGGCAGCGTGGAAGTTCTACGCCCCTGGCAGCATCGACGAAGGGATACAGTAGGTCAATTCCCCACTGATAGAGATTCAGAATATTGACGTTTCTATAGTCGCCGGTATCAACGGACCTTTGCCAAACGGCCTCGTACCAGCAGTCGCATCGCCTCTCCTCTTCGGCGGCAATCCACTTCGATTGGGACAGTTCCAGCCCAAAGGAGCTGCTTACCAACAGAATGGAAATGACATCTTGGGCGCCAGAGTCGCCTGGACCATCGTACCAAACCCCATTTCCGGCCCAGGCGTCTATCCAAATGCCTTCGACATGATCTTCAGAACAGCGCCATCTTCACGCTACACCGATAGAACGTTCAAGAGCCTCATCAATCAGCCCATAATCCTGCCTACCGGTCTGTGTCAGCGCAACACGTACTACTTCAACAATGCTACTGCGAATCCAGTGTTCAGGAACGGCAACGTCACTCTTGGCCCTGGAGCCAGTGGAAGCAGCCCTTTCAGCAGCGGTCTTCAGAAGGCGAGTCCGGATGGGTCAGGATTCTATGGCAATGTTGATGGATATTCGGCATGTGCGCAGAATGTTGGATACAACCCAGAGAACTGCGAGCAAGCTGCCAGGAGCGTTGATCCGGTTGCATTGCAGTAGTGGGCTTTGAATGCTGGATCTTACTGACCGGTTTCATGAGGGATGAACATAGATAAACGACTCATATTATTACATTCCATGCACAACAAAATAGCTCTATTGCTGAGGCTTTCTGCGACGTTCATCGCTTTCAAGGATCTACTGCTCCAGTCAGATCATAACAAGCCCATGGCCACATCGTCGATTGGCGTTTGGTTCGTCGAGCAAACGAGCAATGGTCTGTTGAGTTCCATATCGGAAATCCGGACTACTGACTAGTTTGTTAGGAGCGTTCTATACACGTCCCTTGAGGACATTTCTTGCCAAATGTATTCAAACCATACTAATTGAGCAGTCCAGCTTTCACGGGCTAAGCTTGGCATTCACTCATCAATGTTCCGACAATGAGCCGGGTGAATGCAAAGGTGGTCAGCGGGAAGTAGATCGGCCGACACTGTCAGCTTCGATCCCTACTTGATTCATCTCAGAGTACATTGGACATCGTGGAGCGTCTCTCGCTCGTGGATCGTGGTTGCATCTCGCGCAAATAACGAGTATTCAAAAGCGATTACATCTGGAAACCAGGAAGCAAAACAGACTCGAATCACCGACGGTCTCAAGTACAACCGATCATCATGGCTACCACAACCCGCCCACGCATTAACCACAGCCTTGAGCTCTCGAGGCTCTATCCATCGTGCTATCCTTGCTTCAAGGGAGCCCGGCGATGCAGTTCCACAGACAACCAGGGTGCTCGACCATGCGATCGTTGCGTAAAGGATGGTCTGCCACCAGAGGAATGTGTCGCTCATCAAGACGATCCACGCTGGGTGGCAGGCAAATCCGGAGCGACCAAGAGGCGCGATGGCGGAAAGGGGGGCAGGGACAATGCCTATGATGGGGGCGTCCGAGCGGCTACCACGGAAGGCTTGCGCCGCTCCGCTCGTTCGACTCGTTTCACGTTCAACCATGCGGACGCAGAGAGTGCTGAAGAGGAAGACGACCAAACGCCCGTGGTGGAGCAGAGCGCAACGGACGGGGCTGCAGAGGCGAACGCTGGCAATGAGACAGTCGTTGTCCCTAGCGAAGAGACTGCTGCTGAGGAAGATATGCCTCCACCCACAGCGCGCAATGCCTTGCCACTCAGCGAATTCTCTTTGGCGAACCGCGGATGTCGCGTCAAAGTGAAGCCGCAGCGACCAGACCAGGACGACTATTGAGTTTTCTGATCGATCAAGGCTTGATGAAGGCAAACGAGGAGGCCACTTCTGTCAGCGCTCACCTTCAGCTATCGGGCGAGCCTCAGGGGTTGTAATTGACGTGAGTCTTCTTGGCAAATCCTCCTCCCACACTTCTGGGAACAAGCTGACCATCAATAGAATCACTTTTCTAATATGCGTTATGCTATGAACGCTTCTCAATGCAGCGAGGCATCCCATGCCATCCATGATTGGATGATGGTGCGAGCGTGCATGGTGGCTGCAGAGGAATACTAAGAATTAGGAGGATAAAAAGTCAAGGTTCGCCTTTCGCTTGGCTTCGAGCACCTCATTTGTCCCATTGAAAACGCTGGTCATTGGCTACGGGCCGTGCTTGTTCTTTGTTGTAACGAAGACGGTGTGTAGCTAAGAGCCTTAGTGTCTGCATGCCAAAACCTTTGCTTCTGCTGCGTGGAAGTGTCCATACAGCCTTTTAGAGAACTATTGTCTGTCGATGTTGACCGTTTATTGTTCACCTGCCTGAGCTTTCACATGCAAAAGCTTGGCACGAGCAGAACAAGCCCGGCAGCGCTCCATTGACCCACCAATATTTCTACTCATTGCTACTCACCACTGATTCCGGCAGGACCACGAGGCTTTCATCAGCATATGCGTTGTTTATTGTTGTTACAAACCCACAATACATTATCTCTCAGACATGGCGATTCGCTTACGACTTCTGCCTCCTCAACCACCTCGAGTCAACGACATCGCAAGCACGCCGACGACCTTGAAAGCGAAAGGAAAGGAGCCTTGCAAGGTTTGCTTAGACGAGAATAGAATTTGCAGCGCGGTTGAGCAGGGCGAATATCCATGCGAGGCGTGCGTCGACGATGCCCACCGTGCAGCAGCTTGTTATCCAAGCAGCGAAGGCCAAGATCCCACCACAGAACAGCCGACGAGCTTCAAGGAGACTTTCAAGGCGAAGATACCCGCGACCAAGCCGTCTCAAGCTGCATCGGCCGCCGACTACGAGCCTCGACAGGCAGCCGGCCAGGTCCAGGCCATTGAGAATGGTGCACAAGATATAAAGGCCACTCGAGGTATTACTCTAGTGTCCTCCAGTCAGAAGTTGCTAATGCGATAGCCAGGCTCTCCAGACTACGGTGCCATTGCTGCGGCAGCGACTAAGGCTCATGCTGATGCAACCACCAACATCATGCTCCCTGGCAGCCACTCTTTGCGCAATCGTGGCTTTCACATTCCTGTCAAGAAGCAGCGCGCAGATCAGCAGGACTACTAGGACTGGAAGGGTGGATGCTGCGAGTTGGAACGTGCCTCTTGATTTCCAGTTCTAGGATTGTGGTACCGGGCAGGCCACTCATGGTTGACATGGTTTTGCGAGAGAGCGTCGTACATGCATTGGACACGAGCTCTGGGAAGAGCTAGCAACTTTGCAGATCGTGTTTATTCGAAACGAAAGTTGGGTATCAGTTAGCTTGTTAGCAAGGAAGATCACAGAAGGGGCCAGCATTGCGTAGTACATGCCCAGTTTGCTCATCCTTCAAGATGTGGCCTTGCAGAAACCGACGGCGAACCTTCGAAACATCGAGGTACCCGAACCAGCAAACCATGGAACATATAATGCGGCTTATCATGAGCTCTTTCCACAAGCACATCCTCGTATTCTTCCTCCTTCGAAGGCGTCGGTGCACTTTATAGTCAAATGGATATCTCAATACACTGACTGCTCCCGAGGCTCTTGTCTTCGCTGCAGGTTTTTATAGTCGTAGCGTGGCACAGTATTAAAATGTCGATGTCAACGACCTCAGGAAGTCTTGCAATCTTTGCGAGTCCGAAACGCTGTCCGAAAGTGGCTCATTCACTTGGAGTGAACACGGCCCCGGCCGGGGCCCACTACCGGACTGCAATGCGGGAAGCTCACGCAATCCCGTCGGCTCTACACAGAAAGTCCTTCAGTAGTACTCGGCGCCAGGTCACTGAGTTCTGTAGCGGGCGCTGCGTTGCAGTCGGCTCCTGACGCTGAACCGGTAAGTGCTCGCTCCGAAGACCTTCCCAGTAGCGGATCAACATCTAACCGGCATCAGATCTGCGCACTGGACTCGAAAGTGTCGACAACTAGACATCACTTGTAAGAGGCTCGAAGTCGCCGCGAGGTGTGTAAGTAGCAATATCCCTAGCGATCACCCTTCGTCACTTACGCGATGCAGACCACCAGCCAAGTTGATTACCATCGATAGCATTGTCCCAGCCGATACGAAGATGGGTCGAAACGGAGCCGCCAAACCACCACAGAAGGTTCACACGCGCAACAATCAAGACCACGCTCTTTCGAAGAAGCATCCGTCATGCTTCGACTGCAACGCAGGTCGCCGTGGCTGCAGTGCTACCAACACGGGCGGTGTGTACCCATGCAAGAGATGTGTCGATAAGGGGATCAAGACCTGCATGCCACACCAACAGGATCCTCGCTGGCGTCCTGGCATGGGTAGCACAAAAGTTCGAAACAACCCCAAAGCTGGCCAACGCTACTACAAGGTCATCAGCAAACACATCCAGCACAACGACGGCAGTAAAGCTCCAGGCAAACGTGGTTCTCGCAAAGCTGCTGCTGCGGTCAATGGTAGACGTGGTGCAAAGAAGTCTTCGATCGAGCACGGCGATGAGAAAATCGGACCATCAGCCGCTCCGCTACCACTCCAACGCTCCAACACTCCCTCGAGTGATACACCAAAACTCAGACGTTCCGCACGTCTCGCAGAAGCCACCACTGAAGGTGCCTGTCTGACTGGAAACGATGAGGAATCTGAGGGCGAGGACTCGTTGAGCGACGCTGGTGTTGAGTCTTCTGAGGTTGAGGTGGGCGCAGCTGAGGAGGGCGAAGCACCTGGTGGAGCTGAGTCTTCTGAGCTGGAGGAGGGCACGGCTGACGAGGATCAAGCACACGGTGGATCTGACGGCAGCACGGATTCTCAAGATGTTGTTGATCATGTCGAGCTACCTGCAGCCAACTACATCGACGAGGACGGCATTGAGTACACTGCGAGCGGGATGCCGGTGAAGTTTGTGTTTGAGTTCGAACCAGGCTTCCTTGATGGAGAGGATGAGTAGTCCGAACAAGATCAGGAGACCGGTTCTGAAGGCTTGGTGGCTCGCGTCCACGCTTGCGTCTCAGAAAGACTGAAGCACGGTAGATGGCGAGAAGGGGCACGGGCTGCGATGTGCAGATTGTGCGCTTCCACACATGCGTGGCAATCGCACGGCAGGAATTTTGGTCCAAAACATGTTTTCAAACAGGCAACTCAGCATCGAGTGCTGAATGTCTCGCGCTAATGCTTGGCAAGAGTCCAGCTTTCTTTGTGTCTAGCACAGCCAGATGTTAGCGTGCCGCTAGTGCGCAATGCTTTGTTGTGTGGTTTGCTCGAGAATGCCATGTCTTCCATCTTTGCTTGACCTTGCATTTTGTCGATTAACGTTGTTCTTCCGCGTTTCCCATGAAGCAAGTATACTTCTTTTCAGGACTTCTATATTCCGTTCCCATTTATCTCTGCGCATCATGGCAGTAAGCGGCCCGCCATAGTGTGTCAAAAATGGAGCCGGATCTATTCACTCGATTGCCAAATGTGGAGTCATTCACCTGCATTCCAGCGGAAGTTATTCGGCCGGTATCCAAAAACTTGATCTGTCGCGGACATCGAACACCCACCATTTGCAAGGAGCAAGTACTCGTCCACCTCCACAAGACTCACTGCGAGCAAGATGGCCGAACACGCAGCCTCGAATTCGCAATCGTCTCTGCCAGCTCCAAGGACGACCGCGCCACGCCAACTCAAGCGCGCGCCAACGAATCTAGCCCAGGCGAAGGCATTCCCAGCTTGCAGACCGTGCCAGAAACGAAAGGTGAAATGTAGCAACACATCAGACGAGACCGGCTTCCCATGCGATGCCTGCAAGAAGCGCGGAACCGAAGATGAGTGTGTTGATCATCTCACGGTGGTCCAGCAGCCGCTACCAGCTGTATCTGGCTCATCTCGGCGCTCAGCACGCAGTGGTCGAGCTTCTGTCCAGTACACCGAAGACGATGATGGCTCCTTACTCCAAGAGGAATCGAATGGCCAGGAGCCCGAAGAGGCTGCTCCATCGCAAGCCGCCGCAGATAGCCGAGTGCCTGTCGAGGCTACTCACTCAGCCACGAACGAAGGACACCGAGACGAGCAACACTGGCACGAGGTCAATCGATTCCGCCTCATGAGCTTCGAGCAATCCCTTGGCGAAGCCGCTGGCGGACCAACGGCGCGCGCAGTACTGAACGCCATGTATCAGAGTCTCGAAGAGCGTGATTATGCGGCAGTGGTGCGTTTTCGCAAGCTCCTTGAGAGAGCACTCTGGCCGACGGAAGATGCTCAAAGCGAGTAATCATCAATTCAAGACCAGAAAAAGGAAAGGACGCTAGCCCGAGTTGGTATGACCATCGCTTCCTCGGTCAGATCATGAACGACAATGGCCACCACGCTGCAAGTCCTATACCCAGGCAGCATGGCACAGGTAGGAGTAGCGACAGCATCTTCGATTGCGGATAGCGCTCACACGTCTCAGAGACCATTCAAGCATCGACCCAAGTCACGCAACGATGACTTTACGCGCACAAAGTCTTTTCCTTGCACAACTTCTTTGTTCGAGCCCGGCTGCAGAATTTTGAGCAACCTGGCCAAGAAACAATGTAATGGAGGCATCAATTGCATGCGATGATCGCTAAGCAGAAATTGGGCTTCGTTCGTGATGTCGGCAGTGTTGACGGTTTGTTGTAAATGCGGGTGTCCTTCGCCGAGGTTTGAACTTTAGCGATGTTCTCTCAGTTCTTCATCTCCGTATACTTTCCATTGAGACTCGCCCGTTCAAGACGCACAATGGACTTGATGGGGACATATGTGGGAGGACAACCATTTTGTCCTTCACCCGCGATGTCCAAGTCACGGGCGTGCGCGAGTGAAGAGCTGCGGCTGTGCGAGGCTATTATATTAGAGCGCTCGCCTTTCTTCAGAGTCTTCACCAAAATACACCGAGAAAAATCCCGTTCGTACAAGACGAGAAAGCAAGCGCACTCCTTCCAATCCGCACGAACTGACCGCCTTCAGCTTCATCGTTGATCGAAGATTACTGTTGCATATCGATCGCAACACACCGGATCCGAACGCCTCCCGAGAACCAAAACAAGACCCGACATGACCAGTCAAGCAGGAGCCAGCATGACTTCGGGCCCACAGCTCCAACGTGCGGCCACCGATGTCAAGCACTCGAAGCAGTATCCAGCCTGCTTGCAGTGCCAGCAACGCCACGTCAAATGCAGCAATACTCTGAAGGAGACAGGTTTCCCTTGTGAGGCCTGCATCGAGCGTGGGGTGCCTGCACAAGAGTGTATGTCGCACTTCGATGACCCGCATTGGATTCCAGGAGTCTCTGGAGCCACGCACAAGAGAGGTCGTGTCAAAGCCTCACGTGGCGTAGGCCAGCGCCAGAAGAAGCAGCGGAATGTAAAAGCCGCACGCCAGGAGGAAGACGAGGATGTTGTGTCGGAAGATGAAGATGACGAGTTCCAAGGCCCCACCGTTTCTAATTCTGGTCCTCGTCGCTCAACTCGTTCGAAGCTACAGGAAGGCGGTTATCGTGAAGATTCAGAGGATGAGCAGCCTGACGTTGAAGATGCAGATCATCGTGTCCTCGAGAACGAACCGTATCATGGCGAAGATACAGAATATGCTGATTCTGTAAATGAACAGGAGACTCCTTCGGCTGACAAGCGTGCGACCCAAGCACAACCAGATCAGAGCGCTGAAGTACAGCCTGACAATGAGGCTGATCGCCTGATGGCCATCGAGGCACAGCTCGGAGCTGCAGCTGAGCGACCAGCGGTCCAGATGATCCTGAGGGTGATGCGCGAGCGACTGGACGAAGGCGAGCACAACGTGATCGCCAGGATGCGCTACCTTCTGGCTCGTGCAGCAGGACAGCCTCCCACATTCTGAGAGTCCGATGCGACCACTGTAGACGGGCCCGAGATTCGATGCCCGCGCAAGTTGGTGCATGCCGAACAGACGGTATTCTGCCATCACCTGCCCTTCCGACAGGAAAAGCCAATCAATTTGGATGCCAAGATGCCTGTACAGGTTGTATGATCGCATTCAGAATCGCTGGTGTTGCACGATAAAGCTAAACTGGTGCACCACCATGAGCGCCAGAAGCCTCATGCCGCCGTCGAGGGAAAACCGAGAAACGAAGCCAACTCGTAATCGAAGAGCCAACAAGCTCCATCATACATAGCGCTGAACACAATCGCCACTTCTGCTTGCTGCAATGAATTACCGTCGACGTACTGCGGCCAGTATGTGTAGGAATCTGTATAGAGCCGGGCGTGAAAGCTATAGGAGGAGCATATTCACTCCTATTCACTTGCCAAGTCCAAAGCGGGAAACCCGCCTGAAACTTAATTCAACCCTTCCAGCTTGACCAGATCTTCTTGCCGGCACACCATCTTCGAAGGAACAACAAACTCTTCTACACAGCATCCAGGTCGACTCGACCTTCGGTACTCGTTCGCAAAAGGTGAGCGGTAAAGGCGGCAACAATTCCAGTCCCAGGCGGCTGACTTCTCTCAGATCCCATACACCACTAGAGTCGCCAGACAGGCGCGCCGACACCATGGCCCCCGAGGTCTCCACCCGCAAGACGTCCGCTCGCAAGACGTCTGCTCGCAAGGCATCTGCTTCTACTAGCTCGCCAGCATCCTCGCCTATCCAAGACCACAAGCCGAGATCCAGAAAGGACCACGATCGTGCGCGCTCGAAGAGCCACCCAGCTTGCTATTGCTGCTACGACCGTCGTGTGAAATGCAGCAACACTAAGTTCATGACGGGATTCCCTTGCAGGGCCTGTGTGAGGAGAGGCACAACCGCCGACTGCATCGCGCACAAGGACCATCCAAATTGGGTCCCAGGTGTGACAGGCGCCACACACAAGCGCAAGCGCAAGGTCAAGCAGCTCGAGCAGGATGCCGCGGACGAGGCCAAGGATGGGAACAAGGAGAAGCCAAAGAAGAAGCAGAAGGGTCCGAAGCCGAGGGCAGTCAATGTCGAAGTGGCCGCACCAGTCGGTGTGGAAGTGCCGACTACCAACAAGTCATCCAAGCGTAAGGCTAATGCGCTCGAGCCGAAGGATGAGGATGAGGCCAGCATGGGCAATGATCAAGAACCAAAGAAGAAGCGCCTGAGAAAGGACAAGACCGTCGATGAGGTCGCCACATCGGCCGCTCCATTGCCAGGTACTGGTTCGCCACGCCGTTCCCTCCGCAACAACATCGTGCACGTCGCCAATACCGATGATGGCGAAGACGTTCAGAGCGAGGATGGACAGTCAGAAGATGGAGTCGCGCAGCTCGAGGAGATGCCAGAGCAGGGAGACAACGTCGATGAGGCCGAACCGCACACAGATCAGCTGCCTGGCGTCACTATCAAACCGAATGCCTCCAAGCTGTCCACCGTCCAAGAGATCGAGTCCAGCCTGGGGAGCGCCGCTGATCGTCCAGAAGTTGGCCTCGTGCTCGAGCAAATGCACAGCAGGTACACATCGGGCAGCGGAGAGGTCCCACACCGCATGCATCTTCTCATGGCTCGGGTTGTCCGCCACTGCGAGGCAGCCGGTGTCTCAGCTCCTAGAGACCAACCAAGCCATTGAAGAAGATAGGGATGCCGGCCAGGACGTCGTGTCGGTCTTCTGAGCTGAGAGCTGTTCGAATCCTATCGCTTGTTTCCAGGCACACCGGATTGTTCAGAATTACATGCGCGAGAGAGATGTGCGGCGAAGGTGGCCATTGAGCTAGTCTTATATCGCTGCATGCCCACGACGGGCATTGAGTCCCTAATACTAATGTCAGCCACGCCATTGCAGGCGTAAGTGCAACAGGCCGCGATCTGACACAGCCTCAGAATGCCCAAGCTAGAAGCATGTCATCGGAAGCTCGATGAGTGATGCAAGCTAGGCTTTCGGGTCTGGAGCCTGCAAATTAGATCAGCACACGAATACAAAGATCACTCTAAAAACTTTTCCTTGTGTCTGGCTTGCCTTTGTTCTTCATCACGTGATGCTTTCTCAGATGTTTCTCATTGTTGCCTGTGCGATGTGCACAGCCGGGTACGCAGTATTAGCATGCCCGCAAGACTTTCAAAGTCGAAAGATGGAGGCGCAGTAAAAATTCAGATGCAGCCAATGCACCAGCGTAGAATGTGGAATGAGTGTGAAATAGCAGGAAAGACCCGAAACCCTACCTACCATCAGCTACCTGCCCGTTTCACGTACTTGCCTTTGCACCCATAATCCTTCTCAGCATCAGGACCTCGTGCTTCGTGACAAACACGCCGTTGCCAGTTGGACCACCGTTGGCAACATCTTCCATACCACTGTCCATGGCATCGATCAGAGCTGAGACTTTGTCTCCTTCCCACGTGCCAGCGTCGTTGGTCCAGAAAACACGACGAATGCCCACCTTGTGCATGAAAGCAACGCATCGGTAGCAGGGCCTTGATGCGTGTATCTTGTCTCTGTCAAATGAGCAAATGTGCTCAGCACTTTCCGCGCGGGAAGGCGAGGGAGATGGTTCGGGATTTACTAGTTCGTCGTGCAGCGAGCCGGTGGCCGATTTGGTACTGGTGATTGACAAACTTGACAGAGAGTCAACACTGGACAACAGGAGATCCTCCGTAGTATCGTCGGGGTTAGCTGGCGGAGATGGGGGAAGTGGCCGAGCGGCTTTCAACTTCCGCGGCTTGATTTGCGACGTTCCAGTCCAGCCGATTCTGACAACGTACAGATCCGCTCCTTGCAATCGTGAATGCTGCTTGCGATCATCCGCCTTGATAGCACGACCAATCGGCAGTAGTACTGGCTGTGTCGACTCCTGGTCGTTCTGTGAAGCAGCACTTGACTTCATCTTTCCCGACTGCGTGTTGTCAGCAATCATTCTCGTCTTGACGTCGAACAAGGCAGCACTGACCCGCTTGTAGTCCTTGCGTCCTCGAGCACGATGGTACTTCTCAGAGCTGGTCGTTGAAATCGTGCCCTCGTTATTGCCGTCATCATCATCAGTCATAGAACCATGCTCTCGTAACACATCACATTCATCAAATCGTGAAACAGAAGGCTTCCCGTCCTTAGACGCAGACTGTGCTTGTTGTGCCTGTCGATACCGGCCGTACCCGTACTGATACTGGTACCGGTTCTTCTTCCCATTCTTCTTCTCGGTTTTCCGGTTCTGATGATGTTTCTGAGCACCCGCGTCCTTGTGAAACGCCAGACTCAAATCTGCCAACGTCTGCGTGGCCAGATTGTGGTTGTCGTTGTTGTCCTCCTTGACCTTGTTGTTGCTCTTGTTCTCTAACCGCACCTGATTGAGATGTGGAAGCTTCAAAACCGCACTCTTGAACCTGCACCTTGCCAGTGCCGGCGGAGGTGTCGCAGACGGCCTTGACGTAAGCCTCGAGCACGGCGCGTCGTAGTCGAGCTTTACGTTTATCCGCACGCGGTAGTTTGAAGCACGGTTTTTCGCGGGAGAAGGTCGTGGAGGACAGGGTGGAAGAGGCGTTGAGAGCAGTGTAGATAGCCATCATCTCCGAGTGCATCGACAGCGGCTGATTGACGGAGTGACCTCCACCGGGATTGGCGTTCTCGAATGGAACAAATGTGCCGTGGCTCTGCTGCTGATGCTGCTGGTGCTGCTGATTGTCCTGCTTACATTTCTGCTTGCCCTTGAGCTTCTTCTTTAACTCGGCCCCACTGGCAATACGACCAGTCTTCAGGGCACCACCGTTGAAGCCTGGGCGATAGTCATTATGGCCACGTCCGATGACTTTGCCGCCGCGCACGACAATGGCACCATGGCGGTAGTGAAGGGGCGACTTGGCAGCCTCCTCCAGGCACAGAGACAAGTAGTTGTCGGTCTTCATTTTGGTTGTTAGTCGGCAAATTTCCTGAGAAACTGATGAAGTGTGGTTATGGCGTACGTGAACAGTACCGTGGAGGCTGTTTCGTTAGCTGGAGTTGAATGCGAGCTGTGAGTCAGTGAGGTGTCTCGTGGATGGACGACTTTTGGAAATGCGCGACTGACACGTGAAGTGAGTACGCGCATGCCAAGACCATTACTTAAGCTGAGGCTTGGTCACTAACTTACAAGATGAAAATGAACCCATAGGCATAGGGCTAATGTAGTCGTGTCTGCAACAACTTGCTGCAGAACTATTATATTTCTTGAAATAGCAACAGAACGGAGATACCCTGTGCTTTCTGGATAAAGAGATGCTTCCTAGACATTGCTCCCGGTCAAGCTGGACCAGTGGCCGGACCCGCCAGCTGAGGGGCGTCATTTCCTGAGAAAAAGGCACGATTCAATTCAATTGTCAACTATTGTACAAAACCAATTATGAATGCTCGAGACTCTGTTCCGCCTTTCCAACACATTATATCCTAAGCCTTACACTGCCTCAAACACTCTTGACTCTGGAAAGTCTGCGTACAGGAGCCATAGGAGTAGATCATCAAACGGCGCAGTATGTGTCAGACTTGCGAAATATCTTGATGCATCGACGGGGCTGCCAAAATGACTTTCCTCGAACCGATTTGGGCCGCAACGTTGACGTACAGCCGACCTAGTCAAGCGAGGCCCCCATGTTGGTTCGTAGACACAGTAGCCGTGGTGTGGTTGTAGGACTCCATGATTATACCACCGTAATGACCAAAGGCCTCGCGTGTTGACCGTACTGTCAGTCCTCCCATCTGTACCAAACATGTAGGTGAGCGCAAGGTTGCGAATGCTGTTGACTTCACGAGGTGATCGCAATACTATTTCCTCTGCACCCAGAAAGGTTGCTGGGTTGAGGCAATCCACGTCCAGTTTGAAGTTGACATTGCGCCAGTATGCCTGGTATAATCTCCGATATGTTCGTCTCGCATCAAAGTAGATGTGCCGGCAGGTCGCTAGCGAGGCATACGAAGGAGGTGTTGCATGAACCAAATCGACTACAGCACCAGGGTGCGGTTTTGTGTCGAATGCAAATTCGTAGATCATCCAGCAGAGTTCGGTTGGCAGTATCGGATGGAACGGTCGGGGCACGCTCGACATGCTGCGTGAAGCTGTGCAGAGCTGTAGAAGCTGGCTTGTGTGTATGCGCGTGTGTGTATATGCTCTCGTGACGGACTTTCTGACGAATCTGGTGCCGCTCGTAGTCGCTACCTTGTCTGTGTGCGTTGAAAAGTTTTGGCAACAATGATACTGTTTGGATGCTTCTGCTAGTGATGAGTCGTCGTCTTGCTGGTGCTTTTGATCAAGCGTTTGAGAATCCTGGACATACTCCTCCTTCTTGCACGACCCTCGGAAGTGGCAAGCATGGTATACTCTTTGCCATAGCAGGCGCCATGACAATGACTTGCAAGCGCAGCGGAGACACCACACAGCCGCGAGAAAGTGCAAATTGGACCAGGACACGATGAGAAGGAAGCACTACCAGTCCGGCGGATGGACCGGAACTTCTCTGCTTCCTCGGTTGAGTCCAAGTGAAGTTTTGTGCAAACTGATCGCAGTATTCAGGACTTGTGGATCATCTGGCTGGTCAGCGTCTTCCGTAGCCTAATCCAGCTCACCGTGAGACTGCTCCAGGAGTTGAGCCCGACATCATCAGTATACAGCCTATTTCGTTAAGCATTCGGCAATCGTGAGACGCAGACGCAGGTCAGAAGTCTGAGCTTGATGATCACGTGGATCGATATGCGCTCTTGCCTCATCGAATACATGTAGTTCTGCCAACAAGCAGAGAAGCGTCAGATGTCAGGACCAAGACGGTGACAGAATCCTGATCTGATCATGCGGGCACAGCTGTCTCAGAGGAAGAATGTAGCATCATAGCCAAGAGTACGAAGTCGAGCTGCACAGCTGCAGGCGCATGAAGATCGGTCCACAGCGGCAGTTCCAGCAGTGCCGTTGTGCTACCGAAAAATTGTATGCTCGCTCGCATCTCGAAACCGGGCGTCACGTTCGATCAGGCCATCGCGATGATGGACGAAGAAAAGGAAAGAAGCGCAGAGTGAGGTCGCCAGCAGGGATGGGCATGCTTCGCGAGGGCGGGCAGTGACTGGTCGCGGGCACGCCGTCGCTTCCTCTGCCGCGGTCGCGTGTTTACTTTCTTGCATCATAGTCTCAGTCCAAGATTGCGGCTCCGGCTGGCCTGAGGTCAGATTGATGATCTGGGGAGACACAGGCGCAGACGGGTGCAGCTGGGTGGAGCTGCTGGAAATTTACACACTGGACATGCAGCTGGACGAGCATGGATGGCGGCAGAGGGAGAGGCACCAGCAGCACCATCATCAAGCACTCCGGTAGATAGTGATCTCGGCGGCCGGAGACAACGCCCTCTCGTCGTTGCACGAGTCAAGGTCGATCAACAACCGTGACCGAGAGACACCAGGCCAACACGACTCTCTCTTCAGGCCACCATGGCCGTCACCGCCTCGCCCACCTCGCTCGAGGCTAAGCTGGTCGTGCTTGGGTCGCAAGGCGTCGGCAAAACATCGCTGGTGCATCGCTATGTCAAGAACTCCTTCATCGATCCCAACAAGGCCCAATCGACCGTCGGTGCCTCCTTTCTGACCACTCGCGTCAACGACCCCGAGTCTGGTGCCCAACTTCGTCTACAAATATGGGACACTGCAGGGCAAGAACGCTTCCGATCGATTTCCCGCTTGTACTATCGAGGCGCCAACGCTGCCATCCTGTGCTACGATGTTACGAGTAAGAAGTCGTTCGATGAGATGGGTGCATGGTTGAGAGAATTGCGAGAGAATTGCGGTGGGGCCGAAGTGGAAGAAGATATGATATTACACATCGTCGGCACAAAAAGTGATGTCGTTGCGGCAGATCCAACAAAGAGGGAAGTGCCGTTTGAGCGATGTATAGGCTATGTCGCGGAACAGCTGCTCCCTCCAGGAGGACCGATGAGCCCACAGGTCCAGCCCATCAGCTGTCCACCGAGTCGGCATGGTCTCCAAACTCCCGCGAATGGCATCATCAACAGCCCGAACAGCAATCGGAGTTCGGGCTTCTGGGGCCAAAGTGACACCACTTTCGTATGGGATTGCTGCCATGAGATCAGCGCAAAGGACGGCGAAGGCATCGATGAGGTCTTCCGTGTTGTGAATAGAAAGCTGATCGAGCAAAATGCGAAGCGGCAGGAACGACAACGAATGCTAGAGGAGATGTCCATCGGCAAAACACCCGGAGCTGATGGAAGTGTAGGGACACCAGGCTGTTACTTCGACCTCCCAAATGGAGGCCATGGTAGTTTCCGACTCGGTCATGGCGATAAGCGACGAAGCTGGCTCGGAGCTCTAACACCCGGAGGCATTACAAACTACAGCGAACACGACCACGAGGAAGAGGCCAAGAAGGGCAACAAGCAGGGGCGTTGCTGTTGAGACGGCAGTGATGTAGCACTAACTTTACGATGACGGCGTTGGTTTCAGTTCTGGCCGTGTGGATATGTATAGCGAGAGCATTTTAACGGAAGACAGCAACGAGTTTTGGGAGGAGGAATGGAGCTGTTTTGTACAATGGCAGAACTTCAGGGTGTATACTAAGAGGCTTGATACCCCCAACGCGCTGCAGATTCGGCAGGCGCGTATACATATTAGATGATGAGTTTTGGAATGATAATCTTCGTGCGAGTCGGATGACTTGGGTTGTGCCTCGAAATTCTTCCTGCCTTCAAGCTTCATTCGAGATATACCCTCATAACAAGAGTGCTCCATTTGCTTTCGCGTGTCTTTCGACTGCATCATACACTTTACACAAAAGGCCAGAGAGAGGCCCAAACGCCTTCGCCATGCTGGTGCTCAAACATATGTATACCACCCATTTCACTACCGTCCCGTGAGCCAGCTGTACCAACCTTTCCCGCTCTGCGTAGCATTATCGACCGCAACCTGTGCCTGTCGATCCAATGGTCCTCCCGCCGGCACCAGCATCTCCGGTACTTTTTCACCCTGCCTTCTATGCTGATCGACTTTATCCTCCACCGCCTGCAACACATGTCTCGCCTCTTCTTTCACCTCCTCAGCCGCGAATTCCGTCTTCTCCGCTATCGTCCCTGCCGCAGCAGCAGAAGCAGAAGCCGCACCTAATCTCCCACCCTTTTGCTCCTCTTTGCTCAAATCTTTGAATAGCCAATTACTCGCTCTCTTGAACATGCCCGGCCGGTTTTGCTTTTCAAGTTCTGCCTGTCTCGCATTTCGTTCCCGATTAATCAACAACATCTGATCCTCCGTCGCAGTCCCCTGACTAGCAGCCTGCGTCGCAATAGCCAATTCTCTCGCATGTTCGATTTGTTTCTGCGCCAACCACTCTTTCCGTTTCCGGCGGTTGTGTAGAATCATATCCGTCACACCTGCTGTAGCGACGGCTCCGGAGAGAATGGTCAAGCCGATGAGGCTGAGGGCTGTGAAGCGGTGGGCTCGGTCTGCCCATACTCGACCTATGCGGACGGTCTTGTCGAATGTGGTTTCGCGGCCTTGTTTGGCGAGAGCGGCGGCTGCTCGGAGACGTTGGATCTTTTGTTGGGGGGTTTCATTTGCGGGTGCGGAGCCAAAATTTATTCGTGATGAAGTTGTTGCGCCTGGGGCGGAGGATGTGAATGTGCTGGAGGCGTACGGTCCTGTTGCTGTGAAGCGCGTTGCGTCGGACGGTGAGCGCGCCATTGTGGATTGGTTGTGCTATGGCGAGAAGGAATTTCTGGTATCGAGAGGAGCGAAGGGCTATGTGTGATGCATTGCATTTGATGATCGTCTAGACTATCTCCTTGGGAAAAGTTGAAGTTCAAGTCGATGACGGTCGGACCAATCGCCAATGAGCTCCGATCCGACTTCAGGTCGGGCTTCATCCCTTTGACATTCCCTACACTCTTGACAAACAAGAGATATCGTCTGCTTCCAGTGCAGTCAAACCGCTGCTAGAGGGTGCTGTTGTGCGCCTCGAAGTGCAGACGTGTACAAAGGCATCGTGCGCTGCCGGCATGGCAGATCAAACCAGTACAACCGCAGTGCCAGATCTACAGGCCATTCTTGCCACTCTTGCCCAGTATTCTGCTCAAAATGCTGCGGCTGCTCCAGCGACAGGCACGGATCCTAGCACACCACAGCCTGAAGATGCGTCGCAGCAGAACCGAGGCGTTACCAGCCTGCCAGCTGAGCGAGAGCAGCCCGCGAAGTCGTTTGACCCACGCCTTCCACGCCCGCAGGGCCGATCAGCAACTTCGACGCCAAAGCCTATGATTGACCCGGCAACAATCACCGTCTGGCCAGAGGCTCTACGATGCGTGACCAAAATCGGAGCGCAAAACCCACAGTTTGCCGTGAGCATCAAGCGGGTAAGCTGGTGCGTGCCTTCCTGTGTTTGAAGAACCCATTGACACGTGCAAACAGATGATGAAAGATCAGCGAGCCAACGAGATGCGTTGGTATTCCGAGAGACAGAACCTTAAGCATGTGCACGCCAACCGAGCTGCTGAGACTGCCAAAGCAGAGTCTATTCTCAAGTCCTTGAACCAGAACTCTTACGAGCCTTTGCCTGAGCTCGAAACGCCAGAGGAGAAGAAGGAACGGGAGCTCGCTGAATTCGATCGAAAGATCTACGCTGCGCAGGAGACCATGGCGGCCGCTATGACAGCGGAATTGAAGAGTCTGGGCGTCCCCTTCTTTGGGGCGAGCGAGTCCTTGATCGTGCCTGATGACCGAGACCTGTCGGAGAGCAAGCTGCCAGATGGTCATCCCAAGTATAGTCCGCTTGTGACCAGAAGCGAGTTGATGGCATTGCAAGGAAAGATGGTGGATCTCCTTGAGGACTTGTATCGCGATTAGTGGCGTATGGCGCACGATGACTTCCCTTGCAAGGCGAGCTTGTTCAGGCCTTGCCCATATGATCGGTAGCACGTCGAGCGCGCTGTCAGCTGCCAAAAGTGAGTAGGTAGCCGCCCCAGGTGGCAGTAGCAGTCTAAGCATATGAAAGTATGGGCTCTGGTGCTACTCATTCACCTTACTCCCACGTGCTCAATGCACACTGGAGGCACAAAAGACGGTCCAAATCCATTCGCAACCTGATCATCTTGTTCAACATCCCAAAGCACAACAACTACGGAACAGGTCCACGCAGGACCAGCGCAGCCAACGGGTATCTGCCACAACTACCTCACGCTCCTTCGGTTCGACGGCACGCGCTCTTGTGTCTCCGCAGCGACAGGACCTTCAAGCCGCAGCTTGGTAGTCGGCATCGTTGCTCATCGGCTTCGAAGGGCAGGTTGGGCCCGGTCTCGTCGCGGCGCGGTCAGTGAAACCCTCGGGCGGACGGTTGTAGCGATCTGGACACTGGACTCGTCAGGTCAGTTGAGCCGCTCCCCAGGCTCCAGAGGTCTATCAGGGTGGTCAGCATTGGTAGGTCGACATCCAGACATACCTTTACAACCATCTCTGAGGCCCATTCGCTCCACGAAATCACCACTGACCAGGACTAGGGACAATCAAGCAAACTTTCCGCATTAAATAACTCGTCTTCATAGCGAAGTCTTTGAGGGCTGTGAAGGTGAAAGGTTGATTGAGAGTAAGGTACGTGAGCTAGCGACCAATCCACTTCCGCTTCACCTTTCATAACGCGATCTCCACCACAACGAACATCACTCGATGCGTTGGACGAGTCTGAACACATGCTCACGGCCATTTAGTGCTCTACGCCATTACTTCGATTCATCACCACATTCGTTCCGCTTCGACGCCGGCCTCAAGACTACCCACTGCAAACCGCAGGCCTTCCTTCACTCGCTCTCTCACGCAAACGCGCCGAACGCCACCGCCATGGGGTGCGTCCGTCGCGTCTTCGCCGTGCTTTCGGTCTTCCTAAGCGCCACAGTCATCCACGTCAAAGCCTCCGACATTTCTGGCGTGCAGCCATCTGACGCTCACCTGATGGTAGATGGCATTGCAACAGAAGTGGTCAGCGTTGCACAGGCCCTCACGATCACCGTCAGTGCTGGAGCCACCCTTACCCCGGAGCCGATCGCTTCTGCGCAGACCTTGATCGATACTGTCAGCATTGATCTCGGTCACGGAACCACTTTGTCACTCGATCCGGGCGTGACTATCGACCCCGTGCCCGAGGCCACCGCACCATCGCAACAAGGCTTAGTCGTGGTCACAGTTCTTCAAACAGTGACTCGTACGGCTCACTCAGGCAACGAAGCGCAGCCTACTGAGCGGCGAGAGAAGCGGTTCACACAATGCTGGAATGGCAGCGCATGGCCATGCGGCGTGCCAACGACCACTTACACCGACACCTACCCGCCTTGGGTCTTTATATTGCATGGAGAGACTATCAGCACCATCTACCATACAACCACAACAAATGGTGTCGTATGGGTAGCCTCGATGTTCGTGAACGAAGACACCGAGGTACATCACCCTGCAACCACTATCACCGGCACGCGGTACTCTTATTACAAGCGTGATCTGGCATCTGCATCTACCAGCGCTTCCTCTACTACTACCACAACTGCCTACATCAGCACTGTAGTCATCACCATACCGGAGCCGTCTTCCAGCACTCAGCCAACCTCCATCAACTTCTTCAACGGCACTATCTCAACCCCGGCCTCTTCTGAGGCATCAGCCAACACTACTTCCGTCCCTTACATATCGGATGCGACAAGTACTTTCCTGCCTTCATCATTCTCCAGCGAAGCCGGTGCCTCCTACTTCACCAAAATCAACCCAATCGCAACCGTCATCCAAGAGATCTGCAAAATCAACGGTACTTGCTACCCTCTCTACAACACTTCCGCCGTGACTGCCAACCCGAACTTCACTATTCCGCTCACTGCTTTCTCAGCCAACCTGACAACCACAGCCTTCACTTTCGTCAGCCCGACAGCGACTACGACCTCGAAGTCAACCTCGGCATTAACTTCGAGTACTTTGGGGCCATCGACAACTCGGAACTTGGGAGGGGAGCAGAATGGAGGAGCGGCTGGAAACAGCGCTTGCGCTTTTCTGACTGGGTTGATGGTTCTTGCTGCTATTTTGTGAGAAAAGGACGAATGAGCGTTGCATATGTATTTGACCGGGCAGTTCTTGCTGCATTCAGACTGTAGCTGCTTAGTCTAGCAGTGAAGCGGGCCGATAGTAGGCTCAATCAAAAGTAAATGAAATTTATTAGAAGCTCACTGTGGTCTCGCATTCGTGCCAATATCCCCTCCTTCTGCAATTTTGAGTGCTCTGTAATGCTGTCGTATGTTCTGACGAACTGGTCAGATTTGGAGTACTAGCGGCGGAGATGAAGAGGTCGAGCTCCGTCGCTCTGCAAATTGAAGGGGCCCATGGCTCTACACATCTTCAAAGGATCATGGCGAAAATTGTAGCTGCGACAAAAGTAGGCAAGAGACCTGAAAGACAGAGATATCCTCAGTTCTGATCTCGGCTCTCTGTCTCTATCGGACTGGCTGCGTCACTGGGGTATAGAACTGAAGCTGAGTAGCGACAAAGTCATACCATTGAGGAACTCTATCAGCCAAGATGTCACGACCCTGCTCAGCTGTTTTCCCTGCCAACGGGTATGCAAAAGACCAGGAAATGGTGAAAGATCGGAAGTCACGGATTCTACTGCCTGCAGCTCTTATTCTGATCTCGTCATCTAGACAAGATCCATAGGAGGGGAAAACTGTACGGATTGCGAATTCTGCTTCCTGGAGACATGATTGCTGTGCCGCACTTCTGCAAGTTCTCCCACCCGAGCTCTTTATCGTTAACGTCTTCCAGCCCATTCTCAACCCGGCACGGCACCATATCCTTCCCGCCACCTCGTCCACCATGGCTTCACAGTCGCCCAGGCCAGTAGCCCCACAGTTGCAATCAGGAAGATCCAGACCACCAGCTGATCCTTGACACTATCTCGTTGGAAGCACGTCGTGAGGACATTCTCTTCCGTCGCTCCGGCACATATCGGTAAATTGTATGATAGACAGAATTGCTTGTTGCAATCTGCACATGTACGGCCGTGAACCTTGTTTTCGGAGCCGTTGGTGGGCAGAATGTCGCGGGCCTCGAGGGCTAGGGGATCAGGTTCGGCATCTCGAAGAGTGAGTCGCGTGGGGTTCGTGCCAGTATCTGGTTCAGTGGGCTTATCGGATGAAGGGGGAGCATCGAGTGGGATGATGGTGCTATTTGTGAAGCAGGTGCATTTGCAGAAGGATGTCGGTGCTGGTAGTCCGTCAGCCGGGTGGAGGTGCGCTGGAATGGGTCGGAAAAGGCTCACAGGCTGCGAGGGAGAGTGAGAGGAAGGAGAGGAAGAGCAGCATGTACTGCCACACGGGTCGTTGTCGCGTCATCGTTCAAGCATACTTGTTCGTGATGGATGTCTCGAGAGGTGGAGCTGTGAGGTTCATGGTTCGTCTGGACGTTCACATGCTGCGCGGCAAGCTCCGTAGCGCCAAGCAGGGATGAAGTTACATTTTCGGACCTTTTCTGAGCTATCCACTTCCTTTCTGCATCTGCACGCCAATATGCGCCGGTGACACCATGAGTCCCGAAGACCGCACTCGACTTCACATCACGCCCTTCAATCCCTCCATACTTGATCGCTTTGTCCCGGATGCTCTCAAGCCCGTTGCGACAAACATTTCGTTCCACGCAGTAGAAACCTTTCCCGAGCGGGGCTTCGGCTACGTAGAGTTGCCTAACAGCGAAGCACAGAAGCTGAGAAAGAAACTGAACGGAACTATGTTGAAGGGCACAAAAATTAAGATTGAGGAGGCCAAGCCGGAGAAAAAGCGCAAAAGCAGAGAAGAGGCTGCCCCAGATGGAGACGACGGGAAAGCGAGGAAGAAGGCCAAGAAAGAAAAGACGAAGCGCAAAGTCGGTGAGCTTGTTGTTGAAGGACATGAGCTGCCTGAGGGACGCCATGTGAAGAGAGGCTGGGCCGAGGACAAGGCGAAGTCGAAGAAGGGCACCAAGAACGACGACAGCATCAAGGATAAGAAGATGAAATTCAAGACTGTTGTGCCACCGAACAAGGTTGAAGTGGAGAGGGAGAGTGGCAAGAAAAGCAGAACGAAAGAGAAGAAGGAGAAGGAAGCGCAAAAGTCTGGACGTAAAGAGGTAGTGGTTACCGAGGGCAAAAAGACAAGCAGGCCTGCTGCTGGTGGAAAGGCGAGATCAGGAGAACTGAAATACGAAGATGGCAGAGGCTGGGTCAACGATGAGGGTGAAGTCGTAGAGGCGGAGACAGAGAAGCAAAAGAAGAAGCGAGAGCGCAAGGCTGCGAAAGAGGCTGCAAAACCGGCTGTCCTTGAACCTGAGCTACAAGAGCAACAAGACTCTGTACTTGAAGACGCACCCGAGCTGGATTCCGAGCCAGACGACGAAGGCAGCATCGAACTAGCACACGCCAGTCTTCCGACACGAGAAGCCTGGTCAGGCGATGAGGACAGTGCATCCAGCGCCTCAGTCTCTTCAGCTTCTGAATCAGTCACATCGTCCGAGTCAGACGACGACACAGAAGCCAACCTCGACGCACAACTCGTACAAGCTCGCAACAATTCTGCCTCGAACAAAAACACGCAGACACCCGAAGCTATTTCTCTCCCAGTCGGCTCAGTACAAGAGAAGGAAGTCCACCCGCTCGAAGCCCTCTTCAAGCGTCCCGCTCCATCAACAGCAGATGTCTCCCCGAGACCAAAGCCCACGCCTATCGACACCTCATTCAGCTTCTTCGATGCGCAAGGTGGCGAAACGGACGAAGACGACGTCGGCGCTGTCGCGGAACTCCGCATCCCGCAAACCCCACGTACCAAAGAAGATCTCGAGTGGCGAGGGCAGAGATCCGCCGCACCAACACCTGATACCGCTGCGATAGGCAAGAGATTCGATTTCCGCTTCACGCAGGATGAGGATGAGGACGAGGACGAGGACGAAGAAATGGCTGACGCGGACGCCGGTGGCGACGCTTCTCCTCAGGCGAAAGCCGGAGCTGCGAGACCTACAGGTGAGGAGAAGGAAGAAAGTGAGTTTAGGAAATGGTTTTATGAGAATCGCGGGGCGCTGAATCGAGGATGGAAGAGGAGGCGGAAGGATGAAAGGAAGAGTCTGAGACAGAGGGAGAATAGGAGGATCGGGAGGAGGGTGGCCTAGTGGAGCCTCCTGTCTCCTGGCCGGAAGCGATATAGATGTGGCGACAATGCTGTTCATGAGCCGGAACGTGTTCAGGTCGCTTTTGTTGCACAGAAATGCGTCATGAGAGAAATGTATATTTTGATACTGCCAGCCATGTCCATGCAATCGCATGCTGTACACAAGATCGAGATGCTCAGCGAAATATACACGCAGAAGCAAAACTTCAACAAGGAGAATCGGAAGAGCGTTAAGTGTGAACATGATATTAGTTGCTGTACTATATGTACACCACTGTCCGTCGATGAGGTTCCTCCATATAGTCAACCCTCGAGCATGAAATCGTCCTCAAGAAGACTCTTGCTCGCCACGAAGCTGAACCCGCCAAAGGGGTCGTTCTCAGCGGCAATGTACGAATCATTGGCCATATCCTCGAATCTCTGGTTGCGAGACACGACAGGACTGAGAGGCAAGTCTGTGAAATCGGCTGCAAAGTTCTCCGCGAGCTCAGGATCGGTGATGACGGGCTGAATAGGCTAGAAATTGTGTTAGCACGTCCTTACTGGGACCTGTTGATAGGAGAATGAAGACTTACAGGCTCCATTTCGCGACGCTCGAGCTTCTTCCAATCAATCTTTTTGAAGAAGCGATGCGCTTTCAACTCTTTAATGCCCTTCACGGTCGTGCCACCAAGGCGCTTGTGTGGTTCCTTTCGTAGCAGCCGAGTCAGAATATCCTTCGCATCAGGACCAAGATAGTATGGAAGCTGCAGCTTCTGCTTGAGGATATTCTGCTGGATCTTGGCGTGGTTGTTACCACCGAATGGGGGCTGGCCAGTAAGTAGATCGCATCCTATTGCACCAAGACCCCACCAATCGACCGAAAAGTCGTAGGGCTTGCCCTCGATGACCTCCGGCGCCATGTAGTCGATCGTGCCGAGGATGCTGTTCGCGCGCTCGTCTTCTTCGGCAGAGACTTTCGAAAGACCGAAATCAGTAAGGAGCAGATGGCCTTCCGAATCGAGCAGGCAGTTCTCTGGCTTGAGATCGCGGTAGATGACGCGAACATTTTGGTGCAGGTGCTCAAGAGCGAGGACCATCTCTGCCATGTAGAATGCTGCTGTATCTGCGGTGAACATGCCTTCCATTGCCAGGTGCGTGAAAAGCTCGCCGCCCTGAGCGTATTCGAGGATCAGGTAAAGCTTCTCCTGGTCCTGGAAAGCATAGTACAACTTCACCACGAATGGGTGGCGGTTGACAGACTCCAGAATGTTGCGCTCGGTGCGGGTTTGCTCGATGAGACGCTTATGGACCGTAAGACTAGCCTTCTTAAACTGCTTCTGAGCGTACAGCTTGCCTGTGCATTGCTGCTTGACCAGATGGACAGTACCGAAAGCACCCTTGCCAAGACATCGCACAGGCTCGAAGTCCTCAGCATGCATCTTGCGATGAATGGAGTCAGTCCTCAAACCACCCTCAATAGCCTGCGATGCAAATATCGGAGTTTGGGAGCCGGCAAGTGGGCTGATGAAGTCATTGTCGAGGGGAACATCGTATGTCTCCATCTCGGTCCTGTCGCCGTCGCTACCGGCCGATGAGGCCGTGGCAGTTGTCATCGAAGCATTTGACATGACACGAGCCAGACTTGGTCTCCTGCTGTCCAGGTTGAGTGCGTCGAGACGCTCGCGAAGACAACTGATACCGCCCTGGGGAGTTGCCGGGCGCAGCGCAGGGCTCAGTGCACCAATACGAGGCGTGGTGGCCCTCGAGAAGTCTGATTCCTCGCCATCGGTAGTCACTGGAGTCTCGAAACCTTTGATCACGTTGACTGCTGGTGCTGCTGGCAGCATGCCTCTCTTCTTCGCCTTTTGGCGCTGCTTCTTAGCCTTCTTCCGAAGGGCCTCATGATCGAGTTTCGGGACGGGGAGGCTCTGTTCGACTGGCAAGTCTCGAGCTGTCATGCGCGGAGTGCCGATTGGCATAGGAGGAGAGCGTTGAATGCCCAGATCGGCATAGCTGGGCTCAATGTCCATGGCTGGCATTTTTACAATCCAGGTTCGGCGCGTGGTATGCAGAGCAGTCGTGTATTCAGAAGGCCCCTCTCAGCGACCGATCGACAGCTTTCGCAGCGGTCCTATGTAGACTCCGTTTATGCAGATTGCATATGGCAGTCGGCGGTGACTATTGTTTGCCTAATCGTCTACGGCACTTTCGAGTTTTGTTCGGGCTCTTCACCGAGCCTCTTCGTCCTTTTCGCCCAGCTTCAGGAGTACCCTTACACTGGGCCTCGTACACCTAGCCAGTCCAGCGCCGCAAAGCTGGAATCAGTGCGCGAGAGTCCTGCAACGCCGCCTGGAAGAACTGCGACGATTGCGCCGGAGAAGACAGAGAACGTGGTAGCGGGAGGAGCGGAGTAGCCCATCGACGGTAGCGGAAATGTGTCGGAGTGTTTGCTGGAGTCGTCAGGTGCTCTGACGACGTGTGTAGTGTGTGGTGAATAAGTCGCGTTGAGAATATCTTTGCAGGTCAGGAGCGAGACACGATGATTTCGGACGTTGGTTCACCAGCCATCGAACAGCGCACGTGCCGACGGTAATTTTAGCCCAGCCTAAACCGACCCAAGGCGCCGCAAGCAGCCAAAAGTTGGCACGGTCCACCACGTCTCACAGTGCGATGATTCCACGATGTCTGATAAGTTGGAGCAGCTGCTTTCGCTGGCCGGGAGGCTCAGAACAGGGTAGCCAGACTGGAGCTTCCAGTCACTTTTACTTTCACATCTAGCGAACGGCCGGTGTCCGGTTCAAGCACATGCAAGCTGATCCGGTAAGACTATTCAACAGGAGCGAACTTTATGCACGCCTTCGAGACTTTCATGACTATGGGAGGATAGCATGAAGTCACGTCTATGTGTCCCAGTCTCAAAGACCGCCCAGTCGCGCAGACTGCCAACGCGACGGTCTGTCGCAGTGTGCAAAGCAAAGTCACGTTCAACGTCGGCTACAATTCGTGGTAGATTATCTCCTCTGAAACTCCGCCCTCCATTGGGTACGCTATGGCACGAGGGGGCGACAAGTCATACTCCTGGTCGTCAGCTCATTGACAGTAGTGCCGCGAACCAAAGATGTTCATGCTCGTAGAACATACTGGCGCACACGTCGTGGCTTTCGTGAGGTGAGCCGAACCACAACGCGCGTCTCTCATGGCAGGAAAGAGTCCTTGATCGAGATCCTGGCAGAAGAGATCACACGATTGTCGGCACGCGATTCCAGCAGTGCTAAGGCGCCTGCCTGATCAATTGCCTGCCAGGTCCAGTTGCTCGAAGGTCACTGTCTCAAAGAGATCGCGTTTGTTCATCCCAGGTCTGCCGCCACGCCCATATGCGAGCATTCAACGTATTATAGACACACAAGTGAGTGCCAAACTTGCTGCTACACGTGGCGCAGATTCCGTCAGGTGAGAGATGAACGACGTGGACAAGTGAGTGTTGAGGACGACGGTGTGGGGAGGGAGGAGGAGGAGGCACGCGTTCGCACGGGAGCATCCGCCGCTGCCAAGATCTTCGAATTCTTTGACTTGATTTCAAGTGGGCTGTCGTAGCGATTGCCTCCGCCGCGACCACACGACCTGTGAGACTTCTGACTCACCCGCGCACCGACGACCCAATAGGCAAGGGCCGCCCTCACATCTATCATCGACATCAGCAGCATTCACGATGTCGCGATTCTTCCACGGCCAAGACAGCTCGAGCGAGAGCAGCTCCGACGAGGAGGAGTTGTACAGCGAGGAGGAGGAAGCAGAGGAGGAGAGCTCTGAGGAAAGCTCCGAAGAAGAGGATGACGATGACTCGAGCAGTGATGATGAGGGTGGAAAGACCGGTGCCAACCGTTTCTTGCGCGAAGTGTCATCCGAGGACGAGGAAAGCGATGAGGACAAAGTCACGATTGTCAAGTCTGCGAAAGACAAGCGCTTCGATGAACTGGAGGGTACAATCCGCTTGATTGAGAACGGCGAGAAGATCAGCGACTGGAATGCGATTAACGAGAACTACGACAAAATGAACCGACAACTGCCAACGCTCATTCGTGATCTGGATGGCAAGGCACCAAAGATGTACATCAAAACAATTGCGGAGCTGGAGACCCTGGTGGCCGAGACATTCGAGAAGCAAAAGGTCACACCCGGCAAGAAGATGAACCCCATCGCGCAAAAGGGCCTGAACGCGCTGCGCCAGAAGATCAAGAAGAACAACCGTGATTACGCTACCGAGATCGAGACTTTCAGGAAGGATCCAGATGATTTCATGAAGGAGGATGTGGTAGAAGACACCAAGGCACCAAAGCCAAAGAAGGCCAAGTCTCCACTGGTCAGCAACGCCGATGCGATTGATGCTGGCGATGACGGCTTCACCATGGTCGGCGCTGGTGGCAAGGCCATGGTATACACCCCTGAGAGCATTCTCAAGCACTTGCGCTCGATTGTCGAGTCTCGTGGCAGGAAGAACACAGATCGTCTGGAGCAGATCCGCATCATGGAGAAGCTCTTGGATGTGGCGGTCAACGATTACCAGCGAATCCGTGTGCTTCTTACGCTGATTGCAACCCGATTCGATTTGACTTCAGGTACTGGCTCTCAGATGGCACAAGAGCAGTGGAAGCTGGCGTCGCAAGAAATTGCCCAGCTTTTGGCTGTTTTGGAGAAGAACACGGCTATTGTGGTTGTAGAGAACGCGGAGGAGTGGGAGGATGACGAAAAGCTGCCCACGATTACCGCCGACGAGATTTTCAAGACTCCGGGCAGCGTGACTTCTTTCGTCGAGCGCCTTGACGACGAGCTTACCCGCGTCCTACAGCACGTTGACCCTCACACCTCTGAATACGTCGAGCGACTGCAAGATGAGGGCATTCTCTACTCGAACATTGTCCGCGCTTCCATCTATGCCGAGCGTTTGCGATCGACTCCAAAACTGGAAGCATCGCAAGAGAATGTCAACAGAGTCGTCATGCGCCGCCTCGAACACGTCTACTTCAAGCCTTCTCAAGTCGTTACCATTCTCGAAGAGAACAGCTGGAAGTCAATCTCGCCTAGCCTTGACTCTACCATCACTCCGCGTGCCCAGAGCACTGACATCACCAATCTTGTCCAGACTCTGGCCGGCTACCTCTTCAAACATGCCGAAGGCATTATCAAGGGACGAGCCATGCTGTGCCAGATCTACCACCTTGCCCTTCACGACCACTACTACCGCGCTCGCGATATGATGCTCATGTCGCATCTCCAGGAGACCATTGGAAGCTTCGATGTCAACACCCAGATTCTATACAACCGAACTCTCACCCAAGTCGGTCTCTGCGCTTTCCGTGCTGGACTTGTGTATGAGTGCCAGACGTGTCTGCAGGATATTTGTGGTAGCCAGAGGCAGAAGGAACTTCTTGCACAGGGTCTTCAACTACAACGCTACTCACAGATCACGCCCGAGCAAGAGCGTTTGGAGCGGCAGAGACAGCTACCTTTCCACATGCACATCAACTTGGAGCTTCTGGAGTGTGTGTACCTGACCTGCTCTATGCTTCTGGAAATCCCGACTCTTGCACAGTCAGGGTCATCACCAGACCTCAAGAAGCGTGTCATCTCGAAGTCTTACCGACGCATGCTAGAATACCATGAACGCCAGATTTTCACCGGACCCCCAGAGAACACTCGTGACCACGTCATGCAGGCTTCGAAGGCCCTTGCAGCTGGTGAGTGGAAGAAGGCCGCCGAATTTATCACGAGCATCAAGATCTGGGATCTTCTGCCGCAAGCGGCCGAGATCAAGACAATGCTCGAGGGCCAAATACAAGAGGAAGGCCTCCGGACTTACCTCTTCACCTACGCCCCATTCTACGACACGCTGTCCATCCAAAACTTGGCAGAGATGTTCGACCTCGAGTCACGAAAGGTTGCTGCTATCGTGAGCAAGATGATCCACCACGAGGACCTTGCTGCTGCTCTCGACCAAGTCAACAGCGCCATCATCTTCCGCAAGGGCGTGGAGCTCAGCCGACTACAGAGCCTGTCGCTCACACTCGCAGACAAGGCACAGCACCTCATCGAGTCGAACGAGCGGGTATTGGAGCAGCGGACACAAGGCACATCGAACGCATTCGAGAGACAGCCTCAGCGTGGCGGACGCGGTGGCCGGGGTGGTCGTGGAGGTGGCGGACGTGGTCGTGGCGGTCTTCCACGTGGCGGAGGCGGTTCTGGATTCACGGGAGGCGCACTTGGTAATGCCATCAGGGCTCAGTAAAACTCATGCGCCTCACGCGTGTTGGCGTTCTTTGTGGCAGGCTATAGGCGGCATCGGATGATGAGCATGATGGAAGCCATGATAGACGCTCATGCTTCACGTATGCATGCATTGAAATGAAAGTTTTAGCGACGTCACCTGTGTTCAAAAATTCAATGTTTTGGCTCATCAAATGTGTCATCTCATTCTACAGCCGTTGTCCTATGGCTTGACTCGAAGACCTTCGCAACGATGTATGCTTATGCCTCAGCGCGAGCATCATGTTTGAATTCCTGGATATATCGTCGCAACACAATAGCAACAGATCCCAGACGGCGAGGCACGGGGCTCAGCGATGGGGATGGAGCGAATACATATCTTGGTAGAGTGCATGAATGTTCGTCGTCTCCACAGCACCCTCCCGTATGGCGATTTTGTTGACCGATTGTTGCCCGTGGATGTTTGTTCGCAATGCTTTTCCACTTTTTCTCATGTAATAGCGTACGCTATGCCTGTATTTCACAGCAACTAATCTTGGAGTATTCCAATTTTCGTTTTGCAACATGGCGGTGAGTGACTGATCCAGCGCATTGAACCACAATCTATGACAGCGCATCAACAAGAAAATTCTTCGTTGTCAATAGAGCAATCAACAATAAAATTCGGGCGGCCTGTACAAATCTGTGAGGGGGAGAACTCCTACGTTGGGAGCTTATATGTTATCTTCTACCCAGCGTGTGCAAAAGCCGTGTATCCTCGCCCTGCGACCGAGTGCGATAATGGAGGGGTTGCGTTTCTACCACTTCGCTCCGACTGCTGCTGCTCGAGCTGCTCCTTGTTCATGTTGCGCGTTATGCACAGTCTCTACATGTGAGATCTTTCCTTTGCCAGCCTCGCAATGCTGATTCTATTCAACCGCCCTCTTCGCAGCTCCCATACACGACCGCTTAGTATCCGACCTTGATCAGGTAATCTCCAAGCTGTTCGACAGTGTTGGCAGCGGAACCGGGCTGGACAGTCTCTGGGTAGTGTGTGACGAGGATGGCTTGTGTGGTCTTGACGAGGACAACACCTTCGCGTCCCTGTGTATTTCAAGTCAGCTCAGTGTCCTATTTCCGGTCTCCTTCGTCCTTCGGAGCTTCCGCCGTCCGTCCGTCCGAAGCACCATGTTGTTCTGAATGGAAACGTATTATCCACAACTCACCTTCTTGCCATATATACTCCTGTCATCAGCCTTGATCACCACGAAGCGCTCTCCCGCAATGTGCAGACCTTCGCTCTGGACCTTCTTCACGCCTTGCTCGTCGCCCTTGTCCTTGTATGCCGCTACGACTGCTTGCATCTCCTCAGGCTTGACTGTGAAGCCAGCGGATGTCGCCCAGACACTGTTGCCCTCGCTGTTGAAGATGGCGGCTCGGTCGACATTGCCGGTAGCGACGAGGCTGGGGAATTTGAGTCAGTATGATTATACTCGCGGGAGGTATGACGGGCGGAGAGTAATACCTGGTATCGACGTATGCTGTGCACGCACGAGTCAGTATTGGAACTATGCTATGCGCATGGGGAGTAGATTGTCGAGATCGCAGCGTGCGTGAACGACTCGAGAGGTCGACTTACCTTGCCAGGACATGGTGGGCGGTGGTGTGATGTGTTTAGGTGTTCTGAAGGGACAGACGAGGGGAGAAGGAGGGTGATGAGGATGCGATTACTTTGCTGCCTTCGGGGCGATGTGGCGCAAGAAAAGGGTCTCTGTGACGTGCGAGGATGCAAAGAGGTACAACGCTGTTTTGGAGGGGTCGAGTGTGAGTAGTGGTGGTGCAGCAGAATTGTTGTATCGCGAGTTTCGAAAACACACAAACACCGCCTTTCGATCAACCGTCGGAGACTTTGACTCTTTGCTCCCATCATCGGAATCGCGGGGCAAACTCGGCATTCACGTGATAGCGCTTGCCCCACCGCCCACATCCCTTCGTACGACGACATCTTCACCAGTAGGGAAAGGGTACATGTTTGCTTTTGTGAGCTAACCGCGACGTACAGAGCAAGACAGTAAACATTCGAGCTGAGAGAAGACGAATAATTTGGAAATAGGTCTGCTGAATATTGAATAATACCACTTCTCCACGATATCTCGCGGCGTTTTCGTGAGAAGCCTTCCACGGCAGTGCCATAGCGGCAAAAGATAGTAGCTACAATGAGGGCAAAGCGCCAGCCTGCTGGCGTAGCTTTCCATTCGCTTCATGCTTGGTGCCTATTCGTTCAAGCCTGTGCTATTGGGGTGTTCATCTATATCAGCGTCAAGACCAGCATAAACTGGGCTCGTGCCAAGATAGATCTCGTTCTGGCATGAGACTGGATCACGAAACTACCTCTTTTGCCTCCAACGAGCGACTTTCGAAAGCCTGGGCTGCGAGCCAGCATTATACTACTGTATTGTGCTTGAATTGGCGATTCAGCTCAAAGTATCGATGTATCGCGAGTACACTTTCGATGTCGACCGCGCCAATGCGAGCGTTCCGCATCAGGTAAGTGCTCGGTGATGACCTTCTCGCGACTACGAAGTTGTGTGGTGGGACGACCCCAGATCTAGAGACATCGCCTGTGCAGCATCCGCACTCACTTTCGCAGCCGTCGAAGCTCAGCTCCTTTCGGCAGCACCGAAAAGGTTTGGTGAGATCAATGAGTGTTCGGGGCCAGTCTGACACAAATTTTGTCTATACCTCTTCCACACACTGCGCGCTTTTCTCATCGACGCGCCCCCTTACTAGCGTTAGCTCGTGGCTTTTCTCAGAACATCGGCCGCGCACATTGCCATATCACTCTTTCTTCCCAATAGCGCCAGAGCATCAACACACCACTGCAGCCGCCTCCTGGATTCTGACGGCACCTCGACACAAATCTCGCCTTTGCTGCCCTCTGCCTTGACACGTTTCGCCAGTATCGCCCCGGCGAAACCAAACGCTCGGATGAGAACCACTGTCCAAGGTTCTGTGAGCAGAGCTGCTTCATTCACCGCGTGATGGAAGTCGGGAGACTGTGCAAATGCGGTAGGCTCACTGGTATGCCGGGCGTGGAACCCCAAGTCAGAGATTTCAACAACAGCGTGTTGCCTTATCGAGGCGCTGAGATTCATGGATTGCCGGAGCTCGGTATTGCATGACATTGTCATCCCCGCATGTGTCAGAGTCTCGATGAGGTCCGCGAATATCAGAACAGCGAGGTTCCAATGTGCCGCTAAAAGCGTGTACCAAGACTGGATTCGGACCGGGAGAGTTTCGTGGTGTTTGATGCAATCGCTGATGAACAAGCCATAACTGGCAGACCAATGATTGTACACCTCAAGCACAGACTCCAGACCCCTCTCCACTTCCTCTGGGTTCGCCTCCTGGTAGAAGAGGCCTTGAAGATGTCCGACGCGACGGTACAGAAGCACCTTTACTGGCGCGGCATCTGCCAAACATGCAGCAGCATCGATATAGGAGCATGGCCAGCGAGTTGACTGTTTTCGAAGATCTCCAATATGTGACTGTTCGCGCATGAAGAAGCTTCCCCATAGATTGGTGTCATCCATTAGCTGCGCAGCCATCTCGTCCTGAGAGTCAGAGAATACATGGGATGGTGGCTGAACGGGTTGTAAGTTCTCGCGACTGATCCGTGTCTCTGCATCATCAATCGTGAACGATCTCTTGTTCATGACTGCGGAAAGAGAGTCGAACATGACTGCCATCCAGTAAAGCAGATTGAACGTCTCCTGTTCCTCAGTAGACAAGTGGGTTGGTGCTTTCCGTGCTGCGTGCGCCACGAACTTTGCTTGCCGCAAATGTCGTCTGTGATCGTGTAGCTTTCGCAGCGCAGCGTCCAAGGACAGTGTCGGCCCGTCGATGTCGAGCAAATTGAAGAGTGCTGAGAGTTTGTCTTCAGCACTTTCTGTGCTTGAATTGATTCCAACGGTCTCAACAGGTCGCTGAGTCAGGGCAAAGATGATTCCAGCGAATATGACTTTGAAAGACATGTTCTCGGAGGCTTCGTTCAGGGCTGCTTTTGCCTTATGCCACAGTGTTTTCTGGACATTGCGACCAAAATTTGCTGTCGGTGCTGGACCAGGGACATTGCCATTTCCATTCCCATTTTGTTCGCTGATCTCTTCGAACAGCTGGTCAGGCGAGAACGGTCCAGGCTGCTTTGCAGGCTTGTGCCGCTCCGGTCGGCTCCATTGAGCAGCGAAAGCCATTACGACAGCGTTCAGAACTTTCGACGCTTGTCTCTGATCTCGGGCTGATAGGACACCCGCTGCAGCATATGTATCGTCCAAGGCAGCAGTTCTGGCGAAGATTCTGTTGGCCCATGACCGACTCCATACGTTCTGATCCCGAAACGAAGAAATGCTATAAGGACAGTTCCTTTCGGTGAGCCAGCAGCTCAACGCGCCTTCGAACGAATCGTGGTACACTTTCAACAACCCTGATTTGACCTGCACTCGATTGAAATCCTCCGAAAGAAAATGCGACGCGAAAGGTGATTGAGGTCGTACAAACCCCTTTGCGAAGCTCCAGGAAGGAGTCTCGAATGTGAGGTCCGTGTTTGACGTGAGCTCGGTTGTGGAATCCAGCTCCTCCACCGTATCTGCTCTTCTTCTCTTTTGTCCAACCTTCGTCGCATCTCGGACGACGCCAGGGAAGTGCCAATCTCTGGAGGACGTGACCGATTGTGCCTCATTTCTGTCATCATCGGCCAAGTAGGATTCGGACGCAACGCTGAACGAGTCGCGAGGCTTGCTCCGCTGCGGCATGTTGCCATCTGAGAACAATGCTGACGGTACCGGGCTGATGTTGGGGTAGCCTGAAATCTCATCGAGCTCCATGACTTGGGAAGCTGTCCCGGCAAACGGCCACTGATATGGCATGCCCACATTATGCTGTACGGGAAATGGCTTGGGCGGTAAATGCGTCGACGCATTACGCATGCTGCCAGTCGAAGCGGTCCATGAGGGTTGTCGCGACGCAGTGGAGACGCTTGGAGGTACACCGCTTACATCCACTCCGAATGAAGAGTCCGAAGCCTGTGAAGGAGGGCCTTTGCCCATCCATGGGTTGGACGGAGGGATAGAGAGAAAAACGCCTTCATCTTGATCAGCCGGTGACAGGCGGCTTTGTCCATCCTGGTGCGTTCGTTGACGACGATCTTCGCGCGACTTTAGCCATTCAATGGTACATTCCTTCTTCCACTTCTTGCAGTTTGAGCAGGCCGAAAAAGTGGAAAGATCTCGCGTATCAGGCTGCACGTCGCATCGTCGCTTGCCCGTGCGACACTGATCGCAACTCCGGTTCTGCCGTCTTTTGGGCTTGCCAGCTAGGTGAGAGCCATCGGTAGAGGACATGTCAGCTGCGCGAAGAGGCCTACGGAGTCTCCATCAAGTTCGCTCGGAAACGGGCCATCGATTGTGGTCGGTGAGACGGATAGTCGAAAGTGCACGAGCTGATTCTCGCCCGCAACTGCGACGCGGGCGGCGCCAGCTCTTTGACCGGGGCCCATGTCGGGTGGCATCGAGACAGACCTGTGTGGACGTAGGGAGATCCTGGAGAGGCACGGAAGTGTGAGATGTCAACGAGCGGGGCAGCGCCAAGACGACGTTCTCGAAAGCCCTCCGAAATGGCCTGGTTGTGAACTTCACACTTGTTGCGGTGACGATCTCCATGAAAAGAGCATCGGCGCTGTGGATAACCCTGTCAGGTGGTTTCGCCAGGGTCACAGCGATCGGATATGTGTTTGGCGTGACTCCAGAACCCTTCCGTCGGCATCTCGCGAGGTTGACACGACTAGGGCAATGGTGACCGCGCATGCCTCACACAGCACAGCCCTCTTTCCTGTCATGGTCATTGCGCGGGGAACGACGTGGAGGCGCGAGGCATCTCGGAGCTGACCACGACGTTCTCCAAGCAATGCCAGCCTGGAATTGCCAGGGAGAGTGAGACGGGATGCCGACCCGACTCTGCCCCTGGTGGATTTACGCATAAGGTTGGTGCTCATGCATATTGCTGGCTACACATCATTCTCGGTTGGAAGCGCGACGTGATGAGCGGTGACATCTGCCCTGAGTATCGAAGTCTCGAACAGACTCGTTGGAGAGTCATGTCCGACGGAGAGCAGGACACTCTGATGACACGCGTCAGCAAACTAATCTGACTCCAGGCGGTACAAGTGGACTTTCGCCCAATTGAAGACGGGATCCAGACAGGGCGCTTGCTCTGAAGTTATCCAAACCGTGCCGCGTTCTGCCGCTTGGGCAAAGCCTCAGACATTACGACTTTCCTTATAGGCCGCAAGCTAGAAGACACAACAGTCGGCCCCTACTCACGGCGCGGAGTCGTTAGGATCGGGCGGGAATGCCGCCCTCTCGCAGACTGCTACAGCTCTTGCTCACAGGATCAGTCAGCCAAGAGAGCGTCGTGGCTGAAATTGATCTTCTGCGAAGCAACGACTGCTCATTTGAGACAATTTGAGAGGCTCTATGGGCTCATTTTGGCCGTCCTGCCATTCTCCGATTTGAAGCTTGTAGCTGCTAATGCAGCCCAATTCGAACCAGTTTCCGGAACGGGAGACTGGAAGGCACACTCTATCACGTCTGTCTTGCCTCAAACCACGGCATGCTTTGCTCCACTAAGTATCAGCGGAAAGTTCATTATGACCTTCGACGCGGAGGCCAGCAATTGCTCGGGCTCTGGGTGTTGCACATCGCGCAGGTGGTAATCGCACAGTATGATTGCGAGCTCTGCTCTCGTCAGGATCTACGTGTGAACTCACACAATGAAGAGTAGTAAAGCAAGCCTGCTCCCAAGCTGAACAGTCTAGGCAAAGCTCAAGATGGCATCAAAGGCGAAGATGCACCGTGACCCAGGCTTTAAACGGGAAAAAGTTTGTGCAAAGCTCTTGGACCAGACAACACGTCACATCCGACTCCTACGCCTCCTGCCATAAGGTCTGACCGGAAAGTCGCTTCGACATATCGCTGCGTGCAATCTGAACGAAGTGTCGGCATACCGATCAAGCCATACATTCAGTGACTAGCCACGTCGGTCATTCCGATTGTCGACCGATGTTGGACGCTGGCCTGAGACATGTCATACCGCACTTTGTCAAGTCGGAACTGCCTGAGTCGCGCCTCTGAGTCTGACACGATTTGCTTTCCATCAGGGTGACGTAGGGACAAACAGTGTTCAGGAACAGAGGCTTAGGGCTTGCTGACAAGGTCTGAGAGCTTCCTTGCCAACATGCTTCGTATTGGGACGTTCGAAGTAATCGTTGACGAAAAGCTAAAGTCCATCGAAGGCCGGAGCAATGCGACCAAGCATCAGACTCTCCACTGATGACTCCATAGCTTTTCACAAGAGATAGCACTGGTACCGAGACAATGGACTTTTGAGTTGCCCCAATTGGTGCGCGGTGCTGTCATGAAGGACTACCACAAAGCTGCAATCAACGCTTTCGTACTATAAGTTTGTCTATCACAGCATTCGAATAACCTTCAGGAGATCTGCTGTAACGCCCATGGCAGTTACATCGCCTCCAGCGCCAGCGCCTTGGATGATGAGAGGGTTGCTGCCGTAGCGTTTTGTGTAGAAATTGATGATGTTATCGCTGCCCTTAAGAGCAGCGATCGGGTGTGAAGCATCGAACTTCTCCAGCCCGACTTTGACCTGCTTGGATGGCACGTCGATACTCCCCACGAATCGAATGACTTTGCCCTCCTTGGTGGCCTCGTCCTTGATCTGATCCATCTGCGCATCGAATTCTGGTAGCTCCTGCAAGAACTCGTCTCCGGAGCTGGCGGATTCGAGCTCTTTTGGGATGAGTGATTGCACAGGGAAGGATGTCGGTGACTCAACAGGCAGACCAGCAATACGGGCCAGGATTGTGAGCTTCCGAGCGACATCGAGGCCGTTGAGATCGTCTCGTGGGTCAGGCTCTGTGTAACCAAGCTCTTTAGCCCTCTTCACCTCAGCAGCGAACTTGCCGCCTCCTCCACCAAGTGGCTGGAAAGAGTTAAACAAGAATGACATTGTGCCCGAGAACACACCCTGCGACCTCGTTAGATTCATCCTTCAATCAAATGCAGACCGTATTACCTCAATCTTTGTCACCTCATCACCAGTATCGACCAGCTCTCGCAGACTGCTCAGCACAGGCAGACCAGCGCCTACGGTTGACTCGTGGAAGACATAGCCGTTGGTCGGTGAGCCCGTTCCGTTGGCAGCGCTCTTGAAGATGCTGTCCCACAGTTCATATTTGTCGCTGAAAGCCTTCTTGTTTGGTGTCACAACGCTGATGCCCCTCTGCAGAACCATAGGATACAAGCTGGCGAGACCGACATCGCTCGTGTTGTCTATGAGCACAACCTTGCCAGGAGCTCGTGCTAATTGCCCAAAGGTCTCGTTGAACGTTGGTGGAGGTGTTCCCTTGCTATCCAAGTCATTGGCGACTGTCTGAATGTTCAAGTGTGAAAAGTCCTGCGAGAAGAGCTGTTTGTTGCTGCGGCGGGCCAGGATGAGTCGGAGGTCAATCGGCGGATTTTGGGTTGCCAGGCGCTGGCGGAGGAAGTCGAGCTGGGACAGGAAGGCCTTACCCACGCCACCGAGGCCGATTACAGCGATATAGACTTGCTTGGCCATTTTGGAGAGTGAGAGTCGTGAAATGCGGGTGAGGAGAAATATTGCCAATGGCTCTCGAATTTGTGACGAGCAGGCGGGGCAGGTCAAAGCAAGCACGAGGGGCACCATGCAAGGGTCCTGCCGCAATCGGATCGCGGAAGATCGGCGCTAGTAGGAATGTCGCATGCGCGTGCCTTCTCGTCTGGCAACTCTCACTTGCATCCTTGACCATCGCATATCTTTGCCATGGAGTCGCACAAGGACGGCCACCTCTACAACCAGGACAAGCGACGTAATTTGTCCAAAGGAAAGGCCATTTCCTCATCTTCAACACTCTCCTTCACTTCTCAACTCAGCTCTCTCATCAACACCAGCAGCAGCTCTTCCAAACCTTCATCCGGGCGTTCTAAACCGAAGAAGGAAGACATCTTCGCTACTCACAACCGGAATTCGGCGAAACGGGCAAAACGGGATCTCGAGCCAGACACCTCATCTACATTCGAGCAAAAACATACCACAGATGGCGAGACCTTGGACAAAGGCGTGTGGGAGCGAAGCAAGCGCAAGATGGAGGAGAAGGCGCGACTTTATGCTGCAATGAAACGGGGCGATATCGAAGATGCAGACGAGCGTTACGCCGTTGACTTCGATGCTAAGTGGGCTGAGAGTCGTGGAAAAGACAAGGAGAGTGATTCCGACGACGACGGCGCTGATGACGATGATCAGGAGGAGGTGGAGTATGTTGACGAGTTTGGCAGAACGCGGAAGGGGACTAAGATTGATGCTCTACGCGCCAAACAACAGCAGCGACGAGCCGAAGAGGGCCCTGGGATCCTTCCTGCTGCTCCCTCCCGCGTTATTCGAGGTGATGCTATTCAGCATAAGGCGTTCGACCTTGATGAACCAAGGGCAGCACAGATGGCTGAGCTGGCGAAGAAGAGAGATAAGAGCTTGACACCTCCGCCTGATGAGCACTTCGATGGCAACAAGGAAGTCAGGACTAAGGGTACAGGCTTCTTCCAGTTCTCAGCCGATGCTGAAGAACGAAAGAAACAGATGGAGAATCTTGAGAACGAACGCGCTGAGACTGAGAGGAGAAGGAAGGAGCGCGATAGCAAGATGGCAGAGCGGAGAGCGCAGATCGAAGCCAGACGACAGGAAGTCCAGCAGAGAAATGCTAAGAGGAAGGCTGACGAATTCCTCGAAGAACTCAGCGGGCAGATGGATGCTGCCAACGATAACGCCCGGTCCACCAAGCCTTCCGACAATGAAGGAGTCGTCAGTAAAACCCCACCCGGTATGATCGACCGCATTGAAATTGCCATCAGCAAGGAGGAAAAAGACGATGATGGCTGAATTCGACCAGAATGTCCACGCAATAGAAGATTACTCAAGACGTAGTGGCTGAGGTGAAACATTGTTGAGATACTACTGTCGCTGGCGGTATAGATCCGGCTTCTATGGTGCTGATACGGTCATCATCTCCCCGGATATCACAGCGATCAGGACCGACAGGACAGGGAAGAGTAGACAGCGGCTAATCCTATGCTGGATGCATTGAAGCAACGCCACGAACCGATCAAGAACCTACGCTGGAGCCTGTCAACCCATGCAATCTTTTCAAATGCTTGTATCTTTCTGCTTGATCAGGAATGTCTGGCCTTCGTGTCAAAGATGTCGCGGCGATGCCATCACACGGGACGGACGAGGCGCAGTTGTTGGGAGTGGCTCAAATATGCCTCAGGCCAACCGTGAAATGCATTGCAACTTCAAAGCTGTGCCTGTGCTTCGACGTCCGGCCTAATAACACCGGCTTGACACTTTCTTGGAAAGTCGTCATGATGCATGCCGCGCCCGACTAAACTAGGTCCATCACAAAATATGCCTGGACGATTGCTGTCGACCAGGGTGACGAAAAACAACAATGCCTGTCTGCGAAACTCACGCCCCATCACCGCGAATCGTGATGAAGGAGTGTTTGATTGGCTTTCCACCACCCCAATAAGTGCACACCTGTGCGATGATCTCGTGCAATGGGGCTATGGAGCAGTATTGCGCGCGGCATGTCGCACGTTGATGCGTACGCATCTGAGCGGTAAGAAAATGCCAGTATAAGAGAGGCAACGCCTCCCGGCCGGAAGCTACACAACGCACCCATCACCCAAAGAAACTCCATCATGAAGCTCTCACTACTCCCATCGATCTCTAGCGTTCTGTCGCTTGCTTCGGCGCAGTCTCTTGTTGAGGTCCTATCATCGCAGCCGCAACTGAGCTCTCTCCTAGCTGCCCTGCAAGAGTTCCCAGATCTGGTCGATACAGTCTCCCGAACAAGCAACATCACCGTGCTCGCTCCTGCCAACTTCGCACTTGCAGCATTTCTCGAGACCGACGAAGGAGCCAGATTCTCTGCAGATCCCGAGTACGCGAGAGCGTTTCTGTCTTACCATGTCCTGCAGGGCACATACAACTCGACCTATTTCAACGGGGTACAACCTTCTACACGCGGAGCCGAATTCTTCCCGACGCTTCTTCAACCTGGTCCGTATTGCAACGTGACTGGCGGACAGACTGTTGAAGCCACTGCTGGTACTTTTGAGGTCGAAGACCTTACCAACGTTACATTCTTCAGTGGATTTGTGCTTGACTCCAATTGGGCAGATGAAAGTTTGCTGGTAAGCCTATCGTGCGAAGACCTACAAGCTGCAATTCTGACAATTTCCAGGACCTAGAATTCGACGGCGGCCTCATCCACGGCATCAACCCACCTCTGACGCTGCCACCGAATGTCTCGACCAACCTTGTCGCAGCGCAGCGCGAATCACTTCTAGGTGCCATTCAACGTGTTGGACTCCTCGAATCACTCGAATCGTCAAAGGACCTTCTACTCTTCGCACCAACAAACCAAGGCTTTCAGAACATTGGCTCAGAGATTGACAATCTGTCTGACGACGACCTTCGAGAGATTCTCCTCTACCACGTTGCCATAACCAATGGCACTCTTTACGGCACAGGCCTCACAGACGGTCTTCGCTTGCCTACTCTGAACGGCAATGAGCTCGTAAGTCATCAGGATGCCTAGCGATGATTTCAAAAATGCTTACTCGCGTGATAGACCATCACAGTACAGAACGGTCCTGGTTTCGAGAACGTAGGCGTCGTCTCAGAAGATTTCTTCGTCTTCGTCAATGGCGTTCGAATCATAAATTTTAACCTACCAATTGAGAATGGAGTGGTATTCGGCGTGGACAAGTAAGCTTCCATTTTCCCTTCTAATGTGAAATGTAGATCGCCACTAACACCGTTTACTCTTCTCAGCGTCCTCAACCCATTCAACACAACCGCTCGCCCCCCTCAAAGCGCCACAGTTGGTCAACGCCAATTCCGCGAAGCGCGCGCTGGAACTGTCTTCCCTTACACTGAGGGCATCAGGACAACAGACAGCCCGATTTTCTCGGCTACCAATGTGGCTGGCACTACACCTCCACCAAATACTCCTACGCCTTTGATTGAGACCATGACTGGTACTGGATTGGTTGGTACTGGATTTGGCAACGGTACCAGGCCGAACATCACGGCTGCGGCGACTCCGGCGCAGTATACCGGTGGCGTGCCGCCTATGATCACGAAAGCGCCTGTGTTGGGTGCCATCGCAGCCGGCGCGTTATTTGCAGGATTGTAGATGAGTGGATCATGGATCGTGACGAGAGGATGAGTCAACATCGGTCGAGCCTTCGCGGGAGAAAATATAGAACGTAGAGAAGTAGTAATGAGAGCATGAATGAAAATCGATGTTGATGTGTTACAGGTTCATTTCGAGCTATGCATGTAGGAGTCTTCTACGTTTCTACTTATATCCTTACATCAGTTCGCAAAACAGACTATCGAAGGCTAATAGATCATGAAGAAGCACAGCAAACTCCGTTGTTCCTCTTTGGCTGGCAAGGGGAAGAAGTCTCTTGTCGTCGAAGAGGTGATCCAGGACCGTGCGATGATGGCCTGGGCAGATGGCGATGAGTCTGAGGTCGGAATTTGGCTTGAGTTGTACGCGCGAGTGGAGTCCAGCGACGCCATGCTGGATAGTCGCGCGTAAATGTGGTCGTGAGAGAATGGTAGAATGAGAGGAACAGGTGCGGGCTGGTCCGGCGTTGCCTGTGTGGTTTGGGGTATCGTGGTGGAGGAATGATGAGGTCGTCTCACATCGCGTTGTGCGACGGAGGGAAGGAGAGAGTTTGTTGATGGCCTCTCTCGGTGAGTGTGCAGTGGAAGTATGACTGGTTGACTGCACGGTTGACTATGGTATGTTGTTAGTGTGGTCGCTCGAGGCAGGAGCGATCAGGGTGTCGGACATACCAGAACGTCGCGATCGATTTAGACGACCTTTGGCAGACGTCGCCATGGGACACGACGACCTTGCTTCAACAGCTTGTGGTAGTTGAATGGACCGGCCTTGTTGTTCTGCACTGGCAGACGGAGTCCAATCCAGAAAGCAGCAAAAGCCGTGGTGGTGGCGTACAGGGCAGCGCCCTTGTACAAGAGATTGTTGCCTGCGACCGTGGAGAACATGATTGTGGTATGCAGTCGTTCAAGTGTCGGTCGAAGAAGAGATGTCGTTCGATATGTAGTAATCGCAAAAGCGTGGGGTGTTAGAGTTGAGAGGAGAGTTTTACACAAAGAGCTTGACTGATTGGGAACAATGGGAGAGGAAGAGGTACGAAGTCACAAGTACTTGTATATGTACTCCAAGGCAGGAGGTCACGAGTTGGCAGCTGCGAGCGCGTGCTTCATCATCTGAGAGAAAGGGCCATCGTTTACCCCGCGTTGGCGAGACCAGTAGCACCACGCCGGACTCAAAGACAACACGCCATTCCGCCAATGAGAACAAAGGAGCGCGGCGGGAGGCAAGGAAGCGCTTCCCCATCCGTGCTTTGGTCTCGTTTTACCCCAGACTCTGGACGGCGATCCGCTCTCCACGTTCTTTGCGGAGCTGCTAGGCGAGGCTTCTCTTATCATCGAGCCTCGACAGGATGGAGGGCCAGATCCAAGCCAGCAGAGATGTTCGTAGAGGCCGTTCTCCAGCGCGAACTCGTCTTCGCAGACCTCTTCGAACCAGGACGGCTGCAAGATAAAATGCCTCACGCCACTTCTGGCATGATTTGTATCACTGGCACGCAATTGGGCAGAAACCACGCATACATACCTGGGAAACGTGATGACGTGAGCTCGTCTGCCCGTTTCGTTTCAGCTCCTCGGGGACCGCGCCACGACTCGTACCACGGTCCGCAAGGAGAAGGATCATCGCTCCCTCCAAGCGCCTTTCACATGACAGCTGCACCTCGAGGTGGAAACGATTGTGCCAGCCTGCTGTGCCTGGCAAGGAAGGTCATGCAGCTTCATCTACATTCTCCTTTTGCCTGCGTATCGAGCGACGTTGCCGTGGTAGCACTCGCATCTCTTCTCCCGTCGACTGCTGGAGATTTGCCGAGCGAGCAGGCAGCCGTGACCGCTGATTACTGAGACAGCTCGCGCGCGGCAATACGACTGCGAATGTTCGGTGAGAGAACTTCGCTATTTGCGGATGCTGGACCGACAGGGAGCGCCCTGGCAAGTGGGTGTGGCATGACGGGATCTCGCACATTGATGGGTACTCCTTCGATCGCTGGGTTACAAGTGAACGCACAACTCATTTGGCCATGATATCCACTTCATGAATTCCACTCACGAGCTCGGCGACTTTACCTGACCCGCTTGAAGGGTTCTGCTGATCATACAATGCATCGCACCGTGCTGCATATCCGATTACAACCGCGCCCGGTCAAAGGTCTTGGCGACTTCTGGGGCATCTCGTTTCGACCATTCCTTCATGACCTTCCGTTGGATCTTACCAGACAATAACTTAGGCTGCGACACGTTAGCAGGAGTATATCAAACCAGGTCCATGGTCACCTACGATCTCGTCGACAAACTGCACACCACCCACGAGCGCCTTGTGCTTCGCTACTCGTGGCTTGAACCAGCTCTGTATATCCTTCGGTGTGACCTTTGCCTTCTTCGCCTCCTCGGTCAGGACGACATACGCCCGTGGCCACTCCTCGTCATGGATTGTGATGCCCACGACAGCCGTGTCAGCCACGTGCTCGCAGTCGAGCAACAAGCCTTCCAGCTCTGCTGGTGCTACTTGAAGAGCATTGACCTTGATCAGCTCTTTCTTCCGATCCACGATCCAGATGAGGCCTTCTTTGTTGATCACAGCTACATCACCTGTTCGCAGCCAGCCGTCGCCTATGGTTTCTTGCGTAGCCTTTTCGTTGCGCCAATATCCTAGCATGACGTTCGGGGCTTGCATGAGAATCTCGCCGGGCGAGCCGAAGTCGACATCTTTCTCGTTGTCATCCACGAGTCTCATTTTGTGGTTTGGAAGCAGCTTTCCCACGGTGCCACTGTCGCTAGGCTCGTGCTGTATTATGGAGCCGCATGTCACTTCTGTCCTGTTCGCACAAGAAAGTTCATCGGTCAGCAAAGCCCCCTGTCGCTGTCACTGATGCTGTCGCTGTCACTTACATTCCCCAGCCTTGCTTGACTGTGCAATTTAGCTTGCTCGCAATCTCGTTCTGTAGATCCTTTCCTAGTGGTGCGCCTCCGCAAAGCACACTTTGCACGGATTTGAGATTATACTTGGATGTTTCCGGTCGCTTCGCCATCATGACCAACACCGGAGGCGCTACCTGCAGATGCGTGACTTTGTTGTCCTGAATTGCTCGAAGGTAGTCCTCGTAGACAAATTGCCTCATAAGGTAGATCGGGACGGAGAATTTGCAGGCCATCATGACAGCGTACATCTGCCCATATGCATGGTAGAGCGGCAGAAAGCCGAGCCATCGCTCTTGCACTTTTCCACCATTGTTGTAGTCGACGTGTGGCCATATCACACGCGCAGTCTGCTCCACGTTGGAGATGAGTGCGTGATGTCCAATCATGACACCCTTGGGCAGCCCTGTGGTGCCGGAACTGAAATTTATGGTCGCGACTGTGTTTACTGACTCTTCTGGTGTCATTTCTTTCCATCGGAAGTTCTGAGCCTCCTTTTCTGACCCAAGCAAATGCCGCCAATCTTTCACGCCATCGACTTCTTGCAGCTCCGCCTCGTCATCTGTGAATTGGTATATCCTTGGGTTCGTCCCGGCCTTTTTCGCAGCTTCCATATCGTTCCTTACGAGCGAAGGGTGCGCGAATACGACTTTCGCTTCGGTGAGCTTCATCTGGTGCACAATCTCATCGACGGTATAGATCGGGTTGATCGCGCTGAAAGACCGGCCGCCTCCGACTATGCCCAAGTATGCTGCGGGCACGAGCATGTTATTCGGAGTGTGTATCAGGCATACTTCGCCCTTCTTCAAGCCTAAGCTGTCGAGACCAATGATCACTCTCTTGATCCATTGCAACATCTGTCGAGGACTGAGGTTCTTATTCGGGTTGCCGGCGTCGAACCATACTGGCTCATCGGCAGGCTCTTGGCCCTTTGGGAAGAGGTAGCTCAGGACATTGACCTGAATCAGGACGTTAGCGGTAGCTCTGGAAGCTCATAAATGCTGCGTGCCTTTGGAATGTCCAGATCAGCTATGGGCGAGGTGTGGATCATCTTGTCTTCTGCGAGAGGATGTCTTGTTGATCCCTACTTCCAATGTCTTCAAGCTCGCTCATAAAGAGATCCGGGACGGCCAAGGCAAAAAGTAAGCACTATCTCGCTGGCTTCTCTTGATGTTTACTCATATGAAATCGCTCTTCCCGATGCTCATCAAGACGATGTTGGTGAATGCCAGAACATCGTGGAGAGCAATCTACCACGCGATGTGCATTACGGCACCGAACAAGGTTGCGGATCATGACAACCTCGGGCATGGCAATGTCTGGAGGTGCTGCTGCAGCAGCTTCTGCCGTGGCAGGTCGCGTTATGGCATTAGCGGCTGTCGAGCTACCGCGATATGCGGAGGAAAGCGAAGGTGTGGAGAAATGACGAACGGCATTTACGGCAAACCGCCGTCGGCTCTCCCGCCGAACCCTGAGGCTTATGCAACTTTGTGCTCCCTCGGATATCGACACGCGGAGTGGAGATGGCCATCAGCCTGACTCGATGCGGTAGAGTTGTGTTGGTGAAGATGTCCGTCTTCTGGATGATGAGTGTTGGCAGCAAGACCAAACAGATTTGAGACACCCGAGCTCACAATGTCAGACATCAGTATTGACGGCTTCTTCTCGCTCGATGGCAAGGTTGCGATAGTGACTGGAGGTTAGTGCGATGTCGAGATGCATTGGCCTCAGCATGCATCAAACTGACATTGCGTTCAGGGTCACGAGGGCTCGGACTACATACAGCAACTGCCTTCCTCTTGGCTGGAGCAAAGACTGTCTTCATCAGTGCCCGCAAAGCTGGTGGCGAGCAAGGAATCGACCAGGCAGTCGATAAGCTGAATAAGCTATGCTCAAGCAAAAATCTCAAGGGCCGAGCCATAGGACTTCCAGCCAACGTTGCACAAGAAGAAGACATTAAGCGTCTTGTCAAAGAAGTGCAGAAGCATGAGTCGAAGCTCGATATCCTGGTAGCCAACGCAGGCGCGACCTGGGGCGGACCTTTCGAACCGACTCCAGACTGGTCGAGCCAGAAAATTCTGGACCTCAATGTTCGAGGTGTATTCAACCTCGCCCGTTTATTCGCTCCGATGCTCGCAGCAGCGGGCAAACCAGAAGACCCTTCACGCATCGTGATTATGTCCTCAGTAGCCGGAACGAATGTCTCTCATGTTGGAGATAACGGAACTATCATGTACTCCGCTTCCAAAGCTGCAGCTCACCACCTTGGGCGGAATATGGCAGTCGAGCTGGGTCCTAGGAACATAACAGTCAACACTGTAGCGCCAGGCTTCTTCCCCTCGAAACTAGCAAGCGGCTTGATCGAAATTCTCGGTGGTGAAGAGGAGCTTTCGAGATCGAATCCAAGGAAGCGCCTAGGAGAGCCAAGCGATATTGCTGGAGTCATGTTGTTTCTTTGCTCAAAAGCAGCCAACTATGTCAACGGCGAGTATATAAGTGTTGATGGCGGAGCAAGACTGGGCTCCGGTCGTTTGACGAAGCTATAAACCTCTAGCAGCAAGAAAGGAATCTGATCCCACTAAATCTCACTGTCTTAGTTCGACAAAAGGCACTCGTCAGTTATTCCAACAGTTTCTTCACAAAAAGCGTCTGCAGGTGCACCGCAGAGAAATCAACCTCCTATTGCGGATCTCCATGTGTTGGGTGAGGATCGCAGCAAGTGAACTCACTGCTCAGCCGCAGCTGAGGATCGAGGGCAGTAGTTTGTGAATTGAAGCAAGACGATGCGGATATCATTTGTGTCACACAATCCTCTGAGTCGACATGATTTGCACCGGAGCCCTGGAAACAGGACCATCATGCTCCAGACATTGAGGACGTCGAGGAAGCAGAAACCTGCCCTCAAGCCATGATGATCAATCCCAGCTCGCTACGCTCAGAGCCTCGCTTGTGTTTTCTTTGCACGCCCGCAGCTGAGGCAGCTCTTTGTAGGGCTTTGCCCCGCTGAAAATATATGTTACACTGCATGCGCCACGCCGCTCCCATGTGCATTCACATCTGTAGAGGACTTGCTCGGCGTGCTTGGAGGTGGGTTGAATACGTTGGCAAGTATCTTCATTACTGAGCTACAGCCCAGCAGGCGAACGCTCCTAAGCTCTTCCCACCCTCGATTCGCGTCTTAGCATTCCGAGGTTCTTATCGCTATGGCTTCGCTAGATCAGTCAAATGGAGAATCGGAGCAACGATCGCGTACAATGAGAGCAGCTCAATGGAACCCAGTACTATCCTCTAGTACTTCATAAGCCCTGCTGTTGCTCACAAAATCACAGGACGAGGAGAAAGTCGTCGTTCGTGACGTACCAATTCCACGACCGGGCCCAAGCCAATTTCTCATCAAGATGGCCTCCGCCTCGCTTTGTCATTCCGATGTAATGATGATCGAAGCTGGACACTCTTTCACGCTCGGCCACGAAGGTGCCGGCTACATCGAAGAAGTCCACGAGTCTGTGGCCGACATTGGATTCAACAAAGGGGATCCTGTGGGGTTTCTGTATACCGATGGGTGCTGCTATCAATGTGAAGGGTGTCAATTGTTTCCATTGTAAGTTCAAAGGAAGAGACAGTGTGTTCATGGTGTTTAATATGATGCAGACACTGCTTTAAAGGCAAGCAGAAATTGCATGGATACAGTACGGACGGGTTCTTTGCCGAGTATGCTGTCGTCGATGCGCAGAATTGCGTTCGATTGCCTGAGTCGATCGATGTAAAGACTGCTTCGCCATATTTCTGTGCTGGACTAGTAAGCAATGCTTCTTCTTGACTTTTTGTATGACCTCACTGACTTTGACAGACCGCCTTCCACTCGGTTGACAGCTGCGACTTGACTGAGGGTCAGTGGCTGGCTGTAGTTGGAGCTGGGGGTCTTGGTCAGTTCGCGATACAGATCGGCAAAGCCATGAAGCTCAAAGTGATCACCGTGGACGTCAACGATGAGACTCTTGCTATTTGCAAGGAACTCGGCGCCGACGCTGTCTACAACTCGAGATCGAACGAGGCTTATGTGGAAGAAATCAAGCAGCTGACTCAGGGAGGAGTGCACGCCGCTTGCGTATTTAGCAATGCTGATGCTGTAAGCTTACATCACTCGTGTGAAAGACTCCAGCTAACGATCAAAAGGCGTATTCGAGTGCTCCATCGCTCTTGAAATTTGGAGGGTTGCTAATGGTGGCTGGCATTCCGAAGAGCCCACTCTCTATCAACGCATGGGATCTAGCCGGAGGCAAGCTCAGGATCAAAGGCGAAAGTACCGGCACTGCCCATCGTATGCAGAAAGGCGTGGATTTCTTTGCTGAGCATGGCATCAAACCAGCTATCGAGCATCGCAAGCTGGAAGATCTGAACGATATGATTGATGAGCTCAATGCTGGAAACGCAATGCGGCGTAAGCTGGTATCGTTTTGATGTATTGAGTGGTCTTCGAAAGATGGGTCGAAAACAAAAATGCATTATCATTATACAATATGGCTTTTCTTCGTGTCGTCATTGATCATAGCGTGGAAAGTCCTGTTGAGCCTTCGAATGTGCACCCAGAATAGAATTCGCATCCTTCATGGATCACAGGAGCATCAAGCCTGTTATCATCTTCTTCGCAATCTCAGTGGTGATGTTGCGGCCATCGATATTGCCGATCGAGCGTGCGTGAGGACTCGCAGGAACAATCAGAATGACAATCGTGGTGTCCTGTGTGTCGTCCAAACGATGTAGATAATCCCGTAGCTCGGGGGTGTGGCTTCACAACCTGCTTCACTCAAATGGCAGAGCAATGCGTGGCTGTGTGGCCTTATGTCTGTAGCGATCACAAGGAGTCGCCGAATACTGGCCGTGGATATGACTTGGGACGTTGCTCTGTTACGAGCAGTGGCACGAGAGGCTCGACCACCTCATATGCCCTGGCTTGTTCGAAAAAATGGCTGTCGTTCTGATGAAGGGTCAGAATTTGTGAAGCATTGTTGCGCGCCGACAAGGGCACTGACCACATTTTGAGACGTTTGACTCCTGTGTTGTCTCTTGAACCACTTCAGGAAACCCTTCCGGATGTCGCTTTGGCGTCGATAATGGGAGCCATAGTGCTCGTCGCAGACCTCAGTCACAGTCACAACAGGAGCCGACTTGCTTTTCTTCTGTTTCTTGGCAGACTTTGGTGTAGCAGAAAAATCCATTTTGTAATAGGCCGGCTTCAAAAATCGAGTGCAAAGCCGAGCTCGCGTGAGTTCAAGTCGCAAAAGTGAGAGGGCGATGGAGAGTGAGTATGGTCGCCCTGCCACAGTCGCATTCAACTATACTTATGGAATTGCAGCAGCCGTGGTCGGCCGCGATATATCGCGCGGTTGAACATCGCTGTTCGCAGGTCACGATAGCGAAGAATGTCTGCTGACTTTTCTGCAGAAAATGGCGAGACCCATGGTGCAGAAGACCAGGCGAGAACATTCCTTCGTCCCGACAAGGAGGACGCGAACGATAGACCGGCAGCGAGATCCGCCAAAAAGTGGTACGGATTTGGCAAAAGCGAGCACGTGATTGTGCTATATCGGTCGTTGTGGATCTGGTGGAGAAACTTGTTGACGAGAGAACATTAGTTGTCCGAAAAGCGCTATCTAAAGTTTCGACTTGCTATTCAGCTTGTTCTTCGCCTCGAGCAGTTTCTGATATGCCATTTCTGCAAATGGCTCGCGCTCTTCTGCGTACTGTTTCGCCGAAGCAGAACTGGCTTGTCGTGTGGCATAACGAGCAGCGATGCCTTGAAAGATTATGGAGTCTCTGAACAGGGCGAAAGCGGTTGCCCAAGCAAGATCTTTCTGCGTGATTTCGAAGCCAGTATCTTGTCGATACCATTCAACGCATTCTGCGTGCTCAGGCAGACCCGGCCATTCCTTCCTAGTGCTTTTCGGATCGGAAGGATTCAGGAAAGCTTGGTCTGCGTGTTTCCTCGGCCACGAAGGTGTAGCTTCTGATATTGTCCAGCCTTGAATCAAGTTGGTGAGGTCGGCAAGAGGGTGCCCAATTGTGACCATTTCCCAGTCAAGTATCCCAATGACCCGCGGTTCAGTCTTGTGGAAAACAAGATTGTCAATCTTGAAGTCCCCGTGGAACAACACCCCGCGATCGTACGGCTGATTCTGCTCTTGGCCGAAGAACTCGATGAAGTCGTCAAAATGCGGCAGCTGGCCCACTTCTTCACCCGTCTCCTTGTCTTTCGCCTCAGCTTGCGACTGCGCAAGACTCTTGAATGTCCTAATCTGTCTCTTGTAGAACCCATTCGGTTTCCCGAAATTTTCAAGTCCAATGTCCTTGGGATTGATGCGGTGGAGTTTCGCCAGCGTCCGTATCGCATCTCTCCACATCTCCTGCCGATCGTGCTCATTTACGTCTTCAATGGCGGCATTCTTGATGAAGCGACCATCGAGGAAGCTCATCACATAGAATGGTGTCCCAAGAATGCTGTCATCTTCGCACAGAACATATGCCTTCGGAACCGGGACGTCGGTATCCTGCAGAGCGGCGATGACTTTGTACTCGCGATCAACCCGATGCGCCGTCTTGCTCAGAAGCTTTCCCGGAGGCTTCTTGCGGAGGACGTATCGTTTGCTATCGGCCGCGGTGATCTGGTATGTGGGATTGGACTGTCCGAAACCGAATTGCTTCAAGTCGACGGGAGTCTGGATCTCGGGCACATGCTGGTTGAGGTACTTTTCTAACGCCGCTTGGTCAATTGGTTGTCGGACTGGCCCTGCCATGTTGTATGTGTTCTAGATGAGATGTCGAATACCAACCAGAGGTCACAGAATAGATTCCTGGACTTGTAGATCTATGCATTTACAAAAGCGAGCTCTACTCCACCAGCATCACTGGCAATGCGTGAGAGCCATGGGAGAAGAAGGCCGAGGTCATCCTGAATCGGTCGGCAAAGCGGTGGCCCGAACTCCGACCCTCGCTCGGGTCGAAGGTTTTGTGCCCTAACTCTTCAAGGACCACATCGCGAGCACTCCTCCAAAAGGGCAACATTGCGAGTGCGCTCGAGCCCCAAGTCGTCACCAGTTCTCTGAACAGTGAGCGCAGCCATCGACGACTTGCAACTGCTGGCCGCACTCGAGCCCTAAGGCCCTTCGCAATCATGCGCATCCAGGCACCACGACGAGGATAGCGTGTTCAATTGCCAGTCTTGGAACTGCAAATGCACAAGGTGAGGTCCAGAGTAAGGCCTGTCTACCGCACGATAGTATGGCGGAACATGTCAGGGATCAGCAAAGACCATGTTTGTGGAAGATAATCATTGAACACGATGCGGTCGCTGACCTTTCGTCATTTCCGTTTCATATTCTCCTGACTCGACAGCGAGGTTTGTGAACTGCTTTCCTCCTTCTGAGAACCACATTCGAGCGAGATCATGGGCAGACATGCGCTCATCTTCGGTGCCAGTGGCATTCAAGGCTGGGCTGTCACCAATCAGCTGCTCAATGGCTACCCAGATCCCGAAGCATTCGAGAACATCACGGCTCTGACGCACCGGCCCATTCAAGGACGTACGCTGTGGCCAGAGACCTCCAAACTGCGACTCGTAAGCGGAATTGACTTGCAGAGAGACGACCTTGAGCAACAACTTGTAGCTCAAGTCACCGACATTGCGACCGTGACCACGGTATTTTTCCTCGCCTACACCTTCAATCCGGACCAGGATCAAGAAGTTGCGACCAATCTCAAGATACTCAGCAACGCCATAACAGCGGTCGAAGCGTTGTCAGAGAACTTCGAGTTCGTGGTTCTTGCGACTGGGACCAAGGCATACGGAGTACATCTGATTGACGAATTCCCATTTCGACACCAGGTTCCGTTGACTGAAGAACTTCCATCAATATCGGAGCCGCATCGCAGCAAACTCTTCTATTGCGCGCAGACAGACTGGCTAGCAGAACACAGTCGAGACAAGGCTTGGACATACTGTGAACTACGCCCGGACGTCATCGTTGGCTTCGTGCCAAACGGCAATGCTTACTGCATTGCTCAACTGCTTGCCAAGTTCCTTGCTCTATACAGGGAAGTGAACGGCAAGGGTGCCATATGTCCCTTACCTGGCACACTGGGAAGCTGGGATTGCTTGTCGAATGATTCAGGTCAGGATACCATCGCCAGATTTGCGATTCATGCGGCGTTGCATCCTGAGCAATGTGGTGCTGGACAGGCCTTTAACGTAGCTTCTCATCGCACACCGCTGTCCTGGTCCGAGAGGTGGCCAATACTGTGCAAGTTCTTCGATCTGAAGGGGGCGCCACCTCCAGCTGGAGAGGGCTTCCTGGCCAGCCAATTTCTAGCTGACCATAGAGACGAGTGGGCGAAGCTGGAAGCCAGCCATGGTCTTGTTGGCGCTGAAGAGACAAGGAGTGTTCACATGCTAGGACATGGCATACTGGCGTGCATGAAGTTCGATAGACAATTGAGCTTGGAGAGAATGCACCAAGCATGGGCTCATGGAGGCAAACCCGAGGAGTCGACCACAGAGGAAATATGGTGGACTGCGTTTCGACGCTTCAGAGATGCTAAGATCATTCCATGACTTTTCTCGAACGAATCCCGCGCTCAAAATGCAACTCTCAACTAGATGCACACTATCGCTCATTATCAATGCATTGATGCGACAAAATAGAAGCAAGCTCGCCACCCCAAGTATCGCTAACAGGTTCACCGACCTTAAAAGTATGCAATTTGGAAATGTCTCCGGGCTTCAGCTGAGTGGGATCGCTGGGATTTCCGACGACTCGAGCACAAATTTGATGCCTGCAGCAGTTTTGCGAAAATATTCTTCTCTTGGCTTCTCCAAGTATGGTGAAGGGTATGCAAAAAAGCAGTGAGGCAGGCCGGTGTATTCGTGATACTCATGAAGAACACTAGAGAGGCACATTAGTGAGCACAGCACCCGAGGACACCATCTCCTTACTGGTCGTCGACAAGTAGCTCCTTGAATATTCGAGCGTCATCGCGAAGTGTATCTACTTCGCAGCCGGATAGATATACACACGGTAGCTTCTTCAACAGCCTGGAGTACGACGGGAAGATGAATGGATCAGTCTTGGGAGATCCGTGCAGATCTTTCATCGTGCGTCAGCTCGTTGTGCCATGTCAGCCGAGTTCGTGACATACCGAGCAGAGTCTCCATCGCTGCTCTTGTGTAGACAGAGCGTCCGTTATGTTCGTTGTAGCTCTTGTATTTGCGCTGGATCTCCCCTGGCACTACATCTGGATGAATGGTGAATGGCTGTATAGCAACAACGCCCTGCAGTTGACTCGTCTTGCGATGCGAGATGAGGTTCAGAGCTGTGGCAATGGCTAGTGTAGCTCCAGCAGAGACCCCCATCAGTAGCACCGTCGCCGGCTTTGATCCATACTCGGCTGCGTGACCCACGCACCACTCGGCAGCATCAATGCAGTCTCCGAATCCGGCCGGATAGGGATCATAAGGAGCAAGGCGATAATCGACGCTGACGAACACGAGTCCAGTGTCTTTAGCATATCGGCGCACCAACACATCATCTTCTTCGACAGTTCCAAGTACCAGTCCACCACCATGAATGTAGCAGACTATGGACTGGTTGAGCTTTTGGTTGGGTGGCGTGTAGACTCTGAGTCGCACACCGGTCGAAGTGGTCTCATGGGAGACAGAAACGGACTCATCCGGCGAGGGTAGGCCGTATTTCTTCGTCACGTTGAACAGGTTATGTCTGTATTGCTCCAAGAGATCTTCATAGGTGGGGCCAAGCAGTAGAGGTCGAAAACCAAGCTCGTTTTCAAACTATTGTGCGTGTCGCAATTTCAGCCAAGTTCAAAGAAAGCAGAGCCTGAAATGGCGACTGCAAGCACATACCTCAAGCCATTCCGGCCGGAAAACAGAGTGATCACTCATTAGTATACTTATGTCTCTGGAAACAGGAAACGGCGGGAACGGCCATCGCAGAGGGTGTGAAGATATAGAGCTCAGCTACCCTACCTCCTCGCAACGACGTACTTGCTGCAGCTGTCTGGATGCGAACTACTCTCCGCAGAGGGGTCAGTAGCACGCCACTTCTTGGTACGCCGTATGTAAGTGTCGTACAACATGGTCAGCGGTTAGATCAGGTGAAGTTGAGGTTTGCGACTGGCGTGGAAGGAGGATTGTCAGTTACATGCCTGCCCAGCAAGTTTGCCGATTCTCGGCTCAAGCTTCAGGCGTCCCACTCGACGTCCTCCAACTTCTGCTTCATCCATTACATATTCATTGGACTATCGACATCTTAATTTCGGACTGGAACGTCCGGGACCAGGCACAACAAGGCAAACTTCTGTGCATCATGTGCACTGCCGGCCTAATACTGGTGCACATGGACACACAAAGAACACAATGCCAGTTGCACTGGCACTCAAGACGCCGATGATCTACTACGAAGAGCAGTCTGGTCAAACATCAAGTTCTACATTAGTCTCCATTTGGTTCTGGATCGCTCATCGCGCTGGAGCAAGGTCATATGATCGAGAGCAGCAAAATGTCTCGGGCCGAACACATAACAAGCTTGTGAACGCACCTCCCATCTGCATCGTTGCTCTCACGAACTTCTGCCATTACACGTCGAAAAGCGGCAGATGCCACACGAGAGACGCGACTATGGCGATGATGACTGCCTACTCACCAATGGTTCTCGATTGAGCGATCGAAGGATCCGCCAAGCTCTACCACAATCAGTATGGATTTGCGATCCTGACTTCACTGTGCATCCTATGGCTCAACTTTGGTATTGTGGCTTTACACGATGTGAACGATTGGAGGTCGATGCTTCTGAAGGATTGAACGATCCTTTACAATCCTGGATTGCTTTTTGATCCATCCTGGCGACTGTACCACTCTCCCTCCTTGCAGGATGAAGCGATTGTTGAGTCTTGGGCTGCTTTCTGATCCATCGTGACGTTTGCAGCACCCTCTCATTAAGCACAACTGCGAGACAGTCGCTTGCTTTGGCAACAGTGCAGCGCAAGCCGAATGGCGGTGCGGTATGAGAGTATCTCACCAGAATCCCGCAGCTACGACGCGGGTGCGATGGCCATGGACAGCAGCGGCTCCGACAAGGAGCAGGAGTCAGAAAAGTACGAACCCGTCGAGCCTGGTCGACGAATCCTGACGGCACGGCCATGGCTTTCAACACTTGGCATGCAACTCGCCTCACTACTGTGGCTGGCTCCCATCATCGCTCTGCTCTACTTGAATTTCAAGAACCACGAGATCGGACAGAGTGCATGGTGCCCAGGCGGTGGAAGCTGCAATAATGGCACATACGATGCGAATCCAGGACTGGCAGCCCAAAACGCCCCCAAGTACAGCAAAGAATCGCGCGATCTCCTGGGAAGCCTTCAACTCGTTGCAAAGGCATTGGAGATCTGGTTTGCCTTGATTGCGCTCTGGTTCGTTTACCTGTTCACCATGAGGATGGCCAGCAAGGATCATGGTGTACCGGTCGAATACCTCACGCGCGCATATCGACTCGGCGAATTCTTCGAGATCTTTCGGCCACGCACGTGGACTTCCCTTTCCTCGAAATCAACGACTCGAAATACGAAGCAATCCGCCCTTTTATGGATCTTTGTGAATCACATCAGTGGTAGTGAGCTTGCTTTGTGTACTTATGGGGCCCGCGACTGCCGTTCTCGTGCTTCCCACTCAACAGTGGTTGGAAACGAAGGATTATGTCACTGGACAGCTAAAGGAATTCAACGCTGCAAGTCCGCCTTCAGTGTCTGGGTTTCTGTTGGGCCAGAAGCAACGCTGCTCTGATCAAGATGTGCAAGAGAAGCGCTGGTCCTGTAGATCACCCGGATCTAGCTATCGGCTTGACTATTGGCTTGTGTCGTCAATCTTCGCTGGTAGGGGAATACAATTTAGCGAGGCGCCAATCAGTTTCGCTTCGAACATGACCGACGACCAGAACTATCGCAGCCCGGTACCAGTCTGGGTGCCCAACCGACAGCTACTTTGGGAATTCACCTATGACGAGATGTACTATAAAGCAATGCAAACTGGCACGACGAGCTTGGCAGACCTCAATGACCACTTCTCATTCGACGAACCAATATCAGAGGAGCTATATCAGCGATACAGGGTGTTTGAGAAGGCCATTGAACTTGAAAACACACGTGAAGGGCCCATTCTCGGGCTTGTTGCGAATCAATGGCCTGCTCCAGAGTGGGTACAGGACAATGACGCACCACCAGATGGTGTGAACTGGATCTGGACAACAACTGTGGACGAGAATCGGCAAGTCCGTTGCTATCCAGTGTGGGCGATGCAGAACTCTTCTGGAACCAGCAGTACGAAAACCTCGACTGGGAATCAGTACCGGTATACAACAACTACACGCGGTGCATCCAGGTAGGCTCAGGCTGGGGTCCAAACACCAAGAATGAGAGCTTTACGATAGAGCACCCCCTGATGTCCGCCAATTCTACCAACGATGGGCCGGAAGCTGAGATTAGAGTGTACAGCTCCGACCGCACTGCCTTCCTTTCCAATGGAACCCTGCCATCGGGAATGGATCCAGACTGCCTGCGACCTTTCATCGATGAACCAGTGCCGTTGGGGGTTGAATGCGACTGGGAACAGTTCTTTACTATCGACAACTCATCTATAACGGCCAACATGTCTCGGTTCGCCAATACTGTCGAGCTGCAGCAACGGACCTCAAATTTATCTACATCTGCGATATACGCCATAGACTATATGGTGCGTCGCAACAATACTTTATATGTATACATCCCCTCCAGCTCCGTCAACCAGCTTTCGTTCGCGGAAACCCGCCAACTGCCTCAACTCGGAGCGGCAATTCCTGTGGACCCAGAATGGTTCTTGGCAACATGGGCTGTAGATAGCGGTGGCACGATACCCGTCAACCGCTCAACTGCCCTTATAGGATTGACCTTCAGTCAGGCGCCGGGGATAGAGACTCTTGCGGTAGCTGATACCGGGGACTTCAACATCCTGCAGAGCAAACTCCTACAGAGCTTGCAATATATGCTAACAATGCTTGACTACACGGTCGATCCTGCACCCCAGACTCTTGATAGATCGGCAGAAGAGAACATGGACCATCCGCCCATCATCTTCAAGACTCGGTACTACACCTGGACGTACAGTATGTCTTCACGCACATCGAAATTCGCTGCAGCGATCGCGATCATGGGCATGGTCATCGCCATTGCCACGACGGTTTTCGCCGGAGTAGACACAGAGCATCCGTACCGATCTCTCACAGATATCGTCATCTCTGCCCTCGAGCACATACCTGACCGGTCAAGGGAGTTCAGAGATGGCGAAATGACGAGGCAAGAGGCTGCAAGAGTGAGATACAAGGTAGTCAGCAGCGAGAGCCTCGTGGGAGGCCTGCGATACGAAGGAGTAGATCGTACTGCGAAAGAAGTAGAGTAATGTCTTATAATTGTAATCATCGTAACGGTCATATTTATGAATCGTGCTCGTTACTCTCTAAACAACATCGTCGACTTCTCTGCAAGCCCTCATCATTATATCAATCAAATCATTGTATCATCGTTGAAAATCGTACTTTATCATCATCATCGTGTTTGTGCGTGAAAGATGCCTTCGAATTGCTCCTCTTGAACCCTCCTTCGCTCGCGTCGGTGTAGCAACAGAACCACGAGACCCATAACGACGAGGAGGATGGGTATGCCAAGACCGAGACCAATACCCAGACCAAGTTCTGTTGCGCGATCGAATTGAGACATCGAAACTGGCGTGAAGACGAACGGTTCCGACGCGGCCGTAGCATCGGGTGAGGATTCGATGATGCTTGGGTTAACCATCGTGGTCATGCCCGACGATTCTGCTGCACTTGCAGACATCTCGGTTGCAGTCGTCTCTGCAGCTGCTGAGGTCATGTCCGATTCTGTTGCCTCTGTCGTGGTGCTCGCGGCTTCCATGGTCACGCTCGATGGCTCCTCGGTAGTCATGCTGGCCGATTCTTCGGTGGTCGTGCTGGGGGCTGTTTCTGAGGCCATGGCTGCTGCTGTCGTTGCTGCTGTGCTTTCCTCTGCTGCCGATGTCTCAGCTCCGCTGGTCGCAGAAGGCGTAGCATCATCAGACGCCGAAGGTACAGCTGCTGGTGCTGCCGCGGCTCCAGCTGCCGCTACAGTGAAGACTGGGCTGCTTGCCACACATTGCTCGCACTCGTTTGGAAGATCACTCTTCTGCAGCCTGAAGTAGACCTCAGGACTGAACTGGTTGGCCTCCGACTCTGCACCTGGAGCCATCCACGGATACGAGTTCGTGGTAGGAGGCAGGTTCTCTGATAGACAATCAGTTGCAGCCCAGAAATTCTGAATGATCGATACCAACCTCCGAGGATGTCGACCGTGTAGCTACCATCGTCGGCACTTGGGCCTCGCCACAACTGCAATGTTGTCAAGGGCCATGGCGATGTCCAGCTGACGTTGACCTGCGATCCCGCCTCCAAGGTGTTCACAACGCCTATAGGCGTGATGAATCCCAATTGGGCTGCTTGTAGCACGACCAGGGCTGCCATCGTAACTCTTGCACACGCGTCACGCGCGTACTCCTCAAATTGTTCGGACGGGCAATCTCGGTGCTCACAAGCTTGAGTCCTTACGAACTGTTGACCAGCAACGTACAACTCACGCACGACAACGCAGAAGAGGAACAAGAAGCGCAAAAAGCCCAGGAAGCGTGCATCCCGCGCGGTACTTACTATACCATCTTCCTCATCGCTCTCGCCAGTGCCTTTACCACCGCATCCGCGGTATTTGGCGTTGTGGCACCTACGGCCAATGCGCATGAAAGCGGGCATGTGAGGTACTGGACGAATTGGGAGCTCGGTGGAAGCTGCGCGGACGAACTCTAAAGTCGACGCAAAGCCAGAATGTGGGTCTGGACAGCAGCCACATGAGAGAGCTCAGATAATTTTTGACCGAGGCTTCCATACAGAGCATGAGCACGAAGCCACAGCATCAAATTCTTGTTGGCATAAGGTTAAATCGAAGGTTCCTGCTCAGGTGCCGTCTGGAGAAATCCGGAGCAGGACTTCACGTCGCCTCTTCTCCGCACTTGACCGCCCGACTTGGCTGACTGTGTGCGTGTCCTTTGGGAAATGGGCCGAGCAACGAGCGGCGAGCAGACGGCACCTCCGCTTTGCACGCGGCACACGACTGTCGATACAGCGCCACATGTCAATGAGAAGACAGCGGATCAAGCTCCTCGGCTCAGCAGCTGGGTACGAGCATCAGATAGAGATACCAAGACGCGTCCCACGTCGCTGAGTCGTTCGCGGTCCATGGCTGTCTTTTCATCAGGTGCTGTAATAATGAAAAGGATGAATCATGATTGTTCTTCGAAATTGCGCCAAGATGATCTGATCTTCAGTTGCAAGTCGCTCGTGCGCCTTCGCAACGCTCTCATGAAGGCTTGCTGACGGAGGAGATCCTGCACGAGCGACACGGAAGAGCAGAGTAGAGCAGAGCAGAGCAGCTCGTAGCTCGGAGCCGAAAATTATAAGAGAAGTTGTCGATCCTGTGGAGTGGGCAGATGAGGAACTGATGGAGAGAACAGCCGAAGCTCGAAGCCTGTGCCTCCTGCCTCAGGCGGTAACGGCATCACGTTGTTCCTGTCCGGTGGCACTCGGCTGAGGGACGACGACACGACACGACAGTGTCGACTGATCCGCGTTTGCCATGGCACTTGGACCGCCATGCTCTCTTGTAGAAACACAGCTTACGCTTCGCAGCTCAGAGGTAATGTAGACCTAATCACTATCTTCTCAGAAGCACCTGCATCACAATGTCAACCAATACAACTCTGGAGCACCCAGCTCTGGCACGAATCCCCGCATGGGTACAAGAGAAGCTCTCCCCCAAAGCCGTAGACATCATCCAGCGCGTTCACGACTGGGTTGAGAATGAGTGTATACCCGCCGAGCCCATTGTCAAGGCTCAGCTCAAGCAGTATGGCAATTGGAAAACTCCACCGCTTATCACAGAGCTGCGTGCTCGCGCCAAAGAGGCAGGACTGTTTAACTTGTTCTTGCCAAAGAGCTTCGGCAAGTATTCGCCAGGCCTCACGAATTTAGAATACTCTTGTGCTGCAGAGATCATGGGCAGGTGCTACTGGGCAGCTCAAACACTGAACTGCCATGCTCCAGACACCGGCAACATGGAGCTGCTTGCAAAATACTGCAACGAAGAGCAGAAGAAGAAATGGCTAGAACCTTTGCTCAATGGCGAGACCTTTTCTGCATATTCAATGACAGAGCCTGACGTCGCCTCGTCCGATGCCACACAAATTTCCTGCCGGATAGAACGGGACCCCAAAGATCCGAAATGGCTAATCATCAACGGAAGGAAGCTATATGGCAATTGCAAGTGGAATGAAGAGCTTGGCTTTTATATCCTCATGGGCTGCAGCGACCCAAACAATTCCGATGCTTGGAAGCGACACACTATGGTGATCGTGCCCAAAGACACGCCTGGCTTCAGCATGATCCGCAATCTTACCATTATGGGCTACGACCACGCACCCGAAGGCCATGGAGAGTACCTGTACGAGAATGCGCGTGTGCCCGCAGAGAACATCATCCTAGGCGAAGGGCGTGCCTTCGAGATAGCACAAGGCCGCCTCGGCCCTGGGCGCATGCACCACTGCATGCGTCTCATCGGACAAACAGAACGTGCTTACGAGCTTGCACTTCTACGCTGCATAGATCCCCAGAAGAAGCCCCGTGGTCGCTTCATTGGTGACTATGACAGCAACATCGAGCGTCTTGCCTCGATGCGCATGCAGCTTGATTCTATGCGACTGATCGTAATGAACGCTGCCCACACAATGGATGTCAAAGGCAACAAGGCTGGTCGTTACGCCATTGCACAGTCCAAGATCATGGTGCCAGAAACGGCAGCCAAGATCATTGATGATTGCATGCAGCTGTACGGCGGGCAGGGCCTCACGCAACATACCCCGCTGCCCGAGATGTGGACATATGCGCGCTTCGTCCGAGTTGCCGATGGACCAGATGCAGCACATCGCCATCAAGTGGGTCGAGATCAACTCAAGACTGCACCAGAATTCAAGAAGAGGCATGAAGGATATGCAAAGAGGTATACAGAGCTTTGCGACAAGTGGAAGGTCGAGGAAGAGACATTTGGGGCGCCCAAGAAGAGGCGCGACTCTGCGATGTGATAACATGGCCTAGTATGACTATTTTCCATCATGCAACAGTCATTCATGGCATAAGTACGAAACACGGAATAATGAATCCTTATGGACATAGCATCCACAAAACAGCCGCCAATCATTGACTCTTCCCTCATTATCCCAGATCACGGGCTTGCTTGCCTTCGCAAAACATCTGGCCGAGCCAGATCGTGCCTTGAACATGTACATCTGGCGGCCTGCGCCAGGGCTTTTAGTAAGCAATCCTCATCATCCGGCAAAAGAAAGGAGCATCCAGTCCGAAGATTATACCCGCACTCAAAACGCTCACTTGGAATCCCTCTGCTTATGCCACCTTGGCGCAAGATCCACGATTCTTCCCTTAGGAGGACATTGTGTCTTGTGCAGTAGAATCTCTCGAACCAGATCGTACGAGAATTCAGGATGGAAGTAATCGTATGCTCGATGCGGGAACCAATGTTGGCCAGAGTTCTCAGCGTAGATGTCGACCATCATCTGTCGTATGGGGCTGCCGGGAGTAGTGCGTTCGTAGATTGCTTTCACGACTTTGCAATTGGGGAATGTGCGGCCACCTTTCGCGTCTCGTCTGTCGATTGATGCGGCGAGAGTTGTGATGACTTGGTCGCAGAAGGCGTCGTCCTGTGTTCTGTGAGTGTGTATAACTAGTAAGACCTGTAAGACGCCTTTGACGCACCTTGACCTTCTCGCCAAAAATATAAAGCTTCGCTAAGAAGTCATGTTCGGCTTTCACAATCGTCGAACCATCGGCCTCCTCTGTCGCTGCAAGCACTGCTTCGGACAGCTCAGTGAAGATTTCACCATGGTACACGAAATGCGCATACGCTGCTACGACATCGTCCTCGTCTGTGAAACCAATGCCATTTCGCCTTGCGATCTCAGCTTGATCTCGAAAGAAGGCAGAACGCACGGTCAGGAAGTGCAAATGAACTTTGAACTCGTCGTTCTCGCTGTGGAGGACGACGATCTCTTCTGTGAAGCGCGTGCGTCTCTGGCGTTTCACCATTCGTGTCTTCTGATGTCGCTCCCACTCGTCCCATTGGGCCTTGATTGCTGGATATCGTGAGTTGTACGCTTTACGAGAAGCCGAGTCAGACAGTGTCTCGTATGCTGCCTGGAGCTGTCGTCGGCGTCAACACAGTCACTAGTAAATTGTGCTACATTATCGTACATGCTGGAAGGCCACAGTACTCTTTGCAGTCCTCGTCGGAGTCACTTTGTCAGGATGATGCTTCTTGGCCGCGGCATGATAGGCTTTTTTCAATTGTGCTCCGGTTGCATTGTATGCTACGTCGAGCACTCTGTAATGGTCTTGATCTACCGGTTCTTTCATGACGAGTGACGAACCAGACGTCTGCCGTGCTCTCCGATGAGTCGGTTGCAGTGAGACAAAGGGGAGAAGCTCACGAGATGGCACGTGTTGGTTGGCACAGACATCGTTCTGCAATTGTAATTGGATGTCGAGGGTATGCCGCAAATGCGGAGATGAGTTGACATGGCAACCATAACCATAAGCGAACACGTCTGCACGTGACGGCCTTCTCCACTTCTATCACTTTGACATCGTCCAAGAAATACCGTCACCATGCCTCGCACGACGTCGAACATACATGTGGAAGCCGCAGTGCTTCTTCCACGGCTTGTGAAGCTGATCAGCATGCTAATCCTCCTCCAACTCCGCGAGCTCTTCCTGCACATCAAGTTCTCGCAGCTCGTCAGCGTGCATCTTCTTCCGGAGCGCAATCTTCTTCAGCTCAAACTCCAGCTTCTGCTTCGGATGTGCCGTGGATAGCGACTTCTTGGTCGGGGGCTCTGTGGTAGGTTGCAGTGGGATATGTTCATTGGCGTCGGGTTCGGTAATTTCGTCAGTCAGATCGATCACAATCGACTTGCGCTTCCCCAATGTCTTGCGTGCAGGTGCTTTCGCCTCTTCGACAACTACCTCCGGTGCGTCATGGTCTTCCATCAACCGAGCGTAGAATGCTGAACACTCATTAGCACGTCCTCGAAAAAGTCGCGCACCCATATTGGACGACGATATACCTTCAGCGTCCTTGAACATTGCAGTAGTGTTCTTCGAACCCATGCCCGGCTTCTTAATGTCTGTTTGGTGGACAACCTCGAGATGCGTGCGGAGTGCGTTTGTGTTGGAGAGTCTGGCGCCACAGAGCAGGCGATCGTCGCCCAGGACGCGACAAAAGTGCTCCCCAATAGCGATACGCGGCAGCCCATCTTCGTCGTTTTCGAATGCCGGAGCGCGGTCGGGCAACTTTTCGAGTTCCAGGTAGGCGCGATACGAGGGCTACAATCAGTGAGCTCAGCGTTCGCAGGCAAATCTGTTGGGTTGAGCTCACAGAATCACGCTGTAGGCGCTCGAACGAGGTTCCCTTTCCCATTTTGTGAAGCGATGAGTTGTATTCCGTGTATAATGAGAAAGGAATCGAGAAGTTCTTGCGGCGGAGTTTTGTGGGCGCGGACGCGGAGGCGAAGCGCGCACTTGCCTCCCGCCATGAAGTCGCTGGTGATGGAAGGTGCCATCTGGCTCCCAGCTGCCGTCGCCGGAATCACAGCGGACCGATCACGACCAAGACTGATGGTGACTGGAAAAGTGGAAGTCATCAATGAGGCGACAAACATTACTTGATACCAATATCCGTAAGCTCTGCGCTGATTCATCTTCTGCTTGTCCCAAAGCCGGGTCCGGTGATGCAGCTCGTGGGGACCCATGAGCGCCACCTCTTCCGATCTCTGGCTGTTTGTAGGCATCTGCGACTCTCCTGGACTCTTGGCCCGCACCGCGCCTAGTCTCCTAGTCCCCTAGTCTCGCAGCATTGAGTTCTCGACGCTCGAATTGACAGCTTTTTCCATCGCACTCTTCCTTTTCAGTAAGCGCCTTTTACGCAGCTTCTTCTCCATGAGCCGCTGCTCTGCCTCCAGTCTCTTGACATGCACTTCATCCATGGCTATCTCTGCCTCGAGCTCTTCCAGTTCTTCATCGACATCATTCTCTTGCCCAGTTGAGCTATTATTCTTCATACTCTGGTCATTGCCTGTCACACCGGAGTTGTGTTCTCCCGCAGTGAAGCCGTTCTCTTCCACAGTGAAGTTGTTGTCTTCCACAGCGGGGCCGATATCTTCTTCATCCAAGTGGTCATCCTCCCTCGGCTCAGCTGCAATAGAATCGCCAGACCAGGTCGGTGACGTCGCACCACGAGCGACGTCTTCTTCTGGGGTCATTCGTTCCGCAACAAAATGGTCAACGAACGTGTGACCCTTGCGTTCAGGACTCCTGCTCGTATAATTCATCAAGGCTCGGTAGAAAGCTGCGTTGCCGTTAGCGTTACACGACGATAAAAGAAGATCCGAAGCAGGAGTCACACCATTTGCTCGCTCGCACGCTTCTCCGTCGTGGTACGGTACTGATTTTGGACGATGCTGCCGGTCTACGCCATGTTTCTCCTCGATATGCCTCAACAAGTCATTTCGTGTTGTCAATCGTCTGCCACATATCCCGCCCCGCTCGTTGTGAGCTCTGCGGGGCCAGCGGCAGAACACCTCGCCGATTTCTACTACTGGATAACCATTGACATCAAAATCGAAACACGGTGCGCTCTCAGGAAGCCAGACTGACATATAGTACTGTTGATAGGCAGCCTGTCGAGGATAAGTATCTCGCTGGAGGTCAGAGTCCGGGAGCACTCACCGACTTAGAGCTCAACTTTTGGTGACAATTTCCATCGCTCAATGAGTACCTGCGTGTAGTCATACTTGATGCGATATACGCTGTCTCGCTTCGAGCGCGTGAGCTGGTTATTCGGAAGCGGTCGTGTCGTGGGCAGAACGAAGTCTTTGAACAACCCCGCTATCTTATTAAATGCTATGATCAAGGTTCACTTGAGGCCCATGTTCCATGTACTCGCGCGGTGCCGGGGCCATTCGTTCATTTCGTTTGCGTTTCCCGGTTCGGACCACAGCAGCAATGGCAAGTAGCAAAGCACACTGGGCACGACGGGAAGTGCATGTGGCTCGCGAGGTAGATGTTTTTAACCCACGAAGCCACTTCTTAGTGCCAATACTTGGAAGCTCTGCGCTGCTTTGTTTTTCACTTCTGACCGCGCGACGTCTTGCCTACGATAAGCGAAGTGTCTTCCCATAAGGGCACAGGACGCCAACATGTCTTCTGTCCACGGTCGTCGTAATATTCCGCGCCTCCGTGGTTTTTGCACAAAAGCCTTGACCTGCATTTGTCCCTGTGTGCTGAAAGCAGCCGGTCATGGACAGTAGTAAAGTCCATCACAAGTCGCGTTGCTTCCGCATCGCGTTCTTTCTGCACTCCAGGCGTACCTTGCGCAGCTTTGTCTCAGCGAGTCTCTCCTCGGCCTGCAGCCGCTTCACTCTCAGCTCTTCCACGACAATCTCGGCATCAATCTCTCTCAATTCCGACTCCAGATCGGCTTCAACGTTTGGCTCGGGTTGGGTGACCACGTTATTGTTATTGTTGCGTAGAGCCACAGCAGTCGAAGTTCCACGTGGGGCAAAACCCTCTTCCTGGCGCGCCATCTCCGTGTCACCTTGTTCCCTCAACACGTCCTTTAGATAAACAGACTTGGGCGCCCCGTGATTCATCACGGTCCGATAGAATCCTGTAAAGTGGTCAGCAGCGCAATCACGATCCAAGCCTTCCAGGAGGTAGCCATCGCACCATCCGCCTCTAGACACATTGCCCTATTGTGGTTCATCTTGATTGGTGGCCGATCTTGCCGCGAAAGTCCATGATGCTCTTCAATGTGCTTCAAAAGCTCCGTCCGTGATACGTGGCTGCTGCCACATAGCTTCACTCGTCCGCTCCAATGTGCCGAACGCCAGCGGCAAAATCGCTCGCCAATGTTGACGATCGGGTAGCCATTCGGGCCCAGGTCAAAGAACGGTGCGTCGTGAGGAAGCGAGTCCAGCACGAAATACTCTTTGTATGCGAGCTAGAGGTCGTCAGCCAAAGACTTCAATGTGCGGCAGAGAGCACCCACCGAGTTGTCTCGCAGCCCGACGTGGATGTCGGGATGCTGTAGTGTGAAGTTGCTTGTAGCCATGGTCGCGCGAGACCCGAACAATGCACCACGCGCGGTCTCTTCCTTGCGAATGCGTATGTTGGTCGCTGGCGTGGTGGAAATGAACGCTGCCGTGTTGATGCCAGAACGAACCTGTCGGACATCCCTGCCACTTCACATGCGCATCCCAAAGCTTATTCCAGGTCAACGCCGTTTGCACTTGGAAGGTGCCGAAAGTGATGATCGTTGCATTCATCTCATGTTCGCTATTCGGAAGAGCTCATCTATAAACACCATGCATTACCCATTCATCCATCCCATGCAAAACTCCTGCGCTATGTCTTGAACGCTCACTATCATTTCTATGCCATCACACTCATCTCGACGTCGATCGCACCATCGACAAGAATATGCACAAAACTCAGTCGTCGAGCCTCACAGCTCAAACTTTTGTCTTCGGTCGTACACGGAACGGGAAAGCCATGCCACTGCCTGACTGTCCTATCGTGTGGAACTTTTGCGGTTGAATGCCAAGTGCCAAAGTATCAAAGCGATCAATGCCCATCATCGCCTGCGTATACGTGTTAGCAGATGAAGGTGAGGACCCAGTAATGTTTGTACTTACCTCACTGTTGTATCCAGTGAACCAAAAGCCAATGACGACGACGAGGTAAGTGAAGATAAGTATACTTCCCTTGAAGTAGTTGCTCTTTCCCTCTCCCACAATCCAGCCGAAGAGGAAGACGCTGAGAAGCACACATACCATGTCCCATTGCGGGAAGATAAGGCTGAAGCTGTGCTCGGCGAGCTGCTCACCTGGAACCCAGTTGTTGTAGATAGCAGTGAACAGGACCAGGCAAGGCGTCTGGAGCAGGAAGACCTGCAGAGCATAACTCGATCCAATCTCCATCGACAGAGCAACATTGCCGTTCATGGCAAAGCTGATGGCGTTGAGGAACTCGGTCGTGTTCGGCACCAGGGAGAACAGTGTGATACCAAGGAACTTCTCCGGAATGCTGACAGACGTAAGAACAACGTCAACAGTATCGACCAAAATCTCGGCAATGATAGCGTAGGCCACTGTCGCCGACATCAGTATAACGGCAGACTTCATGCGCGACCAATTGGGCGCATCGTGGCCGCCGTGACCACCGGACGCTTCCTCAGCCACTGGCGCCAACCCGCCAGTGGCATAGTCGATAGCATTGGAACCCACTGGCGGACGACCATCCTTGCTGTCTTTGATGTGAGACTGGTGACGCGACGCTGTTGGGGTAGCAGACGTGGTCGCCATGTGACTGGCGCGACGTGGAGCGGTGGTGGCATCTCGTGCGGCGATTGTAGCAGCAGTCGCTGCCATCTCTGCCACTTGCTGCACCAGTGCACGATTATCCTCAGCACTGAGACCACTTGCAATTATGCTGCTAGAAGTGGTGTCGTTACCAGCACTCTTAGGTGGCACAATGTGCGGTCCTTGTCCTTCGGCATCTGCAGCGGTGTTCTTGTTGTCTTTCCCTTCAGGAGCTCCGGCTGTGGTGATGCCAGCCTGCTTGAGGCTCTGAGTAAGTATCCGCTTGTACATTTGACTGGACCGAATGTCAGCAGTGTTTATCGTGCCGTGGGTCTGCTTCCTGCCGGTTGCTGAATTATGGTCTGCCTGAACGAGGCCTGCAGTGTACGGCAAATTCAGGTGTCCCGGGTGAGGCCCGTTATGGAGAATGTCCTGGTGCTTCTTCTTCTCTTCTTCAGGCTCATTGTTCCAGATCACAGCTGCATGGGTGCGCAAGGTGAACAGCAGACCTACAACGTAGGACAAAAACAAGCACACGGCACAGAACCAGACGTATGGCCTGACGGCTGAGATGAAGAACTCATCGTTGAGCTCTGGTACCTGAGTGAAGTAACATCTGCGACAATCACGCTCTTCGTCAGGTCCGTTGGGCATATCGATGCATTGGCGACAGTTGAGGACGTGAGAGCCATAGAACTGGTAGAATAGAGTTGGCCCGAACGCCGCAATGACCGCAAACAGCAGCATTGTTGAGGTAACGCCAGCCGACTTCACGTTGAAGCGCTGAGTCTTGCGTTTGATGGCGCCGAAGCACATTGACAGTCCAGGCAAGAAAAGTATACCGGCAAAAATGGAGCCGATAATACTGCCTTCGACAAGTTGCGACTTGCCTTCATCCAATGCGACACAGTAGAGGAACACCTCCACAATGGTGCTGAAGAAGGCGTTGATTGTGGCTCCTACACCCATCGATGATTGAGCAGAGATCGAAGCCACTGCTTGGCCGATGAAGTAAGCAAGCGGTATGATCGATGCCAGCGCAATGACGAACACAAAACCCGGAGAAGTGAACCATGTGTCGATGTGCAAAGTCTCATAGAGCACAAAGTAATCGATGATGGCGAAGGCCACAAGTCCGAGAAGATTGATGAGGAAGATATTCGTTCCGTCGATTGTGTACTTCCAGTATTTGATGCCGACTGCCCGATATGTGCATAGCAGGATGACGCTGTCGGAGCTGCCTCGTGGTTGCGAATCAAATCGCTGGTAATGGCTGTCGGTGTGGAAGCTCATGGCAAGCGGGTGGCGACGCAAGTGGTAGAACAGTAACAGCGTGACTTTGCCCATCGGGATCGTGAAGACGAGGAACCAACAGATTCCGCTGACGAGGAACAAGAATGGTGTGATCAGAAAGTAGAAGAAGAGGAAGAATATCACTCTGCCGAGTGTCCATTCTCCGCGGCCAAACAATCGCTTCTTGGTGCGGTTCCGAGCCCGCTGAGCCACCGAACTCGATCTGGCCCGACCAAGGAGGCTATCAGTCTCGTTGTCCTCCAGGTCAGGTACTTCTTCTCGACGTCGCCCGATCAAGGATCGATTGATATCTGTAGGTCCGAAGAAGAGGCGACCAGCTTCAATGTCGCCGGCTTGCCATCGCTCATATTCAGCAATGTCTCTCCCTTCTCCTTCGTCTTCGTGCAGATACTGTTCGTCGCGCTCCAGTAAGATATACTTGCCAAAAGGGTAGAATAGGTAGTGCGCAAGATTGATCAATACGCGGCCATACTCCCGACACCCGGGCGTGCCTGACGTGGCCTGGCATATGCTGAAGAGTAGGCAAACTACTCCTCCAGCAGCTGTGATCAGAGCTAGCCACCAGCCGAATATTAATGTCCAGAGAGCGTTGAATACCCATAGCCATCGACTGACATTGCCGCCCGGAGCACTATGAATGTCACCTTCTGCATTTCTTTGCACTGATCGACTTTTCTTGTACAGCGCCGGCTTCCATATCCTGATTCCGAAAGGATGTGTTTCATTGATTGCTTGTTGTCGATCCTTGAGGGTGAAACTCTCAGCGTCGCTCAAGTCTGCGCTGTCATCGTCGTCACTATTTGGGGTTCCCTCATCTTCTTCTTCTTCCTCCTCCTCGCCTTGGAGTGTTTCTTCCGAGCTAGGATCGCCGGCGTCTAGTGGTGATTTGGGTCTCACTGTTGTTCTGACAGTGTCTGTGCCTGTAGTCTGCGCGGCTTCCTCTTCCTGCTCGTCACTCTCCACTCGAGGTAATGCGGGCTGAGGCACTCGCCGCCGAATTGTGCTCTCTCTTCGTCTGAGTTGTCTTTCGCGCTGTGCAGCGACCTTGGAATGACTTCTCTGCTCTCGTAGATCTGCATCGACCTCTACCGCATCGTCGTCGACTGAGAATAGGTCTCCACGGTGCGGTGCTGCCGTCGAGGGTTTTCGCGGACCGGCATTGGGTCGTTTGGGAGTTTGTTGTGATGCTTGTGGAGTTCGACCTCCACTTGGGACCGCGCTCGTGGATGAACCCTGCATCGAGCCTAAACTGTCTCAGCATGTGCTACGTTGTCTTGCAATCAGACAAAGTCGAATCCATACCGTAATCCTGATGCCGAGCTCGAGGGCGCCGAGTAGTGCCTTGTGCTGCCTCGCCCGCCTGGGATTGCAGACTCGCCTGGCTGGCCTGCATGTCTGCGTAGCTCGACTGCCGCTCGGCAGCGTCGTGCTGACTGCGGCTCATCTCTTCGGTGACCACGGAGCTGCGCCGCGTCGTGGGAGCAGTGGAAAGGAAGTCGGCGTGGTCCTGCGCATCGGTGGTGGTGGGTCGGCCATCCGCCGTAAAGCTCTCTTGTTGCCCACACATGCCGCCCAGAATAATAGACAGACTAAGGCCAAAACAGGCTATTGATTGGCTTCGGCGCTGCACGCGCCAGACACATGCACTTCAGCTTCCACTATGACGACAAATAGTGCCCAAGCTGGAGCTGCAGCTGGGGAATTCACAAGAACGTGGGCATCTGACACAATGCAGAGCACGAGGCGGGCGGCGTGGTCGGGAGCCGTGGGAAATAGCTTCGGGCGAGGCGAGTCGACGGAGGGCTAAGGTTTCAGCTTCAGCTGGCCGCCGCGACGAGGATGAAGCCTCGAAGGTGCAGAAGGCGAGAGGGGAGAGGAGAAATGCGTGCTGCGTGCGCTATCGAGGAGATGGGCATACGTATATCAGCGGTCGAAGGATCCGGGTTCACGATAGGAGCAGCTCCCAGCAGCGTGTGGTGCAGATGATCACCACTTCGTGATCTGCTACCCTCCTCTACAGCGCGCGCCGCATATGCTGCTGCTGCTGTTCGGCGAGCTCGGTACGGCGCTGCCAGCATCTGACACCGATCGAGATGCTGGGGCGTAGAATGAGGAGCCTGCGAACGCTCCGCAAGCAAGCAGTGAAAACTTGAATGGCGCCGTGACACTGTGTTCCTGCGCAGTGGTGTATTGTCAGAAGCCTTGACAGGCCGCTGCGGGATTCACTGTGCATGACGCTAAAGCGGGCCGACGTGCTTGCCTGATGCTGCCTCGCCTCAAACGCCAACCAGCTACCACGCACGCATCGCCATCGACATCAACCACAGCGACGCAATCGGACATCGCCATCATCACGAGCGGATCTCACTGCCACTGTCCTCCTACAAACAGCCCGATCATCACGCAGCCCGCGGGCCGCCAGCGCAGCCATGGCGCTCGATACCTTCTTCCACAACAAGATCGAGAGCATGAAGCTCGAGATCATCCAAGGCCAAGCAGTATTGCGACGTCTCGAAGCGCAGCGAAACGAGTACAATAGTAGAGTCCGGTTACTGCGCGAAGAGCTCGGCCTGCTCCAGCAGCCGGGCAGCTATGTGGGCGAGGTGGTGAAAGTGATGGGGACGAAGAAGGTGCTGGTGAAGGTGCACCCAGAGGGCAAATATGGTGAGGCTGCACGTCTGAGGCTTGAATAGATCGCGACAGACTAACAGGTGGCAGTGGTCGACGTGGCGGATAACATCGACATCTCGAAACTCACAGCTGGCAAACGTGTCACCCTCCTTTCTGACTCATACAAACTCTCATCGCTCCTTCCATCCTCCGTCGATCCCCTGGTCTCTCTCATGATGGTGGAAAAGGTGCCAGACAGCACATACGACATGATCGGTGGTCTAGACGAGCAGATCAAGCAAATCAAGGAAGTCATCGAGCTGGGGTTGAAGCATCCCGAGTTGTTCGAATCATTGGGTATTGCGCAGCCAAAGGGAGTCTTGCTATACGGGCCACCTGGTACAGGCAAAACGTTGTTGGCAAGAGCTGTGGCACATCACACCGACTGCAAGTTCATTCGTGTTTCGGGATCAGAGCTGGTGCAAAAGTACATTGGTGAAGGATCGCGTATGGTGAGAGAACTGTTCGTCATGGCACGAGAGCACGCCCCGTCAATCATCTTCATGGACGAGATCGATTCCATCGGATCCTCGCGTGTCGAGGGCTCATCGGGTGGTGACTCCGAAGTGCAGCGAACTATGCTGGAACTGCTTAACCAACTGGACGGTTTCGAGCCCACAAAGAACATCAAGGTCATCATGGCCACGAATCGTCTCGATATTCTTGATCCTGCTCTTCTGCGACCTGGACGTATCGACCGAAAGATCGAATTCCCACCGCCAACTGCCGAAGCAAGAGCAGACATTCTGCGCATCCACTCGCGAAGCATGAATTTGACCAGAGGCATCAATCTGATGAAGATTGCAGAAAAGATGAACGGGTGCTCGGGTGCAGAGTTGAAGGGCGTGTGCACAGAAGCAGGCATGTACGCGCTGAGAGAGCGAAGAGTGCATGTAACACAAGAGGACTTCGACCTGGCCACTGCGAAGGTGCTCAACAAGCACGACGACAAGGAGACGAGTTTGGCCAAGCTGTGGAAGTAGTGGAGCGTTTGTGAAGGTAGAGCTGCAGCTAGCTTGTATCATATCCGAATGCATTGCAAGGACGGGGCATCAGTAAGTCCTTGCCTCATTATAGAGCATGTACTCATCACGTGTAGATTCAGGAGCTTCAAGTTGCAAGGAGAGTGAAGAGTCCGCAGGCTGCAGTGCAATTTAAGTTTTATCATCCCCAGCTTGCAAACATTGTAGTCAACGTCGCATGCTTGGGCGCGTCAGGATTCCCAAAACACTCCACCGCGACAATCTTATCCACGCCGACTGACGGCCCTCGACGACGGCCACTCTCTTGTGCCATGAGCGTCTTTACCAGCCCGTAGCGGCCGAAGTCTCAAACACAAGACGTCTTGTGGCCCATTTTCTCTACCGTCATGGCCGACGCCGACGGTCCTGCTGTGAAGCACGAGAGGTAATAGCTTTCTTGAAATCACGTACACGTCGCGGCTGCTGACTTTTGACGCGGGCAATTCCAGCAGTCGTATCATAAACCTGAATGTTGGCAAGTCACCCAAAGCAATCACAGTCCGGGAGGACAAGCTCCGTCAGACCTCGAACTTCTTTCGCGCCGTGCTGGACAAGCACTGGAAGGAAGGTGCCACCGGAGAGGTCGCATTGCCTGAGGACCGCCTAGAAATCGTCATGGCCTACGTGGAATGGCTGCACCGCAGCACTCTCATGGAACAAAGTGCGGATGAAGGAAGAAAATACTCCGATGCCACGTGGCTGAAGCTGATCAGGATGTACATTTTCGGCGACAAAATTTAGGACACTAAATTCATGAATGCGGTCCTCATGTGCGTCCTGGAGGACCTTGATAAGAGCAATACGTGCCCACATGAGGTCGACATTCGCCTGGCATACAAGAGCACCAGGCCGGGCTCATCACTCCGCCGATTGTTTGTCGCAGCATGGGCTGCAGGCGCTAAGGATCATTGGTTTGAGGCTGAGGAAGAATTACCCGAGGAGTTCATGAGAGATCTGGCGATGCAGCTGATCAGAAACCGCGGAAAAGCCTCGCGGTCCTATTGGGTCAAACAGAAGGATAACTGGTTGGAGCAGGAATAAGCGGTGACTGCAGAACCATGCAGCGACAACGTGCGTGCGGCTACGCGTTGTTCGAAGTGAATGTGTTGGTGGATCTGAAAAGGAGCAAATGTGGCCACAGCATGGAAATACTGTCTGGGTCACACCACATAAACAGACGCCCAATGCACCTGACGGGCAACCAGGTCGCTTTCGCTGTGTCGCGACTTGACTGCGTGGAAGCTCTTGCTCTCACTCGCAAGCCTGAGACCACTCACTGGTACTGTGAACATGTACCACATATTGAGAGGGAGACAGCTATTCCCAAAGAATTGGCAAAGCAAAAGGGGCTGGCATCACACATTGTATCGCGGTACAGTTCACATATTTTGTGCACCTGCTAATCTTATATACCCCAGCGGTAGCTTGATCGGAATTGTTCTTGTTTGCAGGCATTTATTGGCCCCCTACCTTGTCGGACTCGAAACAGTGGGAACGCGTATGGGGACAGACCTGTCGCGTACTTTACGTTGCTCGATGAAGTGTGCATACTGATTTGTCGAACAGCGCAACCGGCTCCTGGCTCACGGTCAACGTACTCGCGGAAGGATACGAAAGAGTTTCCTGGTACGCCGGATTGTGCGACCAATGTGCACGGCATTCGATGTTTGGCGAGGCACATTCAGTGAGTGATCGCACACGGAAGATCTTCTAAGAGGACTTTCAGATACTGTGGCAAGGCGGTCTTTGCAGAGAATCGAACGTAACGCGAACATTGCATCGTGCGCATTCACGTATTGTCTACAAGATGTCACTGCCATTGATATCACAGAAGTGATCAAGCAACTTCCATCCGATCCTTTCTGATACCCCGTTCTGGCTACAGCACCACATGCTCGAAGTGGCAGATCTGCTTCGACGAAGTCCCTTGAACGTATCAGGTAGAGTCTTCCTTTCGGCTACTCTTGACAGGAAGCTGAACTGCTTGCTGCCAGATTATTCCACTGCATCATTCGATCAACGACGCGGAAGACTTGATCTCTTAGGCAACTCGGCTTCTCAATGCGGCACATGAATCGATGCTTGTCCACGCGTCAATACTTCCCTCGTCAATCTTTACCATGGCATTCCCAGCGATACCGTCATCAATCAACAAGAAGTCTCCTCGCTTAGATTCGTACGTTAGCATATTAGCAGCTGCGGTCGAGATCTTCGGGTGTACAAACTACCGACGTCGATCAGCCAAAACTTCCACCACGTCGCCTTCCGTCAATAGTTTGGGGTTGATCGATAGTTTACATGTCTATTGCCGGGCAAACGCACACTAGAGTCAATGATTATCCCCAACTGACGCCGTACTATTTCCGTAGCACTATGACTTTCGGTAGTTTACAGCCCAAACGCCAACCTTCCCGATCCGGACAGGCTTTGATTACACGCGACCCTTTCGGACGTCACGTCAACCGACACGCCGACCAGAGGAGAAAACGACCACGTTCTTTGAGAATCCTTCCCTCTTGCACGGATCTTCTTCTCGTGCGACGCCCGGAGATGCAAACGAGCCAATGGCCTTCGGTAGCTTTTCTGACCTTCCGCTCGCCATGTGAAAGTCTTATGGTGTTCCCGAAATTCTATTGGTCTAACCATTATTTTTGCACCAACCACACGCAGTCCGCCACGTGCCTTGTCTCTCCTCGCCCGAGCAACTACATCCACTCGATGCCATATCGTAGAAGACGCGCACCTGATCGCTCGCTATAAGCGGTGCAGAGTACCAGATGTTCAGAGAGACCGAGAAACTTGTCCAAGGGCATGCTGCACGCCACAAGACGGCTGGCACGTTATGTGCTGGCGTCCTGCGTGGTGATAGACGCCGGTGCTAGGTTCCCAGATCGATGAGTGACGAAGTAGGCGCGCAGAAGTGGTCATATAGCGATGTGGTGGTAATAAGGCTGAATCTGCGACGACTTTTATCTGAAACGCTGGGGTCACATTCATGTCATTCTTATCTGCGAGGGAGTTCGTGAGAGCCGAGAGCACTATGATACTTGACAGCGACTTGCGAGTCTCGAGAGGGCAAAGGTAGGGTTGCACCAGGACTCCGGATCCTGCAACTGCTGATGAATTAGCAGCATGATCGATGATCGCGTTGTAACGCTCAAAGTTGGACTTGCCCCTACAAAGGACTTCTCAGTTCACGAGGCTATCTTGAGAGAACATTCGCGGTTTTTCCGCACAGCTTTGGACAGCAGGTGGCGAGAAGGACGTTCGCGCATCGTGGAGCTACCCGAAGACAGCGCAGAGATTGTTTCAGCTTGGATACAATGGCTATACTTTCGCAGAATTCCCTCGAAGCCCGTATCGCCACCAGCACTGCCGATGGATGACGGCGAATATGAGCTTCTGGCCAGAATGTACGCCTTTGGCGAGAAAGTGCAGGCAGACTCATTCTGTGATGATTGTGTCACAGCAATGGTGTTGAAGACGGACGAGGTCGCCACTGATGGTACAAGGACGTTTCCCTCTCATTCGGCCATCATGATACTTTACAACGACACTCCGCCGGGCTGCCCTGCGAGGAGATTTGTCGTCGACATGTATGTCGAATACGGCTTAGATGCTTGGATACCAAAAGAGATCGAGTATAGCCATCCGGAGTTTCTGGCAGATCTTGTGCACGCGTTCATGGCCAACAGGGCTGAAGGACTTCCTCACAAGCAGACGAATTATCCTCGGAGGCGCAAGTGGCACAAACAGGAGCGCAGTCGGGAGTTTCTGAGGCCGGTTGAATCAAGTGACGAAGTCGCAGTTTCCTGACCCAGGTTGTGCACAGCGTCCAGGGTTGGCTGGTGTATGGTTCACTGCGGAGCATTCCATTGACCCGGGCCCATCACTCTGGTCAGCTGCTGTGGAAGTGGGTAGTGCAGCTTGCATCGTGCGTCGGTCGACCGGCTTCGAAGGGAAAATACATCGGGTGGAGTCGTTGGACTGTATTCTTTCACGCTCGCTCGGACTTCAGGGCCGTAGCCGAAGGGGTTCGCTACAATGGTTCGGTAGCGACAGAGTGTCGACGTTTGGGACCTGCGATGCATGACCACCTTTGTACAACTTACTCAAGCGCATGGACGCCCGAGTGTCAAAATCGGTGGCACTGCCGTGCCGCCAGTCGGACGCCACAAACGTGGATTATACAAGGCTTGCGCTCGTAGAACCTCGGGGCAAGGTCGGCTTGAGCCAAGTGATGCAGTCACATACATGAAGCTCCGAGACAGCCGTATCTCAGCGTTATCAGTACCCGGTCGCGCGTGCGTCGGCAGCTGGCGTATATTGCTGCAATATCGGCCCTCTTGGCATGAGGTGGCGTGAGATGTTGTGCCATTCATCTTTGAGACCAACGAACTCAAGCTAGTGCAGAGAATGGTCCCACTGATTTACCACATGTCCCTCATTGCTTCCTCGTCGTCGGCGAAGTCATTTTCGCCCTGCGGCTCGGCAGTCGCTGCTGTCTTGCTGGGTCTGGCAGAGCCGGTCGTCTCTGCCGCCAGCAAAGCGTCTAGTTCATCGTCATCGGGCTCATTCTCAAATGGCATAGGGCGGGACAGTTTCTGCTGCAGCGGCGGCTTGGTAGTGGTCTCGTGGTTGGCAAGTAATGCATCAAGCTCATCTTCGTCTGACTCTTCCTCGAAAGGACCGGACACTCTCGACACTTGTCGCTGAGCCATCGATGTATCCGCAGCGTCGGCCATAAGTGCATCGAGCTCGTCTGCTCCAGGTTCATCATCGACCGCATGTCTGCTCGCAGCACCTCCAGCTGTTGTTTCAGAGACTGGCAATTCTGGCGGTGGCGTAAGTTCCTTGCGGTATGGTTTCGTGTCGTCCAACCACGCCCTTCTCGTTACCTGCATCCGCTTGCTGTGGCCAACCTTTTCGACCATCTTGACAGCATCTCGAAATTTGGCCCGTGGGTAAAGGTCATCCAGCCATAGTTGATAAGTGTTCAACAGATTCGAAATGTCAGTGAACTCATGTCCTTTGCCGCGAAATTTTAGCCTTGACTTCGTGATCTTGCGAAGCTTGGGTATTCCTGCATCTGACAATAATCTGCAAGGAAGATATTCTCAGCAAGAGCTCGTTCCACAAGACGTTGGGTCAAGTCTACCTATTCTCATCCAATTTTGGGATAGGAGTCCTCTTCTTCTTCACTTGTACTTCCTGGTCTTCATCTCGCGTCTGCTCGCGTTCCGTGTTGTTGTCCTTGACGTTTCGAGGCAAATCGTTGAAGAATTCCTCGATCGCTTGGTCGTCGTTGAAAAGTCGGTCCAACTCATCTGGCTGTGCAGAACCCGCCTGAGGGTTCGATGCTATCGCTGAAGGCATAATGTCTGTTTGCTGCAGTGAAGTATTGCTGTTTCTAGAGACGAAGTCGTCCGCATGGACTGGGGACGCGTCAGGCAGAATTGAAAGTCGCGACAGTCGCGAATTTGACGCGCTAACAAGCGAACGGGCCGAAAGTCAATCTTGGACCCACTTCAGTTTCCTGCCAGCAAGCAACGGAGCGTTGGCCTTCTCAATTATCATCACTGGTAATTGAACCACCCCACGAACTCTCCACTGGCTAGATCGAGAAAAACATCCAGGAAGCGGACCATCTCGGCATGCTGAAGTTTAGTGGGCACGTTCTCTGGAACTTCTTGTAGCGAGCCCCAGACGTGGTTGCGAGCGAGCCATCATGGCGATATCATCAGCATCTGACTTAGAGCCCGTCACGGTCATCGGCAACAGGCTCAATGCACTCCTCGACCGCGCAAGACAGGAAAAGCCGGAGTCTACCGTCGAGCCAGCATTGCAACTCTCGAGTTTCAGCAATGAGGTCGCCGCGTTACACGATGGGCTTGACGCAAAGTACGACCAAGCGTATAGATTTTCGTGTGTAGAAACAGCCGCCCGGGAAGCCTTTTACTCGCTGGTTCATTCTACAGACATTCAGGATCCCGCATTTGGAGACGTCTGGAACTTGCTTGACATTGTACTCATGTGCGGTGACCATGGCAAATGCACACCTGAATTGGTGTGCTGGCTTCTGGAGGAATTGCTGGACAGCCAGACGACTGTTGGTTGCCGAACGGTTTTCGACTACTTGGACTCTCGGCGCGAGCGACTGGCACAGAAGGACTTTCACAAGAAGAATCTCGTGTTCTTGAGGTCGTGCAACGAGCTTCTGAGACGATTGAGTCGTGCCGAAGATGCGATCTTCTGTGGTCGGGTGTTTTTCTTCCTCTTCCAGACCTTTCCTCTGGGCGATAAGAGTTCGGTCAACTTGCGAGGCGAATTTCACGTTGAGAATACCACAAAGTTCGAGGTCGATGAAGCGGCTGGCGAGGAAATGCAAGTCTATCCCGAGCCTGTGGAGGCTGCTGCTGCTTCAAAAGAAAGCACGCCCGCTCCAACAAGCAAGCCAGGAAGCAAGGCCGTCCCTATCAAGGCGCCAAAGAAGACTGCAGAGGAAGTCGTACTCACTACCAACGAGCTGTATCCAATATTCTGGAGACTACAGCATGACTTCTCTGATCCTACGCGGCTTTTCGATCGAGGGAACTTCGAATCCTTCAAGAAGGGGTTGGCAAACACTCTGCTCAAATTCAAGAAAACTCCAACAGTGGTGCAGACGAAGGCTGGCGAGGAAGACAAGCGAGGAACAAAACGGAAACTTGATGAGCATGGCAACAGCGAGAGCAACAACCATCTTCTGGACAATTACAACCCCAAGTACTTGACTAGTCGCGATTTGTTCGATTTAGAGCTGAGCGATCTTGCTTTCCAGCGCCATATCCTTGTGCAAGCCATGATCTTGATCGACTTTCTCTTGTCGCTGACAGAGAAAGCCAAGAAGCGCTTGGCAAGCCTAACAGTGACAAACAAGTCGCTATTGTACGCTTTCACATTAAATGAGGAAGACACACAGTGGGCGACGTCTACGAGGTCGGCCATCCGAGATGGACTTGAATCGAGAGATGATGGAAGGCAGTACTGCCGTATGGTCGAGACAGTATTGAGTCGCGACAAAAATTGGGTGCGCTGGAAGGTCGAAAGCTGCCCGTCCATTGTGCGTGGACCGGTAAATACGGAGGAAGAGCTACAAGCCAGGAAAGCAGTTGCGAGAGCCACACAACCGCGTCGTATTCCCGAAAATGCACAAAGCAATATCGACCTTGCTTTCCTCGAAGAAGGAACAGGCGGTGGTCTCGATGCTCTGAAGGATCCTTCCCGCTATACAATACCCTCCCTCGAGCAGCTTGTGGATCAGATCAAGATGGAGAAGCTTGATGCCGAGATGGCAATGACGGACGAGGAAAAGGCACAAATCGACACCGCCATCATGAATGCGAAATGGCGCGCGCTCCGCCAGGCTCGTGCTGCCAACCTTGCGTTGCTCGACAAGGTGGAAAGCACTAAGGATTTGGAAGACATCCTGAGCGCGTCCGAGCCCGTGAACGAAATTGAGGCCGCCGAGCCCAGCGTCGAAGATACACTAGGTTCCGCAGACAGCGTCCCCGAAGATCCAACAGCAGCAACTGGTACAGTAGCCGAGCCTGAGCACCTGCCGAGTGGAGAAGAGGAGGACAAAGTTATGGAGGGATTCGAAGCTTCGTAACGATGCGCGGCTCTGTACCACTCTTCTCACCCCAGCTCAGGGCATTCGATTCCTCCGGGACGACATGCCGACTGTGCGAGCCGGCTGAGCTATGCAAATTTCTGCCTGAATCTAGACAGTACTGCTGCTTCCTTCTGCCGCCGCAGTGTTGCATTTTAAGGTGAACGCGACAGGACTGCGCAGCCGCCACATCGCTTTCTGGCGCTTGCAAGCCTCGAACGTTACATTGCGGGCCTCTGCAGGATGTCCGCTGCAGGTCGATAGATCACTGCCTTTTACACACAAAGCGCGCACGCGTACGCTTCTTGCACTCTCGTTGCAGTTGTGCATCAAGCACGTCGACATGACAAACAGTTGAGGTCGGCACCGAAGAGTGACGATCAACTGCCTGATACTTAGGGTCTTGAAGTGAGCAGGAGGCCATATTACGATATTGGGTTTGTGGTTGGTCGATCAAGGCCAATTCTTAGCATACATAGCCTCGGGGCAATGCCCGCATTCGGAATGTGTGGTGTTGCTCAGCAAGACATTGCATCGTGCTTGCCGGTCCGTGGATCCTTACGCTGGCGCGCATCTTGTACAGCACAATGTATTCTCCCAGACTAAACTAAGCAGTAGCGATCCAAGGCGAGTCATCCTGAATACGCAAGATGTATTTGAGATCGATCGCATGACAAGTTAAGCTTCTTTTTAGAAGTTGTTTAGGCGAAGGCGATGACCCGTGAGGTTGGGTTTTGACAGACGGGCGGGCCTGTGAAAGCCAAAGATCGCTCCCGCCAGCCTTCTGCATCTGCCATCTGCAACGCCTGTATCGGTTCTTGAGGATGAGGCGTTGGACGTTGAAACGGCTACTAGTTTTCCGGGTAGGATGGCGCTCCTGTGGGGTGCTATCGTGCGAAGAGGCGCGAGGTGAGCTGGCCCGATCGTCGCCCGGACTCTATGTTGCTCTGATCGTGAAGCTTCGATAGAGGCTGCTAGAAGCCGTTACTATTGTCAGATGCCCAGCCTATTCTCCTCCTGCTTCACACTGTCGTGCAGACGGGAAAGCCGCAGAGCTGGAGGTGGAAGAGCTGGCTCTTCTGACGTCTCTTCGTGTCGTGGGATTTAAACTTCCGAATCAACCATGAATAATTGTCTACAATCGCCAATACTCTTGGCGTGCATCTAACGATCAGTGACCAACTGAAGTATCGAAGACTGACCGCAAGAACCGGGAGCGTCGCCGCATGTAGCAGGTCCATGACCGTATGTTGAATTATTTGTCAATGCAAAGAGAGATGAAGAATCGTGAACCGGACTCCGACCTGGACTGGACAGACTCGTCGTGAATGTGTGCTGTTCCCAACGATGCGCAACGTTCTCAGCTCATGAATGCATGCACCGCAGCCACATTCCGGGGCCAGCGAGTGCGCGAAAGGCATCAGCAACGCCTTTACCGCAACGATCAGAGCGCCTCTCTATCGAGACGCCTTTGCCAGCCTCTTTGGGTCGACGCATCTTCCGGAAAGTTCCAAATAGCGACGGAGCGAACCAGCAAAGTGTGGACATCGTGATAGGGCCGGGAGGAGCAGCGGTCGCTCTGGCGGTCGAATAAGCGCTGGACAGTGGACAGCCGTCTGTGGTTGGTATTAGAGTTATGTCGTGCAGGGAAGATCTTCAACAAGTCTCGCTTGCGGAGCTGTGATAGTCGCGTCGCCATTGTCCAGACACGTCCAAGCGGGCACTGAGCAATAATTGCCGGTGGAACATTGCCCACGCGCGCGACACGACGTCTGGTGAGCGCGTGGGCGAGCGCACAGCGCGCATGCGACGAGCACGTCGGGCGACTGTCGTTGGTTTTAGAGCATGCGGCATACCGCGCTGCCGGCGAGGCCCCCGTGGCATCCTGGTCGGACAGTGCGGCGTCGCCAGGGGGCTGCCAGAGGAAAGAGGAAAGGGCATTCCCGTCGACAGGCAGTCGGGCAAGCGCAGGCCTGTGCTCCTGCTCCCGAAAAGGTTTGTTGCTCCCCGAGAGTCAGATGTGCGCAATCAGCAAAACTCTGTCTGCACCGACGCCGATGGACGACGTCTGCTCCTGGACACGCAGCCCGGCAGATGAGCATTCGCGCTGGCGGCAAAAGATGGTCGACCAGCACTCGCGCGGCCTGCGGACCAATGGCCTTGTTTCAGTTGACAAGCGACGCGATCCCTGCTGGGCATCAAACCATCGCTGGACCGACCCATCTGCCCTCAAATCTCCGCAATGGTCGTCATGCGCGGCCAAGAAAAGGTACGCTCGCTGCGTCGACGCCAGCAGCAGCGCACGGCCAGAACGTTCCGCGCGCGTTTGCGCCGCCAGCGCCAGCTCTCCCACCCCGGCCAAGCGAGCAGACGTCAAACAATAGACGTCTGAGAGGCCTCATCCGACGTATCACCACCGCAGCGCGAGCGTCGGTGAGAACAGCGCCCTACCCGCACGCGAGATCCATGTGCCGTGCCATTGTCCGGATCGGAACAGGACCACTCTCCATTCATCATCGGTTGCTTCGACACGAGCGTCGCGCCTGGCGAGCCTCATCACGCTTGTTGTTGCTCGGCTCGTTGTCGATCGCCCAAACACTTCACTGACGCACGGCAATAATGGCCGAACACGTCTGCTCCCAGCTGCCTCCCATCACATGAATCGCTCCACGCGCGCTGCCCGTCCAATTATGGCAACCGCAAGCTTGCTTAGACTGGAGTTGGCGCCTGAGTTGGTCCCCTCAAAACTCTCGCCCTGCTTTTGAACTCTGTGCGCAGTGCAATATATTATACTATACAGCAGCTTTCGAATCGGCTCGGACCGCGCTGTTGAGTGCTCGATCTGGAGGAGAGAAGGAGATCTGAGTGGAAAACCTCCGAATGCACTTCGTTGGCTCATCGCATGTTGCTCTGGTGGATCGCGTGGTGGTCCCCGTGCGAACGCCCTTGACCAGGGTGTCATGCGGCATCATCCTGTATGATCTACCCGTCAGGCATACTGGCGACACTTATGCGCCGGAATGGGCGTCCTCGGAGAAGCCCTTCGCTGCTAGTGCTACCGCTCGCATCTTAGCCAGCTGCGGCCCGAACGCGGCGTAGTGGACTGGTTGCTGCAGCGAAGGATGGCCTAGCAGTCACGCCGGTCGTAGTAACCGTTCTGTGTCTCGAACGAGTTCAGCATGAACACAGCAGCCTTCGATGCCACAGGTGCACAGAGGCGGTTCCTGGCGACTAGTCCCCGCAGAGGTCCATGCTACAGCTCATCCTACCCCTACTAGCACAACCGGGCTTCAACGGCCATCTGGCAGCCAACCACACGAGGTGAGCGTGCGTGCTGACAGGGTACTTCGACGTGGGTGTCCACCCGGGCCCCATCGGACTCAAACTGCTCTCTAGCCTTGTTGGAGGGGTTAGACCCGCTCCGCAAGCCTACACTTCGAGATCGCTACAGTACGACGCTCTAGGGCATCTTCGGCAAGAGGGCGGGTCTTTCGTCGTTTGTGGTGGACGATGCTCTTTCGCCTACCTCTCCGTTCACTCGGTGCCTCCCGAGCATGCTAAAGGACTACTTCGCCTGCCATTGCCCGGCATCTGCTGTTTGAGATCGCATGCTTGCACACACCACCACTTCACCGTCTTTGGATATCAAGATTAAGGAACGTGCCACAAGGCCCCAGTATCCGCCGACTCTTCACTCCCAAAGCGCACGCAATCAATCGATCATCTATCTGCTTCAGCAGAATCCGAGAGTCGGGGCACTGGTCACCGGCGTTGAACAATCTGGCACTGTTGTGGAGGCGCACCTGGTCGTCGCGAGCGCACTACCATTAGTTCAGACGACTTCCCTGTACGACCGCTTGAAGCCTCGAACACCTCCCGCTGGGATCCACTTCCTTCCAAGTCTTCCACGCTTTCGCAGGCGCCTCCCTTGAAGTACCTGGCAGGCTATCGTCAGCCACAATCTGTCCTTCACTGCTGCCATTCCTTCGACGATACGATCTGCTCTTTACACTCGCCTCTTCCCAGCATCAATACGGACGCAGCGGGCCGCTTATTGCTTGCAAAGCAACTTCACTTTTGCTCCAACGGCCGCACAGTTGCTCACCTCGCAACGTTCAATCACCCTGGGACGACAGGTCGACGACAACGATCCAGAGCGCCTGGCCAGTGAATATACGCCGAGAGACTCGGGCTCGACATTCGTGGTCGTTCCTTAATTGCGCTACAGGAGCTCTTATTACTCGACACCTGCAGTCCTTGATCACAATCGACTGCGAGATCAGCGTTCTGGTGAGTGAGGGTGTCCATAGCGTATCTGGCACGGCTGACGATGGCTAGTTTGAGGAGAGGCGTCTCAAATGCTTCTCGAGCGATTCCAGGTGCCACTCTCGCCGCCAAATTCCCCGCGTATGTCGGACGCTGCGACCAAACATCACGACTACAAGTACCAACAGGTGCCGCCGCGACCATACGAGTCGCTCAGGGTTTCTCACGATACCAATCGCGCTTACTCGCACACCGTGACTGATCCAACTTCAAGGTCTCATCATCGCGGGCCTTACGATGATGAAGGCCAGGACACTGTGCACTCAGGCTCCCACTACTCGCAGCAACGGGTCCCATCATCGATACATCATCTCGTCGGCGCTCATGCTGGCCAGGTAGGGACTGATGGGTCGGCGGCAACTAGCCCGCGCGATCGCTTGACTCCTCGCTCGCCAGCTTCATTGTCGCGAGACCCGCACGATGACGACGACGAGATCGAGGAATTTGGCGTTGAGGATCAGGAAGAAGATGATGATACCGAAAAGCCGCCCATGACAGCTGCAGAGATCCGTGCGCAAAAGCGGAAGATGAAGCGATTTAGGTTAGCCACAGCGGCGTTCCGAACCATTGGGCATCAGCGCTAACATTCTCTAGATTGACACACAACCAGACGAGATTCCTTATGAGTGAGTTTGCGCGACAGGCGCATCCTGACGCGGCCCATCGAGAACGGCTTGCAAGAGAGATCCCTGGGTTGAGCGCCAGACAAGTCCAAGTCTGGTTCCAGAATCGGTATAGTGGTCCTACTTCGACTCAGTGAACGGAACTGCACTGACGCCAGAGGTAGCCGAGCGAAGCTGAAAAGATTGACAAACGAGGACCGAGAGCGAGTACTGAGATCGCGAGCGTTGCCTGCCGACTTCGACACGACACAAGCACTGCATTCAGCATATGGCGCACAGGCACCGTCAGTCGGGGCCCCGATCTCGACAATCGGCGCGTACGGCTACGGTGATAATGGCGGAGGTCGTCCCCTCACCCTCGATACCATGCGCCGTGTCCCAGAGTATGAACAGTATGGCCAGCAATATGCCAGCCCAACAGGCGTGAGCCCGGCCCTGGGTGCCTTTGCCTTCACTCCACCACCATCCGCATCCGATCACATCTCCCCAGGATCTGTCGCGGGCAGCGTATCTCCTTATGTGCTGCACAATTCGGCGCCCTATGATAGTTCCAGACGTCTACCTACGGGCTTGCCAGCAGTCGGCCACACACCATATCCTTCACAGCCACAACACCTTCAACGAATGCCATTGCACGAGCGGCTCGGCCGGACAATGGGCGAGCCGACATCGTCTCCGCTGCGATCGAGTGTCTCATATGCCCACTTGACGAGTGCGAGCGCGCAACCTCGCCATATTCCGGAGCGCGCAGCTTCTTTCTCGGAACATGGCTATGCGCACCAGCGCCCACAATATCAGAGCACGACCAGTCATGGGTCCGGCGATGCAGGGCCGCACGGGCTCGGTTTCTCGTGTGAGTCAAATGTCAGCTCATAACGTATGCGCTTTGCTGACCCCAACAGACTCACAAGCTGGGCCGTTCCAGCCAGGCGAGCATCAGTATCAGACGCCCATGCCCGGCAGCTACTCATCGACAGAACCAGAGCAATTTCGCAGATCAACTCCAGTCTCGTACCCGCAATATCCTACCACAAACCTTCCGGGCAACACTTCTCAATATGCTTCCTACGGGGGACAGTATTCGTCAGAAAGTTACCACAGCAATTATGCACAGCATGGACAGGTCACAGAGCCAGTGTCCCAACCACAACAGCAGCAGCATGGATACCATGCATCACAAGGCACGGCTCAGTCATATGTGCACGGAAACCATGTCGGCAGCAGTCAGAGTCAGACTCTACCTTCTTCGTACTGAACCGCCAGAAGGGGACTCGGGATTCCCCATTAGAAACGAGGAACGACGACATGGGCCGCTGCAGCAAAATGAAACTGTGGAGATGGCTGTCACGGCGACATTACGATCATTATTGATAACGATGGATGTCGCAAAATCTTGAAGGTCGCAGGACAGAGCAGCGGTGCTTTTCGCGGATACCCACTTCGCACTTTTCACATTTCCAAACTTCGACTTTTCTTCTCACCGATCCCAGCCGGCTCACACTGGGACATCTAGGGTAGTATAGCTTAATTTCTCTCAACCAGAAACAGACGAAGTGAAGAGAATCAGCCAACAGAGCGCCACACAGAATTGACTCTCTCCATTACACGCATGCGCAAAGATCCTGACACGAAGCTTCCAAGATAGAACTACGGTTTCACCATCTTGAGCATTGTGTCCAAGCATCTCGCCGGTCATCAGTTTTGCCAGCAGCATTGCCGCATCGTTTCGACCACAACACAGCGCCACCTGTTTACTGAACTCGAAAACTAGATAGACGTCGGATCCACTATCCACATGCCTACAATACATCATCACAACCCCCCCTGAGACTAACCAGCAGCATCCTGAACATCTCGATCGCGTATTGAAACAGAACTACATCGACTAGCGCACCACAATACCAGGGCCAGAAGATGCCTGAACAAAAAAAAAACCGGATCTGTTGCATAAATCTGCTTCCCCGGGTCGGCGAAAAAAGAAGAAAAAATAGCGAAAGCAAGAACACCGAAACTGCCAACAAAAAGCAACAATCATCACGTACAACGGCCCCTCTTAGTGTCCTGCTTCCGACTCTTCTGGACTCTCGACCAGCGAAGTCGGGCCGTGGGACGAGACGGAGCGTTCGTGCCGTGTTTGCACGCGAATGGGCCAGCGCCGAGCGGGTTGCTAGAGCTGTTGCTAATCTTGGTCTGAATTTCATCCCGTTCGTCATTGTGTTTTAGTGGCAGTCTACTACAGTACTCTGTGAAAATCATGGCGAATGAATCCCTGCTGCTGCTGCTGATGAGTATGGCGATGCAACCGACAGGAGGGCTGCTGGTCTCACATGGACTATTCCGTTCGTGAAGAAGCCCCCGGCGGACCGATGTGCGATTTTTGCAAGGGGTTGTGGTTGGGGGGTTACAGGCATTGGCGTTCCGCCCCCGGTCGGCGTACTAGACTAGCCAGGGCAGGTTTTTAGTCTCGTTTGGCCACGGATCGCACTTGTTGGCACTTGTCGCGTGAGCCGCGCGCTTATTTCGACGTCCGGTGGTGAGAGGGGTTGCATTCTGTGACGATGTTGACGGTGTTCGCTCCGAAGCGCCCACGGCGCGATATTGCCGCTGTGCTGTTATTGTTGTGTGAAGTCATCGAGGGAGCGGTATTTTGGATTAGGGCATTGCGTGTGATGGGCATGCTGTCACAGCTGTCAAGAGCTACTGTACATACATGCCTTGTATATCGTGCAGTTAGGGTCATGGGAGTTCGCTAAGACTGGGGGACTTTCGACTTCGGCGTGGGAATTCTCCGTCGTCGGTGTTCCCGTGCTCGCTGACGTTGTTGAGCGCACCCAGATTTTCCGACACTTTTTTCGCCGCTTCCAGTGTCTCGCTTTCTGGCGAGCCCAGTGACTTCGCATCGAGAGTGTACCAGAAACGCTGGTGAACACAGCGACATGGATCCCTTCCATAACAAAGCTGCTTCGGCGATAGGCTAAAGTGAAGATACGAAGGAGGGTCAATCATAGCGCCAGTAGCTGGTCATGAGCGACTGCACCAGCACCCTTTTGGGCCCTGCTTTGATCATCGCCTGAAGAGAACAAAAGCTAAAAAGGCGTTTCGAGATACCTTTCCCTGTCGCCAGATCGCCGTGACGTTGCTGTAGAGTTGAGGGAGGAGTGCATTTAGGCGAGGTAATCCTGTAGATGCAATACCGAAGGACAAGCTTGTCTCGCTGGTTCGGCCAATTGCTGATTGCGCTGGAGTCACATGTCTGTAGAACGACCTGCAAGTTGGCCGCTGACTTACAAGTCGAATATCGGCTCAACATGCCGCTTCTTGGTTCGCCCCCGAAAGCTATTGTTCACAACATCGGGCAACAGGACCGTGGAAATTCGAGCCGAAGCCTGCTCGCGAGATCACCTGGGCATCGCTTAGAACTGTTCGAACACGAACACGAAGCACAGAAGCGCGCTCGCGATGCGAGCTTCGCTGCTAACAGGAAAACTCCCAGCGATCAGGCCCGCCCGGGGCTGATCATTGATGTAGTAGGGTATGTGCGAAAGTAACGCAACCAGCCATGTGCAGCATGTATGGCTATAGCTCCGAATTGAGCAGGAAAGGCCCGGGTCAATGCTAGATCTGTTCCTGGCACATTCAGTTTCAGATGTCAGGCACGGATCCTCACCACGCGACGAAGTTGCGGTGCAATCGTCGTCAGATCTGATGTAAGCCCGCACAGAGTCTCACATCCCCACGGGCGGACGGTCTGCCACTGGGCGGTTCTTCCAAAAGACGTAAGTAGGGCAGTTTCCTTCACTTTACGTGCCTTGCTTGGGAAGGTGGAAAGAGCGACGTCGTCAGAGACTCGTGTGACACGTGAAGACGTGAATGGCAATAAACTCCTTCTAGCGCGGCACATGGAAGCATTGCCGTCGGACCGAAGCCACACGGCAGGCATATCCTAGCCAGCCGGTTTCAGTCGAGATGAAATCTATCCAGATCTTCGCGGAGATGCGGCATTGCGTTCTCCTGAGCGCACCGGTGCCAGAGGTCGCTCGCCTGCCGGGCTGCGAAACGATGAGAGGGTGTCGATGGGGTGCGCGGGTGGAATTAGGGGTGCAGGCACTGGGATACTGGTAGCGGTTGTGGTCAGCAAGTTTCCACCAGATCCGATTGCACGTTTGGGGGAGCACGCCCGAGCTGGTGCCAGCGGCCTGTGAGGATGTGCGTGCTTCTGCTGCCGAGTCGATGGGACATGTCTCGCTCGAAATCATCACTGCAAACCACAGCACGCCTGCCGGTCGACAGGAAGTGTGGCGGAGAGTGGCGGCCGTGAGCGCGCACAGCCAATCGGCCAGCATCGACAGCGGCAGAGCAACATCATTCATGCAGGCGACTGCATGTTGCCGCATCCTCCACCACGTCAGAGCCCTGACTCATTGTGGTTTGCATGTGGGAGCAGCAGCAGCTGGTGAAGACTCGAGTGTGAGATCTGAAATAGCACGGTCATCGCATACGCACCGAGGGTCTGAACCCCGCGAGACTCGACACTCGTCACGTGCAATGCTCCGCGGCGACTCGGCCGCCGGATGTTGGATCACATCCGCATGTTGAGGAGCTGTACAAACGAGGAGGTGCGGGAGGTGGAAGGGCTTGCGATTGTTGCCGGAGCACCACGCCAACAAAGCCAGCGCGAACGGCCGGCCGGTGCGACGTGTTGAGTGGTGCAGCTCTGCGCAGCGACTCGGGCACGCAGCCTGTCTGACGCGGGCACGCTGGAAATAGCGATGCCGCGACGTGTGTCGAGCGACGTCCTGTAGGTATTATTCTAGGGAAGCTGGTGTGTTTGCGCGCGGCGGCACCAGGGGGCAGCATCGATGGGAAATTCGTGTGCGCGACGGCAACGTGCGAATTTGTAGTCAACTGTGTGCGCCGTGTCACAAAGCCGCGAGTCGAGCGACCCGTTGGCATGAGTCGGCCTGTGTCCGACGAGACGAAGGAGGATGTTGAGGCAGAGCGCTGTTGTGACTTTGGTCGCCGCCAAGCGGCCGCAGCCGACCCCTGTATGAAAGATTTTTGGAAAGAGCAGCACTTTCTCAGACTTCGCTTCTGCCCTCCACCACCACTGACACCACCCGTCAGTATTTCGTGTGTGTATCGTCCAGATACCACCCGCAGCGCAGTTCGGCATCACCACGACCGTCCTCGCCGTCGCCTCCCCCCTCCACCGCCGCCGCCGTCGTCACACGTGCAGCCGCACCCTCCGACACGGCCACTCGCTGCAGTTCGCTCTGTTCGCGCATCCCAAAATTCTTCTCCGCTCATTCACGAGCATCTAATACCACGCGCACTCGAGAGCAGGCCTTTCGCTTCGCTCTCTCCCTTCCCGGCTGTCCTTCTCGCACCACCACGCCCACTCCGCTCCGCTCGCCGCCCGACACCCGGCGACCGCTCGAGGAAGACCCGACCATCTCATGACAAGCGCGACATCTGGGGACTCCACAGTTCCAGTCAGCGCCTCTCAAACCGCCAACACGCCTTCCGCCACTACCGCCAGTACGACTTCCTCGCTGCCGCAAGCTGTGTCTTCACAGCCCGCAGTGAAGTCGTACGCCAACGCTACCAAAACGGCGACTCCACCAACATCGGCTGGAGCCTCTGCGCCAGCGCAAAATGCAGCAAAGTCGAACGACGCTCAACTGAACGGTTCGATGGCGCAAGGAGGCTCTCAGCAACCAGCTCACGGGGTATCGAATGGCACCTCGAACACTGCTGATCACACCCGCAAAACATCTGTCGTGATCAACGCTTCTGGCGCCTCAGGCAGCTTCCCGAACGGAGGTCCTGTCGGTCAGAATGGTACTCGTCCTTCCATCAACTTCGGCATGATGAGCGCACAGGGCGGCGAACAGGCCAGCGCGCCTCAACATTCGCACAGTGCTTCTCTGCAACAGCCGCGCCAGGACCCACGCGTGACCACGCCGACCCATTCACCTTCGCCTATCCCACAGCCGGCAGCAAGCGGTGGCCGCCCGCCGTCCAGTTTGCCAAACCAGAACAACGGCGGCCTCGCTTTTGGCAGTCTGCCCGCGGACACCGAAACTGTAAGTCATCACTCGTGCACGTCATCTGATTGGTGCTCGCAAACTAACTTTCAACTTTTGAAGATGCGCGGACATGGCCACATCCCTCCGGCTAACGCTCCTGCCCACGAGAGACGTCCATCATCGCACTCGATGCAGAGTGAATTGAGCAGCCAAGGCATGCGACCCGGCTTCCCGCCACAAGGCCGCGGTAGTGGTCGAGGCCAGCAATTCACTCCGGGTCAGCAGTATATGGGTTCACCCGGCGCACAATACCGGAACCTTCAAGGCCAACCACCACGTAACTCATTCCCCCAACAATTTAATCCTCAGCAGCCACCCGGGTCACCATATGGGCGCCCAGCAGCACGCGCAAGTCCCGTTCCGATGAACGCTCAACCACAGATGCAGGGCCAACAGATGCACTATCAGCAACACGGCTACCCCATGCATCCCCAACAAGTAAATCCCCCCTCTTTTCTTCCAGCTTTGCCGACCAAGGCGCCCTCTAACCCGGCGCGACCACGCCGACAAGTCAGCTCAACGAGCGACAGGCCGGACAGTCCGCTGCAAGAGGGCGCGCCAACTTGGGACGCCAAAGAATCTACTCCAGCTAATCTCGAGTCGAATTTGAATCTAACTTCGTCGCAGCAACAGCAAATGTATGGCATGCCGCCGTACGATGCTTCGAGTGGCCACTATAACCCATATTACTACCCACCACAGTACTATGGGCAACCGCCACAGAGTCCTCGTCCTGGCTACCCTAGTCCATTCCAAGGCAATGCCGCCGGCATGCAACCACCTTTCCATCCCTCCGCGGCGCCCGGCATGGCTCGCACACCTTCGCAGGCATCCGAGCGTCCGGCCTCGAGTCTTAGCCACCCTCAGACTCCCGCGCAGACCGCTCCAGTCCCATCTGGCACTCCTGGCCCTGGCCCTGCTACCCCTGTTCAAAGCAGCAGCTTCATTCGCCCCGTGAAGAAGAGCAATGCGATCAAGATCACAGATGCTAACGGCAACGCCATCGACTTCACCAAGCCTGCCACTCCTGCCCAAAGCTCCTCGCAAGGTCCAGTCATCGTGTCCACCCCGAACGCCCCGACCCCACCGCCACGAGCAGGTAGTAACAACCACAATCGCGCCGAAAGCAAGAGCGCGCCATCCTCGGAGAGCACCAAGAATGCATTTGCCGAGCAGGTCAAGAGGAAGATCGACGAGGACAAGCGGCTAGCTGCAGAAGCCGAGGCGGCGAAATCGAAAGAGACTGCCGACAAGGCTGCCGAGTCGAAGAAGGCTGAGGAGGCCGCTGCAACCCAGGTCAAGGAGGCTGCTGCCGAAGCAGAGAAGGCCGCAGCCAAGGCCGCTGATGACAAGAAGGCAGAAGAAGATGCCGAGGCTGCGAAGAAGGCCCTCGAGAACGAGGAGGCCGAGAAGACACGCAAGCAGCAAGAGGAAGACGAGCGCTTGGAGCGTGAGATCGCGGAGATGGAAGCCAAGTACGCCGCTGAGGAGAAGGAAGAGGAAGAGCGTGAGCGTGCTTACCAGGAGAAGAAGGCTAAGGAGAAGGCAGAGCGTGAGGCCAAAGAGAAGGCCAACCTCGACGAGAAGCTCAAGCAGCAAGAACGCGAGGCCGAGGCGCGAGAGGAGGCGCGTGAGCGTGAACGCGAGGCTGCGGACAAGAAAGACGTGGACGAGGAGGCCAAATCCATGTTCGCACAGCTGAAGAAGACCACACTTGGTCCTCAAGGCTCGTCAGCAGCCACTCCAAGCGGGACCGAGACACCCACGTCTGAGAAGGAATCAGAAGAGCCCGCCGAGTCGACCCCTGCCGCTGCGGCACCACGCGCAGGAGCTTCGAAACCCAAACCTGCTCACCTCAAGCTCGAGACGAACAAACCCGTGGAACGTGCAGAGCCAACTCCTGGTATGCAGGCACTGAAGTCTTCGCGTTTCCTCGAACTCAAGGAGGAGGCCAAGTACCCCGACGGCTTCAAATCGCCAAACCCAGCTCTCAACCCCAACGGTGCTCGTAAAGGACATGCTTACGACAAATCCTTCCTGCTGCAATTCCAGAACATCTTCAAGGAGAAGCCGTCTGTCGACTGGGACCAGAAGGTCAAGGACACGCTTGGACCCAGCGATGATTCTGCTCGCACTCCCGCGCGCACGCCTTCCAACATGGGATCGCGTCAAGGATCTCGCGGTGGGCAGCCCTTTGGCGGACCTATGGGCGGCGCCATGGGCAGCTTTGCCGGGCCAATGGGTACTGGCAATGCTCGAGGTACTACTTCGGAGCAACGATTCCAGGCCGCTCAGATGGGCGCCATGGGCGGTCGCCCTGGCATGCCAGCGGGTCGTGTGCCAAGTCAACTTGTTGGTATGGGTCAGGCTGGTGGTATCAGTCGCAGCAATAGCAGTCTGCAGATGGGCAACATGAACTCACGACAGCAGAGCTCTCGAGGCGGTGGCCGAGGCGGCAGTAGGAATGACCGCCAGCACAGCAAGCGCCAGGAGCAAGCCGACGCGAGCAAGATGCCTCTTACTGCACACATGGAAATTAAGCCGATCGAGGTCACCCAGAGCGGTTGGAAGCCAATGAGTCTCCAGGGTAATGGTGGCCCATCGAATTCCGGACCCGATCCATCTGGCTTGATGGCTCCTGACATGGTGCAGCGCAAGGTCAAGGCCGCGTTGAACAAGATGACTCCAGAGAAGTTCGACAAGATTTCGGACCAAATTCTCGAGATTGCCGCCCAGTCGAAGCACGAAGTTGACGGCCGCACTCTGCGACAGGTCATTCAGCTCACCTTTGAGAAGGCCTGTGACGAAGCACACTGGGCTGGCATGTACGCCAAGTTCTGTCACAAGATGCTGACTACCATGAGCACTGAGATCCGCGATGAAACCATCAAGGACAAGAATGGTAACCCCGTCGTCGGCGGTGCTCTCTTCCGAAAGTACCTGCTCAACCGCTGCCAGGAGGAATTCGAGCGTGGATGGCAGGCTAATCTCCCAGACAAGCCTGAGGGCGAGTCGCAAGAGGCTGCTCTGTTGTCCGACGAGTACTACGTTGCCGCTGCCGCCAAACGTCGTGGTCTTGGTTTGATTCAGTTCATCGGCCAGCTGTACAAGCTGCGCATGCTGACGCTTCGCATCATGCACGAATGTGTTATGCGTCTGCTCAACTTCGAGGGCGACCCAGACGAGGCCGCTATTGAGAACTTGACCACTCTGCTCAGGTCTGTCGGTTCCACCATGGACGAAGAAGAGCAAGGTCAACAGCTCATGAAGACCTACTTCGATCGCATTGACCAAGCAATCATGCAAAACAAGAACCTTCCAAGCAGACCACGCTTCATGGTTCTCGATCTCATCGATCTCCGCAAAGCAGGTTGGAAGGGCAAGGACTCAGCGAAGGGCCCCAAGACTATTCAAGAAATCCACGACGAAGCAGCCCTCGCACAGGCGAAGGCCGAGGCCGAGAAGGCCAAGGGTCCTCGTGGTGGTGCTCCAGGTGGCCGCATGCCAGCTGGTCGCGGCGATGCTCGCAACTTCTCCGGTGGCATGCCACCACCACAGGATTACAACCGAACCAACGTTGCCATGGACGATCTTCGTAAGCTCCAGGCTCGTGGATCAAACCCACGCTCAGGCAGCTCACTCGGTCCTGGTGGCAGCCTTGGTCCGGCTGGTCTGGGTCCTCGAACTGGCAGCAGACGTGGCGCTGGCGGTCTAGGGCCTGGCTCAACTGGAACATCCAGAACGAACACTCCTCCTGTTGGAGACAAGAAAGAAGAGCCCGCTACTGCTCAAAATGCATTTAGGTAAGTCATCATGTGCTCTTTTACGGGCCCAGCTTTTACTGACATCTTTCGCAGCGCCCTCGCTAGCCTCGATGCCTCTGGAGATCAGCCCGAGGAAGCACAGTCCGAAGCAGCATCACCGCCAGCCGCTCGGAACCGATCAAAATCACCCACGGCGGCTGAGAAGGATGAGACTGCTGTATGAGATACCCCTTTTGCGCTGCTTTTAGGAGAGTACGACTGTATCCACTACGCTTCGGACTGTGTTACCAATATTACGACTACTAATCTGCATTTCCGCGGGGTCGAGGGATAGAAAAGAGGATCGCTGCTTTTTGACGCGTGCTTGCGCTTCGCTTCTTGCGTGTTGTAAAAGTTCTTTCTCGACAATGCACGGCAACAAGAGGTGTTTGCATTCAACTGGTCATTGCGAATCGCAGCGACTTGCGATGCATTTTGGGATCAGCAAAAATGTTTTTCGGGCGACGGCGTTCATCACGGGCTCTAGACATGGACTGATCGCGCTGCGTTTCTGCTTCTTCTTTGCTTTCAGGATGTCTTCTCGACACGAGTGGGGGAGAGAGGGCATTGGCTTCGGGCGCGGCGGCTTTGATAGCCACTGCTGGTAATGAATGAGCTGATGCTGGGATGCGGATGGAATGATGGTCAAGGGCGGCTTCGTGGGTTTCGCTACGTGGATGCTGTCGATGATCACGGTTCTAATGTCTAGACTCTCTCTCCCCAGACTTGTGACGAGTTGATGCTTTCCGACGACCATTCGAGGATGGATTGAGTGTACCGACGCGAGATATTGGGTTAGTGACGCACCGGGAGGCAGGGGTTTTGCGCTCAGTCAATATAGGGTGCAGATACTGTTTCGAATGGCGAATTGGTACTGAAATTTTGTGTCTCATTCTTCTCGTTCTCTTTGCTTGAGGAGGTTGAGTCCGCTCACTTGCAAGCATCAATTTTGCTTACGGCATCAAGTTCGTTCCCCACTTTTATCAGCCACGCCTGTCGCTCTCGTGCAGCTGCAGCGGTCAATGCTTCCTTTCTCTTAATTACTTGCTACCAAAATACATCCTGTCTTTACCTGTCGTTCTAGCCAACATCATGAGTACCAAGTGTCTCCCGTTTGTACGCTCTGTCTGGGAGTCTTTCCGGGCCAATTCGGGTTTGGAGCCGAGGTATTACTTGCTCATCTTGTTGCATGTTCTATCTCGCTGATGGTGGTGATATAGGTTACTTGATGGTGTATGTTGCCCTTTTCTATGATTTGGTATTGGGTTTGCGTCTTCCAATGGCGAGCGCCACGTACAAGGATCATCTTTTCCAACGAGCTGCAGCGCAGCCACGTCGTTTCAAGCCAGACAATCGTATATGGCTTAGGAGGTGCTCCAGGACAGCCCGCGAACAGAAAAGACGCGCTTGCATGTCGATTGTTGAAATCTCAGCTCATTGAACTTGTCCTAATTTTGCATTTTCCTTACAGCTCCGCATCACGGCCGCTCGACCGGGAACGGTGAACTTCGAATTGGATATTGAGAAGCATCATACTGTAGGTGGCAGCCTCCCATCTCCCGCTCTTTTGCCCTTCCGCCTCGCTTTCAAACGGCATCCTGATATCTTCCAGAACCGCCTCAAAATCCTTCATGGCGGTACTATTGCCTCCATGGTCGACCTCGGCGGCTCCCTTGCTGTAGCTTCGCGAGGTCTCTTCGCGACGGGCGTAAGCACGGATTTGAATGTGACATATCTCAATTCGGGCGGGAAAGTGGGAGATTTGATCAGGGCGGAGGTGAAGTGTGATAAATGTGAGTTTTAATTCAACTTGCCTGACTTGGCCGCGTTAGCGTGGAGGTGCTAATGAGGATGGCGATTACAGTCGGAAAGACATTGGCGTATACTTCGATTGTGTTTCGAAATGAGAAGGATGAGTTGGTGGCGAGGGGCAGCCATACGAAGTATGTGAGCCTGGCGTGGAAGGATCCGCAGAACATCGTCGAGGAGCTGAGCCCGAGAGGAGATGGGGAAGGATCCTCGGTGAGGTAAGGTTGTTGCGTTAATAATTTCAATTCTTCGCTCTTCGGCGAGGACGATCCGTGAGCATAGAGTGTACAGATATCGCAAATGGCTTCCATGTTGCCATCAAGCTTTGTAACTATCTTCTACGAATCGACAACCCATCTCCTCAAAAAGTCAATTTGCTTCTCTACTGCCTTTTCGAAGTTTCCTTCGCCGAACAAATCAAAATGTCCTCCCTTCAACATTTGCAATTCCTTGGGCTCTCGCGCTTTTTCATACGCTTCCAACTCCAAGTCCGTCATGGCTTGCGCATCCCGGTCCATGACGATCATCAACAGCGGACGAGGAGAGATGTACTGAATGTATCCTTGAGCCTCGTGGAACAGTGGAAGATAGGATGTGCGGAGCGTCATATCGTTGAGCCAGGTTGAGGAGAGGTTGTTGGACTTATCATACTTGGAGAAGTATGCGTAGGCTTCGGGAGCAGCGAGAGAGGCGATCCCGTTGGGATCGGAGGAGACAACCGGAATGCGGGCTATAGGTTGATTGCCGCCAGTATAGCGGGCTTTGCGGTCTGTGATATTTTGTTAGCTGATGAGAGTAATTGCAGTAGAGTGGTTGCAAGAGTCAAGATGGGAATGCACGAAGTGTAACAAGGGAGTAGAGTATTGCATTGATACCCACCTTCCTCAAAAGCCTTCAATGTCGATCCTAACACTTCTGGCCTGATGATCCTCCTCGCCTGACCCCAGCCACTGACAACAGGCGCGCAGGCGATTACAGCTTTGATTCTCGGATCACTCGCGCCAACAGTGATTGCATGTCCGCCCGCGAAACTGTAACCCCAAAGGGCGATTTTCTCGGGATTGATGAAGTCCGAACACTCGACTTGAAGGTAGGACACGGCATCTGAAATATCGCTCTGCTGTTCCCAAGGCACAATCTCTCGCTCGGGGCAGTCAGGTTTTGTGTCTGAGGATCCGAAGCTACGATGGTCGTAGATGAGTACAGCAATAGAGAGGGCGGACGTGAAGGCTTCAGCGAAGCGGGGAAGATCCATTTCTTTCACGCAAGACCAGCCGTGGGTCATGATGAGGCATGATATGAGATTTTTGGCTCCATTATCGTGGGGAATGTTGCTACTGATATCTGTTGGTGTTTGTTGAGTATTTTCTGGTGTGTAGAGCCATCCGCGCAGGGTGACTTGGTCGATGGTTTTGAATTCTACGTCGCGTCGAGGCATACTTTCTTCGTTCAGGATGCTTGTAATCCTGTGTAGTGGCGATTTGGTCGGAGGTTCGTGAAAATAAGTTTGTGGTGATCAGAGTGTTGCACATAGTGAAGAACAAGAATGGGCTTGAGATAAACGTAGACAGGATCCAAAGGATTCAGGATAGCTCAGCTCGGCTGTTAGCTGGTGGGTCACATAAACTCCACTATCAGCTCGTGCAATGATGTTCCGCTGTGATGAATCCCGCCGTACCTGCATTTGCTTTGTAAGTGAAGTGAACATCCCACCTACAAACCATGTCACACGCACCTTCTTCATAACACCTTCACTTCTTGTGACATTATCATGGAACTTTCACCGTCCAATATATCGAAATCGCCGCGGTAGTGTAGTGGTCAACACGTCAGTTCCCCAGCATAGCTTGAGACGAGGAACGTTTGATGAGGTTCTGCGAGGGCCGGCAGGGCGGGAGACGTGTGAGAGTGAAGCGAGTGCAGCTGAAGGCATTGGTTCGAATCCGATCCGCGGCATTTCTTTTTTGCTTCCACATCTGCCCTGCAAAGACGAGTTATAGCAGAAGCGGAAGCAGAAAGATTTTCCGCAGATCGGGTTTCAATGTACCTCAGGATCTTGAATGTATCATAGCCCTTGAAATGTCCGTTCTCGGCTGCTTTGGTCTAATGGATAGGGCACGTAGACGGCATCCTGGGTATCCCAGCGTCCCGCACGTCTACGGGATGCTGGTTCAAGTCCGGCAAGTAGCATTTCTCTTCCTTTTGCTTTAGCGGAAGGGTATATCGCGATAGGCCATTATTGCTCTCTTTCTACCACCGCGAGAGAGCTTGGAACATGTTGTGCTGTGCTGTCGATTTGGGAAAGTCAGACATAGTACACATTTTGGCGCTTTCACAGCTTTCTTTTATCCCAGCCGGGTTCTCGGATATGCTTGAGTAGTCGTGTTTGTACATTGTCCGTTGAGTAGAGGCACGTTGATAGCGATCTACGCTGGAAAGCTTTGAATGAGTTCTATCGCCATCGTGGTATGATTCGGACTTGAATGCGCCAGCTCGTATGTTTCGTAGGGTATGCAAGTACAGTCAAGCCTCGAGCAGCTTGAGCGCCGCCCCTTCCGAATCGCATCTTGACTTAATTGCAGCTTGAACATATTTCGAGACTCCGGAGTCAACTGTTAGTACATACCTATGCAGCCCACACTTGAACGTCAACACTTTTGAGCCTCTTCGTCAGCAAAATCACCATATTGTTTGTACTCTCACCGCAGGCCCTTCGTAACGAAAAGGTAGTTGAAGCTGTACATTTCGTCATTTCCTTGACTCCACCCTTTCTACGCCATTCTCACTGATAGATAGCTCCGGCTTCTTTCTTCGCGAGCGTTGTACAACATAAAGAAAAAGCCTTTCCTGGCCGCTTACTGCATAGTCAACCCGCCTACTTCGCACTAACTTTCTCCTTCGCTTGCTGATACTTCTCCTTTGCCATGTCTGTCAAGCTCTTCCCTTGCTTCTCCTGCTCCAGCTCCCACTCTGCATTTCTGTAGTATTTCGCCGTATCCACGCCGTGTTGGTTATGGTTGACGAAGTTGAACCACGGCATCACATGCAGGAAGGTACCCGAGTACCGACTTTGTCGCGACGCGGCGCCTTGCATATACTCGGTCAAGGTCGTTTGTCCGTACAGAGGCTCCCCTCGCTTGACCTTATCGGTCATCTCCCGCATGTCCATCTCGATTTCGCGTCGGTTCTCTGAGAAGCCGTAGAAGCGGTTGATGGAGCGCGAGTAAAAGTAGAAGAATCCAGCGGCGACTCCAACGGCGCCTTGTAGGCGCATGATCTGTGCGAAACCACCACGACCGACTTCTGAGGGGGAGATGCGCTCGAACCAGTACATGAGAGCTGGGCCTGCGGCGGCCAGAGCAGCACCGCTGGCATAGTCGGAGGGACGAGCGTAGCCTACGACGCGTTTGAAGTGTGGATCGGAGTCAATAAGCTGGGGCGAGAAGAGTCAGTGGTGCGAGCGGAGGAGGAGTGGGTGGAAGATGGGAGGAGTCTCACCGGATAATCGCCATTGAGACGCTTTGCGGGCACCTGCGGCCTGCCGGTCTCGCCCAGCTCGGGGCCCTCGGTGACAGAGATGACCTCGCCCTGTCGTTCGCCCATGGTGGAGAGTGTGCGTGTGGTGAAGGTGGTGCGGTGCGGTGCGGCGGCCGTGGGAAGCTGTTCGTGTGTGGTGGTCGAGAGAAGCAGGGCATTGACCAATCAGCGCGCACCTCGACGTCAAGTTGGATTCGATTAATTCTGGTCGACACTTTCACGTGCTGAGGCTGTTGCTGCGATTCCACGCGTCTGTCCGTCGCAGACCGACGAAACAGCACAGAACATGGCGCGGCCGGGAATCAGCGACCTGACGGGCGACAATGCCCTTGCCCAAATCGCGCGCGACAACTGGCTGTCGTCTGCTGCAGCGCCCAAAGTGCAGCCGGCCACCATCGATGAGCTCTGGAAGCTTGTCGAAGACGACCAATTTTCGACTTTCTCCCTCTTGCTTCTCGAACAATTGCAAGCACTCGAGCGCTACCTCTGGCCTGGGTACAGCGAGAATGCTTCCAACCATCACGTCCTTCTCATCGCCTTGCTCGTCAACACCAAACGATCCGAAAACCTGCCCACATGGTCCCTCTTCGCAAACACGCCCGATGAGTTTGCAGATTTCTTCCGACGAGTGCTGCACCTGAGCGTCGACGCCAGCCTTGCTACCTCTCTACGCGACCATCTTCTCGCATTCATCGTGGGTGCATACCAGAGTCTGGACAGTGGAGTCGTGCGCAAAGAATGCGCTCCCTTGGTATCGATTGGGATATGGCACAATTTGCATAGCGATGCGGTGAGGGACAAGTTGATCTCGAAAAGCACACAGTTACAAAAGGCATGGCGGGCGTCAGGGAAGAAATTCGACAACGCAGATGCAGCAGGTCAAGCCAGGCTGCGATTCGAGAGGAGTTGGCTATATCTGCTCGTGCTGAGCCTTTTCGACAAGTTGTATGCTACAACCAAAAAGAGTGAAGATGTGGCATATTGCGAACGCTTCCTGGAGTTGCTGTGTGATTTGCAGAGTCAGCTGCCTACACGACGGTACGTGAACACTTTGCTGCAGGATCTGAACCTTCTGCCAGCAATCACACTCTCGCCGCTGTATCAACAAGAATCGCGGATACGGGACTTCTATGAATTGCTTCTCCACTACACTCACTTTCCTATCGACGATCACACCGGACGACAGCTTAGCAGCCGGGAATACGAGGAGACTCAGAATGCTAGCATATCAAAACTGCAAAAGGTTGGCATGAAGTTACAACCCGAGAAGCTCAAGATTTTGATCTTGAACAACTATGGTGCGCTCGGACGACGCGAAGAGCTGGAAGGTTACCTCAAAGATCTCACGGATGACGAGCTGCTACAGCTGTGTCAGGAGATGGGCCTGCGAACCAGAGAATACCCAGAGTCTACACAACTCGTACAGGATCGACCGTTCCTTGTCGAGGTTCTGGTCGCTATAATCGAGCGGAAACCGTACTACACAGAGCGCATGCGGAAGCTGCAGATCCTGCCAACAGAAGATGCGTTATACAAAAATGCTCGACTCCCTGCTCATGAGCATGCTGTAAATCAGCCTCTAGCGATACCGAAGCTCAATCTGCAATACCTAACGATTGGAGACTTTTTGTGGAGGTCTTTCACACTTTACCGATATGAAGCTTTTTACAGCCTGCGCAAGCATTTAGAAGATACTATCAAGAGACTGCAACCTCGGAGAGGCGGAGGCATCGTCCGGTTTGACGGTTTCTCGCGAATGGCGATACCAATCCCGAAGCCTGCAATCATCGAAACAGTCCCTGCTCGCGTAGGCGAGACTGTGCCGGCCGAGGTCAAGTCGGAAGTCATTCTTGATGTCAGCAGATTGCAGCCAGGGCTGCGAAGAGAGTGGGAAAGCTTACGCCCAGATGACACTGTCTATTTGTTGGCACTGAATCCTGAAGATGGTGCGCACAAACTCACCAACGGCGCTGCCGAGAAGCAATCGATCGCCGAGAAGTTCGGCTTGAAGACTGTCAGATGTGCAGAAGTAATCAGTGTGCTTGATGAGAACAGCAGAGTGCTCAAGCAGAATCAGGACAACCAGGGCTTCTCGGACGATGGACCACGACCGAGACAGCGTAGGCTGTTACTTCGACTTGACGCCGCGTCGTACAAAGCAGACAAAGATCGAGAAGCCAGTGGCAAGCCAGATGTCTACGAGAGCATCAATCTGATTGTACGAAGACGGGCGAGAGAAAACAATTTTCGCCCTGTGCTCGACAGCATCAAGCAATTGGCTACCTCCGATGCTCCAGTTCCATCATGGTTTGAAGAGGTCTTCTTGGGGATCGGTGATCCCGCTTCTGCGACATACAAGCGACTACCCAGCAAGCTTCAAAGTGTCGACTATCGAGACACATTTCTAGATTGGCAGCATCTGATCGAGTCCCTGCCTGGCAAAACCGTCGAACCAGATCCAAAGCTGGATGCCGTTCCAAGGCCGCCATATGTGCTAGAGAACACTGAATCTGCCCCGGCGCCTCCTCCCGCGAAGGGCAAGAAGAGAAGACGAGATCAGCCCGATGGCCCGGATCCTGCACCATCCGCGGAGACGTTCAGAGTGTCGACGTACGAGCCACCCAACGCTGGCCCATATCCAGAAGATGCGCCCAAGTTGAATCATGTTCGCTTCACGCCGACCCAGGTAGAAGCGGTGACCGCTGGTACTCAGCCTGGCTTGACACTCATTGTTGGGCCTCCAGGAACTGGAAAGACTGATGTCGCGACCCAGGTCATTAGTAACATCTATCACAATTTCCCACAGCAGCGCACACTTCTCATCGCCCATTCCAATCAAGCACTCAATCAGCTCTTCCAAAAGATTGTGGCATTGGATATCGACGAGCGACACCTGCTGCGTCTCGGCCATGGAGAGGAGGAATTAACCACAGAGGCCAGCTTCAGCAAAGCCGGTCGTATTGAGTCTTTTCTTGAACGAGGTGCACGCTACCTTGCTGATGTACAGAGACTTGCCATAAGTATAGAAGCTCCTGGTGCTCACGGCAGCACTTGCGAAACGGCGGAATATTTCGACCATGTCTGGGTCCAGCCACGCTGGAAACGTTACTGGGACAGCATCGATTCCGCCGATACTACATCCGAACAGATCATCGCCACGTTCCCCTTCCACGCGTTCTTCGCCGATGCACCGCAACCTCTGTTCCTTCCTGACGCAACACGGGAGCAGCTCGTGGACACTGCAAAGGGCTGCGAGAGGCATATTAACCGCATCTTTTCTGAGCTTGCTGACATCCGGCCATTCGAAATTCTACGAGCACAACGTGACAAGAGCAATTATCTGCTTGTCAAGGAGGCACGCATCATCGCCATGACATCGACGCATGCCGCTATTCGCCGCCAAGAAATCGCGCAGCTCGGATTCAAATACGACAACGTGATTATGGAAGAAGCCGCACAAATCACAGAGATCGAAAATTTCGTCCCATTCGTGCTCCAAAAGCCGCGATTGCAGGACGGCAAGACACCCGAGAACCCACTCCAACGTGTCGTGCTCGTCGGCGACCACCTGCAAAACTCGCCTGTCATCCAGGACATTGCTCTCAAGAGCTACGCCAACCTCGAGCAATCTCTATTCCAACGCCTGGTCCGTCTCGGGGTCCCACATATCGTCCTCGACGCACAAGGCCGTAGTCGTCCTTCGCTTGCAGATCTATACAAATGGCGATACCCCTCACTCACCAACCTCCCCTTCACCTCTACGGCTCCTGAGTTCGTCGCCGCCAACGCAGGCTTCCGGTACGAATATCAATTCATCGATGTTCCAGACTACAAAGGTGCTGGCGAGACCGAGCCTTCTCCTGCCTTCATCCAAAACCTGGGTGAAGCTGAATATGCTGTCGCATTGTATCAGTACATGCGTCTGCTTGGGTATCCTGCAGAGAAGATCTCTATCTTGACAGCTTATGCCGGGCAGAGAGCGCTGATAAAAGACGTCTTGAAGCACCGATGCGAGAAGAATCGGCTGTTTGGACTGCCAGGCTGGGTCGGCACAGTCGACAAGTACCAAGGAGAGCAGAATGATTATATCATCCTATCGCTCACAAGGACGAGATCTCCTGGATATCTGCGCGATCTACGAAGACTTACTGTCGCGCTCTCGAGAGCGAGATTGGGTCTGTATATTCTTGGCAGGAGAGAGGTGTTTGAGTCGTCTCTTGAGTTACGAGAGGCTTTTGGGGCTTTCTTCGAGAGATCAAACAAGCTGACGCTTGTCACTGGCGAATTGTTCCCAACCGATCGCAAAGTCGACGAGAAAGTGCAAGGTGAGGGAAAGGTGGTGGAGATGGTTAACGTGGAACATCTTGGCCAGTATGTATTTGATATGACGAATGCGAAGGTGAAAGCTCTGAAGGAGGGGAAAGGAGAATTGCCGCCGCCTGCAGTTGGGGAGAAGGGGAGAGTTGAAGAGGGAGAGGAAGACGAGGTTGAGGATGAGGACGATGGGGCGTTGGAAAATGAGGAGGAACTTGGGGATGTGGAAGTATAGCGTTGTATGTTTGTACAAGGTTGTTGATGTGCTCATATCGAGGAATATGGATTGTTCCTCCAACCTGATGAGGATTTGTATAGAATACGTCGAAGCAGAGCGAAACGATAGCTCTCAGATCAGAAGACCAAGTGGTCCAACGCTCTGCACCATGCAGATTTTACCACTTTCGTTGCTGACCCCTTTCCTCCTTGTGGTGTTGCGAGAAGGACGATTGACATGGAGGAGAGATCAGACGATGCCCACCTCGTAAGATCCGAGGGTTGGGATCAAATCCACAGGCAGAGATGAAGAGCGAAGTAGACGTGTAGAAACGAAGTCCGCAAGGGACTGAAGTAAGAGATGAGCATGCATTTATTATTGTCTCTCGAAGCTAACCAGCGGAGTAGATGCTCATTGCCGTCATGATTTCTCACATGTAAAGCTACCGAGCAGTTTGAGGACCACCGGCAAGGTTTCAAATGAACGTCATGTGTCAGTCAGTAAGTCATATCGATCTTGGCGCTGTCCGCGGCCTTCCTTTCCTTTCCGTTTCCTGCGTATCTCCCTGCAAATCCCTTCAAGGTGCTGACGGCGGCCAACCATTCCTCGTCATGGCCTCCACCTGTTTCTCGCACGCCGTCAGGTCGTCCAACTGGCTTTGCGTCGGTGATGAGCGTTGGATCTGGTCCAAGCTCTTTGCCTGATTCGACTCTCTCTGTAGCGTCCACACGTATGATTTGCCCCCCTTTCCGTTGTCCTTGGCAGTGCGCGAAACGACAACATAGAGACCATCGTAGCGAAAACCCCTCTCGTACGTGATTGGGAAAGGAGCGGATTCACGTTTCGGCCCACCACGCATGACACGAATTTCTTTCTTGTTTTCGTAGGATTTCTGGAAACATTTGGAGATCGATTTCATGTGTTTGAATTCGCCAGCAGAAACTGCCCGGTCCCCTTCTCCTCCGTCACTGAGCTGGTCATTGTCTGAAAGGTCCGCCGTTCTCCTACCGCGCTTGTCGCCAGATTGAGGTGCGGAGGACTTGACCTTGCCAGTCTTTCCATCTGGAGTTGCGATCTTTGCTCCGGAGAGTATGTTTGTGGTTTTCCTGGTCGAAGTGTCTTGAGCTCCGCCCTCGTCCTCAGATTCGGTCGCAGGAGCTGGTTTCTTCTTCGTAGCCTTGGATGTCTTTCTGCCCTTTCTCTTCGTAGCCCGGGACCTATCTTTGCCTCCTCCAGCGTCGGAAAACTTGATCGTGTCACCGTGATCCTTGATGTGCCAAGTTGTGATTGTGTCGCCGGAAATGGCAATGGCGAAAATGCCCTGTGCCTCGTCGCCATGCCAGAAACTTTTTATCTTGCCGTGTAGCCCATGAACTAAGGCGCTGACTCTTGTTGGAAGCCAAGTGCCAAGGGAAACGTCGGCTGTGGTGACTGGTAGATGGCCCTGGCCAAACTGCTCGGGGTTCGCGCCGTTCGGATAGTTTGGACGGGGCTCGTCCTTTGCCGTATCTTTATCTTTCACAACACCACGATAGACGCCACCATGACCCCAGAGTCGATCCGTGGCCCTTGGTATCCAGAGATTCTGTTTCTGGCTCGACGTGAACGGCGTGCCACCATTACCCGCAGCGGTGGAGCCCTGCTGGCCACCATTCTGACCAGTCTGCGCTCCTTGACCTTGTTCGACGTCACTGTCGTCCCGCTCATCTTCGCTGCCGCCGTCACTCGAGCCACTGTTGTCCGAAGTAGCGCTCGGAGGAGCCTGAGGCTGAGTGCCGATGTTGGCCACGAGTGATTGGCAGTTACGAACCTTCTCCTTCGTTACAGACTGTGCCCAATCGATCGTCTTGATGTCCGATACTGATCCGAGGAGAGCCCACAGGTCGAATTCTTTCGTGATACGAGTCAAGTGCTGACTCGGCTCAGTCATTCCAAGTTCCTCCTCTGTGAGCAAGTTGGTTTGTACCCACTCAAGACCTGCGCTCAGCGTGTCTACCAGTCCGACGAGACCGTCGACTGCCTCGCCCTCTTCGACAAGAGCGTTCACGACATCGTCTCGTAAGCACTTGAGGTAGTCGATTTGCTTGGAAGGAGAAGCATTGGTCTCCGGTGTGGGAAAAATAGGCGAACTCATACTGGCTAGACTTCTGTAAGCCGTTCTCTGTCTGCTGCCAAAATGTTGCACTGGGCTCGTGGCTCATTTAAGTAGCTCACGCTGTGTTTGCTACTTTTCACGGTCAGCTGTTTGTCAAGCGACGCCAAAGGTTTCGTGCAGAAGCGCAGGATTTGATCTCAACGTAGGTGTCACGCAGACTACTGCCTCATGTATGTTTGCAGAACCTTTGTTGTGTAGACTTCCTTGACAATCCTGATCAAAGTCACTGGCCAAAGCAAACAACGTGTGATGAGCCGCACTCTGTATGCACAAGTGAGATTATACTTGCCGGGCTTCGAAATGTTCGAATTAAGTAAGAAGCTGATGTGTCAAGTGCTTGCGCTGAATAGCGCAACCTATTCGAGGTAGGAGCACCAGGAGCACTTCATGTGAGCAAAGAACGCAATTACAGCATATGTAGCTCGAGTACGACTCCGATATTGTCTCCGAGACCCGCAGGTGGCGCGTCAGTGTGAGAGTACACCAGCATGAGAAGCGCACATCGACAGGACCAACCAGTCATTGAGGCTTCAACGTCAGCGTGTAAAGCTCTTTGTACATATTGTCCGCCGAGACTCATGCGTGTGGGGTTCGTATCACAGACTAGTCACTCACTGGGCTAGCCATGGAGCACCGCCGTTGTTAGAAGCCAGATAGTCCCATAACTTGCACTGGCCAGAAACGGTACTTATATCAACCGTAAAGAGAGGAGCGCGTCTTCTGAGAATCTGTCGAAGAGCTAAGGATGAAGTAACGTGCTTCCTGCAGTACCGGGATATGGAACAGATCTACTCCGTTGCAACAACTTGTTGGCCGGGCTTGACGGCAACGTGTTATGAGCCGAGGCTGAGACCACAGAGAAGGACGAGTGAACTCGATGTGATAGTTGTTGATTCAGTTTCCCGTCCGATGCGCGAAGGCCAGCATCCAAAGAGGGAGCATGCTGGAAGGAGGTAGCAAGCGAACTTCGAAGCAGCAATTGCGGTCAATGCCAAGGCCACGCTAGACCAGGAACAAGTCAGCGGATAAAGTAGAGAACTCCCGCACCGGAGATACAGACGTCAAACACATACCCTACGTCCGATGCTTGTTCGTTCGCCCATCAGCATTGCCGGGGGGACAGCGTTGCGAGCTTGTTTGCAACGACAAGATGGCCTTTAGGAAGGATAGGGCAACCGCAGGACGACAAGGACAATGTTCCACATGTGAAGCCGAGGCACACTTCACGAGAATCTCACACTCGGATCTAATATAAAACATCGACCATCGATACATATATACTACTGAAGAATTGATAGCAAAGCCATCAAGAACTCCAAAGCTCAACCATTATGTCTCAAGACCCCGAACCCAACGCCGTCCAAATCACCCACCCTCACCCCAACATAACCCTCATTACCCTCTCCCGCCCACACAGACGCAACGCAGTAAACGCCCCGACAGCCGACAAACTCTTCGCGGCATTCCAAGCCTTCGAAAATGACCCCGACCAAAAAATCGCAATCCTCACAGGCGATAACGGCCACCAGCAGCCCGCCTTCTGCGCAGGCTACGACCTCCACACCGTAAAACCATCCAACTCCGTCCCTTTGACCTCCGCCAAAACAGGTCAAACCCTCAACAGCCTTGGTCCCATGGGCCCCTCTCGTATGCTCCTGTCCAAACCACTCATAGCCGCAATCTCCGGCCCAGCAGTAGCAGGCGGTTTCGAACTCTCCCTCCTGGCCGACATGCGCGTCATAGCACCAAACGCCTTCTTTGGAGTCTTCTGTCGCCGCTGGGGAGTCCCACTCCTCGATGGCGGAACCGTACGACTTCAGCGTCTGATTGGTCTTTCCAGAGCATTAGATCTGACATTGACCGGAAGGCCGGTGTATGCCGAAGAAGCGATGCAAATCGGACTTGCAAATCGATTAGCACCTGAAGGAACAGATGTCGTGGAAGAAGCCGTCAAATTGGCAGAGTCGTTGTTGAAATTCCCGCAGTTGTGTATGAATCTGGACCGCAAATCAGCTTACTTTGCTGCGTACGATTCGGGAAGTCTGAACGATGCATTGAAATATGAATACGAGAATGGTATCGAAGCAGTTAGAGCGGAGGGTGCGGCAGGTGCAAAGAGATTCAGTGAGGGGAGTGGAAGGCATGGAAGCTTCAAATTGTAGACTGTCGTTAACCAATGATGGCGATGAAACGCCACTCTGATGTATTATTTCCCAAACCTCGCTATGCTTGTAGGTCACCAAAAAATATTGCTCCTCGAGCGCTCCTTCCCGATGCGCACATACCGACAGTTCCCACATGCTTGACATTCACTTCTTGACATTCCGGTCATGCAATGCTGCTCTTCCATCCCTAACGCCACGAAAGAAGATTCACCCGACCCGTGTGTACTGGTTGCGCTCCAATGCGAGAGATCAACGAACGATGCTACGCTCATGACCTTAATATATTGACCTTACTCCTGCTCCTTTGCCAACTGTCGTTGGTCCACGATCCATTCCATGACACTCTCGTAGCACAATACATATTGTCGCAAGGTTTGCACCATGCTGAGTCTCTGGTGACGGAAATCTTCGACCGTCCTCTCGACCAGGTCGACATCATCACGCGACAGCCAGGAGTCATCGAGATCCTTAGTGGTTGGCTGATACTGCGAAGCAAAGAAATCGCCTTTACTATCGCCATTCCGCTCAGTCTGCTTCTTCGCTGATGTTGTTGAGTCGACCTCCATCGGCGTATGCTCCCTCGAGTTGCTGCTGATGCGCTGACGCTTCAGCATGTCAATCACACTGTCGACAGTACAGAATGTGCCTGTCCTGCCGCAGCCAGCTGAGCAGTGCACTAGAATCGGCCGATCACTATCTTCAGGCTGACTAGCCCGTACCTTATTCGTCGCACGGACGACGGCATTCGTCTGTTCAACCAAGCCCAGTAGATGCGCCGGATGTGCAGGAGCTCCAAAATCGGGCCACGAGGAGTACTGGAGTTGGGTGATCTCACGCATTGGTTCAAACGGATAGCGGTCATGGCTGATCGTAAATTTCCTCACGATCACGTATGGCTGTTCTCCACCTGCGTTCTTTACTTCCTTGTTGTCGATTGTGGCGAGCGGTACACCGGGATTTTGTGACTTCGTCGAATTACGTTTCACAGTGGACGGTCTTTTCTGATGTGCTTTGTGTATCCTGGACGGTTCCAGCGATGCTCGCTTTTCAGACAGGAAGTCAAGGTGTATTGATCCGTATTGCCTCTGGTCCCAGTAGTTATGCGCCTTGACTTGGGCGCCTTCTTTCTCGGCAGTGAGCATGACCACGACACGCACGTCTTGCTGCCAAACTACGTTCCAAAAATCGTTGAACGTAGCAGGAATCGGTGCTTGCGTTGAAATATACCTCTTGTTGCTCCAAGCCGCTTTGATGTGACTTGCATTGAAGTAGTCGCAACCATGATTCGGAACCCCTTGAAGGCGTACTCGCGAGTGTTCAAATGGCCAAATATTGTTGTAACGATTCTTGTTGCCCTTCTCCAGTCCAGCAATTTGAACCGCGCCTGAAGCGTCGACATTTGTCGGCGTACCGAAAGACACCTTGCCAGAGAGCGCGTCTTCCATCCGCTTCTTTTCCCTGCGCTCAATCTGCTCAAAACGATTAGCCACACGCTTGCCTTTGTCATTCTTCTGGGCGGCGGTTTTGATCCACTCTGGATACTCCTCTTCTGCAGAACTCGTCTCTTGTGAGGGGTGTTTCAGTTCTATCTGTCCAACCCCCCCTATCAGATCCATGTTTTGTCTGATGTTGCCAAAGAACGGATTCGCTGGCTTGTCAGTCGATGGCATAGGACAGCCACCGACAACCGGAGCCACCTCTGGACCATCGCCATCAACGCCCTGCGAGCCATTGGACTGACTCTGGAGGCCACTGTCGACATATTGAGGGAAGCGTTTGGAGAATTCATGGAAGCCACCTTTGATGATGTAGAGGGTTCCATTGTAACCTTCGCCGCGGAATTTCTTGATGGTGTTGAGACATATGGTGGCGTCCTTCGTTACGGCGGAGCTGCCATCGTAGACAACGATATAGCTGCTCTTTCTCCAGTTCTCAAATTTCGCGCGTTGTTCCTCGTCTTTGAAAGTGTCTGCAAGTTTCTGTACATTGAAAGAAGGTCTTTTCAATAATGTCGTGGGTATGCACAGACTGAGCGCAGAATTGATGTGAGAGTTGGCGTATTGTGTTTGGACGCGCAGGTCTAGAAGGAGAATGTCTTCGTTTCTCGTGTTGAGCAAGTTCACGACATGCTGCGGAGTGGCGAAAACGGTCGCGTCAGTATCCGTCGTGACCGGGAGCGTCTCGGAGCGGTTCTTCTGAGCCTGATAGGACGCTGCCAAGTTGTCCAGCGGAAGCTGTAAGCGGAAACTTTGGCCGTCATCAGATTTGGGCGAATCTAGTTTGCCATTGGACATGTCCTTTTGAAAGTCATCGAAGGTCGGAGGCGACGCGCGTCTCTTGCTGATGTTCTGCGAGCCGGGTGAGTGTGACCGCTTGGGTGAGCGAGACAATATGGTAGACTGGTCCAAGACTGAGCGGTGTGAAGGCTGTTGGGCTGATATGTCTTTTGGGTCGCTGTGCTGCGGGGACGACTTTGCTGGGGCCGGTGCCCACGCTTTGCTGTTGACGCTCGGACGCGAGACAAGAGCCGGTCTTGCAGTGCCCAGGCCAGAGAGTGTAAAACCAGAGGTGCTTTCTGCTGATTTCTTGAATGAGGCGTACTGTTCATCTTGATCGAGTGGCACGACAGCCGGTGACAGGCCTGCGGTGCTCCTTATGCTAGACGAAGGCGGCGAGAAGAGGTTTTTCGATGCAGTAAGATACGAATTGTCTTCGGCCTGGAAGGCAAAGTAGTTCGGGCTCGGAGTGCTCGGCGCATTCCTTTGCTGAGGACTTGTTATGCGCGGCGCCATGTCGGTCGAGGCGGGCGTGGCGGTGAACCGATGCTGCTGTGTATTCGAGAGTCGCTGCGGGTGGTGTAGAGGCGACGGAGCGCTTTGGGTCATGCTGGTGGGCGGCGGCACGACGGGTCGATGCGTTCTGCGATGTCGAGAGGTCGAGGGAGTCGCTCAAGTGGGTCGCGGGTGGATTGCACGCGACCAACTAGCAGCCAAGATGAGCGGCATGAGGAGCGCAGAGAGGCATTGTTTTCAGGGTGCGCGGACGAAGGGTCGAGGAAGATGGCAACACTCGCCGTACCACGTACGCTTGGTCTGCCGCAGTCGTGATGATGAAGGTAAAAGCGGGTGCGTGTGCGACAGTGACGTCACGCAGGCGAGCGTCGGAGGGAGGGAGGGAGGGAGGCGGCGGCGACGATTCGAGTGGAGGGGAGGTGATGCTGCGGTGGGCGAGACCGCGAGCGAGTGCTGACTTGTTCGAGCGCTGGCACGGCTGGATGGGAAGCAGAAGCGTGCGATTGCAAATGCAGCAAGAGCCAGCCCGTCCGTAAGTTTAGACCCTGCAGTGACGAGGCCAAGATTTCTACCTTCCGCCACTTCACGTCGCCTCCCCATTGCTCTCCGCCCATAACTCCCACTACTGTCGAGCGGACTTGTTTCCGGATATTTCGTCTCCTCCACCTCCATGGCTCATACAATCAGACCTTCACATCTTTGCGGCGAACACTGCAAAACTGTCAATGACAACATAACTCCACACGCGAGTACGTGCTCATAAACCGGAGTCGAAGGCCTAGAACGACGGCCCGCAACTCTACTCGACCATTACTCATCAGCCCAGTCGCACTTTTGCATCGCACCGCTGTAACTGGGGCATGTGCAGACCTTCCTCCAGCCCATAGTGTTCGGTGCCTACTACGCGTGCGAGTTTCCCCCTAACAAGTTGTTCCTTTGTAGTACTCTCACCTCGATGCCTCGACGCAACGGCGAGCTGGAGACTGAGGAATGTGAACCAGATCCTGTGCGAGCTCGCCCTGACACGAGATCTACACCTCGCGCGCGCCCTATCCCGCACACATGTTTCAAGTGGTCGAACTAGACATCCGCCATCCGATATCTAGGATCTGCAGCACCAAGTGTACAATGAAAGAAGATCTTCGTCGTTGCAGAAAAGACTGGACCCCCAGTGCGAGTCCTCACAGATGATCTACGAGAATGTGGACCCCACCAACACACCGAGAGCTCACGTCTTGTCAATTACTGCCAGCACAGTTCATGATAAATGCTGTCAGCTTGTGACCAACACGAGATCGCCATTGTGGCTTCTGCTTATTACCGGATCATACTATATGCTTGGTCCATTAGGACACACGAGAGTTCTGATGGCGCAGAAACACAAAACTTCGGCCGCCAGTTCATGGACCCTATTTCGCTGCCATGACCTGATTCGGAACGGCCGGACGATGCTCCGTCTGCCCTGCGTTTGTCTGCAGCTTGCAACGTCTTGTACCGAGACCAAGGTCTTAGATCATGTCCCGTCCATTGACCAGACGAGGCAGCGATCAACCACATGGAACGGAACCGTCCTTTGCTCGCCGCCGGGTCCCAGTCATTAGCAGCCATTAGCGATCTTCACACTTGATGTCGGAAGCGAGAGACTGCGCACCCGGACCCTGTCGCATGTTCAGGTCATGCCATATTTGCAACAGATCTGGAAAGGCTCATCAGGTATACAGTGCAGTGGATCACGTCTTCCTTGGAATGCGACTGGCCAAACAGCGACAAAAGTGTCGCCTATGCAATATCTGATGATCTGATATATCAACGACAAGTCGCTATGACTAATACCAGCAGACAGACACGGCAACCCAGCGATTCATGCTACGACAACTACCATGCTGCAGCGACGACTCAGCAATTTGGCCAGTCAGCACACTGTGGCTACCATGAGGCTATTGCATCATTGTCCCGACCAATAGCCGTCTTCCACTGGAATCCTCTTGACTACAACGGGGAGCATGTATCCATGGAGGAGCAAAGTTTCGTGTCGAGGACTACACCTCACCTCTTGCTTTGTGCAAGGTCCACAGCCGAGTATCAATTATGGGTAGCCTGTTAATTGAGCTAACTGATTCTCCAAATTTTGACCGAAAACATATAACGCCGGAACACCATGCCCATGTACCAGGATTCACGCTCATCGCAACTTCCTCGCCGCTGGCCCGGTTCGCCCAGTTCCAGCGCCATGAACAAACCTACCATGCAGTGTACCCACCATCCACAATCTCCGAGGCACCAGTTTTGAACGATGAAGCATCGGACAACAAGTACAACACGGCTCCCGTGTATTCAGAACTTTCTGACAAGCGTTTCAGCATGTTTTGGTCCTCCCATTGTGCTTTGAGATGTGGCTCGTCCGCGAAGTTTTTCAAAACCATCTATGCCACAGCTGTTAACAAAGGTCTCCTCGGCGTTCTGATGATCTTACCGGTGTGACAATGTTCCCAGGGCAAAGACTGTTCACTCGAATCGGCTTTCCATCAACAATCTGCGACCACTCCGCCGCGAGGCTCCTTGCTAGTTGGTCGACAGCTGCTTTCGATGCATTGTAGACACTACACAGCAGCCCTCTATTGGCCACCCGTGCGCTCATGGATGCAATCAGGACGATGCTGCCGGGCGTTCTGTACTTGATCATCTGTCTTGCACAGGCTCGGGCAGAGTAAAACACGCCTTTAAAGTTGATGTCCATGACCTGTGAAGAGAGGATTCCTGGTCAGCGACAGGCCCTGCGAACGAAAGCCAATGCGCATTGGTCTCGACTCACGCGATCGACTTGCTCGGGAGGATAATCAAGAGCAGGCTTAACGAAGTTGACACCAGCTCCTGCGATGAGACCATGGATGCCATTGTGCTTGTCCGCGATCTGGGCAAAGACGGCTTCTTGCTCCTCGTAATTTCGTGTATCGAGTCGGATGTGGGTAAGAGAGCCGGTCTTAGAATCTGCAACTCGAGCTTGGGTGTGCAGCCATTCGACTGAGGGCTCTTTCTGGTAGTCGAGGCAATACACTGCATTTCGTTCTCAGGAGCTGAATCTGCTTCGCGATCGATATTGCTTACCATGAGCGCCTAGCTTGGCAAGAAACTCCGCATTGCAGAGCGTCAGACCACCGCCTCCACCTGTCGCGGCGATGATTCTGTCCGAGATCTGTAAAGTTACCATATCAGTGTTTTGGCTCCAATATGTGGCGGAGGATATCACGAACGTCGAATTGTGGTGGCAGCTGATACTTGCTTGCACCTGTCTTGGCTGTCCAGGGAGACTGCACGCTCGAAGTTGCGATGCTAGTTGCATTGGAGTTGCTTCCTGTTGACGAGAATGTTCTCCAAACAGGTCCGATATATGAAGTCTTGATGGTCTGGTGGCAAGTGTTCACGATGCTCGAGCTAGTCAAGCATAAAGGTGGCTGAACCACTCGGCGGCCCAACCGTAGCCAGGTTGTGCGGAATGTGGAGTGCATGCTTTCGGGTCTGTGAGATTGAAGTTGACCTTTTCAGTGCCTCTTGTTTCCGTCTTGTCCTTGATCAACCAAGAGAATTGTGAAGTCGACACAAGTTTTGGTGCGAGAGTTCTGGCCCTGCTGATGTCTTTTTTGGAGACTATGTGCGCTGTTGCTGTCGTTGATCACACGCCCAGATGTGACCGGAACCTGCGGCAAGTTGCACTCGTACTGAACGCAACCTGATAAACGGAGGGGCTGTCATCAAGAGGTCGCCGATGCAAAAGTCGATTTCCAGCATATGTAAACAGCAGGAAGTGCTGAAGCTCTTTCGTTTCTCAGGTGAAGAAGAAGGAAAGAGAGACTTGGTGACTTGAACAAGTGAAACCAACGAAGCAAGGCGTCGTGGCCGGACCCCGCCCACCAAGACCTTTGCTTGTAGGATTCGTTCAGGTACCAGAAGCTTTCGTTTGCCTCGTGCAACGTTCGTGACGAAGTCAGATGCGGAGTCGGGTAAGTGCTGACTGGTTTGACGGGCTGCTACTACCTACCTTACTGTGCTGACTTGAGCTCCTCACAGATATCGCTGGACAAGTAGCAGCTTCAAAGGAGGATACCAGATCCCATTGCATACCGTGCCTATGCCTGAGACGAGGTCTCTACTGAACGCTGATATGGCGAAGCCCATTCCCAGTAGGCAAGCCAGATCAGACTTCAAGAAAATACGTCGCACACGTTGACCATGTTCGCTTCCGGATCCACGGCTGGTAATCTCACGACAATGCCAGTGCAGAACAATGCTTTTCCTCAGTGCACTTTTGATGTTGCTCGAAAGTCACAAGAAGAGCTTGGTGCTGCGATTCGTCGTGGCCAGCAGCGTCGCGTTGTCGAAAATGCGAACAACGCCTCTCACCATTGCCTGATACTCCTCCCAGGACAAGTCAGAAGAGGATTCCAGAGCAGCAGCATAGCTATATCCAATGCGGGTCGCGAGCGACGCGTGGCCGGACATGGCGAAGGAAGCGAAGGCCCGGGTTGCCGGATAAGGAAGACAACTCTGCTGTAGGTCCTCTTTCACGACCGTTTCCATGAATGTCCTGGTCGACGAGGTTCGACATTTTCGTGAGACCTGAAGGAGGAAACCGACGTGTCGAGCATTTGACGCGTCCCTAGCGTGCAGGGATGTCAAACGGCGATAATCCGGAGTGATCTCATTGACAGGTAACAGGCCCACGTTCACGCTCGTCAATATATACGGGGAAGGAAATGGTTTCCACTAAACGTATCTCTTTGCTGTTGCTGCTGCTGCTGCTGCTGCTGCTGCTTCGCTGCTTCGCTGAATCTACTTTAACCATGACAGCCGCAGCGTCCGCAACGGCGGACATACCGGCAGCCGAGAAAGCCCTCAATGGCCACGACTCCATCTTCTCGAATGCCAAAGTCACATCGACAGTCGGACTCCTACAAAATGCGGTTCTCCCATCTTTCGGACTTCACGGCGGATTGAGTGTCATTGCGTATGGCATCGCTCGAAGCACGGATCGCGTCGAAATTAAAGATTACTTATGGCCAAGTGGAATGGTGATCAATGCATGGTGGACTGCTGTTGGAAGGCATTCACTTGCCGGCCCTCGCGCACCTGCACTGGAAATACTCAAGAGACTGAGCTATTCGCAGAAACTCCTTCTCGGAGCGGTCACAGCATGGGGAGCTCGTCTTTTCTATCGCATTGTCAAGCGTAGCGTCTCACGAGGCAAGGACGATGTTCGATACGAGAACGTCAAGCAACAATCCGGATTCTGGAATAAAGCATCGCTCCTCTTCGCACTCGAAGCTGCGTTTCAAACCGCGATCTCGCTTCCGTTCACTCTACCTTTCCGCGCAGACTCTGTGACCGGCTTCGCTGGTGCACCTGCAGAATGGGCGCAAACAATCCGATTGACAGCGGCTGGAATTTTCACTGCGGGACTTGCGTTGGAGACACTTGCAGACTGGCAACTCGATTCGCATAAGAACAGGGAAATTAAAGAGAAGCAAGAAGGAAAACAACAAAGCGATCTGCTACGCTCCGGGGTGTGGTCGATAGTTCGACACCCCAACTACTTCGGCGATTCCCTTGTCCATCTCGCTTTCCCGCTCTGGAACTATGGTTCTCAGCTCTTCACCTGGCCACAATTACTCGGACCCGCGGCGAACTACTTCTTCTTAAGATGGATTGGCGGTGATCGCGAGAACGAGGCATCGCAAGCGGAGCGTTACTCCAAGGAGTCCAAGTCGAAGCATGCTCAATTTGAGCTCTATCAGCTACAGAAGCATTCTTTCTGGCCTTCATTGTTTGAGGTCGCGAACCCTTGGACGTGGATCGTCTCGGGCATTGGCGCGGCAGGTGCTGGTGCAGCCTACTTTTATGAGTCTCGTATCGCTGCTGCTGTTACGGCTGTCAACCCGGCCAGCCTGACTCTTGGTGAGACCGTCGCCGGCTTGCAATGAATTTGTGCCGATAGCAGATATGTAGAATATAAAATGTAGACTTAGACCTTCTTCATTCAAGGACGCTACAACTTGTTACCCATGTTGATATGCACAGCCTTGATCTGGCTGTATGCCTCTAATCCTGCCTCTCCGAGCTCTCGTCCGATACCCGACTGCTTGACTCCTCCGAATGGGATACGAGGGTCGGAGTCCTGGCTACTGTTGATCCAAACCATTCCAGCTTCGATTTCTGCAGCCACCCTATGCGCACGCTCGATATTTTGTGTGAAGACTGCTGCACCAAGTCCGTAAGTCGTGTCATTCGCTTTGCGAAGCGCGTCTGCCTCGTCTTTGAAACTTGCGATCGCAACAACAGGACCAAAGATTTCTTCGCGATCTGCATCGTTGTTAGCGGACGTTTGAAATCAGTGCTCAGTGGCAATGGCGACTCACAGATCTTCATATCATCCTTCACATTGGTGAAAACTGTCGGCGCAATATAGAATCCCTTACCCTTCTCTTGTTGCAGCGATTCTCCACCAGTTACAACACTTGCGCCCTCCTCTTTGCCAAGCTTGATATAGCTGAGAATCTTCTCATATTGCTGCTTGGAAACCTGCGGACCTTGATACGTGGACTCATCCCACTGATCGCCAACTTTGCTAACTTGTTTCACCTCCGCGACGAATTTCTTCACAAATTCATCGTAAATGCTCTCCTCGACTAGGATCCGTGATGTCGATGTGCAAATTTGTCCTTGGTTCGACATGATACCGAGATGTGACCACTTGACAGCTTGTTCGAGATCGGCGTCTGAGAACACCAACAGAGGTGATTTGCCGCCAGTCTCGAGAGTGATATTCTTGAGCGTAGCAGATGCCATCTTCATAATCTGTCGTCCCGTGTTCGTGCTTCCAGTAAAAGAGACTTTGTCAACGAGAGGATGTGACACAAGTGTTGCTCCGGCGTCAGCTCCATAGCCGCTGATCAAATTAACGACGCCAGGTGGGAAGCCAGCTTCGCGAATGAGCTGCCCAAGGACGAGAACACTAAGTGGTGTGAATTCGGAGGATTTCAGCACAACCGTATTGCCGCAGGCGAGCGCAGGACCTAGCTTCCAGCCTGCAGTCGCAAGAGGGTAGTTCCAAGGAACGACCATACCAACGACTCCGATTGGTTGTCGAAGGGTGTAGGCAAGCTTTTGAGGTGTTGTGCTGATCGTCTGGCCGAACGTCTTGTCCGCCCATCCAGCGTAGTAGCGAAGGGTCAGGGCGACTTCAGCAACATCGCCGCTGACAGCATCATTGTATGTCTTACCTATCTGCCATGAGCCAAGTGGTAGAGATTCCAAGTGTTTAATGACTTACCATTATCCCAAGCCTCAATGGTGGCCAAAAGCTCCTTATTCTGTTCAACCAGATCCGCAAGCTTAAGCATCAATTGACCTCGATCAGTTGGCGGTAGTAGCTTCCAGGAAGGGTCCTTGAGAGCCTTGTACGCTGCTTGAACTGCGTCTTCGACATCTTGCTCCCCAGCAGCTTGAACAGTGGCAATCTCTTGCTCGGTTGCAGGATCTATCGTGGTGATAGTCTTGCCACTCTTAGCTTGCACGAATTCGTTGTTGATGAAGAGACCAGTGGGCTGACTGTATGTGCGACCATTGGGAGCTGAGAGCTCGATACTTTGAGCTTGAGCTGCCATGTTGCCAAATTTCCGGTGCTGCAATGGTTGTATACTCCTTTGGAAACTTGTTTGTCGTGGAATGTGTACAAGACAGCTTCGAAGTACTGAAGTTGATGGAGGTAAGCTGTAGCAGCTTTGAGCTACTCGGGCGAGTCTTATCGCCCGCATCGAATCGCTTGCCTCGTTTTGATGGCAGCATCTGACTGAAGTGTTGACGGTGGAGCCGAGTGCAGGCCAAACCCCGCGAAGGTGGAACGTCGGCTGCACCTGCCACTTTCGGCGATACTTTCCGATTCGCATGAGCTTCGAGATTGTGCCACGGGCTGTCTATGTGCTCAAAATGCCATCAGCCATGTTTTCTGCTCACGGCATATTTCTACCCAGCTCGTCATCAGAGATCCCGCTGGATCATGTTCAGACGAAGCCTCTGCGTCCAGATCGAGCTGACTCTTCTCTCGCCTCGCCCAAACAGCCCGTAAGAGATTTCTGGCCTGCTCATAGGAATGAAATTCAGTCATCGATGCTGCTTTCTCCAACCAGTTCGTCAACCGATCACGCCGTTCACGCGTTTCAGCTTCGCATCCTGCGAGAAATGCAGGCCATGGAGTTCCCGGTCCTTCCCATGTTTTGCTCGACAATGCTTGATCGAAGGCGTCGAGGGCGGCGATCACGTCGTCGACATGGCTTTGAAGTATCCACGGATTGACATTGCGTATGCGTCTGTAGAAAAGAATTACCAAGCCGGAGTTCAGGGCGTTGTGCATGGCACTATTTGCTGCCCACTGCTCGCCCTTGCATATCGGTTCGAATTGAGCTGCGAATGAACAGATCATGTCTTCTAACCTTGCTGAAATGTAGCAATACGCGTTAGCATGTGTCAGAGGGTAGACTACTTGAGTGGAGTTTGGATGCATAATATGTTCAGCGATAGTCTGTGCCACCCTTGAAGGAAAACGGGTTGAACTCACCAGCACGTCGTTGCAACAGTCGAGAGATCTTATCATTCGCAGCGCCATTGGCCTTCACAGAATCCATCTTATTTGCCAGACGAGTCGTCTGTGACACGAGGCTGAGCCACGTCTCAGAGACGCCAAAGATCTGATCGTACATCGTCGCCGAATTCGTTCGAGAGTCTTCCAGATGTATGTCTCGAAGTGATAGCTCTGGCTCTTTCGTCTGCGAAAGATCCAGGTCGCTATCCTCAGGTCGTAGCTCGAGGCGGAGGAAGTCGTCCAAGCGACTTCCAGCACCGCTTTCCTGAGTAGAATTCTGTGGCGGGATGGTTCCAACCACGAATTGCAGACTCTGTGGTGTTGTACCTTCGCCGTACTCGTGAAGTACGTATGTACTTTCGCCTATGATGCGGTACCATGCATACCTGCATACCACCAAGTCAGTAAGCGTTGAATCGGTTAGTGCATCGGGAAATGAGCTTGTGGCCTACATGTGATGAAGCAAACGGCATTTGCGCGATATCGTACGCTTAGCTAACCCGCGATATCTCATAAGGCGCTCGCAGTCGATGAGGTAACAGCGAGCATCCTCCGAGGTACCAGCAATGACCTTGTTTGTTAGCAGGATCGGGGAAAAGGACAGTGAATGCACTTACCGCCAAGGCTAAAAGACTGAAAACTGCGCTCATTTGATCTTTGTACTTCGCCTTCGCCGGACCGTTAAATTCATGCTGAAGTGAATGCTGGAGGTGAGATTTCGCCTCTCGTGTGCAGAAACCTGCAATCTCCGACCAGTATCCCGAGTCTCTGTTGGACTGCCAATCGAACGAAGGTAGTTTGGACAGGTGGTATGCAGAGATGGCCAGAATCCCAAACAAGTTAGATTTCTTTGCGGAGCTGACAGGAGTATCTAAGTAGCTCAGATGCGCGAGTGTATTGATGGCTTCGGGTAGCAACGTGACATACCAAGGCGATTTGTACGTGGTCGGCAAGCTGCACCTTCGTCTTATTACGTTGTTTCTGAAGTGCTTGAGTAGCTGCTGTGCTTCGCTCAATACTATTGTCTCGTCCATGGCTTCCCAATTCGACACTTTGGCGGCTGCAACATTCGGCCCCGTCCAATCATTGTGAAGAGGCAGCATGAATGTATTCAGCTCATTGCCATTGGCCGTGTCTCGATCGGGGAAGATCATGTTCGTGTTGTTGTTCAAGTCCAGCATTGGGTCAAAAAGATCATTGTCGAGGAACATACCATTCGAGCCAAACCCAAACAGATCTGCCCACTGCAAGCTATCATCGAGCCCAGTAAGAGAGTCAATAGTGAGTGGAGTGTCCAGAACTGGGGACACGGCAGCTTGTTGAGCTTCTGTGGTCGTTTCTTCTATCGTACTGAGAGGTCCTTGGGCCTTAGCAAAATTCAGGACAGCGAATGGCCCCACTACAAGGTCTTCATTACTTATGCCGTTTTTGAGTTTACTCTTTTGATCAAGTTCAGAAAGACTGGCGTCTATTGAGGTATCTTGAAAGGAGAGAGCCATGCTGTCATTCATTCGTTGTCGATCGTCGTCTGTGATGCTGTCAGAACAGTTCTCTCGCCATCAAGGAGGAATCTATACCTGTGTAAAGGTGCCTTCGTGTGGCAAGGCTAACGTCTGGTTCCGATGATACGATCTCCCGGTCATCGCTGCCACCATAGAGAGACTTCATCCATTTTAGCTCAGCAGTGAAGCCGTCACACCGTGCCCCAATAGCCTTGCACGTGAGACAAGAGGGTTTAATTCCGTCGCATTTTACGTGTCTTCTACGGCATGTCCCACAGCCCTCGAATGACCTGGTACGGCGCGAGGAAGAAGCCTTAGCCCTGGGCATCGCATCGGTAGAAAAATCTGATCCCGGAACATTTGTGTCAAGATGGGCATTCCGAGCGATGGAATACCTCTGTCAGGCTTCGCTTCAAGGTTGCATGTTGAATGTACAAGGTTGGTGATTTGATGGATGGCTCATATCCAAGTTGCGACTAACTTCACTCAGGCGCACGGTCGTAGCTGCCTCAGGCACCGTTCCCATGCTGAGTCTTGGCATCTACGGCGCAGAAGGTAGCTTTCAGCAACAGGTCTAGAGCATTTAAGGCTTCACTTGTCAAGTGAAGCATTCTGGACACGAATCTATATGGCCCCATCTCTAAGCTCGATGCTCCAGACTGATCACTGATATCTGCCTTACAACGATAACAGAAATATTAGCAGCCAGGCATGCTTGGTATCGAAACTACTCTCCGCTGACTACCAACTTGTATACGTCTATGGTGCTTCTCACGAGGGTTTCGAGTATCATGCTAGACACTCCCTGTATTGGAAACGTGACTCGAGGAGTTAATGTCTCATAGTCAAGGACCTTATCCGAGGGTTTCTCCAGGACTCAGGAGACTTCTAGGTGAAGGAAGGGTCTTATGCCAGCCGATCGACTGTCATGGAACGGACCTCAGGTCTTACCAAGCTCATAGACGGACTTTTGGCTGATGGTTGCACTGGTCTTAGCATGAGTCCTCCGCCAACTGGGCTGTTTGGAGTCACGGTACCGAGTGAGCAGGAACGCGAAGCAGTCAAGCCATTCAAGGAGAACGCTGCGCAGTGCGGCGCATGAAGTGGCCATTATGAGATCGAAGCAATCGATAATCAGAACATCGACTCAGAGGCTCCCCAGAATTGAACGGATCATGTCGAATTGAACACTCGGCTAATGGCTGAAGCCGCGTGAATGTGATCATACAGTGCTAATGGATTGGTCGTGCAATGCGGCTGCGAATTTTCGCAGCAGGGCGCTTCCCATGCGAAAGCCGCTCTATCTGTAGTCATCATATGCTCATGGTTTTGTAGCGAGGCTACTGCAGCTTCACACGGACTGGCCTTGTGGTCTCGATACTAGCTGCAGTGTGGTATCGCAGTTGTAAGGAAGGGCCGCCACGTAGCTCAGACTGTTCTGCGGTCCGACATGACGCGAACGATACTTCCAGGACCGACCAATTCAATGAGCTGTTCAATGTAACTGTCAGCGAAAACCTTCTACCCGTATTCAAATCCACCGACCTTTTCGTGCCAGCTGAGTAGAACACTCATCGCCTGGCCACCACCTTCCTGTGCTTGTCCGAAACTCCTCCCACCAATCTGGCTAAATCCTGTTGGCTGCGGAGTCACGTTTTGTGGTGTCCCACGGCCTCCACTGGGTGCGTCCTTTGCCATGCCCTTGTACAAGTACTTCATCAAAGTGTCCAGCACTTCGGAACCGCCCTCTGATTGTGAGATTCGTTGGCAGATCGGCGTGATTTCTGCTTGTCGGATGGACTGTAGGATCTCTGTTACTGTCGCCAGGTGAATCGCCTTCGTGCTGTCAGCTTCATTGCTCTTGTCCGGTGCTGCCTAGACCCTCCGCTCCGCCTACCTTTCCACTCTCATCTGCTCCATATGGTACATTTTCCAATGCTCCTCGGAGCGCTCCTTCTGAGTCTCCACCTCTGAGCAGCTGCTTTATTTGCCCCGCAAGAGTCTGAACATCTGCCGTCGATACCGGAGCGACTGCCGGAGTGAGAGTGGTGAGATCGAAGTTGGAGGAGGATTCGGGATCGAGAGCGTCAATGTCGATTGTGCGCCAGTTGATCTCGATGTTGCTGCGAGCGCCGGTGATGGACATGCTGGCGGTGGTAAGAGAGCGGCGGTATTCTTGTAGCGGATTGCAATTCAACGCCAATGCAGCTTCACCTGGGCTGGTCGTACCTGCCTGACGTTGCACGGGCAGTGGGGTGCATGTGTCTTGGCAAGGCTGACAGGGATGTGAGGTCGGCAAGCGCGACGCGGGTCGCGATTCGAGTGAACGGGGGGAAACAACTTACACACTTTCACACTCACACTTTGGCGTCGGCAGCTTTTTTGGAGTATGGCGCATGCATCATGAGCTACACAGTGACGACGACACGCGCGCAGACCGCACAGGAAGTGTTTGCGACGACGCGACAATCGACGACAACAACGGCACACGCGATGGATAAAGTTCGCGTGCAGGACGGGGATGATAGGAGTTCCGAGTCGGTCGACCTGAGCGCATTGAACGACAACGAGACCGACGACTTTGGCCGGCGTATCCTAGCACATCAGCGCGAGAAGCTTGCACAGCAAAACGAGCAAAATCGCCCGCTGTTCCCACGAGCGCGACCTCGCCCGTTGCGACCGAAAACATTGGACCCGCTGGTTACGGTGGGCGGAACATTAACCGAGAAGACGCGACCCAGTCATCAGAGGAACGCGAGCGAGGGGGACTACAAAGCCACTCCTGGGCTTAATGTGCCGCAGGAATGGGGCAGACGAGCAAAGCGACGAGAGTGGCAGCGGAGGTCCGTCTCCGACGAGAATAGGATCATCAGGCAGGACAAGGACTCCATATTCCCGATCCAGACACTGTATACTGGCGACGATGGTTCTGTGATCAGCCCCGTCGTCAGTCCTGGAGGAGGGCTCGTTAGGCCCAGCGTGGAAGACACACCGCCTTCGATGACGCGCAAGAGATTGATGTCAAGCCCGAGCTCAATGCGTCACATGAATACGACTTTGCCAGATGTACAGAGTGAAAAGGGTGATCTGGATTTCAACGACGAGAGCATGCTTGTCTCTACGCCAGCAGCTGTAAACCGGAGGGACCGCAAGATCGACGCGATGATGAAGGGAGAGATAGATGCAGTCGAGAAGCAGGGTATCGCAAAGAGACGGGTATCGGAAATCCTGGAAAGGCCAGGCAGTGCGCCATCCTCCGACCTTGCTAGTAGGGTGGCGAAGCGGAGAGAAAGGCGATTGAGCGATAAAGAGAATGCAGCAGAAGCAGTTGATGACGGTGTGGAGGCGACAGCTGCCGTGGAGACTCGGAAGACCCAAAGGTCACACTCGCGCACCGATTCAATAGCACTGTTGAGGACGCTTGCACGAGTGTCTAACAGCATGTCGCCGCAACCAGCTGCAAGGACCGAGGTGCCGCCGGTCGGCAGCGGAACTGATGGGCTCGGCGCTGGTTCTGGTAAGACCGGCACAGCACGAGACCGACTAGAAGCGAGAAGGGTGCGCATCAATGATGAGAAAGCGAGGAGAGAAGAGGCGGCCGAGATCGAAGCAACGCCTGCACCGCGAGATCATGGTCGAGAGCAGGCGCATAAAACGCCCGTCGTTACTGGAGCGTGGATTGATACGCCCGGAAGGCCACAGGAATCACAGCCGACCAATGCCACAGATGTCGCGAGCGACACGCAGCATTCTAGGGTATCCGCGCTCAAGGCTGCCTCGACGAACCATCGAACATCTAAGAGAGGCTTAGCGGAACCATCCCACCCCAAGTCTGCTCTCGAAGCTGTTGTTGCAGGTGCAAAGATGTCGCGCGATCCGCAACTTGGAGACAGCACGCTTGCTTCACTCGAGAATATTGTCAAGCCCGACTTGGAGAGGACGAGCTCTAACACAGTAGACGATCTTTCGAAGGACATTCCGACAGACGCCGAAAGCCTGAAGCATCTCACACAGTCCGAGAAGGACCGCAGACAGGAAGACCTAGCTTTGGAAGCTCTAAATAAACGCCTCAGATCGACGCGTACAACGATCAAGGATGCTGCCCGCGGTATTCGGCGGATAGAGAATCAGATGGAACAACTCCCGGAGGAACGTGCAAGTGCTGGAACTGCAGCAGAGGAAGTTCACGAAGTAATCTACAACGAGGGACAGCAAATTCCTCCTTGGCCGCTGCATCTGAAGCCATACACTCAACCGCACAACTCACGTACGATATGTGAGCACTGCGGAGGCTCATATACGTCTGTCTATTCCGCGCTATGGACGGAAACGAGGGAGTTCTTCTTTACATACACCGGACCGAACCACGATCGGCCTAGGCCTACTGCCATTGGGTGGGCAGTACTATTGTGGATCCTTTGGTATTTTGTCGAGTCGTCTTTGTGCGACCCGTGGGGCTATAGTCGCATCGCAGAAGCTCACTTTCCATTTGCCCTTCCAGCTCTACTTTTCAAGCCATTCCGATGGCTTGGGTGGATGGAGTATCCCGTGGGACGATGGTTTGGGGAAATGGTTTTTGAGCCTGTCCTCCACTTTGTGTCCGGTGGAGGGCTAAACCCAGCGCCGATGAGAGTTCCCATCCCTGCGATTCCTGCCGGAGCTGGCGAAAGAAGGTTATACGAAAGTGTCACGACAGGTACACCGTACAGCGAGTGGATCAGAGCAACTGCTACTGCGTTGTCGGGAGCGACTACGAGGATGGCGCATAGTGTTGGAGACGCATTGGATCAGGCAAGCGCGGGTCGCATATGGGATGATGAGTATCTGGAATTGTGAGCGTTGATAGCGTTTGTTGCGGCTTGCGGCGTTTTGGGATGAGGGGTCATTGGCGCGGAGAAAGGAGCTTGGAAGGTTTGAATCTTTTCATTGCTGCTTTGCGCACGATACCACTTCGCGAGATGAGCTGATACGAATTATTATGCTATGCATGTACCACTTACCCTCCAAAGGGATCGGAACTTTTCCGGCAAACACTTTTGTCGCCAGGATACTTAGTATTTTGGTGCTGCAGGGCTGAAGAACGACATGGGACGCTAGACTGACAGGAACAACAGCGGCAGGTATCAAGCTAAGCCTGGCCCTTGCCTATTTCCTCTTCTGTAGAGGCGATCCTCCATCAAGTAGCTCACGGGCTTGGCCTGCATGCTGACCCTCTGCACCTCCACCTCAGCCTTCGGACTCATTCCGCTGCGAAACCATAAGAAGCACTGGAAGCTGGCCGCGCAACATCAAGCAAGACAGCGCCCAGCAGTAAAGGGTGACCTCTTGCAGCAGACGTAAAGACCAAGATGCCGATCGATTTTCAACTCACAGAAGCACAACGGCAGCAGCAACAGTGAGCTCAGAACAGCATCTAGAACAACTCATTACATACTGACATTATCTTCAGAGATGCTCGCAACTTCGCAACAAAAGTTCTGGGCGGAGCCTTCGCAACATATAGCAAGCTTCCGACGCAGTCAGCACGCTTCCAAGCCATACGACCATTCTATCGGCTTGCGACTGCTGGCGGGCTTATCAAAGGACAGATTCCTGTATCTATGGGAGGCACAAACGAAAGTCTCGTCGATGCTGCCATTGCGCTCGAGGAGATGTATGCTACGGACGTGAGTGTAACGTTAACGGTTGCAGGAACTGGTCTCGGCTTGACCCCGCTTATCTTGAGTGGGCATGAGCGTTTGCAGAAGGAATGTCTGAAGCCTTTCCTCGAAGCTGGTGAGGAAGGAGAGCCGTTGGCGAGCTTGGTTCACTCGGAGCCGCAGGGGACTGCGAACTGGTTGGAGAAAGGTGGGAATGGGTTGCAGACTACTGCTGTGAAGGATGGGGATGATTGGGTTGTCAATGGCGACAAGGTAAGGCTCTCGGTACTTGCATTCTGGCATTCCCTTGTACTGACAGTGACGCTGCAGCTCTGGACGACAAACAGCCCCGGGTGGGACTCGCGTGGCGCAGATCTCCAGTGCCTCGTTTGTCGGCAGGTCCGTGAAGCTGGCGCGCCTCAGGATCCCCATGCCGATCCGTCCGCATCAATCATCGTCTTCTGCCTGACCCGGGAAACGATCGCATCTAACTCTTCCGAAGCCTATGAAATTCTCGACGAACCTGAGCTCGCTGGGCATCCGGCCACATCTGGCCCTCACACTCGTCTCACAAATCTCCGGATCCCCTCATCTTTCGTGTTAGCGCAAGGCACCGCCGCAGCGCAAGTCATCGAGCAATCTTTCACCGCTTCCGCTGCTCTCGTTGCAGCTTTCGCGACCAGCATCATGCGGTCTGCATTCGATGCGGCTTTGACCTTTGCAAAAGCTGACTCTCGCGGCGGAGCTTTGCCCATCATTGAACGACAGAGCGTGGCAGACTTGTTGATGGATACAAAAATGCGCCTCGACACTACAAGATTATTGACATGGAAAGCTTTGCACGCTTTGGAGAAAGGTCCGGGAGACTTTCCTTCGAGACAAGAATTATGTCTTGAGGCGAAGATCTATGGAAGTGAGAATGCGGTCAAATCTGTGGTGGACTGCATGAAAGTTGTTGGAATGTGAGTTAACGTCTTGCGTTTGTGGCTGGACTGGTTTGAAAGCTGACATCTGCGTCCAGGACTTCGTATCGCACTGACCAAGCGTTTGCGAGGTTGCTGAATGATGCGATGTGTCTGCCTCTATTTGACGGAGGTAATGTTGGTGTGAGGAGGAGGCAGTTTGAGAAGATTCTCAAGATGGAGAATTATGAGTCGACATGGGGTTTCTAATGAACCTGGGCTCGCTCAGGAGGACCCCGTGGGTAAGCTAACTCAGGTTGATCTGTTCAGCTAAGGCTCTCAAAAGTCATGCAGGTTTGCGCAACTCGAGACCGACCAAGTACCACTTTATTTTCAGATGTCTCCGTTTCTCTGCGCACTTACTTCCGGACAGCTACCAAGCCTTTCAGCCTCCCCGACTAACGCTGAGCTACACATGCTCTCTCCAATCGTGTCATCCCGACTGGACTCATTCTTCTGCTCTTCACGACAGTACAGCACTAGCTGCGTAACCCATGCAACCAAGGCAACTGCAGATAACACAGCCGTGACGGCCAAGCCAACCCATCCAGCTGCAGCCGCATACTGTACAATGATCAGATTCAGACACGCCGTCCCCGCCAACGGCAATGCTTGGAGCAGGAAGCTCAGAGCTGCCAACCCTGCATTGGTTCCATGCTTTACACAGCGATTGTCAGATCCTCGCCATCGCGCCAGATCTTCTTTCTGGAACTCAAAGGCCAGGCTCACACCGAGACACAGGAGGAATAAGATCAGAAACAGTGTGGCCCCGATGGCGGAGAGGTCGAGAACTACCTTTGGCGTCGATGCGGGCGAAGAAGAGATTGTGACGCTGACGAGAATGGCACCGAGGAAACCGGAGGCTGTGGTGCCTGCTGTGAAGACCGACTGGTACCAGGGGATTACTTTGAGGCTTTCGGCAGAAGGAGGGACTCTTTGTTTGGTCTTGATGTGTTGTGCTTCTGGTATAGTATGTCAGGATCAAAGAACGTGCTGCTCTTTTGACACGTACTTTGACCACGCCCTACTTCTCTTCGTGACATGCCGCAAGACATATTGTACTCGTCTGGTTGTTGGTAGTCAGAGTATCGGTGTCAATGACAGGCGGTTTCGCTCGGCATGCTAATCCGCCGTTGACAACGCAATGGCACCACTGAAAGTTTGTGAAGTTTCGACGGACCTGAGATGACTTCCAGCTGGATAATCACAGAGGAAGTCTGGGAATGCTACATGCATCAGAAGCCACATTTTTGCTGCCCCACTAGCCCATGGCTTTCAAGCTGTTGTGCAACCAAGCCACACGGTGGTCTAGACAATGAGCAACTTCCTGATACAACTTTGCCAGCAGAGAGATTCTTTCACGGTGTCTGAGCCCATAAGAGATTGGTCGCGGGATTTGAGAAGTTCACTCAGCCACCTAGGCGATGCGCGGACCTGCCAGAGACATGTTTAGTGTTCATAGCTTCCCCATTACATGACATTGCAGTCTGCGTTCACCCGCAACCCGATCAAGTCCTCTCCTTCGACAGGATTCTTGCTTCGCGACTGCATAGATTGGTGATCGGACCTGGGAAATAGCCATTCATCCGAGAGTTCCGTGTCATGTGGTTTCTCCAGAAGGGCGTCGCGGCCACGTCGTCAGAGACCTGCTTCTGATACACATACACTGTGATGTATACCCGCTTGATTTTCAATAACGCTCCCAAGATTCCCAATTACCTTGTGTTGCAGTGGACCCGTCCGGCTCCCTCAGTATCATGTTGATGAGGACAAGGACCTCAGGTGGGTAAGCGTTTCGAAGCTCGTGCAAGTCCTCGCTCAGCTCGCGGTCTCCGAGTAGCAGGCGGTGGTGTACGGTGTATGCCACGGGATCGGTTCCCTTTTTGTTCAGGCGCTGCGCTGTGATCACAGTGTCGGAGAAGTGTACCCAGCCGCCTGACATGTGTGCGAACCTGTCAGAAAGAACGAGATTCTCTTCCTTTCGAACAGGGAACACCAGCATGGGGAGCGGTTCACTGCTCGATCGCATGAACACACCAATGACTTGTGTAGCCTTGCGGAGGCAGGATTGCGTGATGTGTTGCATCATGTCGGCTGGATGGCTGACAAACCCATTGGTGAATGGCATGGGTCGATGCATGTGGATAAGCACTTCGTAGAGCCATCCATTCGGATTCGAGTAGTAATTGCTCGCACCTTTTGACCCGCCGCTGCTGATTGTCACTGACCAGAAGGAGCCATTCTGTTGAGCAAGTGGCAAGGTGATTCTCCTTACCATGTAGCGAAGTTGAGCCGGGTTTATGACTTGCTGGCCACCCAGAAAGCTGCGGAAGATAGAGTCTTTCAGCCATTGATGCTTTGGAAGGTTTCCTCGGAGCCCATCTCCCGCTGAGGGCGAGTCTCACCATTCGAATCCTTCAATGGCGCATCCATATCCTCTCCGCGAGCGAGGCTGGCGCCGTTCTTGTTTTTGTGACATATACTCACTTTGCCATCTCTCTCGCGAATTGGGTTCCGCAGCTGCCTCGCTTGTCGATACAGAGCGCCTTAGCTACGCCGCATACGGCGGAGACACGAGGATCGAATAACACTCGAGTTCCACTAGCAGAGGAGCATGGAGTCTCGGTTCTAGTTTTCGTTTTGCTTTCCGGCAGTGGGGCGGGACCAGTCCCGGTTCGAGGTTGCTCCACTGCTCTCGGAGTCCGTCCTGAGTTCTGGCCTTAAGATGACGATTGGCGATCTCCTCGAACGACAGTCCCTTTGCCTTCAGTTTCCACAGTACTTCATTCTCTGCTCTCGTGTATGATTTACCTTCTCGCTCATTGGTGAGAAGTCTTGTTGCAGCGGCGCTTTGTGGTGCGTCTCCACGGCTTGATGCTTGGGAGGCGTAGGAGATTCCACGTGGTCATCGTCGTCGTCGTCGATCTCAATGGGCATTGATTTCGTCCCAGGACCAGTTGATGGTGGCGATTGACGAGCGAGAAGGCATTTCGCTGCAGCCTGCAACGCGCCTTGCATAGCGTGAAGCATGTCCGTGCTTGGTGCTTGGAAATTTGAGGGAATCATCATGGGCATGGCTGGCGTCTGTATGTTTCCCCCTTGTGTTGAGTTTGGTATGAAATAAACGGGCATCAGCATGGGCTGAGTGGCGGGTAGCAGCTCATGTTGGTCCCGATTGATACGTTTTGGGCTGGGGACAGCGGCATTGTCGCTCGTCCGCTTCGCCATTGGGAGCCACTTCGACGCCACTCCTAGGAGGCAATGTTAGTGTGAGCGGAGCCTTTGTAGAAAGTGCGACTCACAGCGTTGGAGTAATGTTGCGATGTCTTGGTGTGACTGATCAAGTAAATGAGCGGCGTCGTGTGAGGTCGATGTGAGTGAATCAGAGCGTGGAGCTGGCTAGGTATAGCGATCGGTAGTGAAGCAGACAAGGTGAGCGGCAGGGCATCAGTGTCCTGGTGGAGATGTTGGGACGTCGACATGTCGAGATTGAAGTTGTACGAGGCAAGAGGCAAGAGGCAGGGGATGGTGGATCAGCTCCAGATAGCAAGAACAGCGCGTGCCGACGCCACTTCACGGCGACACCTAAGGCCCTGTCCAGATGAGCAGGAGATAAATTTGCTGGATCTTAGGACGGATATATCACACTGCCCTCTGCCACGGTTGAATCGCACAAAGTCTAGATAATCGATTTGAAAGCACACGCATCATATCGTGAAGAAGTAGTTGGGATTCTTGTCACCCAACTCCTTGACCTGCATGAATCGTTAGTGGAAAGAAGTTTCGTCGTTGCAACAAAGTTAGCGAAACTCACCTCATCATCTGAAAGCCCTTCCGCTGTCCAATCCTCTTTTCCAGCCCTCTTGTTGGCGTTTCTCTTGCGCCAATAGAAATGCATGCCGGTGAATAACGATCCGCTGAGCCCAAGCAAACCGATAGCGACAGCGTAACCTTCCGTGTATACTGGACCACTTCCAGTAAACAAGAATGGCGATAGAACGCCCGCAGCATTGCCAACTGTTAATTGGATCCCGTTCGCAGTAGTTCTCTTGCCGAATCGTGGATTATTTGAGGTAAACCAGGGCATCGCCATACCACAAGTCAGGAAGATACATCCTCCGACAAAGAAGCATCCCACAAGTGCGGCAGCAGGGTTGGCGTATGTGATCAGGAGAACGTAACCGAGGATCGTACCGATTGTGAAAGCCACGATGAATGGACCGCGGATTTGAATCTTGTCCGACCAGAATGAGCAGCCGATATACAGTCCTGCTCCGAGTGCGTAAATGGGGATTGTCAAGCTATCAAAGTCAGTCTTCGACCTCGTTCTTCTGACAGTGCGAGACTCACCACTGGACTTCCGCAATAGAGTAGCTTCCAGTCTGATTGATGATTGTCGGCAGGAAAACGCTGAAGGCATACAATGTGGTGTTGGAGCAGAATTGGCAGGCTGCCATGACGTATACTTTCCAGTCAACGAATGCTTCTTTCGCGTCCTTCATGGCAAATTCTTGTCCGGATTTTGTTTGACCAACCTCGGCCTCGCGCAACAAGACCATATTGCGTCGGTCCTGTTCAGTCAAGAACGTTGCGTTTTCCGGCTTGTCTGCGAGAACGAATGGGATGGCGAAGGCGGTCACCACGGTCAATGCGCCATTGATCTGGAAAAAATGATCAGTTGGTGAGATTGGAGCAGACGTTTTACGCTACTCACTGCAAAAATCCATCGCCAGGCACGCCAGCCAGCAGTTCCGGGTGGAGTGACGTAGTCTGGGTCTCCGGGGTTGACGTTGACTGGATTTGGATCATTGTCCATGAATCCGATGCCGTATGAAACCAGTCCTCCGACAGCTCCTGCGATCGCTGCAGTTGCAAACAAGTAGGCCATGCGCAGTGCGATGTGGCGCTTGTTATAGAAGATGGTCAAATACACAATTAAGCCTGGGAACAGACCGGCCTCAAAAAGTCCGAGCAACAGTCTAATGGCAATTAGACCTGCGAAGTTCTGCGTAAAGGCTGAAAAGGTGGCGACTAGTCTGTGCTTTTGGTCAGATTGTGTCATTCGAAGTGGAATTTGTGTCGACTTGCCCCCAAGCCAGCGTTAATGCTGCGAGATACCATTTGGGTCGAAGTTGCTTTAGTACCATGTTGCTCGGCGCCTCGAACAGACAGTATGTGATGAACAGCACCGAAACTCCGATTTGATATTGATTGCCAACGAGTCCGAGGTCTTCTTCCATGCCGTAGAGACTTGTGAATATTGTCAGTACGTCTGATTAATTGTTGAAGATGCCAGTCTGCATACCGAGCATTACCAATCGACACTCGGTCCATAAAACTCATCAGATACATTCACATGACCATGGGGATAAGTCTCATGTCGATCTTCCTCATCAATGCTTTCTCCGTCGCAGCATCGACGACAGTTGGAGGTCCGTCAATAGCATACTCGATGCGAGATGCAGAGCGACTGTCACTGTCATCGTCCTTCTTTTCATGCGTAGACGGTAGATATGGCGTGAGATCACCAGTTGCTGGCTGAGTTACGTTCTGTGAAATAGGTGACATCTTGGCAACTCGATCACGCCAGAATGTGCACGAAGAAGACGACCACGAGCAACGAGCCCTCTTTTATGATCGTTAGTCCGCATGGCCATGATGCATGGGAGAGCGCATCGTCCAAAACGTGGCGTCTGTTTGGACCCCAACCGTGCGCGGCATGCCATCATCCTAGAAGACCAAGCCTTGGGGGGACGCTGGGCGTTCGGATCCGATATGGGGCTCGCTTGGGTGCGAAGTACTATGCTGCTGTTGTTCGGATAGGTTAAACTTATGCAACATGCATGCTGCTTTTCGGCAAAGATGCTGGAAAATATGCTGTTCTCAAGTTTTTGCCGAACACCAAGGAAGTTCGAGACTGGTAGATGATTCAGAGTAGGAAAGAAGCTGAAGCATTCACAACAGGGTCGCATTCAGTCCTCGCACCACTCACCTGCCTTGGTTGCGATGACAATAGTTAGTACAGTGATCTGGGGGTCGGAAGCATCTTCAAGTATTGTTGTACGCGTAGATCAATGCTCATTCTTCACAAATCGCACAGGCGGCATCGAAGTGTGGTAGCGAGCTGAGTCCTTGGCCGCGGAGTAGGACTCTCGGCATCTGAGCGGCAGTCGATGTCATGAGCATCTTGCCTAGTTGACCGCCAGGCGTGTTCCAATGCATCGTGAAGGCCGCTTTTGCTTCTTTCTTCCTTGAAAGCTGTACACGAGGGAATGCGTAGGTGGTCCCTGTGATGATGGCTCGCACACTGCGACAGCTGTTGTGACGCAGGTCAAAGCCAAAGCAGGCGGAACCACGGAAGCCTGGTCGTGTGGCGACAGCCAACGACATGGTCGGAGAGGTGTATAGCGAATACGGCGACCAGGGAGATGTTCTCCCATCGCACCCTCCTTTACATGCATCGTTTGTCGCCGACAAGATGCCACTGCCACTCCATCCGCAGCACAGCACTTGCTCGCCGGAGCTTCTGTTTCACTCGGTGCCGCGTCATCGGCAACGAACCGAAGCTTGCCGTGCCGTCGAAACGGAGCGCCGTTCCAGTCGCGCGTGAGAGGCGAGAAAATGCCTCCACAGCCTCCACGGGCGAGATCTGGAATCGCACACGAGGGATCGCCACCAAACAAGCTTCGGTGCTCGCCTTGAAGAGGCTTGGTTCGCGTCTCTCGTGCAGCAAGCGCAGGTCGTGATGCGCGCCTGGCCGTCGTTTGACAAGCATCTCATATGCCAGCATAGGTGCAGCTTCTTGACATCTGCTCAGCTTATCAGCTAGGATCGTTGAATAACAAGGATCATGCGCTCCCTGGCAGCGCTGCCTTTGCTCTTGACTTCCACCAGTGCTCTGCCTGAGCTCTCCATCTCGAAGCGAGATCGACACACCGGAGGACAGACGGACCTTTCTGCACGAGGAGTTCCAGCGCGTTCGCGTTTGACACCGCGGCAAGATGGATTCATCGAGACCAACATCTTCGACGTCTTAGCTTGGAGCTCTGGAGGCGCATATTACGCCAACTGTGAGCTGTAAAGCGGACTGTGCTTATGGCCTGTTTGCTGACTCTTCACCAGTAACTGTCGGTACGCCTCCACAGCCCCAGACAGTCATCCTAGATACAGGATCGTCTGACCTGTACTTCGATGCCTCTTCTGCGAGCACGTGTGAAGATCCACCAACGGCAACACAAGCCTGCGAGGGCGGCACGTTCGATTCGTCAAAGTCAAGCACATACCGGGAGGTACACGCCGCGCCCGCCTTCAATACGTCTTTTGGCGATGGCTCCACGGCCTTGGGTCCATACGGTTCCGATGTTGTTGGAATTGGGCATGTGCTCATCTCGCCTGTGCAGTTCGGCGTGGCCACTACCGTGGACAGCACCACTGGTTTCTCCCTCGGCCTCATGGGGCTCGGTTACAGTAACAACGAGGCCGTCACGTCGCAACGTAACTTTTACCAGAACATGCCCGAGGTTCTCAAAGATGCAGGAGAGATCAACTCAAGACTGTACTCGGTTTTCTTGAATGGTGCAAGTGAGTGGAAAAGAGCATTCGAGCTGTGAACGCGCACTGACACGTGATAGATGCTGGCTCTGGGACAATCCTATTTGGCGGCATTGACACCTCAAAGTACACTGGTTCGCTTGCGACAGTCAACTTCCTCCCGCAGTTCTATGATGGTCAGGAATTGCCTCTCAATTTCATCACAACCGTGACCGCGGCGAACATTTCCTTGGGTGGGCAGACTGCACAGCTGTGGAGCGGTGGCTCGCCCGGCGTGGAGGCATATAACCGCGATGACCCTGCTCTACCAGTTCTGCTGGACACCGGAAGTACTGCTTGGTCAATTCCACAGCGGTATTTTCTCAACTACATAGAGCCCAACTTCGACTTTGTGGACAGAAGCGGAATATGCTCTTGTGAGTACGCCAAATCTGGACCTTCTCTTTCTCTAGAGTTTGGAGGCAAGGTCACCATCACGGTCACGCCAGATCAATTCATCGTCCCGATCATCGACCCTACAACGAGGAAGCCCCAGCGCTACGATAACAAAGGCAACGAAGCTTGTATCTTCCTCCTTGCTCCGGACACTTCTGGACAGCCATTCCTCACTCTGGGCGATGCCGTACTTCGGAGCATGTATGTGGTCTTTGACCTCGACAACGGCCAAGGTTCGATCGCACAAGCTGCAACCAATCCTGGAAGTCCAAATATCGTGACGGTTCAAGCCGGCCCAACAGGAGTCGCTGCAGCAGTCTCAGGAGTCAACACTGCGCCTGCCAACACAGTGAAAGCACCTGGCGAGGTACAGTCTGGCACGGTCGCCTACTCAGTTGCCACAGCTGCGACGCCTATCGGAACTGCTACCGGCGCAGGTGCTGTGCCGGCAAATGCTCAAGTTGTTGGAGGGTCCGGGACTGGATCTTCGAGTGAATCATCGTCTGCTGCTGCGACTGTACTTAGCATCCCAGGCGCTGATTTCACTGCACTTGGGGTCGCGGCTATTTGGACGGCTGGCATCGCGCTAGGCGCGAGTTTGATGCTTTGATGACAATGAGACGACAGAACCTGAAATACAGACAGCATTAATTCTACAGCTTCAATGAGATTCTGGCGGTGTTGAATATAAAGTTGAGATCTCAAATTCTTGAACTTTTGTTCCGCCTGGCCACCATTGCTCGTACATCCGCACTTCACTGACAGATTATTACTCGCGATCCTCACACAATATTGCGGTCTGCGTTCAGCACTTATGCCTCTGGAAGATCTTCGAATTCCACCCGCCGACCACAATTGTGCTTCCCTTGCGCTAACATGTTGTTGAGGTCCCAGAAGTCATGCACCTTCTGGTAAAACTCCACCGAATCGGGATCTCTCGCTCCTACGCTTGCGGCGTTGACAATCGGCTCTGAAAGATAACCATCCATCCGTGCACTCCATCTCATATATCTGCGGAAAAATACCGTAGCCATGATCTCAGGTCGAACAACTTTCTGGTAGATGTACAATGTCACGAACACGCCCTGAGTCTCCCAGTACGACGCCCAGCGAGCATACTGGTCCTGTGTGGCAGTTAATCCATCGGGACCACTAACAATCAGGTTCAAATGGATGACTTGATCACGCGGGTATGCAATCCGAAGCCTGTTCATACCCAATACACATTCGCGATCTCCAGGGCTTTGGCGGTCCGACAGGATGAATGCGATGGCATCGGTCTCTTTCCTGTCTAACCGCTGAGGCGTGACCTTGAATGGCGAGTAATTCACCAAGTTACCCTGTTCGAAACGTTCAATCAGGACCAGATTCTCTTCTCCGTAGGCCTCGAAAGCGATGTCATTAGATCGATCGCCGCTGCTAGTCCGCATCAAGCAGCCGACCGCTTGAATATTGCGCGTGGACGAGTTTCCGATATGCTGTACAGTCTCAGCAGGCAATGGGGCGAAGCCGTTCGTGAACGCCATCGTGAGATGACAATGTGCTAGAATGTCGTGCACGCAGCCTTTAGGGTCCGCATCATCCTTCTGGTATCCAGTTCGCTCGCCGCCAATAACCACCGAATAGAGCATGCCATTCTCGCGCGCGATGGACACCCTTCCTCCGCACAATAAACCGCAGCTTTTGCCCAGTCAGGCTTCGTTCATCTTTAGGGCTGCCCGCAGGGCTGTCTGCAAGGCTGCCAAAAGCTGCGTCTTCTGGCCACTTCTCCCGAGGAAACGCTGTGCGCAGGGTACGCTCCCACTCTCGACGTGTCATTCCGGAATTCTGCAGCGGCGCTAGACTGTGTTCAACATGGGCAGTATTCGTCCACTGGGCCAGAGCCATGAGCGTGTCGGCGTTGAGGGCTTGGTAGTCCGTAGTCTGCGCGCATAAAGCAACGATGGATGCCGCATCCACACCGACGGCTTCTGTGTTCCGCACAAGAGGAGCTCGCATCTGTCGCCGCTTCTCGAGCGCGTGTCGTATCGTTGCGGCTGGGTATCCTTGAATTCCCTTGACCTTGCCACTCCCTAGCAACATGGCTTCTAGGTCATCGTCAGTCATGGTTACAAGGTCGCCGCTGCAGAAAGGCTCTGCCCATGCCATGTCGTTGGTGTCGCAAGTGAGACCTCTGTGCCCACAGCCGGCGCAAATAGGAGCTATGCTGCATGGCCGACAGCCAGGCGACTGGCTCATGTGGCTCTCATCCTCGCTTTGCAGCATTTCCACGCAACAGCCAAGGCACGCCACTACATTCTGTGGGTTGTCAATCGAGCCTCCTGCTAACATGTAATGGTGTGGAAGTCTGTATGGCAAGGTGGTGTCGGTGATCGTCCTCGTGGCCGTTCCAGGCTTTGCTCGTATTGGCAGGACGAGCAGGCCAGCATTCGTGACCACGCGAGACAGAGGCGTGGTGGTAGCTCCACTGTGCGATTCTTCATATGAGCTTGTCTTGACCTCTCGACCTCAGACCTGTCGTGATCGCGGAAAGAGTGTGTGCAACCAACGACTTCGCAGCGCTGAGACAGGGCTACCGTTTGCGCGTCTAGGCATGGCTGGCAAGCTGATTGCGGTGACAACATGCCGTGCAGTGCGGCGTTTCTCAGCGCATCGGCAAGTTCCTCGGCCTCTGACAACAGTACTGTATAGGTGTGGGTGCTGCACGCGATGCCGTTCCGACTTTTGGCTGATTGCACGAATCACCTCCGTCAACCTGTCTAGGCGGTCAAGTCGATTGCCAAGTAGTTCCTGTTGGACATAGACGACTGCGATCCCGGAACCACTCTGGAGCTGAATTCCATAGCCCGCAAACGGGGTGTTCGCCAGCGTCATTTCGTTGTCTACGCTGTCCTCGTAGAGCTCGGCGAAGATTCTCGGATACTCGCCATCGGCAGCGGCGTCGACAAGACCGGAGCAGTCTTACTTCAGCATGTCTTCGAGTACTCGTTCTACGCCAAAGTTGGCGGCGCTTTGGACTGTGCCGCGAGTGTCTGACAACCGCGAGCCAGCCGTTGGCATCGGCACTGGGCTCTCGGGCTCAAAGTGCGGCACTTGATCAGACTCTGTTCGGCCTGTCGCTTCAGAAATGATTCCCGTGCCGTGCTCATCTTCCTCCTCGTCGTCGTCGTCGTCGTTGATCTCGATAGGTGCCGTAGCCGTACCCACATCCTTGTGTGTACTAGCTGTGATGCTTGGCTTTATGGGAGCAATGCCGTACATTTTCCCTCCGATCATCACTCTGAATGCCGACGGTACACCAGCTGGCTGCGAAGATGATGGAGGTGCTGGTATCGTAGGGACCTTTCTTGCGATGGTCCCGGGCTCGCTGTCCTTCCTTGCTCGCTTCGCCATTGATAGATGAATGAATGTGAGGGGAGGAAAGAGCGGGCGACAGCAATCACTGTTGAGAGCCGCTGACGGAGCGTGTTGTCGTAAATGTGAGCCACACAGTATTGTTGCCGATGTGGCGACTGTGGTGGTGGTTGCCTTCAAAGAAGCGGTGCTGGGGCAGGAGCCGCGAAGTCGCGCGAGAGGCAAGAGCACCCCAGCCCACGTATCTGGCATCTGGCAATGTCTTGCCTCATGCCTTCCTCCACTGCGCGCTGATGCTTTTCTCGAGCGCTTGCACTTCACTTCGACTGTCATGGGCTGAAGGCTGAAGCGTGAAAGCTCGTGCAAGAAGCATTCGCGCATTCATTATTCCAATGTATCGGTTTCGGTACGCGCCAAGTGCGGTGCTATGTTCTTCACATGCACAATCAGACCTGGTCTCCAACTTCAGCTTCGACTCCAGCAGCCTCTGCCATGGGCGTGTCACGGATTTTTCTCCATTGGATTTCCAATGAACGAACATTCCTTCCCTTGATTTTCACGCCGGCAACGTCCTTGTCGTCCATGCCTACGGCCTTGCTACCACACAGAGTCTGGTTCTCTTGTTCTGTCCATGGCTTCCCTAAGCCTGGCACTGGCAGAGGCGACTGGTCACAGCAAATGCTGCGGCCGCCATCCGAGTGACTTTGAGGATCTGCCACTGATGTTCCACGCCCTTGGCGGAACGATACTTGAGATGCAAGGAGGCGATAGCGTCAGAGCCCACTCCGCGTGCTCTGCAATCACAGACGATCTTATTCTCCGCCTGAATCCACGCCCTCCTCTGCCCCAGGCTTGGCTGCACAGCTTTGTTGGCTTGCGCTTTCCCCGTCACGTCCGCTGCCGCTTTCCAGCGCCATCGGAGAGTTTTTGATTCTCATTCCTTCCAGACCCATGGCGTTGCGATTCCTGTCTTCAGCACATAGTGAAACAATGGCGGAAACCTTCATGCCGTTTGCTTTGGCATTGCACAGGATCCAGCTCTCTTCGTTTGTCCGATCGAAGAACCTTGGCTCCTGCTTCCGTGGCACAGCTTGGGCATCTCCATGAGACAGGCGTGCTGCCGAGTTCACAACGTCTCGCAAAAGTTCCAGCCAGCGCTTTTTGCTGTAAATGGATCACGCAGCATGGATGCAGCTCAGTGTGATGAGACAGGCGACGCCGTGAGAGGTTTTGTAAGTTCTATACCCCATTTGGCTCTACACTTCTACTGCGTCCCCAGTTCGCGGGCTTCCTCTTGACGAAGGCTCCTACAGCGCCAAGATATCCTTCGTGCCTGAGAAAATATGCCTGTTTCGTGCCTTTACTCCAGAAATTAATGGCAAAGGACAACGTGTGGATGGTTTGCTGATGTCCTCTGATGAAAGAGCCGCCAAAGTATATTCGCTTCAAGTCGTGTCGTTCTGACTGCAAAAAGGCGATCTGGCCGATGTTGTTACTGTTGGGATGTTAGCCTGTCATTTACCGGCAATGCATGCAGCCAAACTTACCTAATGGCATATAGAAGACTTCTCGAGATATCTTCGGGCTTGAACATCCTGCCATCACCAACCAGGCCACTCCCGACGTTGTCATCTGAAACACCATTTGCTGTTTTCGAAAGCTTCGGTCTAGTCAGCTTCTCGTTGCTGCATCCATTCCCGTCCTCTGCCAGCCTTTCTGCTTCTCGCTTCCTCTTCAGCACTTTGCCGAAACTGCTTGCAATCGTCTTTTCGCTGAGCCCGATTTTCTCGTAGCCCATCCCTTCACCATATATATCACCGACGAGCAGATCCACAGCTCCATTGTCGCCCTTGTCTGCCATGTCCAGCATGTCGTCAAAATTTCTCGCGCCTGTCAGAAGAGATAAGAGCCCCCACAGAGTACCACCGCCCAGTGATGTGCCGCCGATACGCTGATACTCTGACGGCCCAGAGACCTTAATCATGCTCACTCCACTTCCGATATTCACGAGCAGATAAGGGTATACGTCCGCCTTTGGGTCTTGGAACTGCATAGGTCCATCCTCGTTGTTATCATCAAATGTGAAAACCTCGTTTGGTATTTGCGTGATGAAGAAATCCAGTCCTTTGATCAGGCATTCCATCTCGTCTTCCCGCTCCACTTCCACGCCTAGCGTTGATCGAATCTTGTCATAGAATTTGAACGCTCCACCGCCTGTGGCCATGATGCTTAACTTGGTGGACTGATCCAGTCCATTGGCTCGCTGATGCTTCACTTGTAGAGTGCGTAGATAATCGATACAGTCGTCGATCTTCTCCGTTTCGAAAGAGAGAAAGGACAGTCGGCCACCAGAAGTGGACTCATGCTCATTCTCGCGCGTGAAGTAGACAACTTTGGCCAAGCTACCACCAATGTCTGCTGCCACGTGCGAAACAACTGCTGTGTGGTTCGGAAGCCGTATGTCACGCTTGTGATGCTGATAAGAATGTTCGCCGTCGATCTCGGAGTGGTCTGCCTGGCTGCTTGTGGGAGACCTCTCGGGTGAAGAGTCCTCTTCTTCGTGATCTATGATCGAAGCTCCGGTAACGTTGATCTTGATACTGCCCGGCTGAGCAATGGCTTGTTGCATATCAGCAGAGCTTGACAAACGGCGGCGCTTGGACAGCGCGGGTCTCGCGATTTCGGCCGCCATCTTGACAGCTTGCTACTGCCTTGTGAAAGTGAGCAGTCTCTTCAGGGTAGTTCGTGTATAGCCAAGACAAGTGGTCCAGGATTTCCAGAATCGGCAAAACAGCTGAGTCGCGTGGGTTCCACGAGTTTCCGCTGGACCATCTGCATGCAAGAACAATGCTAAGCACAGATTCAAAGGGTGGCACCAGAAGTTTTCGAAAATGCGCAAGGAACGACGCGTATATGCAAGCAACTCACACACATGTTGTCATATGTCTTTGCTTTATGGGACGGATGAGACGAGGTGATTCGGTTGAAAGGGCGGAAACCGAGGTCAGGAACAGTACGCCGGATAGTCGCGCCACAAGGGTTTTGCGGGCGTTGATAAGCGCCGCACGGACCCACTTCCGCCAACGGCACATCGTTGACAAAACATTGCTCCTGTTCAGAAATCAGACCATTTCTGTGATCCTTCGTTCGCACCCCCACTACATCTATGCATCTCCCATCTCAACGTCTTGATGAAGACAGCTAGTCAGCACTATGCTGACACTCCAAAGGTGCTCACTTCGTGCTTGCGGGAAGCAGCAACAGTTCAGCACAGCACCTGCAGGGCTTCACCGATGAGCCTTCCGTAGCATTTGTTGACCATCTGTGAGTAGTCGACGCAAGAAGGTAAGTATTGCACAAAAGCACTCTGCGAATCTCCATTCCAGATCTTTGCAACTGCGCGCTCGCCTTTTCCTACAGAGTCCTTTCAGGCCATCATCATATCAGCTGTTCAAAAAGACACATCAATCCTGAGTACGACAAAGCACACATAATCTCTCACATCAGTAAGGAAGACATGCGACGTTACCCGAAGTTGGGCAAATTGGACGCACAAATCCGACTTGACGAAAGGGCGCGAACCGTCTACGGCTCGACCGGACCTGCGACAGGATCTTTGGTTCTCAAATACCTCCCGTACGAAAAAGCAGTCTTCAAATGGCAGAGCGAAACAGTATATGCTAGCGACCTCAGCCATACGAACTATAATCGAGTCGCCGTTTCGTTTCCAAAAGTCACCGAGAAATTGATCGAGACTGTGCCGCTATGTGGAACTATCACGGCCACTGTCATACTTCGAGGCATGTTCCGATACAAGACTCGGATCTTCTACGCTGGTGGCCAAGGCGGCAGTCAAATGGTGGAACGTACCTATGACAAGCAGCTGTGCCAGGAGCAGGTGGTTGTATGTGTAGGGTGGATCTCGGGAACGGTTGGGGACGAATTCACGTGTCCTTTCTCGATCCAATTCCCGCACGCGCAGCAAATGCCGCCACCTACATTCACGGACCACATGCGCTGTAAACCAGAAACAATCATTGTAGGCGTGGAGTACCGACTCGGTTTGCAGTTGCAGGTGGATGGTGCGTCGCCGCAGATGAATGATACGTGGTGGGATGGTCATCCATCAATCAACTATCAGCTTGCACAACCACCTGAGGACTTGTTTGCGAGCACTCTAACCACATCGACTCATCAATCAAAGATCCAGAGTTGGCTCCTGCTACCCCCAAAGCAGCGGCGATCTGAGTGGAAAGCAAAGGCTAAAGCGAAAGGTCGACCTCAAACGATGCCGATCCTGACTATGGACATTTCCTGCACCACCTGCTCCCATTCCTATCCCGGTCAAGTCCTGGACGTCACTATTGCCGTTCGGAAGAATGACATGAACTCCACCGCAGAGTCCATGCCCGACATCGTGCTCGTGGGGGTCCGCACTAAGCTCATGGCCCAGATCAGGGTCACCGAGCCGGACCGACGGGGTGAATCGTGCGTGCAAGAACTGAGCTGTCGAAATGAATTTCCAATACCGCTGTGCAGTCAAAACAATCGCTCGGCCACAGTTACCCTCGATCCTCTGGACCAGCATTCGTGTTCATTCTCCTTCGACTAGTTGTCTCGAGTGTACTTTCTAAGAATGTACTTGGCATTTCGGGTTGCACATCCTCGAGCTCGAGGGAAATATGGCCGTTGCATATTGATAGCAGAGCGCGAGATCATGATGCTACCTGGTCCAGCAAGCGCGGTACATAATTCGGATCGACCTGAGCCGAAACAGCTGGCAGGACCTACGAAAGAGATGAGAAAGCTTCGCTTTTATGATCGCCTTTATGGAAGCATGGCAGTTTGACTGTCGGACAGACAATTGGAAAGGCTGTCGACTGATCCTGTGTGCTGGAACAATGCTGTTATGTGGATTTACTTGCCGGTGTGGCTGCGAGTGGGCGTGCGTCAGAGACTGTTGAGATCTCACAAGAAGAAGCAGAGTACGCAAGAGGTGTGGCTGGATCGCACAATGTAGGCTGGATGGGAGGCAATGCGATGATTGAACTGATCGATAAGTTGACTGGGCAGAAGTATCTCGAATAGCTTCGAGGTGTTTGCGCGTTTACCAATGTTTGTGATCTACTTGTCCAGTCTGCCGGCTCTCTCATTACTGTTGCAGAGATCAACACAGGAGCCGCTTTCCGTCTTCAGCCTCAGTTGGCACTCACAACCACAGCAATCACGTTCGCCTGAGGAAGGAGGTAGTGTGGACGACATGACCAAGCCCGATGTTAGCAAAATGGAAGCACTGCCTACTATTAACGCCCGACCCGCGGAGGCAGTACGTAGTAATCCAGCCACCTCTGCCTCGTAGCTGCCACGGGGTGTGAGAGTACCTGCGCCTCCGCAATGGGATAATCCTTGGAGTCTGAAAGCGATCGCGTCCTTGCATTCTGCGAGCGAAGGACCTTGATAGTATCACGAAAGGGCCCTGAGCGACGTCAAAGTCCTAATAGCAATCGATGGAAATGAGGAAATATGACCATTTCTTACTCTGCGTAGGATTTCTCGATAGTGCGTGTCGCCTCGCACGGTTTTAACTGTGCAGGATATATTCCAGGTAATAATGCCTGCATTGTTTGAAACATGCTGCGTACTTTCTGTTCGAGAGCCTTGCTATCCGTACGATGGATTCAGGATGTTCTGGTTCCGATATGTACGTGCCAAGGAACTGGCAACGCATCTACCAAGACTTGCTGTGGTTCATCGTGTATTCTCTTGCTCGATGCTGAGCTCGATGACAGTTTATTCCAGGCCCAGTAGGCGCTCATGTCTTTCAAGATAGGGCAACTGAGGCAGCAATATGTGCCATATCCTCTGTTGAGCTCCCGAGCTGGAAGATACTTGCTCTAATGCAGCATTGCTCGCGACGATGTGAAAGACGAGTAGGACTACTGTCTGCTCGTTCCGCCGCGAGCTGCTTAGCAGCAACGACTGTGGCCGGCTCAGGTACCAGAACTCAAGTGCGCGGTAGCATGGTGATGATGACATTCGAAAGAACGAGGAGAGGCTGGAACGATGCGTGCCATGGTGTGAACTGCTGCACGAGCCACAGGCGCTCGCCGATCCTTGGTTTCACGCTAGGAACCCTTGTCCAATATCCAGTTCACGACCGAGACCCCTCAACATCATGCTTCTCCCAGGCGGCGGCGGCGGCAGGGTTCTGGCGAGGTACAACGATCTGCGTGCCAGCGGAAGCTCGAAAACCACTCAGTGACCACGGCGTTCGCGTTGTCGAGTCGTTGCAAAAGCGTTGGTGAACCGGCGCTGAGCATTGTTTGTATACCAACATTGCCCGATTGCCTGCACAATATATATCGCTCACCCACACGCTAACCACGACGATTCGTCAAAGTAGCCTACTGCTGGTCAAGTAGCTACTGCGAAACACATCACTGGCGGATCGTGTCCCAACGTCGCATCGCACTCCGAGTTTCTAGGCAAGAGCAGAGATCATGGCGCCGGATATCGCGAGTCTGCCTGCCTCACCACGCGCTGACCGGGCAGCACCAGCACCACTTCCAGCGGCAACGAGCACCACCGCGTCGAGGCGGACGAGCCAGATCATGGGCCCACCGCAACAGCCAGCGTCGGCGACAGCACACGGTCAACATTCTTCGCGCAGTCCAGTCATGTCGACCAACGACGGCCTGCCGATGCGCCATCCACGCCCTCTGACTGCTGCGGAGCTCTATCTCGAGTGCGAAAAGGAGCAAGAGGCTGTGGTATGCACGTGAGGGGGTATAACGACTGCTACGGAGACGCTAAGAGACCGTGTAGGTGAATCGCCTGACCAGAGAGCTCACTGCTTTGCGAGCCCAATCCGCGTCAGTCGCCAGCAACGCGTCTTCCGCGTCTGGCGTGTCCGGAAACGCTTCACTGTTGCCCATCGATATATCCGATCCCAATCCGACTCATCAGATGGTCGGCGCGACTCACCCAACGCCCTCTCGTCGTCACCGGTCGTCCTCGTCCGTCAGCACACGAAGCATCCCAACGCCTGCGACCACTGCGAGTGGCACGACACACTTCTCTACCCATGCACAGTCCGGCAGTGTGATGCCTATTGGAAGTGTGTCACAGGCACAAGCCGATCGAGCAGCTGCTGCGGCAGGAGACCGCTCGAGCCTGAGCAGGAACCCATCGATGAGCGCTTCAGGCACGTCGACTCCAGCGAGGCACTCCATGGACGTATCGCGAGCGGCGGGAGCGCTTCACACACTGCCACATCGTCCACCACTTTCTCGCGACCCCTCGCACAACACTGCATCCTCCACACATGCCCAGGCCGGTACGCCAGCACCGGCCGTCCCGCAGCCACTGCCCTCTCCTGCGCAAAGCCCACATCAGGCCAGCGTGAACACTGCCATGCAGCACTTTGCCGATGCAACAGCTTATCGAACCGAGATGGAGATTGTCAAAGCTGAGAACGAAGCTCTGCGTCAACGCGTTAGAGCATTGGAGCGAGCATTGAGGGCCCGGCGACGCGACTCCTCGCAATCGGAGACACCACGCCTCGACATCACAGGCGGCCGTGAACATTCATCACGGCCCACAGAAGCGGCGGCGGAGCGGCCATCTCGCGAGTTCAATCGCGTGCCGTCTTTTACATCTCCTCCGCCATCTGCAGGTCTGGGAGTTTGGGATGGAGGCGTAGGCGGTGTTGCAGGACCTCGCGAACGAAGCGAATCGCAGAGCACAACAGCTTCCAGCAGAAGAGCGGTGGGAGTGATTGACGATGAGCTTAGAGTGGGTGAAAGTGCAAGTTCAGTAGGAAGAAATGCTTGATCACACACGAAAGAACGACTGCTGTCGAACAGCGCAATGGATCGCCGGTGAAGACATGCAAGGTTTACGAGGGATGGCTTGAAGCCACAATGGAAATGAATTATTAGACTGCACGAGGGACAGCAAGGTGTTCTGGCGAGGATAGATGAGACAATGCCCACACGAGGCTTCCATAGGATTTGGCAATAGAATGGAATTAAAATCATTGGCTGTGCCAGCGACGAATTCGTCTTTCAACGAGGAATTGAGCATATATGCTCCAGCTCTCAGCCGGTTCGGCGAACGATTATAGCAACTCGTGATGAAGCTGCTTCGCTGCTCTGAGCACCAGTTCGTCGTCTCCGAATTGCCCAATGAGCTGCATTCCAGCAGTTTTGATATCTGTGTCTTCCCGCTTCGCTCTTTCTGCCTCGGGCACTGGAACTGGTACACTTATGGCAGGCAATCCAGCAAGTGAAGCCGGAACCGTGAATACATCGTTCATGTAGCTTTCGAGCGGCGATTGCTTTGCTAGTTCTTCGATTGTCGGCGGCAGGGTAGGAGCCGTAGGTGTAAGGAGCAGATCCACCGTATTCTCCTCTTCGCGAAGACTCTTGCCCGTGGGGTCTAGCAATGGATTCTGCAGCGCGAAGACACGATCGAAGTCCTGTTGTACAAGTCTCCTCACGCGTTGTGCTTGTATGAAGTAATTGTCCATAGCCTCTGAGCTTAGCGTGTAAGCACCTAGTAGGATTCGTCTCTTTACTTCTTCTCCGAAGCCCTCGCCTCTTGTTTTCGCGTACAATGGGAGTGGAGGATTGTTGTGAGGACTCGCGTCGGTGGTGCCAGTACGGTGTCCATAGCGTATGCCATCGTATTTGGCTAGGTTCGAAGAAGCTTCGGCTGGGGCAAGGACGTAGTAAGCTGAGAGAGCCGATTGCGTACTGGGTAGTGAGACCGCGTGGAGAGAGTGTCCTGCATTTCGCAGCATTCGGAGCGTGTCGAGATAGGTCTTTTTGACTATTGGACTGAGCTCTTTGATGTTGTACTCGATCGGAATGCCAATCCTCAGCCGTTCGGTTTTGCGAGATGATTTCGATTGTATTCGTTGGCGAAGGGACTCGGATAAAGACGTCTGATCTCTCGCATCGTACTTGTCCAGGATAGAGAATGTCTTCTCCAGCTTCTCTACACGCCGCCCGAGAATGCCAACAGTATCCAGCGAGTTGGCATATTGAATCACGCCCCATCTCGATATGCGGCCGTACGATGGCTTGAAGCCCAGGACACCCGTATAAGCAGCTGGCAATCTCACAGACCCTCCAGTATCTGTTCCCAGTGCAACCTCGCAAGCACCCTTCGCAACGGCCACCGCACTGCCGCCGCTACTCCCTCCAGGAGACAACGGAATACCACCGCGACTGTACAGACTCTTCACCGGACCCTCATGCGCATACTGCGAATGCGACCCCATGCCGAACTCATCCATGCTGCCTTGAATGTCGACATCATGATCGAGGTGGCCAGCTGCTTTCAAGAGCTCCACGACGGTTGCATCGAATGGCGAGTTGTAGTCCTGCAGCATTTTGGAAGATGCCACAGTGTTTTGCTGAGCTTCGGTTCCAGGTTTGCGGACTATGTTGGCCTTGATCCCAATAGTATCTTGACATCGCGTGGTTTCGTGGAACAGGCGATAGGGAGTCGCCTTCTGATGAAGGATCACATGTTCGCTCAGAGCTCTTCTGCAGAGGCTTACAGCGCTCTGTCGAAGACGCTGTTGACGTAGCATCACATCTTGGGTTGTAGAGTTTTGGCTGGAAGAGGTGCACGAAGAGGTGCGAAAGCTCTCCCTTGCACGCCAAGCTTTCGGGTCGGCATCGGCTTCTGGCGACAAGTGCTCTTCCTCAGCTTGCAATTCACTTCACACTGATCTCACGCACAAACACACGAACGCTCGTTTTCACCATCGCATGCATCATTTCCAGTGCAGCGATCAAGTCGAGTTTCGTCATGACGCGGCACACGGCACATGGCACCAGCACGCTGCCCATCGCTACGCTCTCTGGACATAGGCTTAATCTGCGACTTGTTCAGCTACTGTCTACGGGTCTACATCAACCTGAGCAATACCAAGATGTTACCTTAAGGATACTATCCACAGCATACTCTCTGAATGGGTCCTATCCTGTTTCGCACTACGGAAAGCCAACTGAGCAGACCCAAAACCCATAATGTCGCCAGGCCTGCATGCTGCACATACCCAATGGACCTATGAGTTCACTTTGGCCACGTGACTCCTTTCGCAGGCGGACTGGACGAGATGACGGCGTCCGAAGATGGAGCTTCTTCCGGGAAGCGCCCTTGACATGCTTCGTAACTCTGGTAAAGGTGGAGACAATCATCCAAAGAATCAGTGTCGGACTGTGCCGTCGCTGCAGCATCAATGTCGCGATCTTCTTGTGCACTGGCCAGATTCTCTTCGCCTGGGACCTCATCACAGGAACCATCATCATCTTTGGCTGAGCATTCTCGATCCTTGTGGGAGGAAGACTGGAGTAAATCGACACGTATGCCATCTGACTGAGAAGAGTCCTTCAAATCGGCCGTTTCGCATTCAGCTAATGGAGCAAGATTCGAAGCATTTTCGGGATCATCATGCCCGGCCTGGGCCGTGGCTGGACGTCCAGCTTCCAGAGATTCTAGGAAGTCTGCACCAGCCAAGGCGTTCTGGAACACATGATGATCGGTGATTGCCTCTTGCAAACCAGACTCTATGCTGTCTGAGCTTGGGTCAAAATCCGCAGATCTCTTTGGTGAACGTCTCCTCGAAGGTGACGATCTTGCTGATGGGGGAAACACACTCTCGAATGTTGGGAAAGATTGTTCGCGTTTCGCAGCTTTGCTGACACCACCATTATGTGGCAAGCTGAATGGATTTGACGTAGCGGGACGCATGCTTGCAGGGCCCCTCGCGTCATCCTCATGGTCGACAGAGCTTTCATTGCTTGTCTCTGTGAGCGCATTGTATCTCATGTTGCGGTTTGACCTCTTCAATTCGAAACTCAGGCGATCACCCATGCTCGGCGAGGGTCCTGGAGTTGTCACAGTGGGACTCACTGGCGGTGTCACTCTGCGGTCCGATACAGAGTCGATGCTGATGGCCACAGAGCCTTGGCGTGGTGACGGTTCCAAGTTTGGCGTCGCTGCATGGCCGCCTTTGTGCATCCAATCTTGGACGGAAAATCTCCAGAAGACCTCGCCAACGTCTGATGAGCGCCCCAATCCCGTAGACAGCCGAGACGGGCTTGGAGTCTGGGATTGCGCAACGCGCTGATACAGCGGCGCGGTGCTTGGATGATCATTCTCACATCTACACCTGTCTGTTGTCGACTTGCCCTCCACAGAATCGACCATGCTCGGAGGCGGATCACCGCGCTCGCAGTCTTCCAAGCCAAGAAAGTGCTCCGGGTGGAATTGATCAAACTGTGCCGAGCTCAGGCGACTCGAAGTTTGTGAAAGAACATGCTTGGTATCGTCTTGCGGAGCCTCGAATTTCTCCGCCCCGGATGGCACTTTTCTTGTTGCTTCAGGAGCACCCAACGTGGTTGCTTCTCCTGAAATCGCTCTTGCTGCGATCTTTCGTGCTGCACTTTGTCCAAGCAGTGCGGCGCCCTCGGACAGCAATTCTCTTTCTCTCGACGGCGTCCTCTTCTGCGCTGTTGAACTAGCGCGTTGCTGGAGTGCTGGGCTGTCCGTTTCCGAGCCACCACTGTGGTTTGTTGACTGCACCGTGGCTCCGGGAGTAGCTGTCGACTTCTCGTGGCTGCTGACTGTTCCTGGGGATGTTGCGGCAAGCCCGCCAACAGCATTTCCGGGTGCGAATGGGTCGTCGCTTTTCCACTGGCCGCTAACCGGATCTCGGTGTCCTGCACTCGGGGTCGATAAAGCTGCCAGCTTGAGGGGCGGCATGTCGTTGCTACCTGAGGTCGTGTTGGAGATGTTCCTAACTTTGTGCGTTGCTGACGATGGAGTAAGCCGGATGCCACGCCTCGGCGAATCCCTAATGTGCTGCTCTGCTAAAGCGTCCAAGGATATCATCTTCTTCAATGTCTTATTGTCTCGCTTCTCTGGAGTGTCTCGCGCTTCTACGCTCCGCTCAAATAGAGGCGGCTCATCGAACACATCAACATTTCCGTCGAGCTCCAGCTGTGCGCCAGTGCCTGGCATCGGTGTCGAGGGGCGGTCCGGTGTACTGAACTCAAATTCATCTGTGGGCAACCGCAGGAACTCACTCACGGCACCTGGCACTTGTCTGCTGTTGCCCTTGCCGGCCAGAATAGCATCCGCAGGACCTTCTCCTGGCAAACGGGTATAATACGTTGGCACTTTCATTGAGTCCTGGTTGACTGGGTTGGTGATTGACATCAGCTCTGAATTCTGGTCGATCATGGCCGGGCTGTAGAGAAACCCTGCCGATAGACTTGGCGAATCGCGCAGGTTTAGTTTGAGCGTCGGCGCTGGCACATCAATAGGCGACGATGGCAGTGGAATCGACGCTGCTCGTTTTGTCGGCGAGCCGTTGTCGCTGGCTGGTGAAGTCGGATCCGACATCGTGCCTCTACGGCTCAACCCACGCAAGCTTCCGATGACACTTCGTGCAACGCTTGACGTCCTGCCGTGTTGCCTTGTAGGGCTCTTCATCTCACGCTGAGAACTCCCAGTGGCTGTCGCAATCTCTGTCGAGATTCGTCCTACTGGCTGGGCGGAATTGACTCCGTGGCTGGTGATGTCTGACAATGCTGCACGCCTGCTCTTCTCCTTCCCACTTGCATGGATATGCTGTCGAAGACTGTTCATGGCGCTCTTGGGAGTGAAGGTCTTCTGACGCTCAGCGCGCGTCGGCCGAAGCGGCGTGAGCGAACTGTGAGATTCACCCACTGACGCTGATCCAGAGCTGTTCTCCTCGTCGGCATTTGGCAGCTCGACGTCGACATTTCTAGCAGCGTCAGTATTAGCAATCGAATTCGCGATGTTGACGTACTCTTGGGCATCTTCTTGGCTGCCCTTTCGATCACCACTTCGTAGGTGCTCAACAACCCCTTTTGCACCTCGTTGAAAGACCTCGCGAGCGCTACCGAACCACGACTTCTTCCTATTCAAAGTTAAGGTGTTGTCGAGATTGCTCTGCAAGGCATCTCGTGCAGCTGAGGACAATGGACTGTCCGCCCGCTCGGGCTGTGGTGTCGTGGCTCCGCCTCGATGGGGCATTTTCAGTCCGTCTGCACGAAGCGTAGCATGCGAGTCGAATCGAGGTAGACCAACCTGGGCGGAAAACAGGCTCGTACTGTTGAATGGCAATCGAGAGGAATGTTTGCAGACCCGGAAGTAGCTGGCGCAGGTTTGCTGCTACCACCCAGCCTCTTGCGCCTTCGCTTAATGCAACGGCCGTGAGGCAGTCACAGATGCGCATGACAATCGCATGGAAAGCGCGTTGTTCAGCTTGACGACACGTCTCGGCTCACATGTGTTCTATCGACCTACGTCTAGGAACCACAAAGGTCGGGGCCGCATGTTAAGAACGTGTACCATCGCATCGGGCTTTCTTTACAGTCGCGGCTCAGACCCTCACCTCCAACCATTTCTCATGTCTTCTTCGGGCAGTTCTCCCAATCACATCACCATTCATACTCTTCCGCACTTGCTCGCTGGTAATTACTGCATATCGATCACTGACTTCCCAAGGCGACCACTCGTACGAAGAGGCCACATCATGCGGACATGAAGATGCCATGAATGGCGGCAGACCACGTCCTTCTCAACTATCGGGCGCTTGGCTTCGAGAAAGCCTGCATGCGAGCACCTTAGTAGCACGGTCTCGGTGTGATAGGCGGTCGCGACATCAGCTCTGTGTTCCCTGCTGATATCGTACCTCACTTCGATCTCGAGGTGCAGCTATCCTGGCGCCTGCAATCGAAATACAAAAGAGTCACTCCTCGCTCACAGTCGATTGTGTGCAACGTTTTCATAGGCAAATTCGGATGTCCAGATCGCCTGACTACACTGGCTGAAGCGATGCGTGGTGCCATCGACATAGCTTCAAGCCTCGAGAACATAATGCCCCCCTTCGCAACATCTGCCACGACTTGCTGCATGGAGCAGATCCTATCTATGAGAGGAAACGATTGTTGCACACGTAAATCACGAAAGGCGGCCTCAGATCCATGCTCGTCGTGTGAAAGTTCTGTGCTACTTCTTGATTCGCATCCAGTGTATCACGCGTAACAGGCAAAAAGACTGGCCTAAATACATATTTTTCGAGCAAGGTCACGTGTTTGAACCACTAGCGCGCTTTGGAACGACCTCGCAGATCCAACCCAACGACATCCAGCGAGCTTCGGCCAGTTACGACACGCACGCCACGCCATCGCCATCTGCGCGAACCTGTATTGTTCTACACGAGTAGCACCTATTTGTCCACTGCTACAGTCAGCCCATTAGGCGCAGTGCGCAGCCATGGCGAACCCGCAATCCGTGTCCTTTGACCAGTTGCTTCAAGAGAGTGAGCCGCACCGCTGCTCGATTCAATCCCGACCACTGCTGATGTCGCGCCAGGCCGCAAAAAACGCAAGGCCGAGCAGCTCGCGCAGGAAATTTTCGGCAAGCGCAACAGGTCGCAGACACCCCAGGGGCCACGGTCGAAGCCAGCTCCTGGCGCCAGCCTTGCCAGCAGAGTCGGTGTCGCGAAGGTACGATTATCACCTTGAATGGAGAGGGCCTGAGCCGGGCAATGACTAAGATACTTGTAGCCACGCACTGCATCTCTGCCTCGAACCAATTCGGGCTCAGCGCCACGAGCCAATCGTCCACAGACGCAAGCAGCACGGCCTGCACTGAACGACGACAGCCGTGCGCGATCGACCAAATACCAACAGCGGGCCTCACAGGTCATCTCGGATCCAATCAGCGATGTTAAGAGCAGTGAATATGCAGGATACGAGGCACCACCGGCGGTTGCGAACGGAAATACGAACATAAGCTTTCGAGGAGCAGCGACCAGCCAGCACGTTGTAGTCGCGCAGAACTTTGCGCCAGGAACGACCGCTGCAGATATCGAGAGCGTAATGACTGACGTTGGCGGTACTGTCCTCACCTGCAAGCTCACCGCCGAGACGCCTACTGTGGTGGCAGAGATGACGTTCGAGGATAAGGCTGGAGCAGAGGCGGTTATCAACACATTCAATGGGAAGAAGGTATGTATGGATGGCATCAGATCATTGGGCATGTTACTGATCTGTCGCCAGGCGGACGGTCGCACTTTGAATGTGTTCCTGAAGGCTGTAGGACCAAAGCTGCCATTCACAGTCGATGTGGAGCCAGCAGTCGAGGAGGCCATGGAAATCGACGAGAACGCACAAGCGCGCGAAGCTGAAGATCGTCGGCGCGAGGAGCGTCGTGGTCCTGCTGAACGTGCGCCTCCGAGAGACGACTACCCAACAGGACCGCGAAACGATAGAGGCTACCAAGACGATTACTACAGCCGCGGACCGCGTCGTTCTGAGCCTGCGTATCAGGACGGTCGTTACGGATTTGGAGGTGGTGGCAGGTATGGCGGTGGAGGAGGCTATCGCCATGATGGTCGATTGGGAGGCTATGGAAACCGTCACAGCTACAGGCCGTGAGCTGTAGCATGCAGCTGCCAATGCACTCCCAGCACCCACTTTCCTAGCTATGGAAAGCACAATCGAGTCTTGCAGATCATCAAGATCGCAGCATTCATTTCTCTCCCTGAGATGTGCAGATCGATTCGGAGATCTGGTCCCGCCTTGAACGCCCTATTAGATTTCAAGGACCGGTGTCAAAAGCTTGGTACTTCATGAGTATAAATATCTTTGCGGCAATTGCATATCCGCTGTATCACTGCATCAGTCTGCTGCCTCCTCCGAACCACCAGAGTCTGGATAAGGTACCCCGTATTGCACTTCGCTTCACACGAGCAACGCTCCCCCAGATCAGCAGGCGTTGCAAATGCAGGCAGCTGGCATCCGCTTCTTCTTGCTTTCAGGCAACCGCTGCTGCAAAGGTGCACAACGCGGAACAAAGGCTCTGTTGCACAGACATCTGGATCTGGAGGACTAGCGTTGATTTGACATAAGACACCAGCAGCTACATCACGACTGCATGGCATGGGTCCATTATTTGCAGTACGTCGTGGCTTCATGGACATACTGCTCGCTTGTGGAATTGAGAACATGTGCATTACACAACGTGTAGACATCTGTGCTATTTGTCTGCTTCTCAAGTCAGGTGCGTTCCTGCACTCGCTCCACTCCGTGCAGTCGTGAGTGTGAGTGTTCTTGCCACCGGTGAATTACTGCCTTAGTTTTGCTCTCGCGAAGCGCGGAGAGCGCTAAGCACAACACTACACATACGTACCCGCAACTATCGAACGCGTAGCACCCGCGCCTCGCGAGACGCGTCTCCTCCATCACCAATTTCACCTCGCTCTCATGCGCTCGTGCGAATTGGAGTCATTCCACCAGCGCTATGTCCTCATATCGTCCTCAGTACGGCACATCCCGCGCGAAATCACCACGTGGATCGAGCTACCACGGGGAGGAAGTCCAGGCTACATTTCAGCAGAATTACGATGGCTCCTCCTGGAGACCGAGATCTCCTGCACGCCATCACACAGTTCATCGAGACTTTCGTTGGCAAGACAGGTCCAAATCCCGCTCAAGGAAGCATTCTCCTGTAAGGAGAGGCGACTACCGTTCGAGATCTGGATCGATCGAAAGGCACTATGGCAATCATACTACAGATCGGTGCACAGGTCACAACGGCTGGCGGCCAGGGCGCGACACAAATCGATCGCAGCTACGTGGATCAGCACCTGTGAGCTCAACTCCAGCAAAGCGGTCGATGATGTTGAGGGTATACCGTATTGGCGGAAGATGCAGCTAAGGGACAAAGGCGCAAAGCCTGAAAATGACAACGAGAGAGGATATGTTGCTTGGCGGAGTACCCAGACCTTGAGTCCAAGAGTGGCAGAGCGCCCACCCGTTTCTCATGTTGAGAGTTCATTTGCTCCATTGGCGGAGGAGACCCTGCCGAGATAGCCAAAGTTCTATCGTCACCTCTCGAGCGCGACAAGGGAAGTGTTGCTTACAGTAAGGGTTTCGATATGAGAAAAAGGAGGCGCACGACTCTCCATTTGACTCCACAACGGTCAATCGCCGGTATGGGATGACAGATAGCTGAGACCTTCTGGAGGCGGCGGAGAAACTATTGTAGCTGACAAGTTTAATGGCATGGACGGCTTCGAATTCAATATTGAAGAGCTCTTGGCTTCCAATGATCGGGAGCTTCAGACAGCTAAAGATCGACAGCGAGATAAAGCGTGCTCGAAATATCAAAGTTGAGGCACTCATGCTAGCTGGAAAATTTCAGGACCAAGCTGATGAGAGCGGTCTATTCGCTTCTCGAGTTGTTCCTGTGGATCGAGGTCTTCCAAAGCACTTGCGCGTGAAGTCAATTTTCCGCCGCATCGGCATCGTCATAGAGAACAACTCATGTGCGACTACTGCAGCATCTATCGTCAAGATTCAACTGAGAGGAGGATCGCACGAGACTCCACTGGGCGGCTCGCCATTCCTTACGCATTTTCAAAAAACCTAACTGCATCTTGTCGCAATGGCGACTGCTGTACCGAAACGAGAACAAGCCAATGAATGTTCCGCTCTCCGCATCTTCGCTGCTCTGGTAGCCGATGTGAGTAAATCAGCACCATTTGATCACGTTGTCGCAAGAGCAGAGAAGACCGCCATTTCCTGCTCTTCGCCTTCGCTGGATCGGTCATAGCTATGCCGATACACGTGCACGCGCAAAACAACGCAGCTCTACTGGTATACGGGGAATGTCAGATGGATCTCAGTCAAGCATGCTCCACGGGACTAAGAAGACGCTCCGGCTTATTTGCCATCGTTGTTTCAGTCTTCGCCTGTCGACTGGTACCGTGGGCTCAAAACGAGCAAACGGTTACAGCTGCATCTGGTGCTGCTGTTGTCGAGGCGGAACGCTATCGGCGCTGCAATATGGCAGCTAATGTGTACAAGTGGAAACCGAAGTTTGGATGTTGTGGAGGGAAGAGATGAAGTCCGTCGGCGAAGGTTTTCGTTCAAGCCGTCCTGGGTCTTGGCACAATATCTTGGCGATCGCCTCTGAGCGCAAGGCAAGAGATGACATTTCTGTTGCATACCTCACGTATTTTGTTTGCGCCATCCGCACTTGAACTATCTAACGATCTCACATGTTGGGACATAGTCCAGCAATTTGAAGCGATGAGCGTCGTCGATTTTCCTTTCAAAATTTCACAGTGTCAAGCTGAGGTTGAAACCTCATCTCAGGTCGATCCTTGAAAGGCCCACCGAGTTCAGCGAAGGCGTTTGCGTGAGGCCTCCGTTAGTCGTTATGTATAGGCTCCAGCGATCAGACACTAGTCGACCAAATCGGACTGCGGTAGGACCAACCAGAGAGCTGGAATTGGAATGGGGACTACCAGCAATGATCTCCTGCTCTGCCTCCTTCTCAGGCCCTTCGGAAAAAAGGTTTGCCGGTTCCGAAGTTTAGTGCCACTTCCACTTTCACCTCCGTGTTTACATATAGAAGTCACGTACCACCTTACCTTCCACCTCACCACTACCTTCCTACCTTCCTTACCCACCGACACCCTTTTTCCGAAGGAAGTCGCGTCAAGCCAATCATCAAAAGCTACATCAAAATTTGACCAACATTGACTGAACAGCACGTGATTGGCAGGCGCGAAAAGCCAAGTCGGGCTGAGAAGGAGACAGCTCCTGTTGGCCAGACGGATCGACCTTCGTGACTACGCCCAATGGTCCAGCAACGTATGCGGTACCATCACGGTCGAGCACGAGATCATCGCATGTCAGGTTCCCCGTAATGAGCGTGGGAGTGCTTGTCTCCTGCACCTGACCTTTCTCATCGACCGCCACTCTGTAGAGACTGCTCTTTCCGGTATTTGTGTAGTAGATGTTCCCTTTGCGGACCTTGACACCATTTACTCCCGTGAAGTTGGGCCCTGTCGGCGTGGAACCGGTGGTGCTATTGTCTTTCAGCGTCACTCCGACCTCCCCGGTGCAGACATTAACATTCCAGATGAGTCCGCGGAACGAATCAGCCACGAGGAGGTGCTCCGACAAAGGTCGCGCAAACGCGATACCGTTGGGTAAGGCAGCATTCGGAAGAGAAGCAACGCGCTGGGCGTATGGCGCTTTCGTCAATCCACCTTTGGGCAAGACTTCCACACCTCGCATATCAATCCTGGTGATAGAATACGAAGCTGGGGTAGTGTTTGATGGATTCATGATATCGAAGTCTCCAGAGGCAACGTAGAATATGTCTTGCTCGCGCTCCGCGATGCCCACTGCGCTGCGAATGTTCGGAACGTTGTACACAAGCGTTGGGGGCAAGATACCAAGCGGATCGAATTGATAAATGCTTGCATTTGGCTGAGTTGTTGTTGCAAGGATCTGGCCGTTGGCGCGGACAGCAAGATCCTCGAATCTCGGGCCGTCGTTGATGCGAGCAATGATGTGGACTGGAAGATCTGCATTATCTGGCACAGTTGTAGCCAGACCGTGAGCTATGGCAGAGCCTAAGACCAGAGCTGAAAGAGCATAAAGCATTGTGAAGTATTGAATGACGACAGCAGTAGCGTTTCCTCAAGCTGACTTACCCCGACAGAGCTGCCTGTCTTATATACGTCCAGTGCGGGAGTCGTGTGGTATTGTTGGATCATTAGCACTAAACGTATTCGTGCAGACATTCATAAGCTTCGGGAAGGATGCGCTAGCATGCTGAACCAACATAGAAAGCGGCGGTCAAACAGTACTGGCGAGAGGTAATCTCACCCAGCATGCTCTCGAGAGCAAGCTTCGTCACAGGCAGACAGAAGACGTAACAAATCGCGAGAGCTTGTGAAGACGTGTGTGTTGTCCAGCTCGAGCGAGTCGCTGTGGAAGTACTGAAACAACCCGAGGCTGACGAAGCGGATGGGACCCGGGAGGAAGTGGCATAGAGGCCGATCCTGGAAGTAGCCACAACGTATCAGAAGCGCTCTGTGCTGCAAGTCATAGTAGTCGTGAGCGCAACATACCATCTCCCAGAATAAAGCCGTGATCGGCGGAACCAGCGAACATGTCAGACCAAGCCACAAGGATAGGACCTTTCATTATTTCCTGTTACAGCAGCTCGTTCGGCTAAGGACAATCCTCGAATATGAAGCAACCCATTTAGTCTCTGCCTATACTCCACAACAAACGCCATCGTGTCAAGGCTCGCAAAACATTGTCATCAGGAAGGACCTAATGAATGTGCCTCCAGAATGATTTGAAGAAGACTGACAGTTTTTTTCGAGAATTGGAAGTCCTTGAACTTCCGGCCGGCGTACCTTTCGTGTGGGTGTGAAGTATTTCGCAAACCATCTCCCTGGCCTCCAGCACTTACGGTAGGTATTGGCTTGTCAGACAAAATCGGAATGGCAAGAGCAGCAACCTAGACATCGACGTCCTCGGCTTCTGATATAGCATCAATCAAACTATCTGTCCCATAATCTCGCATTTCGCTTGAGATAAGCCCATGCTCTTCGAGCTTTTCCAGCGCGGCTAGCACCCAGGCCTGGCAGTTGTATTCGGGATCGCCGTTTCTTATGCGAACAGTCGCAAGCGTTCCCACGATCTGTGCCAGAGTCGCCGGCACACTCATATTGCCAAGCCTAACCTGTCTGTAGAATGTATCGGATAGCGTTGGGTCCGCTTCAGCTCTACATTGAAATCTGTAGTTCTCGGAGCCTCCGACAATTTCGACCAGCTGGGAGGAACTGTTCGGAAGTTCCAGCCAGAGAGCAGTATGTCGGAGCCATGTGAAGTCCGGATATCCTCTGTGTATGATGACACTGAGACTGATGGCGGGGCGATCAGCGGAATGTTCATGCCGGGTTGTTGAAGCCATAGTTCGCAAGACTGATCTGAAAGCAAGTGACTCGTGATACCAATGAGATCCAAGTGTTTACCGATCCCAATCAAAACGCTGGAAGGTGTCAACACGAAACGCTCGGTATGCCATCGCTGCTGTAGAACGTGCGGCACAGGTGGCGCAGCATATGTAGCGCTTTTCTCACTTTTTTCCGCACTTGAGTCACCGCCGTCTCCGACTTTTCATCAACTGGAATCTGAGCGCGTTGTATGGAGCATGAAAGTGATGTAAACTCGCAAAGTCAAAAGGTGGGAAGATGGATGTTTGCCTACGCGCTTGAGACGGGAAGAAGTGACGTTCGGCTGCGGGCACGTCATCGCAACCATCGAAAGCACCATGATTAAGTACTGGTGTTCTGAAGATCTAGCCTTGTGCTTGCGTAAATGACACTGAAAGAACACATTTGCACTACATAGCACTTGCCATGGCTGACGAATTTCTGACCGCTCCGAAGCCGCCTCCAGATCTCAAAATTCCCTCGTCAACAAAGACAGTCAAAGTCTCATGCATTGACAGGTACGATAACAAGCTCATCAACGTTCTCTCAAACACTGAAAATCAGCAGCACATCTCGTTTCCGACTAGGAAAGTCGTCTTTCCTGCAGCCAGACTATACAGGTCAACCCAATTTATGCGGTCCATCATTCTCGTTCCTGATCGAACACCCATCTTCCAAGCCCATCTTGTTCGATCTCGGAATTCGGAAAGACTGGGAGAAACTGCCTTCTTACGAGAAATTTGTTCGCTTGAAATGGTACATCAACGTTGAAAAAGATGTTGCAACAATCCTGAGAGATCACGACGTTGATGTTGATGGCGGAGCAATTGAGTCCATTATCTGGAGCCATCATCACTGGGACCACGTTGGCGATGCTTCCACGTTTCCTGGAAGTACAGAGCTCGTTGTAGGACCTGGATTCAAGGATGCTCACCTACCGGGCTATCCCAAGAATGAACAGTCAACCCTCCTCGATAGTGATTTTGATGGCCGCAATGTCAGGGAGCTAAACTTCGAAAGTGAAAGCAAAGGGCTAAAGATCGGGCGATTCAATGCCTACGACTACTTTGGCGATGGCAGTTTCTATCTCCTCGATACGCCTGGCCATTCCGTTGGCCACATCTGCGGTCTTGCGAGGACCTCATCGAACCAAGATTCCTTCATCTTCATGGGAGGCGATGCTGCACACCACGGCGGAGAATTCCGGCCGACTGAATACCTACCTTTGCCGAAGGAAGTGAAGCCTTCTCCTCTCAAGCGACAGCAACCAGTATGTCCGGGCCATCTCCTCATGGACGTGCATCCACATAAGCAGGCAAACACGCCCTTTTACTATGTGACAGAGAGCTTCGCACATGATAAGAAGGTGGCTGATTGGACAATTGATGGACTGGGAGAGTTCGATGCGCATGAGAATGTGCTGATGTTGATGGCACATGATGACGCGGTCGTTGATCCTGCTGAGATTGACTTCTATCCCAAACCACTGAATAGCTGGTTCGAGAAAGGCACGAAGCAGAAGATCAAGTGGTTGTTCTTGGGTGATTTTGAGCACGCTCTCGAGGCGAAGGAAAAGGGACAGGAGCCTTTCAAGTGGGGGAAATATCCATGATCTGAGGGGAAATGTTAGGGTTGTCGTGGCCAGACAGATAGTGCATCGCCTTTTCCCCTGTACCGATTCGATTTTGTCGATAGTCTTTAGCCGACTGCCTGAGAGTCCTTCGAGAGATCTTGACGAGTTCGAACGAGGTCCTCAGCGCATGCGAACTATTAGTTGTGCAAGCCATGTGGTCATTGTGATTTCCGCCAGTCTATTAGAAGTCTTGTTGCCGTGGACGACCGGATGAAGCATGAGGATCTGGTCATTAGGACAGCGGGTTTCGACCGCCGGGGCATTGCATCGAATACGCAGGAGACATTCAGATACTCATTAGAACGTGGTCAAGAGATTACGGCCAGTCGGGCAACCATCATTGTTCTCGCATGCTTTGGAATTGGACAGCCCTTTTGGAACGTAAGACTTGGAAACGCTCGCTGGAGAATTGGGTTGCTTGGCGGCAGCGGATGCGTGTGGTCTTCGGCAAGCGACAAGCGAGTTCGGAAGATCGCACCCGACACCGCCGTTATAAGGTAACTCGCGCCTGCCGCTTAGTCAGTCCTGCCTGGCCAACACCTCCCATCAACTCCTCTCCACCAACCACGTAAGTACACCACCTTCTCCCAACATGAGCTGCAGAGTTGGCATGCGCGCGGCGACGTGATCGCGATCAACGATGGCCCCACAAGTGACTGACACCATGGCCTGCAGAGCCCAGACACCGTGTCTGTAAGCATCGCGACAACACCGCGTGCAACGGCTTCAATCACGACGCTCGAGGGGCGGGAGCAGCGCAGAGTCAACGATAGGCCGACGGGAGGCAATTGTTCGCGCCCTAGTCGGCGGTAGGCATTGCGCATCGCGAGGCTGGGCAACTACATGCAACGTGCTCAGGTAAGCTGCGCCTGCCTCAAGCTCCCGAATCCATGGTCGCAATGCTGACTATTCCTGTGTCGCTAGGAGATGAATAGCGAGATGAGTACGCAAACACTGCGCCGGGCCTCCCGCATGCTTCAGGCCATACCATGCTGACTCGCCGTTTAACCAGGCTTACGCGAGCAACTTCTCGCCGAGACGGCCAACAGCAATGCCTCTGCACCATATCCTTCCAGCGCGTCCGCGGCTCAAGGCCCGAGCAATCCGTATCCTCCCTCCGATCATAGTGGCAGCCCACACGAGCATCACCAGCTTGATCCGAACGTGCAGTACTCGATGAGTGGTGACCATCAGATGGGCGAGGGAGCCGGAAAGGGCAAGCGAGAGCTATCCACGAGCAAGAGGGCCGCACAAAATAGAGCTGCGCAGGTGAGTGCTGCTGCCAGAATCATATGGATCGAGATCTCAAGTCCGAGCGCGGTGAACATGGAATCGTTCTGCTATCTCAACAGCACGTCTTGCCTGTGATCGAGCCATTCACTAACGCATCTTGGCAGCGCGCCTTCCGACAACGCAAAGAAGGTTATATCAAGAAGCTCGAAGAACAGGTCAAGGACTACCAAAGTATGGAGCACAACTATAAGGCTCTACAGAACGAGAACTACCAGTTGCGCGAGTACATCCTGACCCTGCAATCGAAACTTCTGGAAAATCAGGCCGAATTCCCCCCTGCGCCGTCGCACGCCAACCTGTCGACGAGCGCAGCTCAACAATACCCTTCTCGCGCAGAGTCATCGTATGCCTCGGAGGAGCAGCCGAGGCACGAGCATGAGCAACGACCGCCGCCACCTGCACCTGTAGCCGCTTCCGAGGCACAGCGGCACGACGGAATCGCGGCGCTTCATCAAGCTGCTGTGGCACAGGAGGCACGACCGCAATCGTCTCCCTATGGCTTAGCGAGCGAGTATCCAAGCAGGCAACCTGAGACTGCCGGAGGTATTGATTCGAAATCGGGCTCGTAGTATGAACCTATGATGGAGAATCATGATATCACGAGGCAGGAGATGACAACGACTTCTTCCATGCCGTGGTCCTGTCTATCGCAGCCCTAATCCATACATGGCACGCGGGCGACATGCTTCTCACCGCGCATGAGTAGCGCGCTAATGGAGGTGGCAACTACGGACTGAAGCATTAGTGCCGATCGATGGAAAGTGGCACGAGGGAATGTGGCAGATTCCAGCAATCGCGTTTCGCTCTGCCACTTGGCCAAGAGTAGCAAGTGGTCCTGCTTACGAGCTCTACGATTCCGTAATTGGTGACTGGACGCCCGACTTCCCACCGATCACTGGCATGAGCGAAAGCTTGATCAGCCGCAAGAGACGCAGGCCACGAGACTACAAGCTGCTGCCGGGCTGCTGTAGGCACAATGAACAAGAGCTATGTTGAGTGGCCAGTAAGTGATCCTAATAGATGAAGCATAGATGACTCAGCAAAGAGCTGTATACCAATTACAATGCATCACAGTTGAGCACTTCAGCTCCGACGCTATCCCTGCAGCAAGAGCATAGTTCACCTGAGCCAGAATCAAAAGAATCGTTTCTCCCCTTCTTTTCCAGCCGACGTAGCCGGAAGTCTGTCTCACGCTCCAGCGTAAAGGATGAATGCATCCGTACAGCGCCCTAGGTTAGTCGTGTTCATTTGATGCATGCAATGCAATGCCGTGTCTCTGAGTCAACGGCTGCGGAACACGCGGTGAATGGCGCAAGTGCGGAGCCGTTGCACAAAAGCACCTCGCTGCCTTGAGGCCTGTGCCGCGGTGGCGGGAAGCTTATCTGTGCAAGGCAACATTTCATGGGGCTTTGCCTGAACTTACCACCACTTGCTAACATCACCTTCGTTGGTGACATCTTTTCGGCGACGCGCCAACGTCTGCCTCATCGATAGCTCGAGCACTGAGAGACTGAATTGGCCGCTGACTCCTTTCTGCAGTTCCGCGCCCAACATGGCGATGGGTTCCGCCCTTTGGGCTGGCGCTCAGTCGGTTTGCGACGGCGCGCAGTTCGCACTCAGCAAAGCATCGAATGTTCTGAGCGCTTCTCGATTCAACAGGGACTCATTTGACCAAGCACGCGGCTACGACTTCGAAGAGGAGAGTGAATATGACTCGGAGAATGAGTCTGGCGACGATCAGTGGATTGACGTGAAGAAGGAAAAGCGTGACTTGACAAAGGTACCTATGCGCGTTGCAATGCCCTCATTAATCTGCGATCGATCCTTACTGAAGTTGTCACAGCCGCAAGAAGAATTCATGGTCAGGAGCGTCTCTGAATCAACGCGACAGCTCCGCCTGAAGATCACCAAGACCGCAACAGAGAAAGCAAGTGCGGCCGCGGGCGTCAGCTTCGAGTACGCCAAGTGGGCACTTCGTCTTGTGGCAGTGGAAGCAGCACACGATATTGGCTTCCTGACCAGCTGCAAAACGGCCACCGACGTTGTCAGAGCCGTCAAAGCGCGCTTTCCAGTCCTGGAAGACATCCAGAAGGCTTATCAATCCGGCAGTCTCGAAGCCAGCACCTCGGAGTCAAGCGCTCAACTCACCAATATGACTCGCGCACATGCTCCGCAGCCAGGTATCAGACATCCTCGTGATGTGCGAATGGCCAGCAATCTGGATGACATCCCGATCATTTCAGACAACACTATCAACCAGAGTCCATATGCGCGCGACGGAGCACCACTCATTCATGCTGAAACTGGAGCTGAATTGGAGCTAGTGTTCGAGGAGGCCGGCCGCGGACGCGGTAGGAAGCGAAATACTCCACCACACAACAACTCGAACGCGCAGGGAAACACGGTTTACAGCAGATTCATCGGTGCAAATCACAGCAAGGGCGAGAATAACGCATGAATTGCTCCCCCGTGTATCATGAGAGCGGCAGGTGGTGCATGGGGACTGAGACGGAGGGAAATGCTTTGCATAGCGAGGCATGAAAAACGACAGGATAACACGAAGCATTGAGCTCGAAAACAGCTAGATGCTGCGAGCGACTTCATGACCCATCAAGACTTTTGTCGTTGGGGTGGCGTTTGAATTGGTTATACCCGCTCTCCTACGGGATGGAGCACATGGACATGCATTCGAGGTTACTTCAGACTCAGGATTGAGCATGATGAGAGCATCATGCACAGCGAGCTGCCTTCAATGGCGCACTGGGTCCAAGTGCTATGCACAAAGGGAAAACAGGCATCGCTTCATCGCAGCCGCAGGCTGCCGATTTGACTCATAGTTGAACACTATCAAGCGGTTGTACTTGTTGCGCTTCTTTGATCAAAGAACTACCTGCCAGCCGGCTTGTACTCATCTTTGAGCACCCATTTCGCCCTCATCCTCCCTCCTTTCTGCATTGTGGCGATCTTCTTGAGCATCTCACTGAATTCTGCAGTGCGCTGCGGACTGTTGCAGTACCTGTTGAAGTGATCGACTAGCATTTGCGAGTAGACGGCTCCTCCGTGAGAGACAATGTAGTCTCGGATGAGCTTCATGAAGTCCGTGCCTTGTGGCCCACGATCAGCCCGTCCACCACGAGTCGCCGGCGTACCGCTGCGCGAAGTGCTTGCCGAAGCAGACGCAGAAGCCGTAGTGGTATTGGACGCGTTCGTTTGACGGTTCTGGAGGTTGGCAAGAACAGAGGTGGAAGAAGGTCCTCCGCGAGACATGCCTCCACCCCTGCCACCACGCATACCGCCCCGTCTCGGAGGTGAGGGAGGACGGCCAGCTGTGCCGAACTGTCCAGTCCAAGTCGGTACGCCAGCAGGAAGGGTCCTTGCGACTTCGGCAGCACGTTTCAGTTCTCGTGCTGCCTCATCGGCGACTTTCTTCGCTTCCTTCCTGATCATCTCGGGGTCGGCGCGCGTAGTCTTGCGACCATTGATGATGGCTTCATGATCTTGAGCGCCTTGTACACCGGCTCGTGCGAAGATGCCGGACAGGACACGATCTGAGGACGGTTCACCGTCCGCTTTCTTCTTCGCCTCTTCCTCCTCATGATCACCACGGAAATCTTCTTGCCGAGATATACCCGCAAAGTCATTGATCGCGACACGCTCACTCTCCTTCTGCTTTTCGTCTTCATTTGGTGGCGTGGGCAAGCTATTGTCGCGCTTGAGCGAGACTTCAGTGCCTTTGAAGATCGTTCCGGTTTCTGTTTGCCCGTCAACGGATTCTCCTAGGGTGAAGAGGTCGTGCAGATCTCTAAGCTGAAAGTTCTGGCGCTGCTTCGGATCTCGTAGAATCTTGTTGGTGAGGAACAACTTGAACAGTTGTCGATGGTAGATCTTTTCTTCGATGGTGCCTGCTGTCATGAGGCGATAGATCTCGACTTCACGCTTCTGGCCAAGGCGCCATGCTCGCTCGCGGGCTTGCACATCAGTCGATGGATTCCAGTCCGGATCGTAAATGATCACACGATTGGCGCCAGTCAAGTTCACACCGAGGCCACCCACCTTCGTGGTCAGTAAGAAAACATGCAGATCAGGGTCATGGTTGAACTCGTGCACCAAGTCTTGCCGATACTTGATGTCCGTAGTTCCGTCCATGCGTCTGTAGTTGATCCCCGGCAGGTTGCCAATGAACTTCTCAAGAATGTCCAGCATGATCCGATGCTGAGCAAAAAGAAGTGTCTTGTGCCCCTTCTCTTTCCATATCTTGAGGAGCTCTTTGACGACTTGCATTTTGCCTGACTTGCTACCAATGCCATAATCGTATCCAGGCTTCTTTGACAGAGTCTTGTGCTCGACAAGGTCCGGATGATTGCAAATCTTGCGAAGGATATCCACACCGTAGAGTGCCTGGCGCTTCCCATTCATGATTGACTTCATGTCCTCCGAGTCGAGGAACCATTGATATGCTTCGCGTTGCAGCTTAGTGAGCTTGCAGAAAAGAACTCGCTCGATCTTCTTTGGCAAGTCCGATGCGACATCGGCCTTGAATCGCTGCAAAAGGTAAGGGGAGATTGCGTCCTTGAGCGTTTCTGCGCATTTCATGGCGGTCTCTACTTGCAGGTTCGAAGCGTTCGCATATCCGCCTTGCTTAATCGGAATCGCAAACTGATTCTTGAAGTTGACCAAGGTTCCCAAGCGCATTGGATACACGAAATCGAATAGAGTCCATAGCTCCTCTAGGTTGTTCTGCATCGGCGTCCCAGACAGGATGATCCGATTGTGGGTCATGATCTCCTTGCAAAATATTGTGATCTCAGCGTTGGGGTTGCGGATCTTGTGTCCTTCGTCCAGGACGCAGTACTCCCAATTGATCGGAAGCAGCTGTTCGGCATAATTGACCAATCCTGCGTATGTTGTGACTAGCACATGCCCATCTTTGACAACGCGATCGATAACTCTTCGAACGACCTTGTTGGCTTTGCCCTTCGATTTTCTGTGATTTTCATCGTCCAGAGCATCTTCGTAGCGTGCCTCGCGCTTTACATCAAGCATACCGCTGCCCGAAGAGTGTAAGATGGAGACCCGTAGCGGTGGCCACCAGCGGTGAAACTCCTCCACCCATTGCTTGAGGAGAGTCGCGGGACAAAGAACGATTATTGGTTTCGAAATCTTGCCAGAGTAGTGCAACCCAGCCAGGAAGGAGATCACTTGGATAGTCTTACCCAAGCCCATCTCATCTCCGACGATTCCTCCTACTTGCTGAGAGTATAGCTCCCACAGCCACTGTACACCGGTCTTCTGGTAGTCGAACAGCGAGGGATAGATATCGCCGGGAATGCGAAAGCCTCCATCGAACACAGCATCCGCTCGGGTAGGATGTGGCATTTCCCACTCCTCTCCTTCTTCCTCCACTTCCTCGAGTACAACAGAAGTGTCTGCGGGCTCATTTTTGATGTCGCTAGCGGTATTTGCCGTGTCCTGCGCAGCTTCGGCTGCAGGTCTCTTGCGATGCCGTCTCCTGGCAGCGCGCCGTCGTTGTGTCCAGCTCTGCAACCGTGTTTGGTAAACTTCCTCATCGCCATCGTCGACGCCCGCAAAATCCTCCTGCTCACCGCCGGCCTGCTGTACAGCTTTTCGTTTGCCTTTTCTCTTGCGAAAGTTACCTGGAGTGTCGAGTGAGAAATCGCCTTCGGCGTCCTCATCACGAGGCTCTTCCTCGTCTCCAGATTTTCCGATGGCGGCTAGACCTGTCTCATCCATTTCCGGTAAATATGCGTCAGAATCATCCGCCATTGATTCTGGTTCCTGCGATACAGCCTTCGCCTGTCGCCTGGACTGTAAGCGCCTCCTCTTCGCAGGTCGTTCTTTCGCATCTTCCTCATCTTGTAGCCTCCGTGCCAAAGCCTCGTCATCTTCTTCATCTCCAATTGTACTAGCTGCGGCGCTGGTGTCGTCCTGCTCGAAGCCGGGTGCCAGCAGATTGCGATGGGACTTCGGTCCGTATTGTTCTGCTACCTCGACCTCTGCTTGGTCCACTTCCTCCTCATCCTCTTCTTCAGCATCGAGCAAGACCTCACCAAGACTTGAAGATGTGCGCAAGGTCCGTTGCCCAAATTTCGAGAAGGGTGTAATCTTTCCGGTCCGGATTAAGAACTCGCGATGCGTCTCGCCAGGTAGACGCTTGTTGTTTCCATCTTCGAGCAGTGTCTCTCCTTGATTCTCATCATCGTTTTGCTCCTCTATGCGCTTCTGAATCTGCTCGAGATCCCGATCCAGGTTGCCGATCAAGGCTTTATAACGCTCGATCTCGGCTCTGTATTTATTCTTTGTAGCGGACCCGGCAGGCTTAGCTAGATTCCTCTCGGCAATCCTGAGTGCCGTCTGCATTCGCGACTTCTCATTCTGCGTCTTGTCGAGTCGCTTCTGCTCCCTTTCCAATGTCTGTTCAGCGAGTGCCTGATCTGCCTGTTGGCCAATGTCCCTTTCGAGGTCCTCTTGGTCGCGCACGCCAGCCCCCAGTGCTGCGAGTCGCGCAGCTTCGTCGCCTTCCAACTCCGGTTCTTCGTTATTGTCGCCTTCATCGATAACGATCGGGTCAGTGGAAATAGCCTCGACGTCGGGCGACTGTCTGACACCCGAGTCGTCGTCGGGCTGACGCTGACATTCCTGCTTCTCTGTCGAAGACATGATTGACAGGCTGGTTTCAGAGTAGTCGAGGAGCCGGAAGGAAGGATGAGACAGAGAGAGATTTGAACAGCGTTACTCATAGCAAGGCGGATTCTCTGAGGCGAGCATCACTCTCGCTTGAGAAGTGATGTATGCGATCATCGACTGAGTTATTATCTGGGCGTGAACTGTGCTGAGAACAAAGTGAATCGGGAGATGCAGACGGGCCACTATGAGGTGAAAGAGCGTGTCGCAGACTGTGATGCGATCCCGATGAAAGAAAGTGGACTTCGACGCGACACAGGCGCGATGTCGTCACTGCTGCACGGATCGGCAGGCGCCAGCGCTCGCCCGCGAAGTGAATGTGACGAGGATGCAAACACTGAGCATCTACTTGTAACAATAGCACTGAGCATACAGAACATATTCACAAGCGGCTCAAGCATCAGCAACGCGATTGATGGATGTGAGGTAGCCGGACCCGCCGCATTCTTCCAACATCATGGCTTCACTGCCAGCTCGGCAGTCCTCGCGGCCGCGACGAGCTTCGCCGTCTGAACAGTCGCAGGCTTCGACCACACAACCTCAAGAATCTCCAGCGCAAGTACGATCGCAATCCGAAGACTCGCAGACTATATTCGTCAACAAGCCAGCAGAAGAGGAGGCAGAATTGGAGCAAGAGAAGTCACTACCAGCCGAAACCGCCGCGGGTCAAGATGAAGACGAGGTCATGAGATGTTGGATTTGCATGTCCGATTCGACTGAAGATGGGCCGGACACATCGCCATGGCGCGATCCATGTCCGTGTGCGTTGGTCGCTCACGAAGAATGCCTGCTGGACTGGATAGCGGACATTGAGTCCCCAAAGAATGCACACAACCGAAGTCGCTCAGGGAAGATAGAATGTCCACAGTGCAAGGCAGAGATCAAGCTTTCACGGCCGAGAGACTACATTGTGGATGCCATGCGAGGTCTCGAACGCATGACAGACAGAGCTGTCATTCCTGTGAGTGGACTGGCGTTGAGCTCTGCAATGGTGCACATCAGCCAATACGTCGGCGTGCACACCATTTATGCGATATTTGGAGCAGACGATGGTAACAGATTGCTGGAGCCCCTGTGGCGATGGGCCACACAGCCTTCAGTCGAAGTGTATGCCAGCGAGCCAGAGAAGGTTTGGGAGATCCTTTCGACGTTGTTCCTCGATCGACTAAAACACTGGCGACTCATCGTGGGCCTCCCATTGATCACGCCAGTGCTCGTTTTATCACGAACCTCACTTGCCGATAGCGTACTGCCCGTTCTGCCAATTGTTTTCTTCGCTTCCCAAGCACACTCACCAAGCGACGCTCTGGATTTTGCGTCATGGCCACCATCCGCAAGCTTTGCGTTTGCCGTATTACCCTACGTTCGCTCGCTGTACAACGCGTACTACAAGAGGGTGTGGGCAGAAAAAGAGAAGCAATGGCTTGAGGCAGTCAAGCCGCGAGTGAGCCAACAGAACGAGCAGGATGCAGCAGCAAATAATGGGCAGAATCCCGCGGAGGCAGAAGGAGACGGCAATGTGTTCGAGGTGCGAATCGAACAAGAAGTGTGGGAGGATGATTGGGAACAAGAAGATCAAAGACTCGTTCAACAAGCAGCGGACAGGCAGCCTGCAGCACACAACGAAGCCCAACAGCCTGGCTTGCAGATTGAGCAGAATAATGACGAGGATGCAAACGCACCACAGCAAGCCGCTGGCGAAGTTCCACAACAAGCACAGGCTCCCCAACGAGACCTGCCACAGGAAGGCGGATTCCCTCGAGGCGAAAACGACGCGGCGCCCGCACCCGTAGTACCTCGCGATCGTTTGGAAGACTTCGCACGTCGACGCCAGGAAGCGCAAGGCCAGCATAACAATGCTGGCAATGTGCAAAACGTCGAGCGTCGATTGTCGCTCTCTCTCACTGGAATGGCTGAAACGTTCCTTGGCGCTCTCTTCTTTCCAACAATCGCCGGCCTGGCCGGAGAAGCGCTGAAGCTTGTTCTTCCGCACAGATGGGTCACCCCGCCGCCCATGCGCATCTTCAGAGAGACGTGGGCGGCAGGATTTTGGCAGAGGAAATGGGCTCGTAGCTTGGTCGGCGGATGTCTCTTCGTGGTTTGCAAAGATTTCCTGCGGCTGTATGTGTGCTGGCGCGCCGCACAGCTTCATAAGGACAGAAGAGTTCTCGATGTAGATAGGAGAAAGGGTCGAGGGTCATTCAGGCCGTGATGGGATAGTCAATTGTGCTTGAGCGAGGAGTTGGGGCACGGCATTATTGGTTTTACATAGCTCTCACTCAGCCATAGCGCTGGCGTCACAGACACGATGTATGAAGACAATCCCAGCTTCTCTCGCCCAGCATGTATTGAAGCCATGGAAAAGCCTGTCGTCGAGAAGGAATGAGGAGCAATCTGTGCACCCCTGCTCGTAATTGCGGCAAGGTTTCCGCGTGGAGGCATCGTGGCATCCCAGAGCGTCGCTGTGCTCTGACGCCGTGCTCGAAACAAGCCATTGCGAAGGCCGCTCGTGATCTCCTCCCTACACCCCACCCGCAGCCTTGCTCTTTCGCTTGTCTGAGCTGTCTCAGATGCGGTGTTTCTAAGCTGTACACCCAATCTGACAACGCTAAACCCGAGTACCTCTTGTGATCGACAGCTCCGACGCCCTCGACAACCCACTCCAGCACAACCTCGAGTACTCCGGGCGACCGACCGAGCAAAGCACACATCCGCCCTTTCGAACAGCTACGGCAATCTCCATCCAGCCCTGGCCACCACAACATAGGGCGTGAAGCCCGTCAGGCGCCGTCACCATGGCCGCCGCCGCCTCCGCTCTCTTTAACAGGGGCATGGGCCCCTCCAGCAAAGAGAATACGATGCGCGGCCTCGTCTCCTTCATCGCCGACCTGCGAAACGCCCGAGCACGCGAACTCGAAGAGAAGCGAATCAACAAGGAACTCGCCAACATCCGACAGAAGTTCAAAGGCGGCAACCTATCCGGCTACGACAAGAAGAAGTACGTGTGCAAGCTATTGTACATCTACATCTTGGGATGGAATGTCGATTTCGGGCATTTGGAAGCCGTGAATCTGATTTCGGCGACCAAATACTCGGAGAAACAGATTGGATATCTGGCTGTGACCTTATTCTTGTACGAAGGGCATGAGCTGTTGCACCTGGTGGTCAACAGCATTCGGAAGGATCTGGCGGATCACAATGAGTTGAACAACTGCCTGGCTCTCCATGCCATTGCCAACGTAGGCGGGAAAGAGATGGGAGAGGCGCTTTCTGCGGAGGTGCATCGATTGCTTATATCCCCTGCGAGCAAGCCATTTGTCAAGAAGAAGGCGGCTTTGACGCTCCTGAGGCTCTATCGAAAAGTACCAACAATTGTGCAGCCGGAATGGTCAGAGAGGATAATCGCGATTATGGACGACCAAGACTTGGGCGTTGCATTGAGTGTCACGAGTTTGATCATGACCTTGGCCCAGGATGATCCGGACAGCTACAAGGGCAGCTATGTGAAGGCTGCGCAGAGGCTGAGAAAGCTGGTGGTAGACCAAGACTATGCGGGAGACTATGTCTACTACAAAGTGCCCTGCCCCTGGCTGCAGGTTAAGCTGTTGCGGCTGATGCAGTATTTTCCCCCTTCAGAGGATACGCATGTGCGACAACTTATGCGAGACTCTTTGCAAGTCATCCTGGACAATGCGATGGAGAGTCCAAAGAATGTACAGCAGAACAATGCGCAGAATGCAGTGTTATTCGAGGCTATTAACCTCATTATACACTTGGATACGGAGCGGGACCTGATGGTGCAGATATCAACGAAGCTGGGCAAGTTCATTGGGAGCAGAGAGACGAATGTGAGATATCTGGGACTCGAGGCCATGACACATTTGTCAGTGCGAGCGGAAAACCTGGACCCGATCAAGAAGCATCAGGACATCATTATTGGATCACTCAGGGATCGCGATATTACGGTGCGCAGGCAGGGCCTGGATCTATTATACAGCATGTGTGATGCCACGAATTCGCAGAAGATTGTGCATGAGCTGCTCAAGTATCTGCAATCTGCAGACTACGCAATTCGAGAAGAGATGGTGCTGAAGATCGCCATTCTGACTGAGAAGTATGCCACGGACGTCAAGTGGTATGTCGACATATCAATGCGACTGATTGCCATGGCCGGCGACCATGTCAGCGATGAGGTATGGCAAAGAATCATTCAGATCGTAACCAACAATGACGAGCTGCAAGTCTATGCTGCACAAAACATCCTGCAATACTGCAGGGCTGACCACTGCCATGAGACACTGGTAAAGATTGGAAGCTATATTTTGGGCGAGTTTGGTCACCTTATCGCCGACACCAAGACCTGCAGTCCGATCGAGCAGTTCTTTGCACTGCAGGCTAAATTTGCGGCATGTTCGCCAGTGACACGAGCTATGATCCTGTCTGCTTTCTTCAAATTTGTCAACCTGTTCCCAGAGATCCGACCACAGCTACTTTCAGCTTTCAGAACGTATAGCCATTCACTGGATTCCGAGCTCCAACAGCGTGCATGCGAATACTTGGCAATATCAACAATGCCCTCGGACGACCTCCTACGAACAATATGTGACGAGATGCCTGCTTTTCCCGAACGAGCGTCTGCTTTGCTGTCAAGGTTAGACAAGAAGTCGAGCGCAGCTGGCGACAAGAGAACGTGGGCCATCACAGGCAAAGACGCTGCACCTGGTCTCGACCGGAGTGCTACGCTCAAGCGCAATTTCAGCGCCACCGCTGCTGCTGCCGGCATTAATGGAACAACGAACGGCACCAACGGTATACACAAGAACGGCGTCGTGAAGACGCCAATTGACGAACTGGCTGGTCTCGACTTGACGAGTGGAAGCACTAACTTTGCGTCCGCAGCACATCTGTCTCCGAACTGGGAAGAGGGCTACAACCGACTACTCATGCGCGCTGAAGGACTTCTTTACGAGGACGTCCAAATACAAATTGGATGCAGGACAGAGTACCGTGCGGAAGTAGGGTGTCTGATCTTGTACTTCACGAACAAATCTCCAGCGCCGATACAATCTTTTACCACAACCGTGGACAATCCATCTCCGGAGCAGCTCAAAGTGGAGACCAAGAGCTTGCCCGACACGAAAGTCCACACAGGAGAGCAGACGAGTCAGATGGTCATCTTCACGGCCAATGGCATTTTCAGCGAAGCGCCCACAATCAGGATATCATACATGGCTGGAGCTCTACAAGCTCTGACACTGAAGTTACCCTTGGCACTGCACAAGTACATGGACACTGCCGTTTTATCTTCAGAGGACTTCTTCAAGCGGTGGAAACAAATTGGCGGTGCGCCGCGAGAAAGCCAAAATATTTTCAAAGCATACGATATTTCCACCGACGCGACACGGAGGCTGCTCATAGGCATGAAGTGGGGCATCTTAGACGGTGTCGATCCGAACCCAAAGAACTTTGTCGGTGCGACGGTGTTGCATACCGGAGGTGGCAAGTATGGCTGCTTGATGAGGCTGGAGCCGAATCATGACAACAAGGTGAGACTCTATCCTTTCTGCTAAAAAAGCTCGCATGCTAATCATCCTTCCTTCCAGATGTACCGTCTCACGATACGCGCGACAGACGAAGCCGTCTCTCCCATTCTGATGAAGTTAATGGAGGAGAGATTGAAAGAGCCCTTTCCGCAATGACAATCAACTGCTTCCTTCGCAGAGCGAAGTGAAGCCGTGAGAGATGCGATGCTGCATAGCAATTCACATGCGCAAGGACAGAACCTGAACCAGATGCCGAGTTTTGGGCAACTCAGAGCCCATGCTGGGATCGACTGAGGCATTGGGTTGATAAGTAGGGGAGCAGAAAAAAAGGTTTGCATGCATTTTGATACCACGTGGCAGGCGGGAAATAGGGGAGAGCAATCGCAAGATGATGTGTACAGATTAGTTTTGGGAGACGAGGGGTGGGAGATGAGCGCATTGGAATCGAGTTGCCCTTCGAACGCTCGAATTTTGATTCATCATAATTGAACAAGCATCAAAAGCCTGGCGTATGTGTACACGTATTCTACAAAATCCTCGGCGTGACTTTGTAAGAGGGTTGGACCGCGATGCGAGCGAGTTGAGGATTGAAATATGAGCGTTATGCTTTTTACTCTATTCAAAACCAGATGCTGATCACTGTGCTCATATCAATCTCTTCAGGACTCGTGCCATCAACCACCGCAAGTGCCCGATTTCAAACAGTTGTAATTTACGCATTCGAAGCCACTGGACATACTTGTAGTCGCTCGACAAACTTGCGCAGTGTATCCGTCACCAAAATTTTGGCAAGCCTCTTGGAAACCATGCAAGCTGTCCCAAGAAATTTGTGGATTCGTGCACTACATTCAGTTGTATTAGCTCGCGGTGGTTCAACGTGGTGGACAGATGTCTAACATACTACGTTGAATTTGTTGCCGTTGAAGTCGGCTACGCCATGCTCATACTGACCACCATAGACACCACACGCCTTGGCAGTTGTTCGGTCTGCGATATGACCGTCGCTCTTGACACAAGATCCGAAGTTTGTCGATGGGCGAGATCCTGAGAATTGGCGTTTGGTGATGATATAGTCTGTGTCATGCGGTAGAGCGTTTGCTTGTGTGCCAATGAGGAGGATTGTCCTGTAAACATTGTTAGACGATCAGTCGATAGATATTTCTCACAGAAACTGGATACTGACAATGTCATTGAAGCTATGCGTAATGCCATTGTGAATACCGGCGAACTGTGGTCTGTTCAGGTTGTTCCATCTTACAGTAAGCGCAGATTCCTCCTTCTTATGTTCATGATATGCAGGTACATCGACGCGAGCCCTTAGGGCTTGCGGTACATGGATAGCGACAGGAGGGAGGATCCTAGAAAGATTCGTAGCTGTACCCGCTTTCTCCAACGCACCAGGATTGACTTCTCTGTATAGGTCACAACTAAATTAATAGACTTGGGCTGAAGTAGGCATCGGGTCTAGACCCGTCCGGATCTATTTTCACAGAGTTGCTCCGTTTTTTTGTAGCACCATGCAGGTGATGATTTATGCTGGGATGCCATTACCAACGTTGTGTGGTCACCTAATCCAGTGAATGGACTTATCCGGGTCAGGAGTTTCAGATGCACTGAAAGATCGGAGATCCAAGTTAGCAAGTTTTGCCGTGTGTAGAGAACCAACTTGCTCGCTCTCTAGGAGGTTTTTATGGTTGTAGAAGGGAAAGGCTTGGAATGGATGGGCATGTCATTGTTCTTCGACAACCTGTTGTACAGGAGATCCGACTGTATAGCTCAGCCCCGGACATCGTGGGCTGTGATCGTACAACAAACTAAGTACTGCCGGCCGATTAAAATGCGTTCAGGACGCCTAGATATCCGATGTAAGCCCCTTCATGAGGCATCGTGACGATGGTTGAGAATGCTTCTTGGCATGACAGGTTCATGGTAAACAGGAACGGCCAGTAAGGGAGACTCCAATTTATGGGCATTTGTGCCGCATCTAGCACCAACATTTGCACCTTGTTGCCCTCTTGATTGAGTCGGGTCGACGTGTGATGGACGTGGGAATATACCGTGGTGCTTTCGAGCGTTCGTCGTTGCGGACTGCATCTGCTCTCGGAGAGACTGGAACTCTTTTTACATTGTGCGGCATCACTGCGGATTTCAGTCAGCTCTTGAGTCTTGTACACTAAGCTTTAGATGTGTTGATCCTTCTGTGCGAGGCTTGCTTCCAGTTCTGACGCCTTTTCGTATGCATTACGCAGTCGCTGCAGTTCATTAGCAGCTGCCGTACTTTGCGACTGCCCCTGCCGCAGCTCTTCAATTTCTTTAATTCGCGGTTACTCGGTTTGGGAGGTGGCTCTGTGAAGTGTCTCGATGAACGGTCGAGAGGATAGCAGCCCAATTCTTCTCTACCTCGTGCCGAGCTGCTGCCTCAGGCCTCACGTCTCACGCCAAGGCTCCCTCTCTGACGTATGCCCTCGACGTGTGTGTCGCCGAGACGAGACTTGATGACCGGTGCCATGTTGATGCAGTTGTATGATCTGCCTGGGCTGGACATTGAGGTGCAAGCAGGCTCAGCGTTCCGGACCAAGTCCGAGCGTGGCTTGCCACCATGGTGGGAGGTGGACGTTGATTCCAGGGGGGTATTACTGAAGTGAAACGTGCAGATCGTCAATGCTGACAGTTAGAAACCCCTAGTGCTATGTATAACTGTTATAGCCTGCTGCCTTGACAGTACGCGACCTTGCACTGCTAGCTGAGTGAGCTTGTGGGTATATGGGAAGGATACGTGCACCAGAGTGCAATGACTCGATCGGATGCCGTCATCCGTGTAGGATGTCATCGTTGTGCGGAAGGACGTGCGTGGTTGGATTGTTCGCTCGGGATCTGGCTGGACGTGGTGCATATGCAGGTCCACATGTCAAGACAACACGAATAGATGAGATGGCGATCGGCCTAGAAGCTTGCATTGTACGTGGTGAGCTTTTGTGGTATTATTGTCGGAAAGTACATGTCAGCGGTCAGGCGTCGATGCCTTGGTTCGCTGCAACGTTGCTAGGTCGTTGTCATCCGCCATCCTTGGTACCAGACTAGAAGTGGGGGTGAGGCAGATCTGGACACTGCATGGAGTCGAATGTATGCAGCGAAGGCCACGCCATGCCTCAAGAATGTACTGCCAGTAGAAACTTGATACAGCGCTAGGCTTGCAGATGGCGCAGTATGGAGCAGGAGGCAGGAGATGCAGTGTGCGGAGTGAATAGTTAGTGTGGCAAGTGCGGTGTCGAGGAGGAAAAGGAAAGGGTCATTCCGCCAAGCGGGAAGCGAGCTGATCCGCCGGATCTCTCCACCTGAGCGACCACCAACACCACTGCGGCGCAATCTAGCCTACTTTCCCATCAGTGCTCGACGTTCCTGCCTTCTTCCTCCACAGCTGGCGGGAGTGTGCAAGGTTCCATTCACTCGGTTTCGCGCTCGAGGTTCTTCTGGAGGACTGCGAGCAATTGCCATCCCAAGAATGACTTCCGCATAAAGCATCTCGGCTCCTCACCTCGGTCACGGCCATCGAGCAAGCATGTTCTCCAGCAGCAAGAAGCGAGCGCGTGCAGACAGCGGGAGCGACCATTTCCGGGTTGAAGACGTGCCTTTTGGCAAGGTCGGTATCATACGTGCTTCTGCTAAGATGACTGCTGACGCCGCCCGCAGAGAGCTCGAGCGACTACTGAAGCCTCGGCAGACAGCGGGAAATGGTTCAACGACTCCGTTCTCAATACGCCGACCAGGACATCGGCACGCAATCCGACAGACTATGATAGCGATGCCGACACGTCGAGCTTGAGGTCTGAACCAGGCAGTCCTCGCGATGCCTCGATGGATGACGATGACGTGGACATGGACGACGGCACCTTCTCGCAATCACCTGAAGCAGAATTTCTTCCTCGTCCGACCGGTCCTGTTCCAGCTCATCTGCCACAGAAGCTGCAGATGAATAGAGTGCCGACGCCGATGGTGCCAATGCGACCAGGAGCCAGTCCGGAGCGCATTAGAACTGGCTTCAAACAACACGTTCGTCGTCGCCATCCGCAGGAATATTCTGCCAGCTCCGACCTTCTCGAGGTGCCCTCGCCCATCGATGAGGATGAGGTACCTACTCCACCCTCTGCGGCCGAGGCAGCAGAATCACGGCTTAGCATGCTCAGCGTTAGTGACGTTGACATGGACGGGAATGAAGGAGTGCCTCGCATTTCCATTGACCCTGCCAGACCTAATCTCACTCGACCTGACGGAGAAGCAGACCTGGAGTCTGCCATTGATTCAGAGCCGATGGACTACGGATCGAATAATCTCATTGTCCGAAAACAACGCCAGCGTAGCGGAGCGCTCAGCAGCGGCAACCCATCTGTCCGTGCCACCCCAATCGCTGGTACGAACAACAAGCGCGGCGGCTTTGCAATGGGATTCAGGCCCGATTGCGAGAAATGCCGTCTGCGTGTCCCAGGACACATGAATCACTTTATTGTTTAGCGAGCATGAAGGACTTTCATTGCGGTCTTTCTTTTAGCAACCAGTTTTACCACAGCGACAGGCGCTTAGAGGAGTTCACCACTATTACAGCTTTCGAGGGATTGGCAAGCGCAGATACCAGGATCGCTCTTTGACATGGCCGCAGGACTGGCGGATTTTCATTTTGTGTGTATGCATCTGCATCGTACTACCCACTACTACTACTAGACAGCCAGCACTTCAGCAGTTCTAATGTTCAATGTTGAAAGGGACGAATTGTCTCAGCTGATCGAGTCTCTACATGATCTTACCCAGCTCGACACGACCTCCAATTCCGTAGAAGGACATGTTAAAAGCGCCGACAGCATTGCGTGAATGGCCGGAGACCTGCCACAGCGTGGTCCCGGCACGCAATATCATGTGAGCAGCTCGCAATCCTGAAACGTAGAGATATCGGTATATTTTCTCACTTTGAGTCAGTGACTGCTGACTGCACATAACACAGAACGCTCTCCGAATTCGAGTGGTCACAAATATTGTGAAACGAGGTACGAACTTCGGATTATCTCACCATCTTCACACATTCCCAAGCTTCTTTCGAAATACCTCGAAGCATACGTTGAAAAAGTAGTGCCGGCTCTTGGCGATACATATGCAGCAGCTTGGCAGCACTGTTGTCGGGTGAGAGAGCACCTCAACCCCACTTCCGTCACCCAGTGCCCCGCTACCAGGCCGCATTTCGCCCGCATCTCTGATCGTGTGGCTCGCACCGTAGCAACTCAACAGAAGCTGCTGACATATGTTGCAAGAATGATGACGGCTAAAAGCCGCCTAGCTGCGAGATAGACGAGACAGAAGCTTGCGTGCCTGCATGTCGACCATAAGCTTTCTTCTTTTTGGAGCCACTTCAACTTCACTTCCATTCCATCGACACTCGCAACTTTGAGTCTACCACACATCGATACAAAGCTTACTTTTCACCCGCCATGTCCAAGTTCCAGCTCAAGTGGGGCATTCTCGCCACAGGTGGAATTGCAGAGACATTCTCGCGAGACCTCTGGGTAAATCCTGAAACAAGAGGTGTTAAGGACATTGAGCATGTCGTTGTGGCAGCAGCTTCATCTTCTTCGGCGGACCGAGCCCAAGCTTTCTTGAAAGAAGTGCAAGCTCCGGAGACAGCCAAGGCATATGGATCATATCAAGAGCTGGTGAATGATCCAAATGTGGACATCATTTACGTTGCAACGCCACACAGCCACCACTACCAGAATGTCCGTCTGGCATTGGAAGCCGGAAAGAATGTGCTTTGCGAGAAGGCATTCACGACCAATGCAAAGCAACTGGAGATCTTGGTAAAAATTGCCAAGGAGAAGAATTTGTTCTTGATGGAGGCTGTAAGTCCTGTTGTCCTTCAGGTTCAAAAGCGAAGAGATTGACAATGCTCCAGGTCTGGACACGATACTTCCCTCTATCAATCTACGTCCGCGATGTCATCAAATCCGGCAAGCTGGGCACCGTCTACCGCACCTTCGCCGATCTCAGCGTCGGCCAACCACCAGCCACAAGCTTCCCAGACTCCCACCGCATGGTCAATCTCGAACTAGCAGGAGGCGCTCTCCTTGACCTAGGAATCTACGCCCTCACCTGGGTCTTCCAAACCCTCTACCACACCCAGCAGCAACCCGCCCCACCCTCGTCCATCCTATCCTCCATGCGAAAATACAAAACCGGCGCTGACGAACTCACTTCCATCCTCCTCGCCTTCCCCCGCTCAGACGGCTCAGGCGAAGCCCACGGCATAGCCACAACCGGCATGCCCGTCTCCTCAGACCCAGATCACCAAGGCACCGCAGGTCCCTCCATCCGCGTCCAAGGCGAAAAGGGTGAAATTCAAGTCTTCCACCCTGCTTATCGACCAACCAAGACCAAATTGGTTCTCAACGACGGAACAGTCGAAGAAAAAGTCTTCGAGCAACCAGGACCAGGTAAGGGATCCGGATGGGCGAATGGATTCGGAGACAAAAGCTCATGGAATCCTGAAGGTGAAGGCCACGGGATGTTTTGGGAAGCGGACGAAGCCGCGTACGCGCTGCGAGATGGGAGGAAAGAGGGACAGTATGAGAGTTTGGAAGAGAGTTTGGTAATTATGAGGACGATGGATGAAGTAAGGAAGCAGAATTCTCTGGTGTATCCTGATGCGATTGAGACGACGGATTATCCAGTTGATCTGACGGCAAAGAAGTAAGGTCGAGCAGTTGATGGGTGAAAAGCCCTCGCGGCTGTTTCTCAGCTGTCGAAAGATACTCGTAGCTATCCTGAACCTCGTAGCTATACCCAGCCGAGTACTATCATACAGAAAATGCGAAATCCGCGGGCTAGAAGAAAAAGACCAGCTCAGTCGAACACGGTGCTCTACACAATATCCAAGTCATCATCATCGCTCTCAACCTGCGCTTGGCTGGGAAAAGACTCTCTTCCGGGCTCTCGTATTCCTTTATCGAGCATAAATCTTGCCTTCTTTTTGGTCGGGCTTTGACTCCCAGAGCTCCGCGCGCTGCTGTCATCACTCCGGGGGCGGATAAGAGGTCGTTTCTGATCGTCAAGTCGCGACTGACCCCGTTCAGGACTCCCTAATCGGCTCTCCTTGGGTTGTAGCAGACCAGCTTTCTTGGCGCCACCCCATCCCATTGGGTTTGAAGACTTGCTGGCTGTTGTTCGGCTGGACATTGACACAGCACCCAAGCCAAAGTGCTTCTTTCTGTCCTTCGCCGGCTCCAAACTGACATCGCCAGATTTCCGTGCCAGCAGACCAAGCTCGGCGGCTGATTTCTTGCTGAATAATGCATCACGCGCCTCTTCAGCCGCGCTCATGACTTTTGTACTCGTAGACGTCGTCCGCACGTGTTTCGAGTGTCTCATCATTTCAGCACCCGTCCCTCGTCCCATTTCACCAAGTTGTCGGGCAATATCCCGATCCTTCTGGGCAGCTGCTATACGCTTTCTCGAAGCCTCTTCGCCAATCATATCGTCGTAAATTCGTTTATCGTCGTCATCCAGTAAGCTCGCTGCACTCTTCGTACCATTCACAGTGTATAGTGTGCCGTATTCTCGATGATGTCTTACTCCTGTCGGATCTTTCTTTGAACGTTCTCCCGGACGAACCGAAGCTATGCGCCGCCTCTTAGCTGGCTCTCCTTTGGTGCCATCGTTGAACATCGTGTTGACTTCCATCCTCCCTTTGCGAGCCTTTTCAATCTGAAGGTTGAGATGAAACTCACAAGCCTCGGATTTGCGGCTGTCAATCCATTCACCGCATGGCTCCCCGTTCTTCTTGATAGCATTGCAGTACCCTAGATCTCGCGCCACGCCAATCTCCATCACAGAATCCTCGGAGCTGGCCAACTTCAACGAGAACTTTCCGTTATGCTGGTTACCCTTGGGTGGCATAATGGCAGGGTTCATGATTGCGAGAAGTGTGCCTGGTGTAAGTTTCCAAAATTGGTTGAAGGCGGTTCCAAACAAGAAGCAGTCAATTTCCCATTTGAGGTCGCAGAGATGCAGGACCATGAATTTGTTTTTGGGCGCTTCCAATTTGTCCTCGCTAGTTTTGTCATTGGTGCGATGAGTTTGAGCGTGGTCGAAAGGGCTTGACTTGGATGCCAATACAGCGAACACCACGTAGTTGGCTTCGCAATCAGGAGGATCGTAGTCAGGTGATTTCACTTCTCGCAGCAGTCGCGGCAACGAGTACACCTCGCAGCCAGTCATTTCGCGCGCCACCACATCATGACTGACGGCCCGTTTCTTGAGATGAACCTTCGAGAATGGATCGTAGCCAGTGCTGCCACCCGTATCTTCTACGTCAGGGATCGTCGGATCTTCTGGCTCTTCGTGACCAGTTCCATCCTCAGCGCCGCCCGCACTTCCTTGCCAGATCTTGCTGACGTGTGGTTTTGCGACGACTTCTTCACGAGCTTGTCGAGTTGATGATGCACGCGAGATGTTCGACTCGGTCCGTGTATGCCTGCCAGGTGGCTGTCCAGCCGATCGAGGCCGGCTTGCCTCTGCTAGCTGGAAAGACTGGCTCAGTGAAGCGGGCCGTGACTTCATGCTACTGACCGTCTTGGAGCTGATATTTGACTCTGTCCGTGTATGACTGAACCCTTGACTTCGTATCTCCTTCAATCTGTCTTGCTTGGCCAGCTTCTCTTCATCCCTCTGCTTCACTTCTGCCAACCGCTGGCTGAAACTCGACACTTTCGGAGGGTCCTCTTTCGGAGCTCGCAAGGAGTGCAGCGAGGATGAATGTTTGAGTTGAGTCGCATCGCGAGGTCTCTTGAGCGACACGTCTGCTGCTCGGGGATTTGTCGTTAGGCCGAGTTTGGCTCTGGCGGGCGACAGCTCTGGTCCACTTCTTCGGTCGCCTGACGGAGAGACGGGTATCTGTATTGCTTGCTGTGGCAGTGCAGACTCGTATAGTTTCCGTGGTGATGGTGAGCCAGGTGCTGGCATGCTACTGCTGCCCTCGCTCCGGTCGGCGTCTGTATTTCTCTTCGAACTCGATCTCTGCAACTTCTTTAATCTCAATTTTGCCTGTATCTCTGCCAGCTTCAACTGCAATGTCTCTTCGTCCTCGTCCTCGTCCTCGTCCTCATCATCCCCTCCTGCCAAGTCTTGCAGCATCTTGCTGCTGCGCACATTATTGCGGCCGGGACTTGGACTCGGCGACCGTTCATCATCGTTGCGACTCTTGTAGTCCTGCCATTTCTGTCGTCCGCTCGGTGAGGAAAGCAATGCCTGGAAGGGCGATCTCGGCGGCCATTGGGCGTTGTTCTTGGACGGCGAGACTTGGGCGCGCGGGGACTCTCGGACGACGACCATGGTGCGGCGTCATGTAGAACCAATGTTGCCTAGTGATATCGCATCGCACAGTCGTGTTGTATTGTTGTGAACGAGGTGGTGGTTGTTGGTCGCACAAGAGCAAGGATCCGTTGCACATCCCAGCTCCACCTGCCATTTGGCGAGTCGCGTGAACTACGCGTCAGATACGCGTCTCCGCTTGCGCACACTGTCCTCCTTACAACCACATCGAACAACTATTTGGGACCGCCGAATTGGAATTTAGGTCATCACGCGACTGAATATGTGTACAGTGTATTGTAATGGCCAGAACTCGCGCATCGAAGCCTGCGACAGGGAAGCAGAAGGACGAAGTGGTATCGACGAAGCCGACTTTGAAGAAACTAGATGCCCCAGTAGAAAGCCCACCACAAGTCTTCATCCTGCCCAAAGATGCATCGTCTGGAGCACGCATCGCGACATTGGCAAATCCCGCTACGCTGTCGCCCAACCGCTACTTTGTCTGTCCCGAGAAAGGCTTCTACGAATTCACCAGGATTGCCGCCCCCAAGGCACAGAAACGAAGCTGGCTGCTAGCACCGGATCGAAGCGTGCATGCTGAAGATGACTCGTCTAAGGATGACGGTTACGTGCTTCAGCAGCCAGACATGTTTGTCGCCACCCCCATCGACCCTCTGTTCCTCCTTCTGCCCGCTCTGGGAGGCGAAGAGACTGGCGGGCAGGAGTTCCTGGCAACATCAGACTTCATTGCCAAATTGAGCGAGTCCTCGCCTCATCTGCAGAGTCTCGTGCGATCGAGTGACTCGGACAAGCTCGAACGCATTTTTGAAAACAGGATTGAAGCTGTGAGCGACTGCATGGACATGGGTGATGAAAAGATGTACGCCCTGTCACTGCCGAAACTGGTCAAAGAACTCGTAAGCAAAGCAAAGCGAATGTCTACTCGCGGCCTGCCAGCGAGCATGGAGGACCGATTCGTCAAGCAGGCATTGGACGTTCCCGAACTGAGTATGAAACGGGAGGAGAGTGGTGTTAGCCTGGTCAAGGAGGACTCCACTGCTGGCGCTGAGAGCCAATCCTCCTCTGGTCTGGAGTCGCAAGAATCGGCCACATCTTCGACGACGAGCACGAGCGTGGAGACGGCAGCGACATCTGTATCGAGCACATCAACAAATCCCGGAACTTCGGCATTTGCAGACTTGCTCCGCGTACGAGTGGCGTTGAATTTTATTCTAACTTCATATGTCCTGCCGAAGATCAAGAAGCGCATAGATCCCTTGCTTGAAGACGCGAAAACGACAGGCATAGACTTCTCGCCTTTGGACAAGCAATTGGCGCACATTGCACAGCTCAAAAAGGACGCGCAGGCGCTGCGTTCGTTGAGTGACAATATATCTCGGAAGCGTGCTCATGAAGTCGATGAGGAAGCTGGCGAGAAAGCAGCAGAGAAGAGGAGGAAGCAGGAAGAGGATGAGAAGAAGAAAAAGAATGTTAGTCACGGTGTGAAGAAGTTAGCAAAGGCTGACACCAGTGGTATGAAGAAGATGAGCAGTTTCTTTACTAAAGTGCCGGCGAAGAAAAAATGATTTTTGGATATGAAGCGGATAAGATCCGGACGATTGAAATCAGCATTCTTTTTGCTACCCACATCAAAGACCAAACTTTGTCGATGAGGCCGCATACAGACCGCACGCCTGAGCCACTGCTTGACCAGATGTGTGGATGATCATCACTGGTTGTACCGCACTCTTCTTTTATGTGGCCTCAATCCAGTTATTGGAGCGCGCATCTTGCAGTAAGCGTCGACCAGATCCATCACTCTGCAGTCCTCAAAAACTGAGTTCTGGTCTTTTTCTTGTGGCAATAAAATTAACGCCCTATACACCTTCGCTCAGCTCTCTCTCCAGGAATTACATCTACCACGTGTAACATCTCGAAGCACTTCACATCCACTCAACAACCCCCAAGGGAATCTTCGCCGTGGGATACTTGCGTCGTACAAGGACTTTCCACCAACCAGAATCAACATTACTCCTCTCGGACCACTTGCCCACACAAGTCTCCAGTCTGACGGACAAGATGTCGACGAATCCATACAATTCCCACCACGTCGATACGCCAATCATTTATGGCATAGATCCATACGAGCAAGGCAATCCAGACGCCTCCATCCCTCCTATTTCCCTGGACAATGACTTCCAAGGGTATAGGTGGGAAGTGACAACCAACGGGGTGCCAATCATGGTGCCCGACCGATCGTCTGACAATTCAACTCCGCTTGCTGCAAGCCCTCACCGTCCTCATGCTTTCATGGCTGGATCTAACAACCAGCGCCGTCCACGTCCACGTGGACGTGGACATCGAAGACGAGGACCCCTGGACCCACCTGATGACAGCGTCTCCGACACAGAAGAGCCACGTCGTATCATACAAGTTGTCGTGCCTCGTCGCGAGCGTCCGACTGGATCCTCATCCAATACAAGAATTTCCAGCGAAGAGAATCGACGACTCCATGCTGCCATTCTCCAGATCTTGCACCACTCGGACCAGCTCTCTTACGAAGGACGAAGGGCTCTTGAGGAAGTGTTGTGGCAGGGCGGGATGACCTACGAAGGGGTAAGCGAGGAGACTATTGATTTAATTCGATCACAAGTTCGCGCTCCAGACCGTTCTCAGAGCGAGGGGAGGGGGCGATCGAACAGTCGTGGATCAGATGCCGGAGCTGAAGGAGCAGAGGGTGAAAGTGGTCATACATCTGTACTTGTGAATCGACCCCTGCCACCAAGCCCGGAGAGTGAGCAAGCGGAGAGCGAACGAGTCAGGCAATACGGGCGACTAGGAGAGGACTTGACGTGGGAGGGGGTGCGTCATTGCCTGGGAGAACGTTTATTCGCGGAACTGGGCTGGGTGGGCGAGTTTTGAATAGGATGATATCTCAGTCTGATGGCGTGATTACTAGAGCGACTCTGATCCAGTCAGATTGGATTGTTGGTGATATTTGGCACAAATAGCAGCGTACTTTTGTACAGTCTTGGTGAAATAAAACGCTCTTGCTCTTGGAATTCACTGTCATCTCTATTTTCACTCAGTGCTCGAGACAGGTCTCCCTGTTTCATCAATCATCCTCACCAAGTGACAAATCCAGACAACGATCACAATTAATGAGCTTCGTGGGAGAATATGATTTTGACTTGCATTTTGTATTTTGATTCGTATTGTCGTTCGATACTATACACACAATCACGCGCAATCGAACCAAGGAGCGAGAATAAGTCAGCAGCAAGCATCCTCCTTCTGACTCTTCTTGTTCCGATCTACGCGGCTCTGGCTCATTCGCAAAACCAATAATGACAATACTTTCCTCGCCGCTTTCGTATCCCTAAATCAAGCTCGTGACAAAAATTCCCTCCACGTACCGATTGCTCCCATTTCCTTTTCATTCATATCCCCCACCCGAAACGATATTCAAATTCGCGCAGGCAAACGTTGCAATCCTGTCGGATATCCGCGCGCACTATCAGGCGCCTGTCCTTATTTTGTATTGTTGCGCTGGATTGCGATTACTTGCTGGCGTTGCGCCCAGATCGGCGTGGTTCGCCAGATTCGGTAGCAGCCCGCTTCTTTGGCTTTGGTTCCTTCTTGGGCGCAGAGTTGCCGTTCTTCGCTGGTCGTCCCTTCTTCTTCGGCGCTGCCTCGCCGTTCTCCTTCTTGTCGTCGGCAGTCTTCTGCTTCTTGGCATCTGCGGACTCTTCGTCCTTCTTATCCTCGGCAGACTCTTCAGCTTTGCGCTTGTCGCCAGTCTCAGCGTCGCCATTCTCCTTCTTCTCATCTTTCTCGCCGTTCTGCTTTTCGCCATTCTCCTTCTTGTCATCATCATCTTTCTTGTCGTTGGTATCCTTCTCAGTGACGGTCTTCTCCTCGCCCTGATCCTCCTTGTGCTTGTCGCCAGGCTTCTCTACATCGACTTCTGACGCCTTCTTGACGACATTGTTGCCGGAGCGCTCAATGACAACAGCTGGGTTGTCTGGCTCGGCGTTCTTGGAGACGACGTTGTCGTTCTTGGTCGTGATTTCAGCCTTGCCTTGCTCCTTCACTTCGGCGACGGTGCCACCTGGACGGCTGCCAGACCATTGCCACGAGACTGCGCGCGAGTGTCAGCGTGTTTTCTGATGCGACCACGTCCATAGGCGCATGTGCCGAATCCATCATTGGGCTGGGCTGACTAAGCAGCCTCGACGACCAGGAGCTCTGACCCGGTTGCGACACCAAGTCTGGCGACGACAGTGAAGCGGCGCATTTGTCGCCAATGGGTCATCGAGCTCGAGGGTCGTTATGCGAACGCTGCGAATGGGGTCTGCTTACCGCTGTCGCCTTCCTTGATCTCCTTGTCGGCCATTGTGATGTTGGAGAGCTGGTCGCAAGCGGTGCTTGGCGCAAAGGGTGGGGAGAGTGAAGTGGTGGTGGCGCGACAATGATGAGGGTATAGATGTTGTCGCGTGATGGTCCGCGATGCAATGCGATGGGATTCAGAGAGGCAATTGAAAGTTGGGAGGAGAGGGTAAGAGGAGATCAAAGGTGAAGTTCACGAGCAAGCTCTCGGCGTACCCCAGACGAGATCCAGCCATCCGTTCCTTCTGTCTCTCCACGCGTCTGCGTCACTGCTGCACGCACCTGCCGACTGGATGCCATGCCAACTGCTCTGCACTGACCATCGCCGTTATACCGCGTCCACCGATTGAGCACCATCATTTCCTAGCAGCCTCCTCCAACACACACTTCCCTCTGCCTTCTCAAGTCCATTTGCCGCGCACAAATAGAGCTCCGACGAGGATACACGAAATCACGTGATGGTATAACATCGGGTGTTGCACGCTGACTCCACCGAGGCCATTGCAACTAACGTCACCATACTTCACGCTTTTCATCACCTCACTTTCAACTTCGATGTCTTTCTAGCTCTTGATTCGCATTCGCTGACTTCAGTACGCTCCCATCTCTCACCACTTCACAGGAGACACTTCTCCGCTGTTGCAGGGCCCTTAGCCACGAGGGATTGAGTGCCATGGTTGAGCCTCTTGAGCTCAGACCCGTTCAACAGGCATGTACGCTGCTCGACGTTGAAGCCGCAAGCATGCTCCACCAGAGCTATTTCTCGCCTCGTCGAGACGTGCCATTGCCATTGTTGAGCACTCAAATGGCCAAGTCCTACTGCAAGGCATATGGTATCTGAAATCGGTTCAATATATTAGGTCAACTGCGAACCCAGTCCTTCCGATCTACAGAAGTATCTCCGTTTATCGCCATAGCCCTACAACACCTCCATCAACTGCGCAGTCAAGACGCCGATCGTCAGTAGCACGGGTCCGAGACCAGCAGCGACCCGCCAAGCAGACCCCTCGAACCTCTTGCACAGCAACTGTGCATCTTTTCCGGACTCCTTCAACACCACAAACTGCGTGCGCTCTAATTCCTTCTCGTACGTCGAATTGTCATCGGCCGCATGCAACTGGACCTGCTGTGCAATAACATCGTCCCACTCCGGACTCTTGTAACTCGTATTCGACGCCTGACTTCCGTTCGCAATACCTGTATATCCACCGTTTGTCAATCCACAACTCATGATCGGGAAGAAGGCCGAAAGAAAGAAGGAACAACTTACTAGTACTCAAGAAAGTCAGCCCGCCCAACTTGTCCCAGGTATCCGCGCACCCCGCCAATCCCGTGCTCCGCGGCTCATCCACCGCAATATCACAATCATCATCATCAAAAGCGATGGTATATGCCCTTGTCAGAGACCTCAGACACTCTTCTCCAAACAGACTCTCGCAACCATTACTGGCATCAACATCCATTCGCTTCTTCACCTCCTCGGGAAAATCCGAGCTCCAGCTCATCATTCCAAAACACATATTCGGCGGCGATTGACGAATGGCCGCATCCCGAAGCGCATCGGTATCGTTGGCGATTTTGGCCGACAGATTGTTGTACTTGTCCTCACCTTGCCACTGCAGAGCGTAGCTCGTGACCACGGCTTTCTCGCGTCCTGGTTTGGTGAGGTTGCCAGGGAGCCAGGCATCGGCTGTATTCCATCCTGTTGTCATACGCGTTAGATCAATTCCTATAGATGCTGTCGGAGTGTGTGATGCGAAAGGCATACTCAATGTCCACAATCCGTTGTCTTCCGCGGGTTCAGTCCAATTGAAGCCAGTGTACCTCAGTGGATACTCTGTGCCATTTCGCAGTGGAAGATTTTGTTTGATGTATTGGTATAGGTCTCTGTCGTAGTCCTCGATGTTGTCATCAATTATTGCGCTGTAATTGCCATTGATGCCTTGAGCTTTCGTGATAGATAGCAAAGCAGCAACAAGTGTCCAGGCTTGCAGGAATGAAGTCGGCATTGTTTTTGATGTTGAGTAGAAGCGATGGTTCTTTTTGAGGTAATTCTATCAGGGCCGTGGAGTGCCAATGACATGCTCTTTGAGTTCTTCCGGGCTTCAACTTATACCATCCGTCTTGCTATGTCTTTCTATCGATGTCATCTCCACTGTCGACTATGGCGGTGCAAGTGCCGGTCCATTTCTTGTCCATCTTCCATTCCTTCGCGAACTCTATACCATCGGCCAAGAAATGCTCTTCTCACACATGATACTCTTTCAGTCGTACCGTAACATCGCCGCGTCGCATTACTGGCATCTCTCGTATTCTGTTTTGCCCGGAAGAGGTCGCCTGACCTTGGCAGAGGGCTATCGGAACTAGGATTGGAAAAGCGTCATCTGCAGGAACATTCAATTAGACTCTTCCGGACGTCATACCACAGCGAATCTGTCTTGATTGACTTTGCGAGATATGTAAGGCCTCCCATTTTTCGCGTATCGCGAAGACTGCTTCTTGTGAATGGTGATCGCGCTGGTTCTTCATTCGGTCGGAGCGTCTTGTTCCATGGAGACAGACATGCATTGATGGAAGTCGCGCGGGACTTGTTGTGCCGTCGACCCAGTAGGAGAGCCGACACTCCATGTCGCTACTGTATTCGTTCCTGAAGGCGGATGAGCATTTCCCTAGGCAAGTCTTGTCTGCGACTAGTGAGAGCTTCGCCACCTCAAGCCCATCAGCCGTGATGCACAGGCGCAATCGTGCCATGATCACTATGCAGAGTCGCATTGCCCGGCGACCCCGATACGCCCCAGTATATGTGCACGGCGACCAAGGCTCATCGATTTTATGCATTGTTGCTCCGTGGTGCGCCTCTTCAAGGACGTCAGGATGTCTGTGAATTAGCATACGTTGGTTGGCTTTTGCGATCAATCCAGTTAAACGAGTGATGCAAATTGTCGTTCGGCGTCGGGGAATCGAGCAGTGAAGTGTGAGGCTCTCATACTGCACAAGGATTGGATTAAATCGAAAACGTCGTCGCCCCGTAGAACGGCTCATTCCTACTTGTTCGAAAAGAGACAGATGTGTTCTGAACCATCGATTCCGTTCTGTTCAACGCAGATAGAGACCCGGATCAGGGATTCCTTCGATCACACAGAAATTGGCCGATGGAGAGACTCGCGTACCAATATATAGCTCGGACGTCCTGGCGACCAGCCCGGTAGAATGCAGCGATTTCGGAGCTGCCGAATTGAAGGTCTTGTTGTTGCGTTTAGTAGTAGACCCCAACTGCCTTCATTGGAATGTCTCAATTTTCGTGGCGCGATAGAGCTGGTGGCCTAGAAGGTGATTCTTAGCTACACAAAGGCTGGTGATCCATCTTTTCCGACAAGTTGCCAGGCCTTGTGACCGCGACCTGGGAAGTCACGGGCAGATTGGATCTCGCGCTCGGATCTCGCTTCCGAGCATGGGCAGTTTTGCAGTAATTCGCCGCAGTTCGGAACTTGGGAAGAATGGAAAGGTGAGGCTGGCATGTCCATGTTTCTCGTTGTTCATATTACACGCTTGCCCCAATGCAATGCTGGTCGTACATATTCTATCATCCTCAAAACGCCTCCCAGTACCGAGCTGCTTATTTGGCAGAGTACTTGGTCTTGCCAAAGTCCCACGGCACATATCTGTTTTGTCCACGTTAGCTCGCCTCGCTCTAGGTCCAAACACGCCGCCTGTCCAATCTTTACTCCGACCACTCACCTGTACTTAATCATGCTGTGGATCTGCCTCCGCATCGTCAAAAACACCAATATCAACCAGTACACAACCAGTACTGGCCAGAAGACTGGCAAGTTGAAGATCTCACTCCAGCTGCATAGGAAGCTCAATGCCACTGCTCTTGTCGCTGAGTGCCAGAACTTGAACTCGGGGAGTCGGCGCACGAATGGCTTGAATTCTTGGTCGTTCTTCGTTGGGAGGGAAGAGGCCTGGCCGGATGGAACTCCGTCTTCCATATCTGTGTCGGCTTCGAGTGAGGGGTCGAACTTCGGCGAGATGAATGCGAGGAAGAGGTTAAGGAGGTAGATGCCGAGCGCATATGCGACTGCATTGATGGTCAGCGCGGCTGATTGACTGTGTCCACTGATGGTTTGCGCATACCGATGTACCAGCCTTGGGCGACTACTATCCGCAGCCCAAACAGGAAGAACAGGACACCGGTGCCTATCCATCTGTATGCAATGTAGGGCGTCGATTTGTCGAGGTATGTCTGATAGATCTGTTTGTTGTGTTACTTCGCATGCGCTTCCCTTTTGCCATCTCTTTCGGTGCAGCCTACCTGCTGGAATCTGGTCGTTTGAGCTGAGACCGCGGCGAAGGGCGTATCAGGTTCGGGCGCATCCATGTTGAGAGATGGAGAAGGTGGCCAGCAGTCGTAGGTGTGATCGACAGGTGTGTGCGTGTGTGTTTTGGCGGTCGTTGTGGGGAGGAAGACGGGGGTTGCTGTCGAATGCCACCTGGTAGCGATTGGATGGTCCCTATATTTTCAGGCGAAGCCACGTTCGTTGAGACGACAGGATCACCGACACGCGTGCGCCGAAGGCCCACATCGAAAGCCTAAATGATGATTGGCCCATGCACCATCTGTCGTTCCCCCAAGCTGCTGTCCCTATTCTGACATTGACATTTTGCCAATCAGCATTGCATTGCATTGCACATTCAAGCCTCCGCAATGCAGTCAGACGGTGTCTCCAGATCAAATCTCCAGCCGACCTCATCAATGCATTCTCGGAACTGGCCTTGAATGAGGCAGCAAGCATCGGCAGCTGTCCGCTTGCCCGCAATGATCACAGCAGTCGACGGCCAGCCAAGAGATTGGCCCTAATGCAATTGAGCATCAGACCTGTTGACGATGTATCGAACATCTTCGCCTTTGTCGATTAATGCAAAGGACACAGAGCCATGTTATATGTCAATCAGTGCCAAGCATTTCGGTATCATGGGCAGGCAGGGTCGCTGCGGCTTAAGCTCTCTATCCGAGGTGGAAGAGAGCTTTGGATCATCTCGCATTGACTGCTGGCTCAGTTTTCTTCTACGTTTGCAAACACAACCAATCCACTGTCAATGATGCTGGCGTCAAAACTCAGGCCAAGTGCCACCCAGTTCGGCCGCTTCATGCTGCCATTGCGCGTGAGAAACTCCTCCAGCGCACAGGAGCAGACATACGAGCACATCAAAGTGTCTACGCCTCGACCTGGTGTCGGACTTGGTAGATCTCTCCAGCCAGATTCATTTTGTCTGTCCGAATACTGATGCTCTATAGTGGAGCTCCACCGCCCCAAAGCACTCAATGCCCTCTTCACACCCCTCATCCTCGAGCTCAATACCGCCCTCAAAGCCTTCGACAAAGATTCCACAATTGGCGCCATCGTCCTGACCGGATCCCACAAAGCCTTCGCAGCCGGCGCTGATATCAAAGAGATGTCGACCAAAACATTCTCTGACGCCTACGGTGACGATTTCATCGAATCGTGGTCCGACCTTCCCAACACCATCAAGAAACCCGTCATTTCTGCAGTTAACGGGCATGCATTGGGTGGTGGATGCGAATTGGCCATGATGGCTGACATCCTATACGCTTCCGAAAAGGCAAACTTTGGACAACCCGAGATCAAACTCGGCGTCATTCCCGGCGCAGGAGGCTCTCAGCGATTGACGCGAGCGATCGGAAAGTCAAGAGCTATGGAACTCATTCTGACAGGGAAGAACTTCAGTGGAAAAGAAGCATTTGAATGGGGACTGGCCGCAAGAGTCTTTGCTACACCAGAAGAATGTGTGGAAGGCGCGTTGGCTACAGCGGAGACGATTGCAAGCTACAGCAAGATGGCTGTCAAGGCATGCAAGGAAGTGGTAAATAAGAGCCAGGATTTGGGTATCAGAGAGGGAGTGGAATATGAGAGGAGACTGTTCCATGGCTTATTTGGTAGCCAAGATCAAAAGATTGGAATGGAAGCTTTCGCGAAGAAGCAGAAGGCAGAGTGGACGCATCGGTAGGGCGTTCATTGATGAATCATAAAAGACATAATACTGCCACAGAAGCTATGTTGCACAATTTGTCATAACAATCGTGAGGGCAAAGAACTCTCACTTCTTGAAGTTCATGCCCAGATGGTCCGCAGAGCCAGACTGCTGATTCGCGATCTGGTCCTGAGCCTTGACAGATGTTCCGCCAACAGTGTCTCCAGAGCGCTTGCCGCCTAATTCAAATGTCTTATTAGCATTGTTCAGTCAACTGTGCTCCGCTCAGAATCGCCTACCTGAACCCATTTCATTCAACGAATCACTCGCAGCCTGCGCCTTCTTCTGTCCACTCGACTGTGTCTGCTCAGTCATCATATCTCCCACCGCAGTAGAAGCTCCCTGCAGACCACCTAAGCAAACCTCATCAGCATCCACAACCTTTTTACCAGAACGGACAAGTAGAAACTGCTCACCTCCCTGTCCCTTCAACGCATTCTTCATATCCTGTGCCATGTTTCCCAGATAGGACGCCGTTTTGACTGATGTTCAAAGTTTCTTGTAGTAAGGAGATCGTGTGGCTTCTTTGCCTAAATGTGAAGTAGGGATTGGTGAAAGGAAGATCCACATCTCTGAGGGTTGTTATTCACTTGGCTATGTTGTTACACAAATGCTGCGTCATAGCTTTGGAAATGTTGGAAGCTGTGACAGGGATTGTTGAATAGAGGTATGTGGGAATGGGGACGCACTTCACGTTTCAGGTTGGTGATGGTGGATAATAAGTGTCGTGCTAGGAGGTATTATTAACATAGTATGCTATTATTGTATGTTCGAGTTGTATGTAATGCGTTGTGGGGCGGCGGGCTGCTCAATTATGCTTCAAGATCCTCCTCAAGTGTAGAAGTTTACTTCACGAACTTCCTGACGACGTCCACCTTCTGACAGCTTGGGTTCTGTGGCTTCGCATTGCCGACGACAAAGTTCAGAGACTCGTACGCATAGGCAGCATAGGCGTAGTTGCAGATGTACCAATGGTACAGAGCCCTCTCATTGCCTTGCTTTGGCGGGCTGACAGTGTCGTCGTAGTAAGTCGGCACAAACATCTTGTTGTTCTTGTCAAATCCGACCTGGACGTTCTGGTCACTGGGTGAGAATTGAGCGTGGGCAACATTGGTCGATGGATTGTAGAAGAAAACCATTGGCTCCGAGGCTTGTACTCGTCAGCAGATGATGTGGGTAAAAGGATCTTCACAAATGCTCACTCTTGAAGTTTCCTCCCACTAGCTGCCAGGTGAGGACACCAGACTTTCCAAGGTTCTTATCCGACACAACTTGGCCATCAGTTGTGTTCCATTGATACTGTGAAGCTGCGTAAGGTCCAATGCAGAGACCTTCGATAGCAGCACCTTCGTGGCAGGAAGTGAGCGTCTTGCCGTTCAGGGTCGCGTTGGTACTCTGCAGTGAGAGAGTGAATGGCTTTGACTGCGTTGTCTGAGCAGCGATCGTGCTGGTGAGCGACAGCAGAGTTGCTGCGTTGACGATAGTGGACTTCATCTTGTCGGGTGTCGACTTCGCTGTGAGATTGGAGGGACTGAATATCTGAAGAAGTCGATTGTTGCTGTGATGGCACTTTCACCTTGCTAGAGCATCACGATTATATACGTGAAGTTCAGGCGACCAGCTCAATGCCACACACTCCGCACACGATGTAACGCGTGTACCAAACGGCATTTCGGCATGATACGTCTAGACGAGCCATCAAAGGTAGTCAACTTCGCAGCTCGATAGTGTGGTACGCTTTGGGTATACCTTCAAGGTCAGTTGCTCTAGCATGACGTACAAGTGCGATTTACCTCACAGCTGCACGGTTCTAGCGGCTTTCCATGCTATTCTTGGCCCATTGCATGGCGCACTATACAGCTTGACACGAAAAGCTTGGTGATCTTGTACTTGCTGAGAGAGAGTTTCTTCGTCTTGCTACGGTCCCAAAAGTTTGTGCGTCGCTGGGGTGTGTTATGGACGCCTGATCTCTCCTTTGAGTTAGACCACCTGCGATCAGGTGCAAGTCGAGTCGCCAGCGGAGCCTTGTGCATCCGTAAGAGTACGGTAAGACTATTGCACCACAGCACAACAGGGACATGGTGCAGCGACTTCGTATACGCGAGAGCCTTCCCAGGTCAGGCGAGCCACGATAGCGCTGATGATGACAGGGAATCGAGCTGTAGCCGTCTGGCTACGCCAAATGCAGTCTTCCGTGAAAGGACATGCTCGAGTGCTCTTCGACCTGCTAGTCAGTGCTTGCGGGGAGCTGTGGAAGGCCAGACTCCGGCGTCGCCGCTGGGCTGATGGCGGAGCCAAAAACTCGAGCATCTCGTGCCTTTGAGCTGCATTCCCATCGAACAGAGCTTTGCACTTGATGAGAATGTTGCCCGACTCGTGTTGGTACAAGACAATGAGAGTTGCGATGACGAGAAAGGCGAAGAATGGATCGGCAAGGAAGGGGAGATGTGCTTGCCAAAGCAGAACGCGCTTGCGCCAAGTTTCCTTTTGCAGCTGCGTGCCCGATCCCGAGCCGCGTAGTCGGTGTGCCTTTCGATTGCACTTCTGCTTGCCTCTATGGTTTTCGTATGTTGTTGCCTACAGTTCTGGTCCGAGACGACTTCGCAACCCAAGAAATTGCGAGAAGATCATCAAAGATGACTCGGGACAAATCGAAAAGGACCACACTGCCCCTCAGTACCTCGGTCCCACGTGCAAACATGAAGCTTAAATTCGGCATCCCAATACCATCCTTCTTCCTGCCGTGAGGGTTATCAACGCGCGAAATTGCGACATCAAACGAAGAAATAGAAGCAACAATATTTTGAGAAAATGGGCGTCCTTCGCTACGGGACTGCAGCTGTGCTGGCGGGCGTCGTGGTGGTCGCGGTAAGTGGGGTCCAATGCATACCACCCCAAAGATCATAAATCCATGGGAAATGGCATTCGCATCATCTTCGCAGCGGCGGCGGCTGACCCGTTATCTGTACATAGCACCTCGCTCTCCAGAAGCAATTTGAAAACAATGGCTTGTGGTCACTAGATACGATCTTGGTCCACAAGAACAAAACATTGCCAAACACCAAAATCCCACTCAAGCTGCCATCAACAGGCCTCGCAGGATTGGACAGCTACTTCAATTTCATGCTGTCCTTCTTCTGGGTGTCATTCGATCCTCGCAATGTGCGCGCTCATCTGCAAGGCAATCATCTGTTGGGCACTCTTTCTAGCATTTGGATCATTCAGCTCCTTGAGGCGCACGGAACCACCAAGGCTGCATCTGCAGGCATTATCTTCTCGACCTACTTCCTGGAGATAATGGGAGAACTCCTCGGCATTGGTCTTTTCACTCCCATCTGGTGCATTGTGCATCTATTGATCACTTCGGCACCAAGCACGAAATCAGACGCCAGAGCCACCAAGCTGTCTGCACCAAAAAGTAGCCTGAGAGCACTTGGATACGCGCTTCTCGTCGGGCACGTGGTTCCTACTGTGCTTATGCTGCAGCTTGAAGCCGATGGCGAAGGCGTTGCTTCCAAGCAGATTTGGACGATTGCTCGGCTCTTCCATCCAGTCTATCTTTTCGTCTGCCTGCAAGTCTTCAAGACGCTGTTTGGCGGAGGCTCGTCTGCACCTGCGACTGATGCACCACAACGACTTCTAGCCACCAGGCGCAAGCTCTACCAATTCAGCATCCTGGCATCAGGCTTCTTCCACGTTACCTCGCTCGCTATGCTGTTTGCCGAAAAACTCTTCGCTGGATGGCTACGCGATGATGTTCTTCCTGGACTGCATGTGGGCACAATGTTCATTCCGGCTCCGTTCTGGACGCGCACGAATATGTCCTTCGAGACTGCCGTTGCAGTCTTTCTACAATGGGACTACACTTGCTCTGCCGGTGCCATTGTGATCTGGGCTGCTTCCCAGTGGTTGGAGACTGTGTCTGTCAGCAAGACTGACGGCACAAGGGTTGTGGAGACTTTAGGACAGAGCGTTCTGGTTGCGCTCCTGGCCGGACCTGCCGCGGCCGCAGCGTTCTTGCTGCAGGAACGTGATACTGCGCTCGCTGCAGGTCTCCTTGAGGGTAAAGGCCCTAAGCAGCAGTGAAATTAAGAAGGAATCGAACATGTATGTGTAGATGAAGTGGGGACTGAGGAGGAGGAAAGAAGGCGTTGTGGCCAATGGACGAAAATAGGGCGGGTGATTGTTTTGCCTAGCGCGGCTTCTCGGCTCTCAGCCGAAAGCAGACATCTCGCGACCAAAACTTTTGATAGGAGAACTCGACACCGGGTCGACAACAATGTACAAAATCTTTGCTTCATGTACTATTAATTTTCTGTTCTGATGTAATTCACGGTTCATGGCGCGGGTGCTGAAGCATGTCACGGATTTTACTCGCGCACGGCACAGGTGCTTTCCCATTTCCGTCAGCTCATGATGGCATTGGCTACATTCGTTCTACCATCGAAAGGATCTTCCGGCTAGACTTTAATCAACTTGGGTCACTCGTTGCAATTGCTGGGATAATACCGGCCGCCACCCGATACGCCCACCTGGCATGGCGAGAAGCTTCTACGTGGATTAAGCACTTCTTCATTGCCAGCGTCTCTATTCCGGCACACGACCCGGTGAACAGGAGTGTGAGCACATGGCTTCATGAGAACATCATTGAGCCACGTCGATTGAGATTCCACACTGCACGCACACAACTTGGACGGAGTGCGGACCCCGGTGCCGCTTTGAAGAAATCGCAACCAGTTCAGTACCTGCCTCAGTGGCAACATATCTGGTTCAGACATGGTGGCCGGCTCTTTTCAGTCACGCGAGCGCTCGATAACTTCTCGTCCTCAGCACGAGATTCTACCTACGATGGCTTTGGTGGCGAGGAACTTGTAATCAGCTGCTTGGGCCTCTCTTCAGATCCGGTCAAGCACTTTATCGAAGCGTGTCGGCAGGCAGCAGACCAGAATGCTCAACTATATGTCATCATATACAGCCGAGATCGCTACTGTATATCGTGGAAGCCTAGGTTACGGCGCCCCTTACGACGGCTGGATACTGTTCATTTTGATGATTTGTTGAAGTCGGCTCTGATCACGGACATTCGAACGTACCTGGACCCTCGAACGCAAAAGCTGTACCAGAGCCGAAGCATGCCATACCGGCGGGGCTATCTATTCCATGGACCACCTGGATCAGGCAAATCGTCTTTGTCTACAGCCATAGCTGGCGAATTCGGGCTGGATCTGTACGAGGTCAAGATCCCGAGCACACCGAGTGACGGGGACTTGGAGCAGATGTTTTCGGAAGTGCCGCCAAGGTGCATTGTACTTCTGGAGGATATCGATGCTGTCTGGACAGGACGTGATCGGCAGCTATCTGACAGTGACGACGACTGCAGCACCGCATCCAACGTTACACTGTCTGGATTGCTCAATGTCCTCGATGGCGTTGGATCTCAGGAAGGCCGAATCGTAATTATGACAACCAACAGAATCGATGAACTGGATCCTGCCTTGACCAGGCCTGGTCGCGTGGACTTCAAGGTATATCTGGGGCATATCTCGCAATCATCGGCAGAGGCCATGTTCATACGGATGTTTGCGCCAGAGTTACTTCAGTGGGCGCGCAAGTCATCCGAGAGCCCGGAAACATTGGACGAGCACATATCGCTGGAGCAGATAAAAATGCTCGCAGCAAATTTCGCGAGACACATTCCCGAGAACACTTTCACCCCATCGCAGTTGCAGGGTTTCTTCCAACTGCATCTGAATAGCGCAGTGCGGGCAGCTGCGAGTATTGCGGACTGGGTGAAGCAGCATCAGAAGCATGAGAAGGATGGAATGCGAACTTTTTGACAATATGGATTTGTCGTTTGAACGAATCTGGTGTAAAATTAGACATGAATTGTATATCACGCAGCATTGTAGGGGCAAGAGCCTGGCCATAACGGGGAAGTCGCAATGCAGCGTCTCCCAAGTAACACCATAGCACCAGCTCTTAATGTCGTCGCTGGGACTATGTTTCAGCTTTCCAGAATCTGGCAATTGCGGCGGCGCACTGCTCTCAGCACGGCAGCGCCTTCCTCGCACATCTACGAGAACAACATCGATTCCTCGATTTCGTGTCCTCCTCGTGCTCAGAGCCGAATCTTCTTCCTTGTGGTATGATGACCACGTATGACAGCTCTTTCTTCCTCAATCTCCATCCACTACTCTGCTGCTGGTCTATTTCGCACATGGTGGCAGTCTTACGCGGGCATCATTCATCGCCGCTCGAGGTTTCGGTGGCAGCTGTACGCGCGATATGTCGCCTGAGAGGTTCACACTCTTCATCTGGAACGCTGTTCGATGGTGAGTCTGTGCTGTAGGTCTCTTTCGGCTCAGTATGCTTCTGTCAGCAAAAAGCATACTCAGAGTATGGCTCCAACGACTCGAAGCCGCGGCAGTTGCTGGCTTTGAAGAGTAAACATGGCAACAAGTGCTGGTGTACGAAGTGCTCCTATTACACCCGGGGCTTCCAGCGGATCACCTCAAGAAGCATATCCCAGGCGCAAGGTAGGCTGTGTGGAATGTTTCGCACAGCTGGAGCAGTGAGAGCAAGTGAAGTGAACTTAGTGCACCATGTGTTCGAAATGCGCTTCTATGATTGGGTGAGAAAGAAGGCGGGTCCACGACGAACGGACCTCTCAAACCCTCGATTCAACCCACGCCCTCCCCAAAAGCTCACCCGAACTATGACCCTGCAGTCATCAGGCTTCGTCTCTATTGAGATCTGTCCTCTGCCGCCGAGCCTGTGCTACCGTAGCTGGGCCGTCGTGGTCTCCATGTGCGCTGCTGATAGGCCACAGACTTCTCTGGGCGACACCTCTTCATCCCAACCATGACCGGGACGATCACGCTTGAACCTGCATCACAAGCCGATGCACGTACCCCAGCGGGGCAGACGTCGCTCCTTGGTGGGATCTGCCAATGTCAACCCGGCGGCGGCATTGCGTACTGGCGGACACACGCGCGTTGGCTGGCCATGATCACGTTGAAGATTGGGGCGGCAAGCTCGTAAGAAGCATACCTTTTCCTAGCCTGCGTAGGCTTGCCCCAGGCCGAGATACGACGGATGGAAGCGTCAAGCTAGGTGGGCTGTTTTTCCTATTACCCTCGAGGTTGCTTGCCTGATTTCTTCAACCCTTTCTCCCACATCCCTCTCACTCTCGTGCTCTCTTTCCTCTACGACAGACGAAGGCACGCGAGCTCAACACTCGCAGCAACAGCCTTCACCATGGCGTCTTTCCTTACCTCCCTCAACGATCGTCTGGCACTGCCCGAATACCAGCTCTCGTTGGTGTCGATATGCGGAATCCTCTTCGTGCTGGCTTGGGTCCTGCTCTTTTTCACGGAATTGAGCAGTATTAAGCAAGCCTACAGAAGCGCCAACTACCTCTTCAAGTTCGCCTATTCCTGCTTCTTCAAGCCCCATTCCGGAGATGGAACTGGCAAGCAGCAAGATGCTCTTGAGAGCTTCTACAAGTCTCAGGCCGAAATCTACGACGCCACACGATCACGGCTTTTGCAGGGAAGAGAAGATATGCTGGCTCTGGTAGCAGCTCAGGTCATATACAGACGGGATATAGGCCAGACAAGCGCTAAGCCAATCTGGGTTGACATTGGCGGCGGTACAGGATGGAACATCGAACAGATGGCTGAGCACGTGGATGTGCCCAACTTCTTCCATGCCGTATACCTGGTCGATCTGAGCACTTCTCTGTGTGAGATTGCCCGCAAGCGATTCGAGAGGCTTGGCTGGAAGAACGTCCACGTCATCTGTGAGGACGCTCGCGTCTTCCGATTGTCCGACTATGAAGCTGGAATTGAGGACGAGAAGCGCGACTTCAGCATCGGCCGCTCTGCATACGACGATGAGGCACGCGACAGCGTGGGCGCTGACGTTCTCACCATGTCCTACAGCTTGAGCATGATTCCTGAGTTCCATCCAGCAGTGGACAGTGTTGCCAACCTTTTGGCGCCAAATGGCATCGTTGGCGTGGTCGACTTCTATGTCCAGAACAAGATCGAATTCGCAGGCCGCAACTACACTGGTGGCAGTATTGACCGACACTGCATGTGGATCAGCCGCGTCTTCTGGAGGACATGGTTTGAGCTCGACCGCGTCAACCTGGATTCTGCGAGACGCGACTACATTGAGTACAAATTTGGCACAATTCTCAGCACCAACCGCAGATGCCATCTTTTAGGCTTCCGCATTCCATACTATATCTTTGTTGGATGTGCTCGCACCACGATCAACCCACTTCAGCAAATGGCGGCAGTGGACGCTGCTGTCACCGAGAGTCCATTCATTGCAGCTCTCGATATCCATGCTCAAAGCTTGTCGCGTAAGAATCGTCGAAGCTCTAGCGCCGAGCGTCGTAGTAAAGCCTACGATACCGCGGTCGTGAATCTCGCAGCCAGTCTTCCGCTCCCTGCTGCCTACTACCAAACCAACAAGACCCGCGTGTACTACGATGACACGCTTCAGAAGCATCGCCAATTCAACGATGAATACATCTACAGTTTCACCTGGGAGGATTCACGAGTTGATTCTCGACTGCTCAAGATCACATCAGACGATGTAATTCTGGCTCTTACCAGCGCTGGAGACAACATTCTCAGCTACGCCCTCGAACGACCAAAGCGAATCCATGCAGTCGATTTGAACCCAGCACAGAATCATCTGCTGGAGCTCAAGGTTGCTGCATTTCGTGGACTTGAGTACCAAGACTTTTGGAGACTGTTCGGTGACGGCAAGATCGACAACTTTCATAAGCTCTTGTTGGAACGTCTGTCTCCTCATCTTTCCTCTCAGGCCTTTGACTTCTGGCTTCATGCCGGTCCTTCGACATTCGATCCACGCGGCAAGGGATTGTACTTCACTGGTGGCAGCCGACATGCTCTCAAGCTCGTCTCATGGCTTGGCAGTCTTCTCGGTGTTCGCAAAGATATGGAAAAATTGGCTTCCGCATCGACTTTAGCCGAGCAACGCGAGATCTGGAACCGACGCGTAAGAAAGGTGCTTCTGTCGCAATTGCTTGCATACTTCGTTGTTGGCTCCGAAAGATTCTTGTGGAAGGCGCTCGGTGTTCCTGGTGAGCAGCGAGCTATGATCGAGGAGGACTTCAAGCTCCAGCTTGACCGAGGTGATGCTGTCAAGGCTGACAAGAGCGCTGAGAAGAGTGGCACAGGCGAGCCGGGTGCTGTTGGTGCCACGAAGAGTGGAAAAGCGATCTGGAACTATGGCGTTCAGACGCTCGATCCAGTCGCTAATGGAACTCTGCTCAGCGAGGACAATCACTATTACTTGCTGTGTCTGCTTGGTGAGTTCAGAGATTTTTGCTGAACGAGTAAATATCGACTAATACCGAACAGGTCACTACACACGCCGCTGCCACCCAACCTACCTCACGCCGAAATCCCACATGAAACTCTCCGCCCCAGGCGCTCTCGAAAACATTCGCATCCACACCGACGAACTCGCCGAAGTCTTCGCTCGCATGCAACCCGAAGCGCTCACCATTGCAGTCCTCATGGACAGCATGGACTGGTTCACGCCCGGTGGTCCAGAAGCACCAGCACAATGCAAAGCCGTCAATCGTGCCCTCAAACTCGGAGGCAGAGTTTTGATTCGCAGTGCAGGTCTCAATCCGTGGTATATGCGAGTCTTTGAAGAGTATGGATTTAGCCCGAAGAGAGTGGCAGCGAGGATACCGCCTGGCACATGTACAGACCGGGTGAATATGTACGCCAGTACTTGGATATGTACGAAGGTGATTAGTCTGGTGGAGAAAGAATGAATATGCACACATGGTGCATGGTCAGGCATGGATGATGAATGATGATATACGACAGAAGATGTAGAGGAAGCGTGGAAGAAAAGCCATTTCCGGTTAGCTGACTTGTAGGCAGCTTCTGAATCAATTTCGATCAAGCATTCAATGACAATTGACTTCTGCTAGCATTCTCAGGCACAATAACAGAAGAAAGAGTTCTCGATCCACCGGCAGAAGTCAATGTGGACATGTCTCACACTGCTAGCGGTCACTTGATGGAATATGGAAGAAGAGAGGGGTGTCTCAGAAACAATTTCGCAGCATGATCTTGTTCGTGGTTAAGCCTAGAAGCAGACAAACACACATCTTTTTGGAAACCAAACGAATCTTCTAGCCAGTACTTTTCGTCGAGTCATCCAGCGACCAGACCCACAGCAGCATCTACTCCTCGGCATCTATTCCCCAGCATCCTACTATCAAGTATCAGGCGTCAGCATACTCAGTCACCGGCTTGATGCCAGGCAACTCAGCATGCCCATGGAAATTGATCTTCTCCAGCAACTTCACCCTCTGACGCTTCGTCAGACCATCTTCCTCAATCTCCTTGCCCTCCCACTTAGCCAGCTTGAGCTCCTCTCTGTCTCCAGGCTTCATGGCATCGATACCTTTCCAATTGTCCAAATGCGAATCCGTCCCATGCTGTGTTGCCTCTCTAATACGTAGCTTTCGACCCTTCTTCGTGGTCTGCCACTCCTTCTGGTCATCAATCGTGGCAAGAACGTCATCTTGCAAATTTCCCAACGTGACTCCTCCAGGATTCGGGAAGTCACCGAATGCTTCTTCGTGGTTCCACTTGTTCGGGAAGTGGTGGTAGGTGTTGTGCAGGTGGACCATGTCAACGGGCGGTTGGCAGATGAGTTGCTTGCGCCACAGGCCTTTTTGTGGATAGACGGCGAGTTTGCGTTCCCAGAAACGGAAGGTGAAGGTGTCAGTGTCGGAGAAACGGGATTTTGGGTGCCAGGTATTGACGTGGCGGAGGGATGGATGGAGTTTGATGGTCAGTGGTGCTGTGGCAGGCCTTGATTGGTTTTGGAGTTTCGAATCTGACAGTTCAGAGAACGAGTGGAGATGATGGACGGCACCAGAGGGGGTGGCAAAAGAGTGCGAGGTGTTGCGCGTCTTTTGGAGGTCATTCCAGACTTCGTCGTTGTTGAAGAGGATCTTTTTGAGGGTAGGGGAGGTGTCGATCAAGTCTCTCCAGAACGAAGAAACATAACGAGCGTCTGCCAGTTCGAAGAGATCTAGATTCTCCAAGATGGCCTCGAGTAGTTCGGGGGTTGTCAGGGTAAGATCTGCGCGCGGTGTTCCAGGCTCTGTTTTTGAGTCAGTTGATGGTTGTGGAAACAATTGTATTTGATCTTACCGTCAGAGCCATCTGCGGTGGAGGCCATCTTTGACCCAGTGTGGTGTGGTGGTTGCGAGAAAGAAGAGAGAACTCGAGGGGGGAATTTATAGTCCAGACGCGGATGAAAAGTGGAGCTATGGAGAGCCTATGGTGACTCCACAGCTAGCTACCTGCCTACTTGCGCCTCGAACGTATGATTGCTGAGCCATTTGGAATGCAAACACGTCCAAGCAGTACCCTACAGTGTTCAGTATATCAGTGTACCTGTCAGCTCTGTTCCACTGACTTCGACAACTTAGTAGCCGCACGTCCCAGCGTCTGTCATGTCCTAGACCGTCTAAGTTACGAAACCATATCGTAACCAACCTCTATCTTCCCTTCAACACATCCCCAAAATTCCTCTACAATCTTCTCCCATCCCTCACCTCCCCTTACAGCCATATAACGTCTCTGATCGACACTAGGGTCCCAGTCCCCTTTCATCGCACCGACCATCTTCCCTCCAGCCTCTTCGAGAATGACCCATCCAGCGCAAACATCCCAAGCCCAGCATCCTGTCTCCCAGTAGACATCCAGATGCCCACTCGCCACACCACAGAGGTTCAACTCGGCCGACCCCAAACTTCGAATGCCATGCACCATCGCTCCGCCAGCTTCTTTGCTTGCGCAAAGCTTCCGAAAAGTGTTGACTTTCGTGTCATAGTCGTTTCCATCGCGATCGCTGCCCCATTCAACCGCCACGAGGCAGTGAGAGAGATCCTGAAAAGGCTCTGGCGAGCGGAGAGGCAGTTTGACGGGAGTCTTATGCTGTGGGCTCGTAATATAGGAACCTTGGCCACGGATACCAGTGTAGAGCGTTTGGGTAAAAGGGTTGTAGATCACACCAACAACAGGCTTCTTGTTAATAGCAAGACCCAACGACACAGCCACATACGGATGACCGTGGAAGAAATTCGTCGTTCCATCAATGGGGTCAACCTATAACTCCTCACGTCAGTCCAGCTGAACCATATCCAGTGGAAACCCATTCCCAGCACTATTCGATTCTGGAAGAAACCAGCCCAAACAGGAAATGTAAGGACTCACAATAAAAGTCGGCCTATCCTCCAATTTATCTCCAGTCTTATACGTCTCCTCTCCCATAAAACTACACAAACCTTAGCCTTCCGCCACAATCCAGTGATTTCGTTCCTCCACTACTTTCGAAGCAACTCACCCAAAATCCGGATACTTCCCACCCAACTCCTCCGAAACCATCTTCTCAACAGCCTGATCCGTCTCCGTGACCAAATCCGCACTATTCTTCTTGGTCCCATGTCCCGAAACAGCAGGCGTGGCCGAAGTGATCATTTCTCCCGCCTTGTAAGCGATTTCAACAAGGAAGTCATGCACTTCCTTGAGATTGACTGCACTCATCTTGTCGGTATTGGCTGTAACGTGATGATGGTATACGATGCTGCAGGGTGTTCCGTGAGGTCAGAAGTGGAAGCTGCGGTGAAGCTCAAGTACCGAGACCCACAACAACGGAAAGCTTGTTTCTGCCGAACCCACGTGGTGGTGTTTTCCAGAACATTGATCACAGAGCAGCATGGGCCGAGAACACGAATTCAGAAACATGAGCAACATTGGCAATTTGGTATTGCTTTTACATGACAGCGGCCTCCCTTAGCTTTCAAGCTTCTAAATAGCAATTGTACCTGCCTTTTCAAATTTCAAGGCCTTTTCAATCCAGGGGTATCCAATCGCTGAAAACAGCAATGCAAGTGCGCCTCCAGAGTGTTTTCACCTCTTTCATAATAATCGTTTCCGCTTCCTTATGTCGTCTGGCGCACCCTCATCTTCGCCTTCGCGCTCTGCCGTGTCTGCAGGATTGAGCAGCGAGTGCACATTGGAAGCCATACTACTCCTTCGGCTTCCATCGGTGAGGCCTTTGAAAGGAAAACGTGCTCCAGGAAGTTGCCAGCCAGCATCGTTGGGATTGGCATAGCTGGGAGGAGCAAAGCTGTTGTTGAAGCTCGGCGGACCAGATTCAGGTGGGCCGGGCGAATGTGGTCGTGAGCCTGGATGCGATACACGAGGTAGCTCGTATTGCGCCAGAGTGTCACGAATTTGTTGGTCTCCAGGATTTGTGGGTCCGCGTGGTGAAGAGGGCCACGCTCCAGAGGACTGTCCAGATTGGTAAGGAGAGGTGCCTGTGGGGTACTGGGCAAGAGGCGGAGGTTGTCCACCTTCCCAGCCCTGCAGGCGAATGTCCGCCGAAGTATGTCGCCGCGGCACATTGGTCGGCGGAGAAGTCATTGTGGCTAGTGGATGTTGTTGAGGCGGTTGCGGGGGCGCGGCGGATGCCGATGGCGCGGGGTGCAGTGAGTTCGCGTAGGGCGGTCTGTTCGATGCTGTAGGTGAGTATGCTCCGCTATTGCCAGTGCCAATAGAACCGTATCGACGGGGCGAAGCCTGTAGATACTGTGGCACAGGCGCTCGCACGCCCAAGGGACGTGAGGGTGGCTGCAGCGACGAGCCTTGGAGCGACGGGCGCCGTGACTCATCAAAAGGCCTTTGTCTCGGAGACATGGGAACGGCGGGCTCCATTGGCGCATTATGATTGTTGTTGGGCTGGAAGAAGGATTGTCGATGCGCGAAGATGGGTTCGTGCTGTTGTTGCTGATGCTGCTCGTCCAGCGCTCGAAGCGCGTCAAGGTGCTGTCTGATCTCATTCCGCATGGCATACACATCGCGATGGACTGGGTTGTCGGGATCGGGGACGACGGTCAGGAGGTGGGACGAGAGGTCATTACTCCACTGATGACATTTGGCCAGGCCATCGAGCATTGCTTGATACTTGGCGTTCAAAGCTTTGTAGGCCTCTTCAGAATGCGCGAATCTGATAGAAATATCCTGGAAATTGTATTCGAGCATGTTCAGCCTCGCCTCCATTGGGTCCTGCATTGGCTCCATTGGTGTGCCGGGTGGTTGCGGCGTGGGAATTTTTGGAGCCGTTGAGAAGGAATCGCGATGGATCAGTGCATGTCTCGATGCCCTGCGTTTGATCTCACGTAGCCCGACAAGGTCACCGCGCTTGAAATTGCCCTGGCCATGCTTGAACTCCCACAAGGGTGAGTCGGGCGAACCTGTGTGGAAGACATCGCTGACTGGGGAATGTCAGAAATGCTAGGAGGGGTTGGCAGGCTCTCAAACATACCTTTGTGGAAGCCGTACATGTTGAGCTGGCGCACGAAGGAGGAAATATTGGTATGCTTGAAGTATTGCCTGTGGCAGCATGAGACAAGGATACACTTTGATCACAAGGGTCTGTTCAACGTACGCTAATACTTTTGAGAACTCGGAGGATGGTGACATGACGAAACTCTCGTTGGTGCTGGACCACGAGATAAGATGTTGGATGCTTTGATCTTCTAGCATGCTACAAGCAGACGTCAGTGGGCGGGCGAAGTTTTGGGCTTGCCGGCAACGAACTTGTATAGCTTGTGTATGAAGGCAGTCTGCACGACTTTGGGCTGCTGCGCCGCGGCCGCAGCGCCCGTCGGCTGTGAGGAGTTTCCATTCGCATCTTCTTGATCATGCTGTTGCTGGTCGCGCGACTTGTCCCCGTTTGGGCTCGTGGAGCTGGGAGGAGCCATGGGCGCATTTGACGACTGGCTGACGTCCATCGGGTCTCCCTGTGATGACAGGGACGCCGAAGGGAGAATGGGAATAGTCTTGGACGAGTGAGACTGGTGTCCCTTGGACTCGGTGTGGAAGGAATCTCTGCTCAATGGCTGTTGCACGGATGCCATTGATGGAACTCTGCTCTTTCTATCGTGAACTGGGCATTGGTCTTTCCCCGCGCAGTTGGACTATTGGGAGATGTGGATGGAGGTCGCGCGCGTGGTGTTGGACGTCTGATCGGTGCTGTTGCAGCTCGAAGGCACGTCTTTTGTACGCTGGCCCGCGCGCGCAGAGCATTGGACGCGCTCAGACCGACTTCATGGTGCCCACGTGCAGGAGATGTATCGGCATGCGATCGACAGTCTGGCAGCAGCTCGCATGTGCAGCTCGAGGTCTTTCTCGCAGACGCAGACCCTTCCTTGCGGGGCTAGGGACGATCGGGTTGCTGGAAGACGACGGCGGGCGGGAGGCGGGCGGACAGCGGGGAGGGAGTGCAGGCGATGGTGGATAGCAATGCTTGCATACAATACAGGACTTGCTCAACAGAGAATGACAGGGCGACGGGCGAATGAGTTGCAGGTTGTGCGACGAGAAAGCGATGGAGAATCGGGAGTTGCAGCGGAGGACAGCTTGACCGACTCGCGACTCGGCACGGAAAGTGATCCGCTCCTTCTCCTATTCTCTGCTCTCGTGTGGTCGCTCTTGCCTCGTGATGAAGAGTCTCTGTGAGAGGCGGAAAGTGTGCAGAGTCATTTCGAGCTGCACCTCTCCATCTCCCGCAAGCCAGTCGAAGCCTCTCGCAGCGGCAAGACGACTGAAGGCTCGTCCTTCCCGTCGGCAACCCTTCGCGCCCGCTTTCCACACGCCTTCGTTCCACCGCGCTGGGTCGGTGACATGCACCTTCCTTGTCATGACATATAGCCACTTCGGCAGCGACACTGGACAGACAACGGCAGAGCACGTGGAGTGGAATGCGCAAAAATGGCAAGTGCGAGCTCCTGTGCGACAACGAAGAAATATAAAGTGGATGCCCGCCTCACCTTTTGACGCCGTGCTCGCTCATCACCACCGCGATTTTGTACGCCCGTTGCTGATATAGCAAAGTGTGATCGCCTGGCTCACACACTTGCGCAGGCTTGAGGAGCTCGTAAATGTCCTGCACAAGGAAGACCGACAGGCACTATCCGGCCTGATCTCGACACCTCATGCCAAGCAAAGCGAACTGTAGCACTCCACCGCAGTCGCGTTGCCTATCTTCACAGCGAGGCAGGTGAAGGGGATGTCGTCGTGGTGCACGACCTACTCTCTCCCCGGCCAGACTTCCATCTGAGACCCGAAGGGCGAGAGAGAATCATGACTCTTGTCCTGTCCGAAAAGCTCATTGCTTGCATCACTTTCTCCGCAAAACTGTATGTGCAAGCTCTTGACGACGAAGCTGATTCTCAGAAGACGATTCGTCTCCCCTCAGCTGCAGTATCCACCTTTCATGCCGACGGAAACTGGCTTGCTCTTACCATAACAGACACGTATGGTAGCACATCCTCACTGCTAGTGTACGATCACATCACCCGCAAAGCGACACAATATACTGTCGAGCATCCAGAAGCTGCCGTTACGGAAACGTGCGCAACAGATACTGTGACATCTACAGAAGACGTGCATCGACCGACCGCTCTTCAGCAGAGCTGCCCATCCTCTGTGATCATTGGCGAGGAGCAAGGCACATTCGACTTGTTCTATGAGACCTGTGCTGAAAGCACGGTACAAGGAGACGAGCAACAAGTTCATCGCGTGCGCCTTGTTCATCAGAGGTATGTTCCGCACGCCTCCGTCCATCAACGACACCTCTTGCACAAGCAAAGCGAGCATAGCCTGCTGCTATTGACAACTCACCTTCATACGCGCGTGCACGCGTGCCCGCGCACAGGCATCCTCGATGCACCAAGACCTACCGGTAGTCCGGGTCAGTGGCATTTCGGTCGATATTTGCTTGACTTAGATCAGGCGGAACGATGGTCAAGTCATCATGTGCCGACATTTAATGCGGCGACTGGTGTCCTAAGTACCAACGACTACAACTTCCCCGCCAGTCCCCGTAAGAAGCCAAATCTGGGAAGAATAATGGCCAACGGCCGGATCACGCAACTGTACTCGTCCGAGAGGTCCAGGCGTTACGACCGTCCCCTACTAAACACGTTCTCCTACGAAGGCACCCATTCTTGTGAGACAGTGTGCGCTAGGTCAGAGCCTCCCGTCAACTCCACTTTTGATCTGAGTGTCACTGATGATAATTTAGCGGCGTCTTCAATCCAGCAACCGAATTACGGGGCGTGGAGATGAACGATTCTTTCCTCATCATGTCTTTGCGCGAAGGCGGCTGCGACTCGATCCGTGTGTGGTGTTTTGAGCCGGATCTTGACTGGAAACTTGGAATCGATAACTCGTGTGAGTGGTGATGACCTTCGAAGTCACTGTGTTCACATGTTGAGAAGGATGTAACTGCGATGCGAGAGCGATGGCCGGAATTGCGGGTACGAGGGCACGATGGCAATGCTCCATTTTGCGGAGCTGGCCAAGATCCACACATGGCCCGTGGTGCTTTGCTGGAGCACAATTTAATGTCCGAAACCTGGAGTAGACGTCAAGCAAGTCATGCTTGCACTTTGTGAAAGGGAAAAAAAAAACAATATGATGAGGAGCTTATGCAAAGGAAGGCTCGATTCAATTCTGACCGAGCGTTGTTAGATGTTGGTCAAATTGCGTTCACCAGCCGTGATTGGCTCTCCGCTCAATCTGTGTTGCATCGATCTCGTAGTCTTCGCCCAGCTCCAAGCGCCCGATCATCTCTGCAAGTCCTAGGAATCCGGCTCTCTCCCACGCAGACAGCGAAGACAGATATCCGGCCCCCTCCATAGTGCATGCTTCGCATACTGAGTCGTCATCCCAGTGGAAGCCCTGGCGGCGTTCTCCCTCTCGAAACATCAGTCTGCAAGCTGCACAGCCCATTCCATTGGGCTGCAGCACTTGAGG